TGTTGATGGAGTGCCCAATCTGTTGATGGAGTGCCCAATCTGTTGATGGAGTGCCCAATCTGTTGATGGAGTGCCCAATCTGTTGATGGAGTGCTTGATGTGGTGCTTGACATATTGCTGGAGGGCTGATGTATTGATGGAGGACTCGATGCTTTCATGGAGTGCTCACTACCCATCACCAGATGCTCATTGCTCGTAGGTTGTGTGGTTGTAATTCTTCCTATCCAAATTTGTTTGATCAATTTGGCCTTGGGGCATCACTCCCAAGTTTCCACCGACGCCACGGGGAGGCAGGATCGTTGTCGGCGTAAAAATATTTTAAGGATACCCTCCCACCCTTCTGAGAATATCAGTTAGCAAAGATGTGCCCTTCATACCGAGGCTATGGAGGTACTTACCCCTATAGGTTGATAATGATAAGTTGGTAATGATAGGTCGCCCTCCCGCCCTTCTAAGAGTATCAGTTAGCAAAGGTGTGCCCTTCATACCAAAGCTATGGGAGTACTTACCCCTATAGGTTGATAATAATAGGTTGATAGGGGCCTCCAGCCACTCTAAAATCACCAGTTAGCAAAGGGATGCCTTTCATACCAAAGCCTTGGGGATACTTGCCCACCCATCTAGGTGCTGTGGCGCCGTCGTCGTCACCTACACCGGGGGTTCTCCCGGAGCAGCCACCGGATCCAGAGGCACCGGTGACGCGGGTCTCTCCCCCCGGCGACGAGCGACGCAACGACGCCACAGCACCTGGGCCACCTAGGCCAAGAATGACCCGGCCACGGTGACCGCCGCCACCAGGAAGACCTGCATGGCCGGGTGCTCCCAGACGGTCACCGAGGCCGGGTTCTCAGTATCAATATTGTCACTATCGCACGCCCGTTAGATAAACATAATAAGTCTCGTTGAAGAGGGTACTTACCTGGAGGCCATAATTATATTTAATAATTATACTTAATAATTATATTGAAGAAAGAAGAAAAGTTCAAAAGAGGAGGGTGGGCGACAGACGAGGATTTGTAGGCTGGAGAAGCACTAGTTAGGTAGCACCTGCCCAACAACGAGGTTGACTCGACAACAGTCAGGAGTGCTCTACATCGAGAAGGAAGGAAGACCACGGTCACGGGCGACTGTCAAGAAGATCAAGTGCGAGTCGGCACACTGGAGTCCACCAAACAACCAACCTGATAGTTCATTGTTGCTACCAGATGTGATGAAGTTCTCTATATCTACTACTTGGCTGATTCTACAGGAGGGAGTGTTGTCTCTATGTCTACTTCTTAGCTGATTCTACCGGAGAGATTGTCGTCTCTCTGTCTATGCCTATGAAAGAAGGACTCCAGCCCAGCTGGCTCCTGCCCATTTGGTGTTGTTGCAGTTCTTATTGTTGAGAAGAACGGCCCAACAATCTTTTAGTATCTATTTGGTTTGTTGTAGTTATTGTTGTTGAGAAGAAAGGCCCAACAATCTAGTATCTGTTGGTCTGTTGACATTTCATTCTCTGTCTCTATCTCTATCCATCTCTCTCTCCCTACCTCTACCTCTATCCTCAATCTCACCCGTGCCCTCAGTTCACAATTCTACCCTGACAAACCACTACCGTCTTATGAAATGTATCCTCCGCTTCACGTAGAGTTCTATTAATCTGACCCTTAATCTATCGCTTCAACAACTCCTGATATCTGACAACAACTTTCGTTGAAGACGGTGCTTTCCTGGATGCCATCATGTATACTGAAGAAGGGCTCGAATAAGGAGGCCGTAGGAGGGATAAGGCATCGCCGCAACCGCTTGACCATCTTGGCCAAGGCCACCCTAGCCACACCGCTCACCACGCTCATCACGACCACGCGCTCATGGCTGGGTCACCCCAGACCGACCCTCTCCTAGAGCAACCACCAGATCCAACGGCACCGGTGGTTCTCCTGGAGCAACCTCTGGATCCAGCGGCACTGGTGGTTGTCCTGTCTCATCCACCGGATCCAACGGCACCGGTGATGAGGGTTCCTCCCCCCGGTGCCGGCGAGCAACCCAACGACGCAACAGCAACTTGGCCCTCTAGGCCAGAATTGAACCGACCGCGGAGCCCATGGCTCCAATAAGGAGCTTCATGCCTGGGTTTTCCCAGACGGACGCCTTTGCGGCCGGTTCGGCACTAGAAAGTGGGCAGAGTTGCTGTAGCACGCCTATCAGACTGATACAATGAGTCTTGTTGAAGAGGGTACTTACTTGGACGCCATATTCATATTAAAAAATTGATATCAAAGAAAGAAGGAAGGTTCAAAAGAGGAGGGTGGGCGATAGATAAGTATTTGTCGGCTGTAGGCTTCGGGGCCGGTTGGGCATATTTGATATAGATGGTAACGCTGTCGCACGCCCGTTAGATCAATGGAACAAGGCTCGTTGAAGAGGGTACTTACTTGGAAGCCATAATGTATGCCGAAGAAAGAAGAAAGGTTCAAATGAGGAGGACGGGGCGATATGCAGACTGGAGAAGCACTACTTGGGTAGAACCAGCCCAACGAGGTCAAGTCGACAAGGTCTAGGAGCGTAGTCGTCACGTGGCTCTGACCTCTTGTGTGCCTCAATGAATTTTGGGGCATCATCGTGAGGTTGTGGTGGACCGAGCTGAATAGCATCACCAACGCCTTGGTATCATTTTCTTCCCATTCCTGTTGTGGGGTGGTACCCCTTTTGCCGTCGATGTTGTCCCAGAGTTTGGCAAGTCTGAATGCTGATGACTATGCCGACATCCATTCGGCGTAATTGGCACCTCTGGGGGTGGGTTTTGATGGAGATGACGGATCCAACTTGAATTGGAACGCAGAAGAAGCCATTTCAGAGATGGTAGAGGGTTAGAGGGCCAAAGGGCCAAAGAGGAGGCAATTGTTGAGGTCCAGGGTTTGTGGAAGGGGCAAAAAACACCAGTGAAGTGATTGAGGTGGGGTTGAACCAATTCAATTGACTGAACAACGGTTTTCAGGCAATCCGGGCCTCGTAACCTGATGAAAGACCTGTGGTATGAGATTGATTGTGTAGCTAAGTTCTGCAAGAGAAGAGAGGGGGGGGGAAGTAGAAGAAGGGGGACAAGTCCTCGAGCAAGGCAAGAGCCAAGGACAAGCCTTGGCGAGGCTAGATACAGGCAGGAGCGATGCATATTTGGTATATTTTGGCAGGAGGTCAAAGGGAACATCAACTCCTGCAATCACGGAGGTACTGGAAATCTATCTCCGTTCAATTTTGCACGTGATGGACCTGGTCGAAGGCCTGTTGCGCTGTGCGACGCTCAAAAAGCGCAAGTTCCGACGGACCGACGTCTTCGACGTGAGCCGGTACGACTACATCAATCAAGACCGGTTCTGGAGCGTGATGAAGGTCGAGGGAGAGATGAGAAATTACGAGGAGCGTCTCGACCACACAAACGGGTACTGGCTCGCGAGCGACTACACCAACACGATCAACGTGATCTGACTAACCAAGCTTTGGAGAATCAAGGTTGGGAACTTGTCAAATGAGAGCGAGGGCAAGAGTGAGAGCAAGAAATGATAATGCGACAATAACAACATTGTAATATATACATTGATCTAGCAATGCATTGATGTTTCATTCTTCATCTCTACCTCTATCTCTATCTTCCTCTTCCTCTTCCTTTCACTCAACTCCAAATCCTACCCTGATGAACCACCACCGTCTTATCGACCTTATCCTCGGCCTCCCTCAGCGTCCCATTTACCCAACCTTCAATCCCCTGCTTCAACAACTCCTGATACCTGACAATCGTACTCTGCGTAAACCAAGCAATATGACTCGACACCGTCAGATTTGGCACTGCCACGGCCTCTGGTTTCGACATATCCGGCAGTAGAGGACTGGTACCCACACCCGCAGGTTCCGTCTCAAGAACATCAACAGCCGCACCGGCAATCCAACCTTCTCTCAATGCCTTGGCCAACGCCACTTCATTCACAATCCCTCCTCTCGCGATATTAATGATCAACGCATCCTGCTGCATCGTCTTCAATTCCTTCTCACTGATCAAATCCACCGTATCGTCCTCCTTTGGCAACGTCAAGACAATGACCGTACACGTCGCCAGCACCTCTTCAAACGAAACCCTCCCCGTCCTCACCTCCTTAGCCCCCTTCCTCTCCGCCACAACCACCTCAGCAAACCCGACTGCCCTCGCCAACTTCTCCACCCTCGTGCCCAGCGTTCCATACCCCAAAATCCCTAATTTCTCCTGCCCAGCCCCTCTCGGCGGGCCATTCGGCCATAATTTCGTCAACGTCCCCTTCTGTGGCCAATCAGACGTCGTTGCCAAGGTGTTATGGACTTGAACGACGCGTTTCCGCGCCGCAAAATACAAGGTGAGGAAGTGTTCGCCTACGGCGTCGACGTTTCCAGCAGGACATTTTGTGACGGTGACGCCCCGACGGGCACAGTCGGCTTTGTCGACCCAGGATATGCCGACGGCCATGACGGCGAGGACGCCCAAGTGAGGGGCTTGGTCCATGTCCGAGGGGGTGATGGGGACGACGCAGGAGATGGCGATGGTGGCGTCGCGAATACGAGAGGCGATTTGAGAGGGGGTGGAATTCTGGTGGATGGTGATGGTGTGCGGGAAGGAGAAGGTGGGTGTTGGGGCGTGGATTCCTTCAAGGACGACGATGTGGTGTTTATCCTTGCCGGGGGGAAGAGGTGGAGGCCCGGTGGGGAACGGGGGGATGGATGTAGATGTGGACATGGTTGAGGTGGAGGATGATGAGTGATGGTAATGGTGAAGGGGGGTGAGAGGAGTGGTCCTGGATGGTCGTGCTGGTGTTGATGGAGAGGTGGAGGCTGAATAGTATGTTCTGTTCAAGGTCCTGGAGATTGCATCCGAGTGGATTTGAAAGTGACGGGGTGGTCTTGAGCTTGAAGTAGAACTCAATATAGAATGGGAGTTCAATACTCCAGTCTGTATTCTTGGTAGAGTCGATGAAAGGATGGTTTTTGCTGTCGACGCACTTTTCATGAAATTGCTTGGGTCAATTTCCAGTTGTGGTTGTTGTAATGCCAGCAACCCTAGATTGATCCTTTGAAATTTCGAACTTGTTGTCCGTTCTTGAGCCCAGATATGTTCTTTTCAGCCAGTCTGAGTAATCCAGTCAAGATCAGCATCAAAGTCGAGAATCTCAGAACAATAATCTAGATGTATGTTGAGACGCTACAGGCAGGCAGGGTCGGCGGCAATCAAAACACACGTAGACAGTATATGTAGAGAATATAAAGTCAAATCAAGTCAAGTCAGAAAGACATGAAAAATAATCCGTTGATAAGCGGAGTCAGAATCGGTTATCTTATTATTGGACTGACTGATAGGTTATATTTACTACCTATCTATATGTGTTTGTAAAGATTACCGAAAAAGAATTTGTGTGGGTTGGGGAGGGGATGGATGGGCCCCTCGGGCCCGCCTTGCTGACATGATATGATATGGCGACCTACTACGGAGTACTTCAAGTTGGTAGGAGAAGTGAGGTGGTGAGGTGAGGAGAAGAGGTGATGGTGGAGTTGGATTTGGAGTCGTCGACGCCCTTTTGGTGACAAGACTTGGCTGGCCGAGGTTAGTAACCTACGTGCCCTGGTACCGTACCTGCCGTATACACCAGACCTGGACAAATAATGTACGCATTTACATAATAAGCCATCAATGTAGGTAAGAACGATTGATGATTACTACGCGTGCTTTCCCCCACACATTGGCAGTGCCTCGCGTCTATTACTAATACAATAACGACACGTGAACATGAAAGAGAATGTCAATCAGCAGCCCGAGTCACAGCAAAATAACCACAAACACATCCAATTACAACTGTATTTCTCTACCTACCCAATCAATTAATCATGGACATACCTCGGATGAACTACTCATCAGTCCTTTGAGTCCCTCATATGGTGTCACAATCGGTAGGAATACAAAACATACGGTGGACACATGTCACCATCAAGAAACACCACAGGTCGATAGGAATCGCCCGACCACCATGACGATCTCACCCAGACAATCACTCACTCCCTCACTCACTCACTCACGTTAAACTCAACTTCCTCAACAAACTCGGGAAATTCCCCTCTCCTTGCTCTTGTTTGACAATATTGGCGGCCACCTGACTTTCCAAAGTTTCCGAATCCACCTCACCGAGAATACTGTCGTCATAAAACTTGTACAGTGTACCGCCATCGGTCCAGATACGCCGTAGCGTGACCACGGTGGCCATGGGCGAGTAGATTTGGTATTCTTCCTTTTCAATCTCGCGTAACCGTTCGATTGACGTGTATGAAACCTCCCATTTGCTATCTGTTTGTCGTTCGTATTCGGCCAGGATTTCGTTGGGTGTGGCTGTGAAGGAATGGACCACCAAAGTCGTGTTGCGCGCGGCCCGAGGGTTGAGAAGGGCAGCTACAAGGAATTTGCCAACGCTGCAAAGGGTATATCAGTCAATGCGTCACACGTGAAGAAAGGGCTATTGTCCATATACATACTCTGCCATGGCGGTAAAGCTCACCGGTCCTTCACCGTCACCCAACAAGATGGCCTTTCGGTTCTTGACATCAAATTGACCAATCTCCGGTTTGGGTTTCATCATGCCAAAATACAGATCGCTGTAAGGACCCGTGACCAGGTAGGTGTATTCTAATCGGTTCATGGTCTTCATGTGAGCGCGGACCTTGAGTTTTAATTGATGCGGCGGTTCGGCGGACGATTCCGGCCAGTATTCGATATCGGTGCCATACTCAGAAGGGAAGAACCGTCGCACGCCAGCTTCTTCAGCCCATGTGATGATTTTGATTTGTTTCTCAATACCCGCGCGTCCGACACATGAGACAATGGTGTCAATACCTAAGGTGGTCGGTCAGTTCAATGTTGTCCTGCCATTTATGTTGAGACACAAGTGGTCTTGTCTTACCTTCACATGCTCTCTTGATAGCACTTTCACTCTCTAATCTCCCAGTAAAGACTTCAACCCCCCAAGCTTCCAACGCAGCAATATCCTGAACCTTTTGCACCAGAGTCTTTTCACTGGTCAAAACACATATCCGATCAAAATGTTCTCTCGAATCGATGATGGCGCGGACGATATATGTACCGATTGTGCCGGTGGCACCGATGATGAGGATGTTTTTGGTCGGAGGAAACGCGTACGGGGGTGACATGGTTGACTTGAGAGAGGAGGTTGGTAGTATGTCGGGCTGCCTCCTCTTTTCCTATGTCAACCCGCCCCAGGGGCGCACGCAAACAAGACCCGGGAGACCAGAATGGTCAAAGGGGATGCAATCGGGTTTTGGAGGTATTGGGGTGAGGGAAATGGTCTGCTCGAGTTGGATTGATTGAGAGCACGGTTGGTGTCTTTTGATGGCGGCTAGATCGGAGGTGTGTGAAGGTGCAACGCGTGTGTGCTATTGGTCCCCTGTTCGAGCAGAATACGTCTTGACTTTTCTATTTTGTATGCCTCGTACGTCAGCGTCGGCGTCAGCGAATCCAAGTTAGGGTTCGGATCGCAAGGAGAAGGCGGATGCGAATGATGTGTCCGGCAGTATGAATAAAGTGCTGACGAGGTGGAGCGATCGTGGACGGGTATCGGATAAAAATACGTGTCTGTGTTGAAGATGGAGATTAGTGGTGTGGAGGTATTGGAGGTGGTGGAGGGGCTGTTCATGCACGTGGTTCAGGGTGTGTGGCTGGCAAGAGGATGCGTGGGGTAGAGGATTTGAAGAGGATTAGTAGAAGAACAATTATTAAAGATTCAAATGAGTTAGAGACAGAGAAGAAATGGAGGGTATTTTGACTTTTTGAACAATAATAATAATAATAATCCGCCTCGTCAATCTTATCGCACAGGAGGATCAACAAAGTATGCGGTGTGCGTTCGACAAAAACTGGGACCTGGTACTTGGTTTGAGGGCCAATATTCAACTAATTACTAGGTGCAGGGTATAAAGGGGCCAAAATGGAATGGAAAGAAAAGAGTCGAAGCCTTGTGGGGGTCCAACTGAATAGAGAATAGAAAAGGTGTAACACCGGGGATGGGTGAATATATTGATTCCAAGTAGGACCAGGGCAAGTACATGGAATAGAATACAAAGGACGACGGCAATATCCTCATCAGGTTCCACTAAATCCTTCCAGTCTGGAACTCGTCGACTCGACATGGAGAGTATGACCATACCAAGAACCTGGTTCTGTGTTTGTGTTTCTGTCTGTATCTTTGTCTCTGATGAATGGCTCAAAACATCTGTCTTCATATCTGAGGGAAAAGAGGCGACACGAGGTGAATCAATGACCTAAAGGGGGCCATTCGTCCAACACCCACATACCTGTGGGTTTAAGAAGTGGTGCGAGTAGGTTGGCACAATCATTCTTGAGTACAAGATCACGAGGTCTAGGTGTTGTTTGAGAGACTGAGGAAGGTGGGGACATGTTATCTGGTACTTTAGACCAATCCGTTCTTTCCCAATATCACGGATGTACGGAGTACGTAATGGATGCCATGGATGCCTATTCTGAATCTCCAATATGAGGAAGGTACCTAACAGACCAACAAGACGAACGTCAATTCAGTCTTCCCTCCAACCTCTGGCTCTGGCCCTCTACTCTCATCAACTCCACGGAGAATTCACCTCAAGTTGTAATCTCCCTTCAATCCACTCTCATCCTTGATAAAACAGCCCGAGGGCTCCAGGGCCCCCATCTTGGCCCCCACCCCCTTCTATACAACTTTTCTGTCCCACCAAGAATTCCAAGACAGGTTTGCACCCCTCCAGTCCCCGTTCTGTGAAACGCAAGGCAAACCTGCAAGGCAGACACAGGCATACACGCTCAGACATCAGACAGGTTAGACAGATGTTGTGTAATGTGCTGTACATCTTGCTGTATGCGTAAATAGCAATATGAATGCGATATCCAATCATCTACAATGCATGTCAAGGTTGTACAGCTTGGTCGATGATGATGATTATGACAAGACAATTGACGATTGACAACAATGACAGCTTCTCGTTTCCATGCAAGGCTACCGATATTCTGTGTTGCCTTTGTTTTGCCTTGTTGTCATCCCCTTCCCCTTCCCCTTGGTCTCCGTCTCTGTCTGTACATTGATCCAACGTGGCAGAAATAGAATCTTCATGGATTCACCACCGATAAACTGTACTGTACAGAGTGCGGAATATGTACGTATGTCCGTCTTCGTCTTCGTCTTCGCTAGCACAATCATATGCATGCCAATGCCACTTCCTTTCCAAGCAACCATCTGCATCTCACACATATTCGGTTGATCGAGCCGCATCTCCTAGGCCCTAGCTCTTCACTGATTTTCCAATATTCCACCCCGGTCGAGTAACTCAACCGTAGTACAAACCACTTCCAGCCTCATCAACAATGACCGGAGTCTTCAGCTTGAATCTGTACTTTTGACTCAGAACACGACGCCGCCTTCCGCCTTCCGCCTTCCGTGGGCTCGCCGTGTTGGGAGAATCTCTATCCAAAACCCTGATAAGAATGAATCAAGTGCTACTCCGCCCCATCTGTGTGCTGTACCATACTTCTTTTCTCTTTTAGTCCGACTTGTGTTTCTTCGCCAGAAGATTCAACGCACTTCCAGCCAGAATAAACGCACATTGATCCTTACTCAAGGTATGTTTGACCGGAATGCTGAATGTCTCACCATTCTGCTTGGTGACCTTCAGACTAATATCCCCTCGCCCTTGTTGCTGAAGAACATCCCAAAGTCCCTCGGTGTCGACCGAGTCATTCGCATCCAGACGATTATAATCTTCCTTATTGGCAAATGTCAATGGCACAACACCCTGTTTCTTCAAATTGGTCTCGTGAATCCGAGCAAAGGATTTTGCGAGAATGACTTGTCCACCCAGATACCGTGGTTGAAGGGCCGCGTGTTCTCGAGCCGAGCCTTCGCCATAGTTGTCTTCAGCGACAACCAACCAGTTTTGGCCTTGGGATTTCCATTTCTTGGCTAGTTCGGGGATGGTGGTCTTGGTGCCGTCGCTGTCGTATGCAACGTTGGTTTCTCCGGTTGCTGCGTTGATGGCGCCAATTAATGTGTTTTCTGCAATGTTGGGTAAATGGCCTTTGTATTTCAACCATGGACCGGCCGCGGAGATGGTGTCGGTCGTGCACTGTCCTTTGACCTTGTACAAGACCTTGAGTCCTTTCAGATCACCGCCGGGGAATGGCTCGAACGGTTCCAGAATAGCCAGACGGTCAGACTCAGGATCAACCACCACTTGCACACTCGAGTCTGGGTCTCCTGACAAGGGTTGGAAGGCTGGGTTTCCTACTGCGAAGCCTGAGCTGGGTAATTGTGAACCCTTGGGTGCTTCGAACTTGAATTTGTCTCCCGAGGGGAGAACAAGCTCATCAATCACTGGGTTGAATGAGGTTGAGCCAGCAAATGAAAAGGCCGTGACAATTTCGGGAGAAGCAAGGAAACTCATCGTTCGAGTGTTTCCGTCGTTGCGGCCTGGGAAATTCCGGTTGTACGAGCATAGGATTGCATTGTCCTCACCCTTCTTGATCCCGTCTGTTCGCTTCCATTGTCCAATACATGGTCCACAAGCATTGGCAAGGACTGTACCACCTGCGCTTTCAAACGTCTGGAGAGTCTTGCTGTCTTCCAAGGTCGCCCGAATCTGCTCACTTCCTGGGGTGATGAAGAAATCCGATACTGGTTTCAAGCCAGCCGCTTGTGCTTGCTTGACCAAGTCTTCAGCTCGGGTCATGTCTTCGTACGAACTGTTGGTGCAACTTCCAATTAATCCGGCCGAGAATGTGTCGGGCCAGTTGTTAGTCTTGACGGCATCCTTGAATTTGGAAAGAGGGGTCGACAGATCGGGAGTAAATGGTCCGTTGATGTGAGGTTCCAGTGATGACAGGTTGATCGTGATGTGTTGATCGTACTCGGCACCAGCATCTGCTCGGAGAAAGTTATACTGCTCTGATCCATATGCAATGCCCTTAATGGCATCAACAATCGACGCACGGCCCGTTGCCTTGAGATAAGGGATATGGCTCTCAGAGAAAGGGAAGATCGACGTCGTGGCACCGACCTCGGCGCCCATGTTGCAAATCGTGGCCATGCCCGTACAGCTCAGAGTTTCCACCCCAGGTCCATGATACTCAATCAAGGATCCAGTGCCACCACGGACCGTCAACAGCCCAGCAAGGTGTAGAATGACATCTTTTGGTGTAGTCCAACCACTGAGCTTGCCTTCAAGTCTAACTCCGAGAATCTTTGGTGCCTTGAGCTCCCAAGGAGCATCCACCAGCGCATCGACGGCATCTGCACCACCGACTCCAATAGCAATAGCACCAAGGCCACCCGCGTTCGGTGTGTGGCTGTCGGTACCCAGCATCATAAGTCCAGGAGCCGAGTAGTTCTCCAAGACGGTCTGATGAATAATACCTGCGCCAGGCGGCCAGAACTCCATTCCATATCTCTTGCCTGCAGACTCGAGAAAGTCAAACACCTCCTTATTACCAGCAATCGAGTTGGGCAGATCTGTATCGGCGCCTTTTTCTCCCACAATCATATGATCACAGTGAATACTAGCGGGGACCGCCGTCGAGGGTAGGTTGCAAGTCATGAACTGAAGGATGGCCATCTGAGCCGATGCGTCTTGCATAGCCACACGGTCAGGCTTGAGCTTGAGATTGGCATTTCCCCGAATATTGGCGCCATTGTTGGTATTCGTGAGAAGTGATTCTTCCGCATTATCCAGATGAGAGTATAGAATCTTTTCCGCCAGAGTCAATTGTCGTGACCCAAGAATCGTCCGCACATCTTCAAAGTTTTTAAGGATCTTCTGGTATGGAGGCACAGCGGCCTTTCTTCTCGACGATGCCGGTACAGGGCTATGGACTGCATAATTGCGCCGTGACAGTCGTGTCTGTTGTTGTGGTATGGATCGAGTGGTGTAAGTAGAGGAGAGGTCGATTGCACATCGCGGTCTGCGGGCAGAAGCCCGCTGCAAGAGAGTGGACATGGTAGCTGTCCTGTCCCTCACTGAGCAAGCTCCTTCTCGTGAGAAGGTGCAAGGAAGAAATAATTCACAATAGTACTACACCATGCATGACATGACACGACACAGAGCGGATGGGAAAGATTTTCTAACAGAACTGCGTCCCCCGACTTTTTTCACGGGTGGGTGCATTGCACAATACGAGGAGCACTAAGGCCAAAGCTTGGCCGAGGTCTGCCGTAATACCGAGTATGAGTTGTATGGGTAAGGGACGAATGGGTGGTTAGTATGGACTTGCTAAAGCGGGCTTTTTGGGGCTGCCGCTTGATCTAGCCACTCACAGCCCGTCAATTAGACATCACCTACAACCTCATACTGGGTGTGTATGGTCATGAGGAAACTCATCGAAATAGAGCAATATCAAGACGTGATCTTCTCATCAGCCTCGTCCGTCGTCTTCTTATTGCTCTCATCGTCCATTACCTAAGGTATGCCTTTTAATTCTACAGGGCCACAATGCCTCCATGTGAAATCACCCTCAATGTCCATCTCCATAATCAAACATCGTTGGATTCCTCGACGCCGCTGACATCCTGCGCCATCGCGTCACCTTGTTGATCTTGATATGCCCTGACAGCCTTTTCAGCACTTGTAACCAGCCCACCATAATGCTCATCGAGTCTTCCGGTCTCCACAAACTTCCGCAGTTTGGCTTGTTCTTGAACCATGTCTTTCTCAATCGCTTCAACGTCGCTCTCTAGACATCGATCTCGGACGTCCTTGGGGAAAACGTCCTTGTCCAAGATTTCGCTCGGCGAGACCAAGTACAGATGATCGCCGTTCTGTAGTTGCTCCAGAAGCGCCAATTGTAGTGTCTTGAACAGACTGGTCTCCTGCATCGCTGCTTCGACCACTTCGTCCGCTTTGCCGCCTGTCTCATTCAAAATCGCCCAATCGTCGCGAATCATGGCTCGTCTCCAGATGATCGTTCGAAGGTTGTCTTGGGAGCTCTGCGACAAGCCTGAGAAGTCCACAACCTTGAGAGCAAGGGCAAACTCGCGTCCTAGCACTCCGGGTTCGTCCTCTGGACTTCCTGTGAATTCGACTGGGTCCATTAACGTGAGAACATCGACCAATTCTTCCGCCGAAAGTGGAGCTTGTTTCAGTAGCATGCTTAGCCCAATCTTCAATTGTCTTCCCAAGCCTGGCATCTTGGACACCACTTTGGAGGCAAAGATCTCGTTCCCAAGCTCAATAGCTGCTTTGTCATCGACCGTTGGTCCAACCACTCCAGCAACATGTGAATGCACCAGCTCCTGAATGCTGATAAGCTCAATGTCTCGGTCGTACTTGGTGCGATCCTCTTCTCCGGCAGCCAGTCCAGCCAGTTTTGCCAGTGACAATTGGATCTTCTTGTTCCACACGTCGTCAGTCTCTTCTTGGGCAACCTCCAGCAATGTCTTCTCCGCTCGCCCGAAGTTGGCTGAGCTGATGACATCGGAAATCCAACTCAACTTGCCGAGACGTTGTCCGAGCTTCTGTGACTTGCGGAAAAACCAGTTGAGGAACTTCTGCTTGCTTTGATCTTCTTGGCCCTTGAGCAACAAACTTCCGTATTCGCCATCGGCAACCAACTGGCTGAAGTTAGCATATGCCCAGCCCTTGCCAAATCGCTCAAAGTATGTCTCTGCTCGGTCCTGCATCTCTTCCAGCTTTGTCGTATTGGTCGTTTGGAGAGACGGATCTTGCTTAATTTCGACTTGTAGATGTCGGTAGTATGCATAATGGAGATCGACCAGCGCACCAAAGTCTTGGAAGTTTTCGGCGAGCTGAATAGCACCCACGATGTTGAACTTGGATATCGCTACCAGTACGTGTCGAAGTCGATCGCGGTATTCCTTTCGTATGGCTCGGACTTCGTCTTCCACAATATCTGGGCTACTACCTGGCTCAGCTCGCAGCCGAAGTTCTGCCTGAATGGCTTCTTCCTTGGCGATCTTCGAGAAAAGAAGAACCTCATCGTAAAGTCGGGACGCCAGGTCTTTGATCGTTGCCTTGTTCGGCGCGTCGTAGGGTTTACCATCATCGTTGGTTGGCGCCTTTTTCTTCTTCTTGGGGATCAGCGTCTTCCAGTCTTCCAGAAACTTGCAGATATCGTAAATCAACTTTTGCGCGTAGCCGAACGGCTCCTGTACCGACGTCCATGGATGGGGGAGTTCGACTGGGAAGCCCGTCTTGAGCACACCGTCTTCAAACACCTCGTCGCTCAGCCCGTAATGTGGTGCATTGTCTTCTCGGAATTTGAGAACTGCCTGATATGTTGCAATCCATATGTCAACAGCCTCCAGTAGATAGTCGGCAATCACGTTGGGGTCCGTCACATCCATCGGCGCCAACTCTTTGATGCAGCTAACCAGCTCGGACATGAGGTACCCAATCATCTCCACGCTGTTGACGAGCCAGTGCCGAACACGGTCATTCTCCCCTTTGTCGGCATTAGGATACTTCTGACGGCTCTCGTGCAACGCTCGAAGAGTAAAGTCCAAGTATGACATTTCACGATCCTTCTGTGGGTATTTTCTTTGAATGGCTTCTTGAGTCTTCCAGATTGCTTGGGCTCCTGCGAGTTTCTCGGCATTCAACAATAACTCAAAGCGAGCCACTCGGGATATCGAGTAATGACTCAGGACGTACGAAACCAAGTCGTCCATAGCTTTGGCTCGCAGGCGCATCTGCTGTTCAATCTGAGGCGTGCTTCTGGGGAGGTATTTGGACGTCGAAGAGAGAATCTCCAGACTAATCTCAATTGCTGCTTTTTCCACTTCCTGGCGAGAGAAAGTCTGGCTGGGGTTTTTAAGATCAAAGGGGTTCTGTTTGATGGTGCCGAAGAAGATTGCTTGTTCGATTTTGCTTTTGGCAGTGATGCGCTCCTCAAGATCATCGACATCCAGTTCTTCAGTCTCTCCCAGATGTGAAGAAAGTTTCACAATCCCAAAACCTTGCACCCCAAAGAGTACTGTGGCTTGTTTGCCGGATTCCAACGCGTAACCGAGAATCTTGTAAATCGTCCCCTCTTGAAAGCGAATGACATCCTGAAAAGGGTCGGGAAGAGAATGGCGTTCCATCAACAACTGTGACGATGGCGACTCCCGGATCCTGGCCAGAGAGAACAAGACGACGGCATTCTCAAAAAGAATAAAGGCCACAGGCTGAGACTTGGACAGGCATAATCGAGGCCTCCACGACTCTTGCTCGGTGATTGGGGACTGGTAGCATTTTATGGGGTGGACGACCTTGACTTTGGCCTCTTGATCAACCACCATCTCGACAAGGTAGTACTGAGTGCGATCCTGGACTGAAAGTGACACAAGAACCATCATTGGCGCGCCTCGGCTCTCCCTACGTGCCGTGCTGGGTCCGGCAGATAGTTCCAAGTCCAGAACCTTGAAGTTCATGGTGGTATCTGGGACCAAAGCTTTGAGAGCCTCCAAGATCTCTTCTTTGAAGCTGAACGAGGTTTCGAGGGAGTTTCCCACGGTGGCGTTTGTGTTCCAGAACTCCAGATTGGCATCTTCTGTTGCGACCACGATATCGCGTTGGCCCTTGCGCGAACCGCCGGCCTTGATGATCGCTGTGCCCTTTCCTCTGTGTCCGGCGAGAACGTTGCGAATGCTGCCAAAGATACCGGAAACATTGCTGTCTTTCCGCAGGAACATGACACCGATATTTGGTCGGCCCATCTGGTCACGCAGGGTCAGATGAGCGACGCGACCAGTTCTGAGCGCAAGGATAAAACCCGAAGGTTCGGCATTGATGACCTCTTCTACCACCTCACTGCTCATGTAATTGGGGATGGATGCCTGAATACCGCTCGCAGCCTGACCCGGGATGAAGGACGATGCACTTGACAGGGTCTCCCAATATACGATCTTCCCCCATCTTGAACTGATGACAACCAGACCAGGTTCTCCACTGGCAGACCGGGCGGTAAAGGCGGCGACAGGGAGAGGATCGTTGACAGAGGCAGGAGGAAATGGTAATTTGAAACTGATAATATCTCGTAAGGAAGGGGTAGAGGCGCTGGAGTTGAATGGCCAGATCAAGGCGTCGGAATGGGTCAACGCGAGTGCGTATCCATATTCAGGACAGATGATGCAGGAGTAGGGTAGAGATGGATGATTTCGAATCTGGTCAGGGAGTGCAGGCAACTGATTGACGGTGTAAAAATCGTTGTTGGTCAACGTCAAGGCTGCTGTCGCCCCGCGTTCAGATCTTTTCTCAGGCAATTTTTTCGATCTGATAGTGATTTCTTTGGACTGCGCGGATTGTGTAGATTGGCCATGGCTCTTTGATTCTGTAATATCGCGTCCTGCGACTTCGTTTAAGCTAGCTTCGGTCAAAGGTTCATAAGTGTCTTTCTGTAGTCGTTTTCTCTTTGGGAGAGGCAGACGAGGCTCATCTTTGCCTGCGGATTGACGGTTTCGTTTGGGCCGCGTCGAGTGCGGTCTTGGTTGGTCCGCTGAGAACATGATGATTTGTTAGGGCATGTCAAGGATGAGGTTTGAAAGGATTGTAATGAGTACGTAGTTGAAGGGATGCCGTAGGAATGCCCAAAAAAACAACCTGGAAGTCAAGGGGATGAAATGTTATGACCGTAATCCCCGTAGATTCCCCAGTTCCAGTTTCGCGTCACTGCCAAGGCGTTAAAATCTGCTCTGGGCTCACCCTCGACTACGCGCACCCCAACTCACCCTAACGACTTAGTGTGCTCTTTCTTATAGGCATCCCTATGCCTATGGACCCCTTAGGTCTTATCACCCCTAAGTAGGTAGTTTAGGCGCTGGCACCCCTATTCTTATAGAGCCTATGAGTATAGGGTCACGAGGGTTCTATAGGCGCGAGAGTTACCCATAGAACTTACTAAGTTGCTAGTTGCCGAGTAGCGGCTTGGCAATGTCAGGAATCACGTGAAGCTTGTGCAGTTAGAACATCGAGCTTGTGCAAATAGTCACTCCCGTTACATCGTAGAGAATCGCTGCTTTGACTGCATTGTATGTACGGAGTAAGAAGTGTCGCCAGGAAAAGTTCTATCCCCCGGGCCCCCTCAGTGCTTAGCCTTTCGGGGTATGTGGGGTGACAAGGAACCGCACAATGGCTAGCCAGTAGTGTTTAAGGCCCGAGGGCCCCCTCGCCCCCCTCGGCCTTCCCCGTGGGCAGCGCTGGGCAGGCCTAGGCGTCTGTTGGTACCTAGCTAATGCCTACTGCAGAGTTCCTCGCCCAATTTTGCACCATTTCACTCTGGGCCGATACGCAAGCCTGCGGGTTTTGGCTAAGGGTTTCGTACGTTGATTGTTGATTGTTTCCTGCCTATCTGCAGTTTCACCAAAGTTTGACAGACATTATTCGCAACTACACACAACCGCTCCCTCGAGCGGGAATCCGGGATGTCCTTCTCTGGTGACGAAATCACTTCGCCAAATCCAGTACCACGGAGGAGGACGGGGTGCACGAACTGTCGAAAGCGGAAGAAGAAATGTAACTCATCGCTCGACCGAATTTTTGGCGTTATTCGGTTCTAACAGATCCAAAGGTGATGAAACGAAGCCGTCCTGCAACCGATGCCTGAGGCTTAAGGATGACTGTCTCTGGCAGCCCGGTTTCTCTTTTCATTATGACCGGATTGATGCAGTGCACTCTTCAGTACCGCAATCGCTGGCGAGAAAGAGATCGCCAAGCAAAGGGATGAAAGAAAGTCCATTTCTCTGCTTTTTGGAACTTCTAAACGGCTGACTGTTCCGTGCAACAGATTGTGGATGTAACCTTCAGCCCGAAAGGGACAAAAAGGACTAGACGACTCGATTATGATGCCAGCCCTATCGCGGATTCAGAGCATTCCAGTATGCGTTTGGCTCCTGTCGTGGAAGTTGAGGACGATACCGCGGATGACTCGCATGCCGCTGATGTACGATCTCGCCACTCTGTGTCTTTCGAAGTGTCAAGAGACAACCTTCTTCCGGGAACGAAGTGGTTGAATCAACGACATTCCTCTGCTCGAAGCGAAGGTAGGATCCGTGAAGAATATGTCCCGTCGCCATCCGAAGAAACAGATGGCTTGGATGTGGATAGCGAGTTTCCTATTCTTCAGAGCCGGCCTGGGTCAGTTCGTCAGGGACGTCCTCACCAGAACCTTACACCTGTCATGCGCAACTCGCCATACCTTAGCACGCCCGGCCCACAGTCTGGAGACTTGGATGCCGGGAAAGCCGCAGTATCTAACTCGCCTCTAGATATCGAAGGCGTCGATCTTGAGGTTTTGGACTATCTGGCATCAAATCCTTTAAACCTGGATCTACTGACAGCCAACTCTGGACACAAGTTGCCGACAATGAGCACATTCCCTCATGACATTGCTCAGTCTGTCACTGCCAGTTCCCCTGATCTGTACATGACTTACTATCCCGACGCCGTTTACAAGGATCTACACTCGCAACTTCACAACCACATTGTTGAAACCGCGAGAAATGTAGCTCTGACGGCTCAGGGGACCCCGGAGTTTGTGCCTCGCGCCTCACCTCAACGCTCGTCAGTCTTGCCGCTGACCTGGTCAAAAGGGATAGGATCTGCTCATAACTCTCCGGGCGGCTTAAAGCTCTTGGTCAACGCACACATAACACAGAAGCGCGCCGCTAGCCTCTGGCGAAACTACCTCGAGGAGATTGCCCCGTGGCTGGACATGTTTGACAACAGCAAACATTGGCAAACGACCATAGCTCAGATGGCCCTACGTGTAGACTGTCTACAGTTTTCCCTTCTCGCACTCTCTGCTCGTCAACAGGAGAGGAAGAGTCTATCGCGATCACACACAGAGAGCTTGAACCTGTACCAAGAAGCTATAAGACTCATCACGGTACAACTTCCTACTCTTTACACCGAGGTCATTGCTGCAGTCATCCTGCTGTGCGTGCTTGAGATGATGAGTTCTTCGCCACGCGCTTGGGCTAAACATCTCGATGGCTGTGCCATGCTCCTTGAGGTTGCTGGTATAAACGGAGTGGTTGGCGGAGTTAGGGAGGTCCTCTTCTGGACCTTCGCGCGAATGGATGTGTATAAAGCATTCATCAGTGACACAGTTACAAGTCTGCCGACCAACCGTTGGTTCATCTCTACAGACTCCATGTCTGCCGCTGTCCGCCTTTTCAAGGGTAAACCGGGCAGCGACAGTTACGCTAATTACGCCATATTCCTGTGTGCTGGCGTGGTCAATATATTATCGAATAAGGAGTCAACGCCGCTTCAAGCAGAACACAGCGCCTCAGGAACCTTTGTCTCCCGTTGGAGAGCACTATTCGAGCTCCACGAGGGATGGTACAATGACAGGCCAGATGACATGAAGCCCTTGATAAATTTGTTGGTCGAGGATGAGGAGGAGACGCAGTCAATGTTCAGCACAATCTTGTTCAGCACTCCCGCGGGGATAAGTGGTAACCAGGTGTATCATGCGTCCATGATTCTGCTGTTACAACACAAACCTAAAGAAATCCGTCTCCCAAGATCGCCGAGAACCATGCTGTGGCATGCACGGCAGATTTGTGGTATTTCACTTTCGAACAGCGACCATGGTGCTTTGGTCAACGCACTACAGCCCATCTGGATAGCAGGAAAGTTGATGTCTTATCGTCGTGAGCATAAAGTTATTTTGGACCTTCTGAAGTTCATCGAGGAGGAGACCGGTTGGGCAACCTCGTGGCGTGCAGAGGATCTAAAGGAGTTCTGGGGCATTTACGATGAACAAGCCTGATCTGGGATTCATCTATTCTTTGCAGGGCCACTAAAAATGCTGTTCATCAGACTTCTACGACACAGAGCGTTGTCTTTTCAAGCAGAGGGAAAATTTCCACATCATCCAAAGTTGTCTTTTAATTCTATACCTGAAGCTATATTTTCGGTCCAAATCTGGTTTTCACCAACTAGGGGGCGTTCATGCTTTTGCATTATCAGCTCACTATTGTCACGCTAAAGGGTAGAGGGGAACTCACTTGATTTGGATCGTCTTTGTTTGGAGATAATCATTGAGGCCTTCCAGCCCTCCCTCTCTACCATATCCTGATTGCTTCACACCTCCGAATGGCGTATCAGGCGAAGGAAAGTACCAGTCGTTAACGGCAATGGTACCCGCTTCGATCTCCCTAGTAACTCGAAGTGCGCGACTGATTGATCTTGTATAGACGCAGGCTGTACGACAAATGTGAGATTTTTTCCAGAAACGTTCGTAAAGACGCAGCGGCAAGACTCACCCGAAAGTCCAAATATACTGTCGTTCGCCAGCTTGATGGCGTCTTCTTCTGAAGTAAAAGTCTGCACTGTGACAACAGGCCCAAAGACTTCCTCTCGCACAATTCTCGAGTCTTTTCCGAGATTCTTGAATATCGTTGGTTGGACGTATAAACCGTCCTTTGCGCCCCACTGGACACCACCAGTCACAAGCTCGCCTTCCTTTTTCCCAATGTCGAGATACTCCATTACACGCTTGAACTGGGCTTTGTCGGCGAGTGGACCAACCTGAGTATTCTTATCCGAAGGATCACCAATTATGCCGCTCTTGCTAACCTGTTCGAAAGAGCCTTTTAGGACTTGAATGAATTTATCGGCAATACTTTCTTGGACGAAGATGCGTGAGGCCATCTAGCGAAGGTAAGTTTAGAAGAAACTCGATATGGGAGCTCACACAACTTACAGCACAAATCTGGCCAGAGTTCGCAATAGCACCCTCCATGGACCTAACCTCGGTTCATCATCTTGTACGTCGGTTATAGAATGGCATAACTTACTTCGCAGCCGCAAGTTCGATATCAGCATCCTCGAAAATGACTGATGGAGACTTGCCACCTAATTCGAGGGACACGCGTTTCAAGTTACTCCTCGCTGCGTATTCTTGGATCTTACGTCCAGTAGCCGTGCTCCCCGTGAAGGCGATTTGGTGAATCTCCATATGCGAGGCGAGCAGCTGGCCTGTCTTCCCACCGCCGTTGACAATATTGATGGAACCGGGTGGGAAGCACTGCTGAATCAGAGGGCCCAGAGCAAGTGTTCCAAGTGGAGCTTTCTCGGAAGGCTTGAAGACGACCGTGTTTCCGGCAGCCAGCGCGGGCTGTTGGTATCTTAATTAGTACAAGTACCGTGCAAGGGTCAGCCGCCCTAGGAGCAATGCCTTACCGCTGCTTTCCACCCAAAGAGAATGGCGGACACGTTCCATGCGCCAATACCGGCACAGACGCCAATCGGCTCGCGCTGTGTGATCTTATACTTGCCTGCTGATGTTGGATATGCCGTCTCTCCATGGATCTTGTCTGCTAGACCCGCATAGTAAACGAAGAGGTCAGCTAAAGTGGTGTAGCCCATAGTTTGGGTCGCAATAGCAGATCCCATGGCGAGCGTCTCTAGACGAGCAATTTCGCCTGCGTGTTCGCGAACCAAATCCGCAAATTTCAACATTGCTCTCGCCCGCGCAGTGGGATCAGTTTTCCCCCATGTACCTTTGAATGCTCTCTGTGCAGCCTGCACAGCAGCGTCGACATCTTGCTCGTTCGCGGAATGAATTTTATCTGAAACAAGAGAGCCATCGGTTGGATTATAGACTGTCAAATATTCGCCAGACTTTGCATCTGCAAACTGTGCCCCCAGCTTCAGCGATATTTCAGGAGAGTAGGCACGGAAGAATTACCTCGTTGTTGATAAACAGCCGTGTCTCGAACGAAGACATTGTGATGATGTACAGGCAAGTCAAACGTGGGAGTACACTTAGAAAGAGAAAGGAGAGTTCAGTTTAGCCAAAACGTCTAACAGGAGCAACAACACCTATGCGATGTATTTGTTCATCTACAACACTCGATCTTAACGATATCCCTCGCGATAGTCAGTAGCAGAACCCTTAGGTACCTTATCCACATGCCCGCTGCCGCATTTCCGTACACCAGTGGTGCTTTAACCTCCCTACCCCACAGGAGTGCCTGCAGCAACAAAGTGGGCGCAATACATTTCTTCTTCCGGTAATTTATCTCATTCCGCACGTAGAAATTTAGGCGTCGTAAATGGATATTACCATATCAGGAAGTCTTTGCGCCCTCTCGACGGGGCGGCTCGAAAATCTAGTCATGCTTGAGTGGGCCGAGGGCGCCACAATTTGAAACGCATGACCCCGTGGGGAAACCTGAAGGATTGACACCAAGGAAGATGCGCTAAGGGGAAAAGCTTGTTCACAGATCCGTATACTCGTAAGGCATGTCGAGGATTTTGTCTGGTGATTTGAGATTCTGCTTTGATGAAGGCCAATGCTGTGCTGTGGTACTTTTACCCTACGTGTCGCAACTCTTGAACAATGTTGATCAACTACTAAGAAATCTTTGTCAAGTGCTCCCCTTCAGCAAGAAAATTTGTGACTGTCTACTCTTGCATCTTTGCATCTTTGCAGCGATGGGCATCACGCTCCGCGGACCGGCGTTGTATCGCCTGATGAAAATTGTGAGCGGTCTCTCGTTCTGTATGTATGGCTACGATGCCGGCGTACTAGGCGGCATGCTCCTTCACCCACCCTTCCAGGAGGCCATGGGTAACCCGACGGGTGTTTGGATATATCCAATGATAGTGGCATCGTGAGTTGTCGTGCTAGCCAGTGTCTGAGACGCATGAGCTAAGAGCAGCCTAGATACGATCTTGCGGCATTCGTCACATCAATCGGCATTGCTTTCTTCACCATGAGGATTGGGCGCCGAGGCACTGTCCTCATGGGTAATGGTGTGGCTGTCGTGGGAGCTTTGATACAGGCTACTGCGTATGGGGTGCCCCAGATGATTGTGGGAAGATGTTTAACAGGTTTTGCTATCGGCTGCCTTTCGAGCTCGGTTCCCACATACTTGAACGAGACTGGCAGCAAGGTTCATGACCGTGGTCCTGCCCTTGCAGTCACAGCCATGTACCTCATCGGAGGTGTCCCGCTCGCGTACTGTATGTTCAAAGCCCCGAGAGAGCGATCCGTTCTCGTCTGCCTGAATGACCGGCTCTAATTGTGAGGTAGGGATTGACTACGGTTTTGTCCATTGGTATAGCCAAGCCAGCTGGCGCATACCAGTGATCTTGCAATGCTGTTTTGCCATTCCAGCAGGTGTGATCATGTGGTTTCTCCCTGACACTCCTCGATGGTACTACGCTAGAAATAGACATGAAGAAGGTGACGCTACACTCGCGCAGCTCTACGACGAGGACGTCAATTCCGCAGCTGTTCAAGATACAAAAAGACACATCTTAACTGCGATCGAAATCGAGCTCGAAGCCAATTCCATGATTAAATTGCGAGACTTCCTTGCACTTGGTATCGTGGACAAGACGAAGCTCAAAATCATTCGCCGGCTTATGATTTGCTTCTGGCTTCCCATGGTGAGCCAAACCACCTCCCCCCAGCGGATCGCTCACGTGTGGAATCACTGTTAACAACCAAACAGCTGGGTGAATGGATGGGTGTGAGCTTACTTGCCTATTTCACACCTGTCATTCTTGCAGGGATTGGAACATCAGCAACCATGGTTTCTGTCCTCTCAGGTGTGCTTGCCACCTGCATGTTCCTCGGAACAATCCCTCTGTACTGGTATGTATCATGACCACTTCAGATGGTCAGGCTGTAAGCTCTTCGCAAGCCGAGCTGACTCTTTTTGGAAGGACGATCGAGAGGTGGGGCCGCAGAGCAACCATGTTGTACTCTGCTATGGTGTCATCGGTGCTCTTCGTTGTTTTTATCATTCTGGTCGCTGTCGGAAAGAGCACCGGTGCACAGTGGGCTTCAGTCGTGCTTCTCTTCCTCATTGTACCGGTATTGACCTATGGCTGGCAAGCAAACAAGTTTCTCTACTCTAGTGAAATTGCACCCCTGCAGTACCGGCACATTGGTGCAGCGTTCTTCTCCAGCGGAGAGTGGCTCATGGTCTTCATCACCGTCCTTGCAACGCCCATTGGATTGGACACCTGTGGCTGGCCTTTCTGGTTCTTCATCCTCGCTGGCAATGTTTTGGCAGTCATCTTCGTCTGGCTTCTTTGCCCGGAGACAGCTGGCAAAACTCTTGAACAAGGTTAGCTTTTCAAACGGAATGTCTTGCAACATGCTGACCGAAGATAGTGGATTACCTGTTTGTTGGCAGAGAGCTTCCTGGACTACAGAAGCAAGGCGCTGTCAATGTTGATGAAATTGAAAAGGACTTGGCAAAAGCCAATGTTGAAATGATCGACCATATCAGCAAGTGAGTTCGATGGGGAAAGGCATGGATAGTATACCGCCATCGAAGCGGTCAATGGAGGAATCGAGTCTTGAGCAGCGGGTCTTCATGGGTGAGGATGTACAATTTTCTCCTCTTGTCCCAAGACTATTCGCTAGTCGAATCAGTCAAAATTCGAAGTTGATAGTAGCCGTGATGAGAGCATTGCAAGTGAGGGAAGAGCCGCTAATAGTAAAGAGCATGTACCTCGCATCGAACAACATCCACCTAGATGTGTGGTCAAAGCCGTGTTTCAGATACCCAGACAATTCCTGTGCTTTGAAATAAATATTCATGCTACTTCTAATATGGGATTACCCAAGGAAGAAATTTTCGATGCCCTTACCCGTCCTCATTCGATGGGAACGTCCAGAATTGTAGAGCTGCACCGAAATGTGCAGCTATCAGTAGGCGTTGTCTCAAGCTTCATCCACACTGCAGCCATTCCTTCGTGCAAAATACAGACATTTGATCGTCCGTAGAATGGCTGCTGGACTTGGTGTATTGTATTCTCTTGATGCGCCGGTCCGGAAAGGTTGTCTCACAGTCTTTGCAGCCTTTGCCGTAACATTGTGCATGGCCGTGGTGTAGCTACCTCAATCACTCATGGTCAGACTCGCCAGAGCAAGCACGGTGAAAAGCATTACATTGGCTTCAGTGCCTCGGCCCGGGCCTCTGATGACAATATTTCAAAGGCGCTTGCAAATCCTATGTGGATCAGAGAATCAGTGTATCTGGTTCTGAAATTGCAGGCTCCAAGGGTTTTCTTCCACATGTGCAAGATGTGCCAACCTCTGTCCATCGGAACCACACGCATCCATGGTATACTAACACAGAATTTACCAACTTCGGGAGAGCGCAAGCCATCATCACCTCATGTTTTTCACCTTCCGCATGGCAAAAGGCAAATGGAACAACCGGAATGAACAACCCAAGAGTGAAGTATATGGCGAAGAAGAATGAAGCGTACGATGGATAACTACTTCAAAGGTGGGCAGTACAATATCTGCAGTAATACTTAGAATATCACTATAGTTGCTCAATTTCCCATCTTGTGCTTGTTTGCCAGGCTCAATCCTGGTTGAAATCAATCACGACACGCCCAGCAATCTCACCCCTCCTCAACTGCTGGACGCTTTCCTCCCATCGCGACTTTCCTCTAACCTCACCAACGCCCTTGAGCAAGCCGCGCCGCGCATAATCGAGGCAGGAAGCAGTGTCCTGCATGGTACCGACAAGCGTTCCAATGACTTGTAAGCCACTGAACACCCAGGTACTTGGTTCGCTGCCTAATTGAACCTCCCCCGCGGGGGGTAGTGCAATGCACATGATCCTCGCACCTTTTCTGGTGCCGGTGAAGTTCATAGCGTCTGGGTTGGCGAGGCTGTTAGTCAAGACCTTTTTGTTGAAATCACACAGAAGGAGGTGCTAGAGATTAGATCTTACCTTTGTATGCCTGATATGCGGTCACCAGGACACCGTGCGCTCCAATGCCATCTGCGACCTTGATGACCTCGGCAGGTACATCTTTGGTCTTTTGAAAGTCGATGAATGCTTCTGCACCCATACTGAGGCACAGTGCCTTCTTGGATTCGCCACCATCGATCGCAATTGGCCTCATACCCATTGCCCTAACCTGCCAGTCAACTCGAGAGTATTCTCTTTCCCTCTATGGCACACTCACCTTGCAAGTTGAATGCCCTGAATACCCACGCCTCCACCTCCACCTGGAAATACAACCCAATTCCCGGGCTTAAGACCGGATTCGATAAGAGCACGGTGCATGGTGGATGCGGAGCACATGATAGGGCCTGCCACTTCATCGGGCACTCCGTCGGGGATCCTGGTTGTGTAGATGGCTGGCGATACCATGTACTGCTGATAGGTGCCAGGGGAGTGCAAACCAGTATAATTGCCCTTTGAGCAGTAGTTCTCACGACCACTCCAGCACTCCTCACAGTTGTGGCAGACGTCTAGCAACGGTTTAATGCCAACGCGATCGCCGACTTTCCATGAATCGTGGCATCTTGCGCCGACCTTGACCACTACCCCGGCACCCTCGTGGCCTGGACATCGGACTCCAAAGTGGGACATTTTGGGGACTGACCAGTCATTGAGCATATAATGGACATCAGACATGCATAAGCCGGTGACATTGAGCCGGACAAGAAGCTCATCATCCTCTACATTTCTTAGTGCCTTTCCATTTGACACAAATGCACGAGTGGCATACTTACTAGGTTCTGGCACATCGACCTTTGTGACTTCAAGGTGGAAATCTGGGCCCTCGTTGACAACGACCCCAGCCCACCCTTGCTTTGGAATGCTTAACGACATCAGAGGCAAGCTGTGGAATGCAAAGAAAGTGCTGCAAAGATACGATTAGTAAGGATACGAGTGGAAATCTGTGTGTGTGTGTGTTCCCTCAATTCTTTCAATCGGTAATTATTATTGACTTGAATGTCGCGTCTGCGGTTCTTAATCAATCAAAGATGAAAAAATGTTGCACTGAATCACGGGGTTCTTTTGAGAATGGGGAACGGCTGGGTACATGTGCCTTGACCATGACTCTGGCAACATGCGGAGCTCGACGACTCCGGCACAGAATGAAATGCCTTGATACGTATTCTTCCATTCTGTTACGGGACCAAACATTGGCTTCTCAAACCAAATCAGCACGTTGGTACCTCGGGAGAAAGGTGTTGCTAAGTTAGTTCAGGCGGATTCAACAGTGACCCACGAAGACAGATGTCCAGAGAGCGCTAATATTTCCCCTTTAGGTATTTTTTTCTTTTCCTCGTGGCGGCCGATAGTTGTGCCCGCAGTCACCCAATGTGCAATTTGCCACCTCCGCTTCGTGGGGGGCCATGACTTTCTGGGGAATTCGGAAAAGGCCGAGGGGCTCTACGGAGTACTCTGCACTCATCGGCTCGAGGTCCAAGTAGTGAGTAAGTTGGTATGCACTGGTAATCTTGAACCTCGTCCCGTCGCATGAAGCGCGCATTCCGCATTTGGTACTGGTCTTCACTGTGCGACGGTTCAGAGTGGAGATGCTATTATTTACAAGAGGCTTCAAAGCCGCTTCTTGATGTAACTTTCATGTGGACGAAGTAGCGAGAACCCAGATATCGTGACGAAGCAGGTTGGCTGACTGGTAGCACATGTGTTGAGGAGCATTGGTCCTAAGTTCACATGTATTAGAGATACTGGACCGGATGATCATCTTGCTTCTCAAGCGTGGATAGACTGCCGCGTGAAGTTAAAGAGATATAGCAGCTGCTATCAGGCTTTGAGACAAGTATGGAGACCTCTAGAGACGAGAAACCCGTACCAACCATGGCTAAATATATCGAATTCGCTGCCTTGAAGCCTGACGCGGTGGATGGCGACGGGATACCAATGCTCAACAGGTGGTCTCACCTCATTACACGAGACCACGACTTCCCGGCTTCTCAGGTTCGTCATGCATTAATCACAAATCAAATGAATCTAGGTTGTTGCTGAGAATTCGCTTCAGGCTATGCTCTATGCCGCTGGCGTACCCAGCAAAGAGGCAATGCAGAAAAGTCCTCACGTTGGAATTGCCTCTGTCTGGTGGGAAGGCAATCCCTGCAAGTAAGTGGATATATCTTCCCAGTTTACAGTGCGAACCCAGACTTGTGAGCTAACACTGGTGCAGCATGCACCGTAAGTTTGCTTCACTGGGAGTACCATTTCGACACTGACTTCATCACTGCAAGTTCTCGATCTGGGACGGACAATCAAAGATTCGGTTCAGAAGCAGGGTTTCATCGGCTGGCAATACAATACCATCGGTGTCTCTGATGCGATTACAATGGGCACTGAAGGCATGCGATTTTCTCTACAAACAAGAGAAATCATCGCCGACAGTATCGAAACCGTGACAAACGCACAACACCATGATGCTAATATCTGTGTGGCTGGATGCGACAAAAATATGCCGGGAGTCATCATGGGTATGATACGACATAATCGCCCGTCAATGATGGTGTATGGCGGGGCGATCGATCCTGGCTACTCTCACCATCTTCGTAAACGTACGAACATTGCGTCCGTCTACGAAGCCCATGGGGCATATCAATACGGAACACTTCTGAAAGCCGTCTCCGCGCAATCATCGGATCAGACGTCGACATTATGTCCAGAAGAGATACTCGATGATATTGTCAAAACTGCATGCCCAGGCCCTGGTGCTTGTGGCGGTATGTATACAGCGAACACAATGGCCACAGCTATTGAGGTAATGGGCCTGTCTTTACCAGGGTCGTCGTCCAACCCAGCAACATCACCTGCTAAACTGCGAGAATGTCAAAAGACAGGAGAGACTATTCGGGTTTGTATGGAAAAAAATATATGTCCACGGCAGCTAGTTACCCGAGAATCGCTGGAGAATGCATTGGTCATGACAATGATTCTCGGAGGCTCTACCAATAGTGTTCTCCACTTGCTCGCAATCGCAGCTACGGCCGAAGTTGATCTAACCCTGGCGGATATCCAACGAGTGAGCGACAAAATTCCATTCCTTGCTGATCTTGCTCCTAGTGGACGGTACCTCATGGCCGATCTCTACGAAGTTGGTGGGATCCCTGCCGTTTGTAAGCTCCTCATAGCCGCTGGATTGATCAATAGCCAAACCCCAACGATTACAGGAAAGACTCTTGGTCAAAACGTGGAGCCGTTCCCTTCATTACGACAGGGTCAGGCTATTATACACCCTCTCGCGGCTCCAATCAAGGCGACAGGTCATATTCAGATCTTAAAAGGCAATCTTGCTCCAGGGGGCGCAGTTGCCAAGATATCAGGTAAAGAAGGAGCTCTATTCCAAGGCCGTGCTCGAGTTTTTGACAAGGAGATGTATTTGAATGCGGCTCTAGCTGCAGGCGAAATCCCTCGCGACGAAAACTTGGTTCTCATTGTGCGGTACGAAGGTCCAACAGGAGGACCGGGAATGCCAGAGCAATTAAAAGCGTCTGCGGCTATCATTGGTGCCGGGTTGACAAACGTGGCTCTGGTTACCGATGGGCGGTATTCGGGTGCCTCGCACGGTTTCATTGTGGGACACGTAGTTCCAGAGGCCGCGCTTGGGGGTCCCATAGCTATTGTGCGAGACGGCGACATGATCACCATTTCTGCGATCACAAACGAGCTCAGTGTAGATCTGAGTGATGCGGAAATTACTCAGCGGCTCAAGGATTGGCGTCCTCCAAAGAGTAACGTGACCCGAGGAGTGTTAGCCAAGTACCGGAAACTAGTTGGTCCAGCCGATAGAGGTGCTGTAACCGATTTGTTCTGAGACGTGTTTTGTGTTTGCGGCCAGAGATAAATAGATACGGAGCGAATTTTCCTTGCAATGAAGCAAGGTGCGCGAGCAGGATAATCAGCATAGTTCTGTTGGTGTCGAGAGTTGCACTCGAATATTGCGATGTCTCACTTTTATACGATAATGCATTGCGAGACGTTGTGGAGACGGTGGTGAGGCGAACGTGAGGTCCTTTACAAAAGCGGCGAGGCGAGGATGAGTTGCACGTGAGCTTGTCACACCTTTTGACCTGCCAAGACTTTCCGCCAGCGTGGCAGCCGTCGACGGTTGGGCGTCCACTGGAGTCCCTTGCTTGTCAGCTTCTGTCGGTGGAATCAGCCGACAGGCTTCCTTCGGATTGGATGGATGGTCAGATACAGCAGAGATCGGCATGGATGTGTCGCCATACGAGTATGCGGGTGTTTTTATCGAAGTTGATGTCACTATTATTGCTGCGCAGAGTTGAATAAGGTGCTCGAACGGTCGATAGCATGGCAACGGGTGCACTCTCACTGAAACGGCTTTCAACAACCATAATTGTGGGGAAGAGGTCGAATCAATGGTCACATCTGCATGTCTACAAAAGTTCTGCGGAAAGGCCGGATCGATCGGAACAATTGATTCTTGATCTCTGCTAAAATACATGATTGTGAATCAACCATTCTCGTCCTCATTGACCATGACTATGGCCAGCGCAAAATGAATCAAAGCAAACAAGATTGTGAATGTTACTGTTGTCACAGTATACAGTGATATTGAGCACCATCATTTGGGCGCCATGTGAGAGGAGTGCAGCTGATCAAGACTGTAGACCAGCGCACCCTCGATTATGATTGATAAAATTACAATTTCTTCTCTTCATCGTCGATGACACTTCCGCCCAAGGTGCTCGAATCGTTGGAGTCCTCCTTGGAAAGTTGAGAGGCTTTCTCGATGTCGTCGTCGGTGGGGCCATGGAGGCTATCTTCGAAGACTGGGTCGGCGTCCATGCCCTCAAACTTGGTTTTGAAGTCTGCAAGGACTTGGGTGGAAGAGTTGGATCGGCGGCGTTGATTGGTGAAGGAATAGTCGTAGTCTTGGACTTCATCGCCGTCACGGCCCCTAGTAACAGTCAGTGTGTTATTCACAGTCTCGAGGATAGGGGTCCGACCTACCAGTTGCCTCTGCCTCCGCCCTGCTTCTTCACACTCTTGGGGTCAACATCAACATGGCCACTTTTGGCGAAATAGCGAGGAAGGCGTTCTTCTGGCATGGCAGTACCATCAGCAATGGCGCTATGGTTACGATCATTGTTCTTGTTGGTGCGGGTCACTAGGGTTTGACGTCAGCTATGGAACTCTGGCTGAGAGCGGGGTCAACACACTGATGGTATGAGGTGAAGTCGAGGGTCAAACACGCAGTAGAGGGATTCTGAGATGATAGAGGAGGAGTTTGAGGTTCTGGTGTTACTATCGAGGAGGAGTCAGATTGAAATCAGATACAAGGACGTTGAGGAGGATTGATTGAAGGAGGACACGCGACCCTTCAGGGCCGAGGGAGATAGCAGGGCAGTGTCAAAGCTTGGGCTGGATTTGGTTGTGATCTGCACCTTACCTTGTTTATCCTTGGAATTGGTGGATTGGAGTTCTTGTCAGCAAGATAGAAGACGAGATGTGGTTTAGACTAGAGGCGAGTATTGAGATGTAGAAGAGTACGAGGATTGAGAGTGATGGTGATGGTTGTGATTGACTTTGGAGGAAGAGTGAGGAGCTGTCACGGGTATTCTAAGGTTTGTATGTGTTTGGGGGATGTGAAGTGATGAAGGATGAGAAGGGGCTGTTAAGAGGATGATCAAGGCTGATGAGGGTTTAAAGGTCACCAAGGTCTAAGCGGTGACCTGGCAGAGTGGCTCTTGTGGCTCTTTCAGTTGTTCATCACGAGTGTCGTGTTAGTCAGGGATCCCACTAAGGAACTAAACCCAGGAGATGAGTTTCCTTGCTCGCATGACCATCAAATCCAATCATGACCCCGTTGCGAGACTCAAGACTCGCCAGAGGCCCCTCCGGGCCCGGGCAGTGACAGATGCAAGTGGAAGTGGAAGTGGACTGCCGGGACTAGTTAACACGGTTAGAACTACTCCGTAGTACACTTAGATGGGCCGAGGGGCTAGGTGGTTTAGGTGGCTTCTAGGGTCCCAACGGGTCCGTTATTGCTCAATTCTACGCAGACACAGACACCTACAATCGCCCAGTAATTGCAGTTGTTATTGCTCAATCGACTCCTTAACTCAAGCTAAATGCACAAGTGGCCCCTCCGAACTGTTAGGCATGCGCATGCAGGTGCCTTGGTCCGTGACAGCCCACGCAACCTTTCGTTTCTGTGAGTTTCTGCCAATGCATGAGATGCATGATTGATCAAGTTTCCCCGGATTCAGAGTTACTGGAACTCATTTAGCGCGGGGTAGTTCTCCACTTTGAGTTGCACCAAATCTTCGTTGGCCCGGGAGAGAAGCCATTGTTTGCTGCAAGAGATTGGGATGGGTGACCTTAGAGATCCAGGGGTTTGTACATTGTCAATGCAAGCAATCTTTTGGCAAAAAACAACATTCGAACCGGTCGGTCGTGGAGAGGTGTGGTTGGCAGCCTGGCAGGTACAGTACCTGACTACGTAGGCCGGCGGGTCTTGTGATCCGGGTGACCCATCGTGCCCATCGTACAGAAGCCCATAGAAATGCAGCCCCGCTATGGCGTGAAGCCTCAGCTGCAGTCCCATAATTACCGCCGCAAGTAAGGAGGCCAGGCTTTCGACTATGAGGTCAAGTGATGTATACGGTGGCATGTATGTACACAAATGTCGCAATAACCCACATCAAGCTACTGATCGGAATCCCATTTCTTGGTCTTTTCGATTCGAGTTACAGTAAAAGGGTTGAATTCTGAGTCATTAAAACATCGTTGGGAAGATGTGGCCTGACAAAGGGAGTTGGGTTAGGAGGGCTCACGTGATACTTGTTAGAGGTGCGTCTCCTAACGGTGGCACGTGAGGAGGTACAAAGTATCTACTAGGAGATTCCACTGTGGCAGAGGTACCAAGGGGCAGTGCAGGGAGCAGATGATTGGCAAACTCCCATCTTTTCATACCTACCTTAGTCTGTTGGATGTAATCAAGGTACAGCCCTAATTCATGTAGTCAGAGACATCAACAACGCCTTTTCTACCTGGAAATTCTGCTCCTCATATACACACCAAATCCCTTACCACCAAATCAGGATATTAAGTCCCCCCCCCGCGGAACTGCTTACCACAGGCACTTCTAGGCATTGACGTGGGACTTCTCGGGACCCGTTTCCTACCACGGCGAACCCCGCAGCCCTGTTGTCCGATTTCTAATCCCGGACGGCTTCTGGCTGGACTGTACCTTTTCTCTTTCAACTTTATCATTTTTTCCGTTGCTGCAATTTGAATTGCGAAATACAGACACCCATAGTTCTAACAGCATCAGTTCGTGTTTAGCCCAACATGTCGCCGTCCCTTCTGATGGACACGTCCGACGATTTCGTCATGCCCACCCCCAAGGCTATTCCAGTCCAGCAATCGCAGAGAACCCTCCTCCTGTCCCCGCCGTCCTTATCATCACACCAGGAGAAACTCACCGGTGTCCTACAAGCCTTCGATCGATCAGTCACAGACCTTCAAATGCTGGATAGACTTGCAATCGGCCTCGTCTCCTTGCCCCCATCTACCTACGATTTGATCCTTATCTTGACCGATGCCGATGGCGGTCGTCGCGAATCACAAGCACTATTAAGCCGGGCTATTCTATCTGTTCTCGTTCAGGCATTGAAGAGCGGTGGAAAACTACGCAGTCAAGACGGATTATTGGGAGAGTCAGAGGGAACAGAAAAGAACGAAGCCATATTGGCAGGACTTTCGTTTGAGTCGGGTGTGGGATTCGTCAAACCTGACACCAGTGGTTATGCCGCGGTACCATTGAAATTTGGACGGAAAAAGGCACAGGCTGCGGGAGGACCGAATCAAACCAACGGAGACCAAGTTTCAGTGCCGCTGAATGGAAAGCGGAAGAGTGTTGAGGAAACGCCTTTGCCTCCCGGTGTTGGTTTTGATGATGGAGTTGACTCGGACGACGATTTGATTGACGAAGACGAGTTGATGGCAGATGAGGACGCGAGAGGACCCATCAAAATTCGTGAGTTTGGATTTGAAGGCATAACCATGTCGAGTTGTCGCTAATTGTCTTATGCAGCAACACAGTGCCAGCCCAAAGCCAAACGACGCCGAGCCTGCAAAGACTGCACCTGCGGTCTCGCTCAGAAGCTAGAAGAAGAAGACCGAGCCAAGAGAGAACAGGCGGATCAAGCATTAAACACCATGAAACTCCAGGCAGATGATCTTGCCGAAGTTGATTTCACAGTCGAAGGGAAGGTGGGCAGTTGCGGAAATTGTGCTCTCGGAGGTAAGTTTTTCAATTGTTTTGACGGTGAGAGAACGAGTATTGACTTAAGGTCTCTAGATGCATTCCGCTGCGATGGATGTCCCTATATTGGACTACCTGCATTCAAACCAGGTGAAGAGGTTCTACTACTGAACAACGACATTCAACTGTAGACGACTTTGAACAATTGTACCATATGCATAGCGTGGAGTTGAGGACACCTCGAACTAGGGAGGATGCAAGTTGGGAATGAGACGGCAATGTCAATAGCAACGCAGATTCCTGCAGTTGGTGATGAAAAATGAACAATCTGGATAGATCATGGGATGGTAGGCCGTTGAAGGGTCTCTCTGGCATGGACAACTACTCCATTGGCGGGCGGGAGGGTACGTTACACAATAGACGGTGTTAATCAATACATGCACACTACAACTCATCATAATACCAAGCCATCGCCTTGAATACTTTGGCTGATTCTCCTTTCTCTCTTCCTTGTCATCAAATCCAAGTTCTATCTAGAATTTCTGAATCTGATTAGATTGAGCGAGCAAGCGAATGGTTGCGAACGGAATGCAGGATGACATTGAACGGAACAAATCCGGTCAGCCTTCAGGAATTCTAGGCGTCCTCCCGGCGTATTCGGCCCCTCGCTTATATCTTTTAGGCATGTCCAACGCCCAGGAACAACAATTCTTTGCCCCTCCGGCTGCGACTTCGGGGTTCTGACATGCCCATGACACCCTAGACCCTTGCCTCTTGGACGAATCAAATCCTCTCCAATTCATTTTCTCCCCCCGGCCAAGTTCCAAAGCCCACGAGAAGCCAACCACATCCACTCCATTTTCTTTCCGCTGACCACACCGAGGCTCCGAGTTCGAGGTCGAGGTCGAGGTCGAGCCTTTGCCTTTTGTGGACCCAGGGTTTAATCGTTTCATCTTTCTTTTGCCGCTTTTCCTCACCGTTGTCGTCGTCGTTTCCGGTAGTCGGTTGTCAGTCGTTGTTGTCATCACACCTGCGCCGAGTCGTCCTGATTGATGAACTGAGACAACTCTCGCTCTTCAACCCTTTTTTCCCTCTCCAGCTCGAGCTATACTCGACGGACATACAGCTTCAGAAAAAAAAAATCTATCCATAGCTCCCCGACCCTCTCCACCCTCGGCATCAGCATGTCATTCTCCTCTCTGGTCCAGGACATCGCATTCCGCGATCAGTCCTTCCAGAACCCTCGTGCCAGCGCAAGCACCATCAATAGCACCAACACAGACAACCAGTCAACCATTTCAAGGCCGTCAGTCGCCAGATCATATACCTCTACCGCCGCCACCAGTGTCAGCATCGCCGGTGACATTTCCAGTCAATTACATGCCGGATACAGCCACCCACTGTCGCGAGCATGGCAAGCAGAAAGACAATTGACAAAGGTACAAACAACCCTTCCCTCATCCACCCATCCATCCATCCATCCATCCATCCACTAACACCATCTCTCTCCTATCATCTAGTCTATGCTCATCTACCCGCTCTTCATCACCGACAACCCCGATGAAATAACCCCCATCCCCTCCCTCCCCAACCAATCTCGCCTGGGGCTCAATAAACTCATCCCCTTCATCACGCCTCTTGTACAAAAAGGTCTCCGATCCGTCATCCTCTTCGGCGTTCCTCTCGCTCCATCCGCCAAAGACGCACTCGGCACTGCGGCCGACGATCCAGAAGGCCCCGTCATCCAAGCCATCCAGATCCTTCGCCGCCAATTCCCCTCTTTATTCATCGTCGCCGACGTCTGTCTCTGCGAATACACCTCTCACGGCCACTGTGGAATCCTCCGCGAGGACGGCAGTCTCAACAACGCCATGTCCGTGGAACGAATCAGCGATGTCGCCATGGCATACGCACAAGCCGGCGCTCATTGCGTCGCCCCCTCGGACATGAACGACGGACGCATCCGCGCCATTAAATTAAAACTCATCGAAGCCGGTCTCTCCCACCAAGTCAACCTCATGAGCTACGCGGCGAAATTCTCCGGTTGTTTATACGGTCCATTCCGTGACGCGGCGGGTTCGTGTCCTAGTTTCGGAGATCGGAAATGTTATCAATTACCGCCCGGTGGAAGAGGTCTGGCTCGTCGTGCGATTGTCAGGGATATCAATGAAGGCGCGGACATCATCATGGTGAAGCCCGCGAGTTCGTATCTCGATATCATCAGTGATGCAAAGGAGATTGCAAAGGATATGCCGATTGCGGCGTATCAGGTTTCGGGTGAGTATGCGATGATTCATGCGGGTGCCAAAGCAGGGGTTTTTGATTTGAAGACCATGGCTTTTGAAAGTACAGAGGGTATTCTTCGTGCTGGAGCCGGGATTGTGGTTAGTTATTTCACCCCCGAGTTTTTGGATTGGTTGAGCGCATGAGTCATGAATACGAGTGCATGAGTGGAGAGGAGAGGTTTGAGATGAGATGAGATGATGGATATGATGGGGCATGCATGAATGGATGGATGGAATGAAAACGGTGTAGATATGATGTCTCGTTCGAGGAAGAGAAAGAAAGATCACGGGAGCAAATGAGAGATATCATAGTGTTGTTGATGATCTTTATTCTCAGGAATATCATCAACGTCATCAATATCGAGGCCCCTATGCTATGGCATCCCATCTCATATCATGTCAAGTCACGTCGAGCCATGTCTGGCTGGCTACATCAAAAAGAATACCATGTCAAGCGACCTTTTTTATATCTGAAATACCCAAATCACAATCATTACGGCATTCTTCAACATTGTTCTTGTCTATAATATCAGGTTTCGTATCGTGCTAAGATTGTATGCTTTCTTTACCATATTGCGAAAAGAACAAAAGGAAGGAGAAGAAGAAGAGGAGGAGGAGGAATTGGAATTCAAGTTTATGTTTTATTCACCTCTGGCTTGTCCACCACTTCACTTCACTCCGCATCACATCTCATCACGTCAATCACTGTAGTTGATATTTATATCTATCTATCTACCTCACTTCAATCCAATCCTTTCCTATCAAGGTCTCGTCGGCGAGGTAAGTGCACCATGATGACTCTGACTCGCGGTCCGAGATTTCGGAGTTGGATGTGAAGATCCAGCCGCGCCAGTGGCAGCCTCATGCTCGAGAAAGTTCTGCCACAATTCAGCCAGACTTTCCTTCGTAGTGGCGCTATCAGGCGTGTGGGTGAAGAAATCGGCGCCACTGGTCGGTGTTCCAGCAGAGTAGAGCGTTGGTGTGCTGGGTGTGCGATGGACGAGTGACGTTGGTAGACGGAGAGATCCAGAGTGAGAGCCTGTCGTCGATAAGCCACCGCCTGGTCGAGATAGGCCGGCCTGTTCTTTTTGTTCCTCGGTCCAGCCTAGTAGCGCGGCGATTAATTGGAGGATTTGGAACTTCTTTGGGTCGGAGCGATCTAGGGCGAGGAAGTGGAGGAGGTGGTTGGTTACGATTTGTCTATGAGGAAATGTTAGCGGGTGAGCGGGCGAGGAGTGAGTAGGGACGGATATGAATTGCTTACCTGTCGACATTGTCCTCTGGCTTGCCCTTCTTGAGGAATCGCAATGCTTTGGTGAGATGGTCGTTCAAAATGACAGCTTCATGTCGTAGCTTTCCAATGAGGAGGTTCTTCTCCTTGACTTCTTTCTCAAAGGGAATAGCTCTTTCAAGATCCTTCTTCGTCTGATCCAGTTCAGTGACCAGAGCATCATACTTGGATTGGATTTGTTGTAATTGTTTCCGAAGCGAATCTTGTTCCGATTGGTTTGTCTCGACAAGTTCTTTGAGTTCTTGTTTGCGAACGTTTTGAATCTCGTGCAGAGCTTTTTGAAGACCATCGACTGTACTCGATTGAGTTTCTCTTTCGGCAGCCGCTTTTTCATATGCTTCCTTCAACGAAGCGACTTGTTCCTCGAGATCGGCATTGCGGTCGGCCAAGTCTCGACGGATGGTTCGTTCTTCCATAGCTAGAACTTCCCAGTCGTGCATGGCTTGTTTGGCATCTTCAAATTCTTCACGAAGGTATGCTTCCTGATCGACGAGTTCATTTTTCTCTTTGTGCCAGTTTTGTTGTGACAGAGTCAGTCTTTCGCGGAGACTGGACAGCTCTTTGGACTGTTCTGCAGCTCTGGTATCTGCATCTTTATTCCTGGCTGCTAGTTCTTCGAGTTCTGCGGATCGAGCTGTGTATTGCTCCTGTAATTGGGACTTTTGCTCTTCAAGTTCGTCGATCCGCGTCCTTGCTTGAGTGAGTTCTTCTGCATCGGCTTTGAGTCGTTCGCCTAGTTGAGAACGGATGGTGTTGACCTTGCCGAGCAGCGACTGGTATTGCTCTTCGGCATTTTCTCTGGCTTCTTGAGACTCGGCCAATTCATTTTGAACGGATTCAAGTTCCTCGGCGTGCTTAGATTGTAGGTCTTGCAGTGACTGTTTGAGTTGAGTTGTTTCGGCTTTCAGGTCATTGTGTTCTTTGGTCAAGTCGTCAAGGGCGGCATTCGAGTCTTGATCGGAGGAGGCAGGGTGTTTTGATTGCAGTTGTTCGAGAGACTGACGGAGTTGGGTGACTTCGAGACGTAGGGCATCGCGGTCTTTGACTAGAGCATCGAATCTCGTAGCTGAATCGTCACTTTCCTTGTCATCGGCAGTGAGTCCATTTGAAAGGTTTGATGTGGGAGGATTTGTTGTAGCGGGGGCTGATTGCTCTAGATCCTCCTCGTCCGAGACATCACTTGCAGCTGCACCGGTAGGATCCAAGGTATTCGGGGTTTGAGGCTCGATAGGGGTTGAAGGTTCAGTATTTGTGCCCGAGGTGGTGGCCTGCGCATTGGCTTTCTTCTTGGACTTTTTCTTCTTTTTGGATTTTTGATCTAGGAGAGAGTATTGGTACTGCACTAGGTAATACAAGGGGATGATGTGGGGTGGGAAGGGAATCATTCATACCTGATGGGGCCATGGTTGTCATGGTTGCAACAGACAAAGAGGATGTGATTATAGGGCGACGACAAGAGTCATGGAGTGGAATGAATATGGGAGGCCATTATTCGATTGAACTGAAATATCACCAGGTGTCAATAACACTCGGATGATGGAGTCTTTGGCGTTGAGTTTGGCGTTTTCGGGCGGCGCGTGTCTGTCTCCGCTTTGATTTTCGTGGCTTGCGTTGGAGGGAGTCTGGGTGTCTGGTTGTCTAGTCTGGGTCTGAGTCAATCTGGGTCTGTTCTCTCGTATTTGGTCAATCTGGCCTCTTAAAAGAATGTCTGCGTCTGTCTGCGCCTGTGCCTGCCTTTACGGTGGTGACGGAACAAGGGTTTCTCCAGGTCCGAAATCAACACATGACCAGACACCTGATATCAAACATGTTATCAGGCATATATAAAACTTGTCAAGGTATTTGGTTAAATATTGAGTATGCTAATATGAAGGACAACTGATTAAATGTCCATGACTGTGGACCTGGTAATTCTGTCTAAGGGTTCAAACAGTACCATATCACCATCATATCACATCCACAACACATCACAGCAAACAAGGTCCTTATCTTATAGAAGAAACAGGAAAAGACTCTACTGTCTGGATCAGATATAAACGTGAAATCATCTCAATTGGATATATTGGTCAATACTCAACTAACAAGCCAACTCATCCCTCATCATCCCTTCAAAGCCTCCACAAACAACCCTCTCATCCCCTTCAACAAAGTCCCAATCTCTCTACTCGTATTCAATCTCTCCACCACTTTACCCACCTGCGAGGAATCCAACTTCGGTTTCGTCACAACCACCCTATACTTCCCCGACGTAGTCTCTGGAATCTGCAAATCCAACATGGCCTCTATGTCCTGCCCATGCCCACCCCCACTCTTCGTCCCTTTCGCCGGTGGAAACACAAACACCACCCTTACTGTATTTTCATCTCCAGTCCCTTCAATCCGACATCCCAGGTAAGTTTCCCAAAAGTTCAATTCCGGCCCATTAAGTCGACTCTGTCCGTCCATTTTTTGCGAATACTCTCTCTGAGCTTGTACTTTGACTTCAATTTGTCGCTGTGTTTGAGCAATCGTATTCTTGAGTCGATCGCGTGTGGCCGACTGGTTGGATTGATGGGCTTCGAGTTTAGAGATCTGACCGTGCATTTCATTCTTTTCGGCTTGTTCACGTGCAAGGATGTGTTCGTGTGTTGATAGTGCGGATTGTAATGTCGCCATCTGTGTACTGGTTGATTTTTGTTCCTCTACAAATATATGGTTAGACTCAAAATGTTGATGAACATTGTCATGTGTTTGTCATACCACTTAGTTCTCCCAGACGTGCTCGAAATTCATTTCTTTCCTGTAGAACTCGTTTCCGGCCTTGTTCGATAAACGCGTCAAATTTGACGGTGAAATCGGCCATGCGCCGGCGCAGGTCTTCGAAGTTGAAGTCTACGGTCGGAAGCTGGGTGAGAGGGTTGTCTGAGTAGGAAAACGGCGCATTTTGCGATTGAGAGGCGCGAAAGGAGGATGTGCTCAACGAGAAGGACGATGCTGGGAGAGTCGTGGCCATTGTGATGGTATTGTTACAGTTGTATATGTGATCTGGTTCTGCTGCTGAATGAGGTTGTTTCGAACTGACGAGTGGAACTAGTTTTGAATCTTTGGTACGACAATAAAATTGTGTCCGCGATGAGGTTGTAAATGGTGTGGTTGTTTAATGCCAGGGCCTCTCATTGACGCAGCGCAGGCGGGTTTGCAGGTTGTTTGGGCGTCATGATGGTTGTCAAGGGCAACCACCACCGTTCTTGGCGTATGGCTCCACTCTTATAACAACATCCATTTATCAAAACTTCCGAGTACGAATACTCGCAGAATCAAGTGCAGTCAGTGTCCAATGGATTTAATAGCACATATAATAATAATAATAATGAATGGCATTGATTGATCGTCCAATACACCATCTTTCATCGCTAATCAACAATATGATTGGCTTTGGCACTTGAATAGCGGTCAATCTCGTGATTTATTGACCTTCTTCATTCTCTCGTCTTTCTCCTCCCCTTCTCCGTGTTCCCAAATAGGATCAGCCTCCAACAGTCGCGAGATCATTCTCTCCACTCTTGCCATGGTCTGTTCCATCTGATGCAATCTTGCTGTCGCCTCCATTAATCGCTGGTCTCGATCGTCGTTGCCCAGATCTAGTATGGAATCTTTACGTTCGGGGCGTCTGATACCTCGATAGCCGGCGGACAATCCACCGTCGTCCTCATCAGAGTCGGCAAACTCCTTGCTCAGGTTTTCTGATGCCTTGGATTCCCGCCTTGCTTTCGTAACCATGATGTTCGGCACTTTGCGAGGCTTGCCAGGCGCTGCACTGTTGTTTCTCGACTGAACACCAAAATCCCATTGGTCCTTGACCGAATTCTCCAGAGGGGCACCCTGATCGACCGTCTCATCGTCCGCGGAAATCTTGTTTAGGAGGGACTGAGGAGGATCGATCTCAAACACTGCTCGAATATCGCCATGGACGCTGAATTTATTGATTGCCCAATACTCGGCATGCGTCAAACTGGGTCCATTGGCATCTTTCCAATCAATTCTTCGCGGGGCGTTTCTCCGCCTGTCGTTCCTCCACAGTGTCCTTCGTTCGAACCATGCAATCACCAGCAAAAGTGGCAGGTTGAGTATTCTCACCGCCGTGACGTTGATTTTGTGAAAGATTCGATCAGATACAGTCCATTTCAGAGGGAGCATAAACAAAAGTGCCAAGATGTTGAAAGGTGGCATATAGGAGAAGATGGCGTCTGATTTGACTCCTTCAAAGGTGAGGACTGCGCGTCGAAATTGGACCTCCTGCACTGCATTGACGACAATGTTGCTGAATGTGTTGGACAACATGGACACGAGGATGGTCAAGAACAATGTATTTCCCAAAAAAGCAAACATGACCATCAGGACTGGACCAAGAAACCAGTGAAAGTCTGGTGCTTCGTCAATGCCTGTACCGTCCAATCCAAACCAGATCCAGATCATCCATTTGCTGATTGTGATCGCCTTACACCATTAGCACCTTCAGGTAATGTCAGGGGAAATGCCACCTACTTCATGTGCACCCTCATGTAACCATTTCAAACTCAACAAGAAGCCCGCAAAACACCAGACTGCCAAGATGGTCAATGTCATGAAATCGGAAATCATGGCCCGAAGTGAAACAAATAAAACGTTCTCCGACATGAAGTTGAATGCTAGTCGAGGAACCAAGACAGGGGCTGCACAACTGAGAACATCGAGACCACTTCTGGCCCACTGAACTGAAGTGTCGGGGTCTGAAATTCCAGCCGCGTGAATGCGCAACACAAGGTAAACCAGAAACAAGGTGGAAAACATGACATCCAAGAAGGACCACAGGTTCTGAGTATACACTGCCCAGCCATGCTCTAAGACAGAAGCTACCTGATCCAAAATCTGTCCTGGTTAGCTTGCTGTCCCAATAGGTCAAATGAGATCAACATACCCATCCAATAGCATAAATATCAAAAATGGCTTCCACCGCGGTAAAATGGGTGGTCATTCGAGTCTCTCTGCCCGTCATGACGGCGATATACAAAATCAAGAGAATGAGGAATTGGCAGACCTCAATAATGTTCCGAGTCCTGGGGACAATCAAACGGTATTGATTCAGAATTGGGCCGCGCCTGGGATCATAGAGAGAAATGGGTCTTCGTTTCCACTTGTCCGGTATAATGTCGAAGAAGCTGGTGGGGGTATAGACAACTTTTCCTTGGTAGATGGCATCGACGACTTTTTGACAGGCACTGCTGGAGAGGAAGCTCTTACTTTCACTGATGATGGCGACTTCGAGGGCTGTAAGCTTGCGATCGACCTGTTTTCCAAGTCTGGCTTTAGCCCAGTGCATGGCGTGGACGTTCTGCTCGCACACTTGGTCGGGAGCGCCCTGGAATGGTTCAAATCCCCCAACAAGAATGTTGGCCAGTTTGAGGAGACCTCGGGGCCCGGGATTGTTCTCGTTGTAGCGACGAAGGATCTTCTCGGCAAGCATTTCGCATAGCAATGCTCGAGTCAGGTTGGTCGTCTGGTGGTGGGCTGCATAGTATTGTTCGCGGATGAATTGCATTCGGTTTACTAGCAGGCAGTATACTGTGTGTTGGATGTTAGCATCTCCGGGCGGCATCCTTGGTGTCAATTGGTGTCCATCACTCACCCACGGAAAGATCCTGCTTTTCATACAAGGTATTGACCATGGGACGAACAACAGTGATGTTCATCCTGGGTGCTTTGAGCTGTTCCAAGGAATATGGGTCATCTAGAATGATGGAACTAGTCATCAGTGTATGGCCCTGTGTTATATTCTACTCTGCTTAAATACTTACCGATGGCATTGATGATATCTCTGCGAATGCTGTCACGACCAAGAAAGCACAAGTCAGCAGTCAAGCCCACTCGATTCTATACAACCCTACTCTCACAGAGACACTTACCGATGAATATTCTCATATACATTACACTCGGCATTGCGATATGGATCAGCACGTCTCGGTGGACCGCCTTGATCACTCGTCCAAGTACAATTAGGTGGATAAAGACCATCGCGGTCAGCAAAAGCTTCATTTGCTTCTTCGATCTGCTGGTTATGACCATCGGCGAGGCCAGGTTGTTCATCGACTTCAGGCTCTGAAACAATAGAGGTTGCTCTGAGGGAGGGGCTGGGGGCTGTATATGAACGATGTGCCGAGTAGACACTTTGCCGTTGGTGAGTATGATCTTGGATGTCCCCATCGTCATGGGTATGGTTGGGCAATAAGGGATCCGTTTCCGACCGCCCATGGCCGCCAATACTCCTGCCGCCAGGGCCATGTTGACGCATCTGCCAACTAAAAGTACGGAACTGGCTTGAGAGGAATTGAGGATCGTTGTCATCGGCGGCGGTTGTTGAGCTTGGTGCCATGATGAAGGTATGTCTTTGAGCAGACTGACTGAATTACAAACCAGGGCGAGCATGAACCGGAATCATGACATGGAGCTGTATTCGATCTTGCCTGATGATGCTGGGGTATTTGATGCAAGACTGAATGCCATGGCGCGTAGTATTGGTAAGGACTCGTGAGAAGAGACAGAGTAGGTTCAGGCCTCACAACCGGTACGCGAATAAAACAAGTGACATGCTAGAATTCTAGATGGGATCCCAAGGAGATGAAATCTGCGCTACCGGATGACATGAATGAAGGGAAAGAGCAAATCGGTCGATTGAACGACGAAGACAGCTCTGGATTACATGGACCTACCCGAAGCTAGGCGAGACTTGCACTCATCAGCCGGCGCCAGAACAAACGCGGTGGCGAGCATGTTCAGGAATTCTTTCTGTCAAAGAAGCGAGCTCTGGCCAAGGAACCGATGTCTTTGGTGGAAAGATAAGGGAGCCTCCAGGCACCAAAGAATTGTGTGACTGTCATAATCAGTCAAATGCATAAAGTTGCGATAAGGACACGCGACAGGTGAGGGGGAGAAGGGAAATAAGCTCATCTTCCGTCGAACCAAGCCTTTTTAGTGGCGGTTTGTTGGCATGGGTGTGGAATTGTGGGCAAGGTCAGACTGATGACGAGGGATGGGAGAGTTGGAAATGGATTGGATTGGATTTGCAAGGATAAAATAGATGGGATTCGAGTAGAGAAAGTCTCCAGGTTCAGGCCAGTAGTGAGAAGAAGTCAGCTGCCCGACAAATAATGCAAGCTTCTGCCTGAACCAGCAACGTTTTTGGTGCAAGAGCAGAGAGACATTATTCTGGTGGGTGCATTGCGACTGCCATGCTACAATTGCACGATTAGGCAGGATGATGAATTTATCGCCTGGGCCCGGTGTCAAAGACGGACTGACAGGAGATATCCGAATCTAGGTGCTGGATTGCCATGAACAACAGAATTTGATTTGATAGAATATCTGAATACTCTTAATCTCAAATTACCGAAATTCCCATTCCATGAATCAAGAATTCACAGATACACCCGTTGAGGATGGTTCTGCCGCCTAAGATGATGGTTGTGTTGGGGGTGAAGAAGTTGCTCCTGCTGCTGTAGCTGTTGCATTCGGTGCAGGAGCAGAAGGAGCAGAAGAAGCAGAAGAAGCAGAAGCAGCAGGTGCTGTGTCAACACCCGTAGATGTGGCAGTTGCACCTCCACCTGCACTCCCATTTGCAGTCCCATTTCCACTTCCTCCATTTGCTATTTCCTCGTATGAATCCCATATCCTCTGCTCGCCATCACGCAACTTCCCAGGGAAGAATGTCGGCAACAGATTCAGACCCGTACGAGGGTACTTTTGCTCTGCTGTATACAATGCGTCCATGACCTTTCGCTCCATGATACTCTCCTTGTATTTGAGCGGGATACCAAATTGTCGAGGATTGCGCCTCCAAGCGGCGACGTAGATGTTTTGTAGGATGCCAATGCCACCGACGGCCAGCAAGAACCAGGCGTTGTCACTCAGACTGGACGCCGTGACGAGTAGCAACACCCACAGCGTGGCGAGGCCGATGACCACCAGTCGTGTGGCCCAAGACTTGGAAAAGTCCAGGTTCGTCTGCCCTGCGGCCAGATCTTCCAGGTCCAGTCCACCTTGGCTGCCCAAGATCAAGAGAGCGTGTTGTGCTCCATTGCCACGCGTGATAATGACATCTTTCTTTGCGTTCTCGCGACATGCCCATTTCTCCTCCTTCCATTGTGGTAGACTGCCGGACAGGAACGACAGGATAATTCCTGCACCCGTCACCATGATGATCCCCCAGTCGCCGTAGAGACCGCATGGTATGGCGGCGATGCCCAATTGTACAATCGTGGTTATAAACCCAATGTAGTAGACCAAGTCACGACCAGGATGGCCCTTCTTGGTGGGCAATGCCTCCCACACGCTGATGCACAAACCAGCCTGCGCTGGACGAGGCACGAACGCTCCAGAACCCTCGTGCTCCTTGTCTGCCTCTTTCTTCTGGTATTTCCACACCGACTCGATGACCGCGTTGACCTTGTCTCCAATCTTGTCATTTTCTGGTGTATCATCGTCTTTCCAACTCTCAAAGTCGCGCATTATTCGTCCAATGATCCAGCTCGTGTTTCCTCGATCGTAGCCTGTCTTGCGGTTGATCACTTTGCAGTCACAGTCTGGAAGGGGCATGAGACGGTTCTCTCCCACCGCCGAGTTGACTGCTGACACTGCATACGCCACCCATCCTGTAGATCTTTGAGTCAGCTTGCTGGCTGTGATGGCAGGTAGGAGAGGGTTGGAGAAAGAATCAAGATGTGGAATGTCCAACGTACCAAATGAAAATGCCACGGGTGTGATGCCTGATCCAACCAGTTGTGCCAGTGCTCGCTCAATCACATCACCACCCAGAATCAACAGCACCGAAAACACGTCTCCCATGCTTGACCATTGTGCCTTGAACGCCCGCGCTGGCGCACCGGCGTCGAAGTTGCGGCGAAGGATTTCGTTAAGCGGTGCCATAGTCTTTGCTACCTGAGAACGATGGGGAAACAATTTCAAGGACAAGAAGAATTCATGATCATCCAAGTGATGAAATGTAGTTTGATAGTGACGCTAACACCCGAGAGATCAAGAACCTCCATTTGGGCTGCGCCATGATTTTCGTGTTGGATTCTTGACGGTCAATCACCAAAATCACCTCAACTCGCTAGGCTGTTTCACCGGTCTTAGGGCTGATGATGCATGAATGTCCGGCGTTTGGATAGGCCGAGGGGGCCCGAGGGCCCCAAGGCCTTAGGCCTCCAGGTGCCACAGTGGATCTCGGCTAAGCCCGCGCCTCCCCCACAAGCTTTTGACCTCAACTTATTCCTCCTTCAGCCCTCAAGTTCTTCTTCTCCCATGTCTATCTGTACCACCAAGCTGTTTGCACGCTCATATGTCCTCTTTCACTCTTCGATTTTCGTTCTCCAAGAACCTAACTCTTTGGGTCATCATCCATTGCACTTGATACACTGCTGACTTACCTCCGAATGCGTGTCGAACATATGCCAATGGATGATCTGTCGCTTCAGACCCCGGAAAGCCCATTCCAGGACTGAAACTGGTGATGGGCAGAACCAGCACATCGTCTACAACCTTGGGTTCGCGCAAGTTGAAGAATGTGTTATTGTTGATAGGTCCCTGTCGGGGAGCAATATTGAAATATGCGAAAATGGCGTCGGTCCAGATTCCTGGTCCTGTGTGATTGAGGATCTCATCCATAGACTCGGCCGCGCTGAGACGGCCTTCACGATGCATCGCCAATGTCAACTCGGTGATGCGAGCTACAACTTCCACCAGAATTGGATGTCCTGGTTTGGAGTGAATAGTCCATTGACAGAATTGGAGTCTCCGGGCATACCACTGCCGCCAGTCTTCTCGATCTGGATCAGCCTCGACGCCAATGACGATGCTAACGTTTGTATTGAGCTGTCGAGCTCCATGTTTTGTCCATGTCTTGATGGGCTTCAGAGCCTCGGTATCGATGTCGGTGTAAGTTCCACCCTCGTGCAACAGGATGAGGTATCGAAAGAAATCCGCCTTCAGGATAGGAAGGGGCAGCAAATGGTATGCATAGACCACATCGGGTACGTTTTTGAAGATATTTTCGACCATTGTCGCAGCGTCTGCGTCCGTGGAGTAACCGCATCTCCGCACTTGGATTGAGATCTTTCCATGATTTTCGAAGGGTGTTGAATTCTTCAGGCCAGTCAGCTGCGTCAGGGCTCGTTTTCCAGGTTTGCCAGATGATTGAAGGAAACGATGACTCCGCCTGGTTGGAAAGGTAAGGAAATGCGTGGTTCAATTGCTGTCTGAGGGTGGGGGGAGAATGATTTGGTAGAGGGTATGGTCGAGGGGTCCATTGATGCCAATCTGGGGATGAGAAGAAGGAGAATAAGGTCAGGAGCCACAGAACAAATACACCTGCTGCCAACAGGATGATCGGACGCTTCATCTCATCAAGTTGGTGGTCAAGTAGATGCAGCTGGGAAAGTCGAAATTCAAGGTGTGCATTTTGTTGACGAGGCCCAACGTCTTTTTGGTTCATGGTTGATTGTGCAAGCGCAGGTGTTCATTTTCTGCGTCACTACTTCCCCTTCGTCTTATATTCAGAGTAGCATTAAATCCTTCCTTGTCAAATCCGCTTTCGCTAGATCCTTCATCGCCAAGTGCCTTCTCCTCAAATCCTTCCACCTTTGGTACAGCAGTTACCAATACCATTCATTGCTCCTTCTGCCTCAAAGCACAGCACCAGAGATCTGCCAAGCGTCCTACGTCTCAACTACAATTTTGAAGATACATATTTGGTTCAGCAGAGACATAAATGGCTGTGAGACCCTTTCAGCGGGCTGTGCAATAGGTATTTCTTGCTGATTATGTCAAGTGTTAATATGAAACAGTCAATGCACAAGAAGTGATGTGGAGACTTGATCATCAAGGGCGATGTTTGTGAATAATGGTCCACCCTACTACATCCACCTCTCTAGTGCTTCGCTGTAGGATTAGCGTCGACATGTGCAGCCTGCGAGATACTCGAAACCTCGATATTGAATAGAAAGTTCCAGTTGTTCTTGTTCTTGTTCACGACCTAGAAACCCACACCTCACCTCTCTATTCCTCTCTAAAATGGTATGATCTCCCCTTCAATCATTTCGCCGCTTCCACACTCTATTGATCTCACCACTAACAAGATGCAGCCGCTGTCAGAACCCAAGCAGCGCCTGGCGCTGTCCATCATTGACTTTCTGTCCACTTCTCTCAAAGACGGCAGCCTGACTGCCGACGACGCCGACAACATTGAGATTGCCACCAACTGTATCGCCGAGGCATTCAAGGTCGATCCAACCGACAAGACCGCTGTTTCCAATGCCGTCGGGTCACAAAATCTTTTGAGCATCTATGAGACAGCCAAGGGCAGTGGCAGTGTACCTCCGACCAGTGCCGCCCCTCCCAAACCCGCCGCCATCAACCCCGAGGCTGAGAAACTCAAGAGTGCTGGCAACGCAGCTATGCAACAGAAGGACTACAAGACTGCGATTGCAAAATACTCCGAGGCCATCAGCTTTTCTCCTACCAATCCAATCTACCTGTCCAACCGTGCGGCGGCTTATTCAGCCAGCGGTATTCATGCCTCAGCCGTGAAAGATGCTGAGCTAGCTGTCGCTGCCGATCCCAAATATACCAAGGCCTGGTCAAGACTGGGACTGGCCAGATTCGCCATGGGAGATGCCCGGGGCAGTGTGGATGCCTACCAACAAGGCATCGACTTTGAGGGCAATGGTGGAAGTGACGCCATGAAGAAGGGGCTCGAGACGGCCAAGAAGGAATTGGCAAGAATGGAGGCCGAAGAAGAGAACATCCCCGAAGATGATGTGGATGATGCTCCCGGCGATAGTCGAGGTGTTGGAGCAGGTGGTATGCCCGACCTCGGCGGACTCGCCAGCCTACTTGGTGGCGGAGGTGGTGGTCGCGGTGGTGGAGGCGGTGGATTTGATTTCGCCAGCATCATGAACAACCCCATGTTTGCCGGCATGGCCCAGAATCTGATGCGCAACCCAGATGCGCTCAGCGGCCTCATGAACAACCCCACCATTCAGAACATGATGAATCAACGGAGAGAAGGTGGCGGTGGTATGCCTGACATGAGCCAAATCCAACAAATGATGCAAGATCCTGCCATTGCTGGACTGTGAGTGCCCCACTTCCGACACCTTTAATATGAAGAAACTAATGTGTATCGACAGCGCGCAACAATTCATGGGTGGCGCAGGCGCAGGCGCAGGTGGAAATGCTCCTGGATCAGGAAGAGGGCAATAAAGACGACCATGATGACAGAAGAGTCTCAAAGTCACGGCGTGCCTGGCGTCGATATCAAGACATGATAAACTCAACATGGTGTATGAAGCAATGAATTACATTGATCCAGCGACTCCATTTGTCTGCCTTTGTATCCTCCACTTTCCCATTTGGGGTCTATGATGTTTATCTAGGTATGTTTCCAAGCATGATATCGATTCCAAGCAAATCATCGTTATGGTGGGGTAGATCTGGGCGCTTCACGGACCATCTGTTGGTTCCACGGTATCGTGCATGGAGCTAAAGTATTGCTACGTGGCATACAGTTTGACTATGGTCCTGTCAGATTTCGAGCCAGGGCACTCACCCCTCAATCTCAACAACTACCACTTATTCCTTGAGCAGGAAGAAAAGAGAAGAGAAATGCGTCTTTCCTTGTCTTGCCTCTGTGGCAAATATTCAAACCAACCCTGACCTCTGCCTGCCGTGTCAATCGTGTTGAGACTCTGTTCAATCGTCGTTGATTCACCACCAATCAGCATTCATTCATTCATTCATTCATTCATTCATCCTCCTTGTTTCCACCGTTTACATTCCTCCCTATATGCCCTTCCCCCATTCGTGACATCCAATCCAAGCAATGGCTTCCATCGCAGGTAAAGTATACGCATTAACCGGCGCCAAATCCGGGCTCGGACTACATGTGGCATCAACCCTAGCACGCCTCAACGCCGGAGCAATCTCCATTTCTGACCTCAACGGAGACCACTTCCACTCCGTCCGCTCAACCCTCTCATCCATCAACCCAAAGGTGCAACTCCTGACCTCCAAAGTAGACGTCACACGCAGCGTCGAAGTCAACAGCTGGATCGAAGAAACAGTCGACAAATTCGGTGATCTCGACGGAGCAGTCAATTGTGCCGGGACAATCAACAATCTATCCACCGAGACAAAACCACATTTCCTCAATGAGACAGACGACTCCTGGACCCGTGTTATCAATACGAACCTCACTGGTACATTGTACAGCATGAGAGCTGAGGTTAAGGCAATGGTGGCTTTACCGAAGAAACCACGCAGCATTGTCAATATCTCTAGTGCGGCTTCTTTGTTCCATGATCCCACCATCATGTCGTATTGTATAACGAAAGCGGGAATCGCGGGTTTGACGACAACGATAGCCAAGGATCTGGCTGGGACGGATATCAGGTTAAATGCCGTTTCGCCTAGTATGTTATTCCTCTTTTTGGTAGTGATCTAATGGGTTGCCCGAAACAGAAAAGGGGAGGCGAAAGAAAAAGATACAAGTGTATCACAATGCATTTTTTTTAGCAGAATACTAACATGTCATGACTTTTGTCTAGGTGCTACAAAAACAGGAATGGCAGTGGAGTGGTACAAGAATGAAGAAGAAGCCATGGCTGATATGGCCAGACGAGGTATTACACTGCTGGAGCCAGACCGAGTGGCTAATGCTATTGTTTGGTTGTTGAGCGATGAGTCTGGTGATGTTTCGGGTGTTAATATTCCCATAGGTGCGAGTGTTCCTTGAGTTGGCTCAAGGATTGGGAATCCTGGACGACGACGTGGTGTAAAGTGGTTTGCACATATTGACGAAATGGCAACGCCATATACAAAACCCACATATACCTTTACCCATTAACATAACATTGATTTCATAAATGACTGCCTCTCTCATACCTAGGTTATTTTACCTTGAAATTGTATTAATTCACCACTCCACTATCCCTCCATCCCCAACTCCCTCGCTGTTGGAAACCACCCTCATCAACTGAGGAACAGCCATGTCTGTCTACGTAGGATCCGCATACGAGTATGCACAGAATCCTTACTACCCTTGGGTAGTTCCACCAGTCACCCATGTGGCATCTCAGATAAGCCATAGCGGGGCAAAACATACGGCAGCACCATCTACTGCGGCTACCGACCTTGTTTGATGGGACATGCCACATAGTCAGTCACACACACACTCTCACACACTTCCAGCAAAAGAGAGAGGAGATAGAAGAGTGGGGAAATGGGACGGCTCAAAGTCTCGACCTTTAGACTTCCAACGCCAACCCAAGTATCCGGTTTTTCCAGCTCGCTACGGCACGAGTCTTAAACTATAATTCTACTTGATGTCAAAAGTAGTGGTCAAAGTCATGGCCAAGGTTGGAAAGCTAGGTTCATTGATTTACTAAGGCCATTCAATCATGCATGCATGTGTGAAGGCGTGCATGCATGTCGGTTGATGTCAAGCTCGGCTTCGAAAACTAAAAAAAGAGAAGCTCGATGAGCTGAGGTCTTCCTTCGAAGATGACGAGTTACTCGCTTCCATACCTAGGTACCTAGAGCTACTGACCTACCCATCTGTCTATCTTTTCGTTGGGCTATGTAGGTACCTACACATAGCTCTCTATCGCAATTATATCCAGCTAGTTGTACATGTACACCCTTGTTCTCACACATACATAACCTGACGCCTGTTGTCTATCCAAGTTGTATACCCAGCGTACCGTACCTGCGCCTTCAATCGTGGCGCCGCGCTTCCATTCGCATGCATCAGACAGCTTCACATCGTTGACACAGCTGTCAAAAAAATGATGATTCTAACTAAACGACTAGCTACTTTTCTCATTGCTCTGGCTTGTATACCATGGACGTTTGGAGAAGCAGAACCAGAAGCTCAACCAGCAGCAATTCCACAACCAGCAGCTGTTGCAGGACCAAATTAGTATGTACAATATACCTCAGTCTCCGGTCATTTATATCATCATCATAGCCTTCTCTCCCTCAGCATTATATTTCAACCAACATTGACCCTTGAAACCCTCCCACAGTGACTCCGGATTCTATACCTGGAACCAAGCCCCGACAACAACATCCTATTATACATACTGGACGCCATCAACAACCTACACCACATATACACAGTATGGCGGAACAACGGTGACAATCACCTCCATCGTGCCATGTCCCGTCACATCAACTGTCATTAACTATGAATGTTGCGCGCAACAATGTCAAACCACCTGTGGTGGAGGAGGTCCGACCGTGACAACTCAGCAGGGTGGATATATTGGAACCACGACCGTCACATCGTATACGACGGTCACGCCGGATCCGAATGCGAGGCGGACGATTACGAGTAATGGGTTGGTTATTGTGGTGGTGGGGAATGGTGCGGCAGGGCAGACTCAGACCACGGGGGGGCAGACTGTGGTGTATGTCACTCAACGGAGTGGTGTGGCTGGATATACTGGACTGAGAAGGTGGTTTTGGTTTGATGGAGGGGTTGATCTTGCTATAATGATGGGTTTAATGTGGTTATGGGTGATATGACGGGTGTAGTTTAATGTTAATGGATGGTAGAGAGGTCGGGTTGGGACATGGTTAATATAATGTCGTGACAGACTGATATAGAAACCTCTCCCTCTAATCAAACACTTTAGACGTTCTATCTTGATGCCTTTCCCCACTGTCTTCGTAATTCCTCGAATTTGTCGGTCTCCTCTTGACTCACACTGCGACCAACTTCTGGTCTTGCAGCTAGGAAATCTTGTATCGTCAAAGTCATAGGGACAGCGTCGGTCACTGGATGAAGAATATTATCCACTGGCCCTTGTGGTCTCAGGCGTCTGTAAGCAGCGTGCCCAGCCCTTTTCACAAGATTCTCCATGTCCGCTCCACTGAAGCCAATGCACGTCCGCGCCAATTCTGCCATCTCTTCGGTGAAAATAAAGCCAGAGAGCTTCCTGCACAAGGTCCGCAAGATATCTACTCGGCCTTCTGCATCTGGTAGACCGACATAAAGCTTCGTGTCGAGTCGACCGGGCCGTAGCATTGCCGAGTCGATCATGTCTGGACGATTGGTTGCTGCCACCACGTATATGCCCGCGCGTGACTCGCCCACGCCGTCAAGCTCAGTGAGTAACGTGTTGACGACACGTGCTGACGCTTCGGACGATGCTCCATCTCGTCTTGGTACAAGGGCGTCGAGCTCATCCAAGAACAGAATCACTGGGACGGAAGAACGGGCGCGGGTAAAAACTTGCCGGACGGCCCGTTCAGATTCGCCTACATACTTGTTGAGTAGCTCGGGGCCTTTGACTGAGATAAAGTTTGCGTGCGAACTGTTAGCACAGGCTTTGGCGAGAAGGGTCTTGCCACAACCTGGCGGGCCCCAAAGGAGAACACCAGACGATGGGGTTATGCTCAAGGCGGCGAAGAATTCGGGGTGCAGAATGGGTTGAATGATCGTTTCGTCGAGTTCGTCGATATGGCTTTGAAGAGCTCCAATCGAAGCAAATGTGGTGGATGGGATGGTGGCAAAGCCCTCACGCATCGCCGAGGGCTGTACTTTGGGCAATGCCTCAACATAATCTGCAAAGGTCGCTGCCATGGATAGAGAAGACGGTAAGGAACCGGTGTCGGGTACGGAGCCATCGACATTCTCTTTGGACAAAGTGTCGGCAATTTCCTGGATATATTGATTGAACCGACTAAAGGCGAGAACGGCAGGGCTGGGAGCAACGACTGACAATGACTGTGAGTCTGATTCTTGATTGTCGTCCAGGGCCATGACCGACGCGTCTGCCTGAGCTTGGAGGGTTTTTATGCATCGATCGATAGCGATTCTTCCAGCTGCCGAGACTAGGCTCTTGAGATCGGCTCCGACAAAGCCAGGGGTATGTTTAGCTAACCAGGCGTAGTTGAAGTCTGCAGGAAGGCGGGATTGTCTGGTGAGAGACCGTATGATCTGTTCGCGAGCGGCCTCGGAAGGAACAGGCATCAAAATCTCTTTGTCGAAACGACCACTTCTGCGCAAAGAGGGATCCATGGTTTCTGGACGACTGGTTGCTGCAAGTACTATGACAGGTTTGAGGTCGGTTTTGTCCAAGGACAGATTGTCCATACAGGTGAGGAGTTGGGCAACGATTCTCTTCTCCATCTCGCGCTGGGCATTGTCTCTCTTAGGGGTGATGGCATCGATTTCATCAATGAAGATTAGAGTCGGGGCTGCTTTCTTGGCTTGGTCGAACAGATCACGGAGTGCCTTCTCTGACTCGCCAGACATGCCTGAAACAATGGTTGGAGCACTGACAGGCATAAAATTGACCTGTAGTTGAGCGGCCAAGGCATGGGCGATTGTAGTCTTGCCACAACCTGATGGTCCACAGATGAGAATCCCCGTTGGTGGGTCAATGCCGTCCCTTAGATAGAGTTGTGGACATTTCATGGGGAGGACAAGCAAGTTTTGAAATTGTTCCAGTATCTGGTCAACGCCGCCTAGATCGGCCAGGTTCACATTCAGAGAAGGGCTGGATTCCATTGGCAAAGTAGACGAGTTTGTCGGTTTCCGTTTCTTGGAGGGCGGTTCACCATTTGCGAGTCTGTGTTTCGAGGAGGGGTTGGCCTCGGTCATTTTCGGCTTTGAAGGAGATGGAGTATCTGTTGGTAGGTCGGGTTTGGAAGAGTTCTTGGATGCGGTCGTTGCCCAAGCCCCGACGATGCTCTTATTGAGACCATTTGAAGGTTTGACTCTTGTCTCTGTTTGTTGGTTGAATACAGGGTTGTCCTCGCCTTCACTCGAAAGACTATCTTGTTGGATGGTTTCCAGCACCCGTTCTATACTATCTTGGAGGAGATTCTTTGGCTTTCGATTGAGGCTCGAGTTGGAGGCTTTGATGGTGTCGTAGACAGTAGCGGACTTGAGTCGCACGTCCGAGTCATCGCCGTATTGCATGCGCTCGTCAATGAGTTTGCGTATCACCTGATACACCTAGAAGAGAAGTGAGCATGATGAGAGAGGGTGTGTGATGGAGGGGATTTACCTCTTTGTCGAGACCTTGACTCAGAGTTTGTCTCCTGCGATTCCCTGATGCCATTTTGGGATGAAGAAAAAGATGGATGGCGGAAGGAGCGACAGAGCCAGTCATACATGGCAGTTGCAATAACAATCAACCAGAAATAGGTCCTTCCTTCACTGTCACCATTAACGCAGACTGCACCTTCCTCCACAAAATCCAGAATCCCAAAATCCACGGAAAAAGTTTGTCCGACGATGATCCGGGGAGGAAATCACATGTCATCCTCCAACCCGCCGATGCCGCCTGGTCTACTCCGTAAGTACTCCGTACTCCGTATGGCGTCTGCCAAGACTGCACTTTCCCTCCACCCCGTCACTCCGTGCACCTGCACCTGCACCTGCCGTGGCTGTCCTGAACCCTTGCACCTTCCCTACCCTGCCATGCCCGTGCCTGCCCCGTTTGGCCGCAGTTCGCAATCCAAATCCCAAAGCTGGGGAACCAGAAATCTGCCAGCAAGTCATCAACATTCACTGTCAACAATATCCCAAAAAGCCACCACCTGAATGGATGCGGCGACTTGTTCATCATCCCCTGTCCTCATCCTCGCATTCGCTACAGACTACCAGCACTACAACTCTCACTACACACGTTGACGATTCGCTGCGCGCTGCGACTCTCCAAGGCCCCAACCCTCTACCACTCCAGTCTCACTCATCCTCTGACTTCAGCCTGGCCAGTCCTCTAACCTTGCGCCGCTCTCGCCCTCGCTCTCCGTCCTCGGCCTCTTCCCTCTACCCACTCACTCATGTCGAATTCATGACCCTCGTTCCCACCTGTGGGCGCGGCCTGCCCGGATGCCCGTCTTGAATCCCTTCCTTCGCACACTCTTTCAGAGTAGTGTCTTAGGCCATGCTCTCCCCTCCCAGAATTACGTCCTGCTCGTCCCAACGACAGAGTCACTTCTCTATGCCCAAGATCGAGAAAATGGAAAGAGGTACGCTGACCAGTGCGACGATGAAGATTTCCTCGGAAGCCACATCCTCCGCATTTTACCCAACACGGCTTCCAAAGAAAATGCAAATGCAAATGGAAATGGCAATGTTCGCGATGGCCGTACCAAGGCCAAAACCTACTCAACCGTCAACGGCCGTACCGTCATAATCAAGGAGAATGTCGTCTACAGCAATAAAGGTTTCAAGCAATTGACTCAGTCGACACTACTCGGCGACCTGCTGTACTATTCGCCGCAACCCGAACCTCAACAATGGCTCATTTACTACATCTCAAAGCCCTTGACCGGTATCTTCGAGCCCTTGCCAATCAAGCCTGCTATCATCGGCCAGTCGCCACCATCACCTTCTCTCAACCCACCTACCTCAGCTTCATCCGAATCCTTGGGCCCCAAAAAGAAGGACATCAAATCGTTTAATGAACTGTTGAATAGCTTTCCCATGATCGCGAGGCAGATGCAACCGGGCTTGGAAAGACTTTTCAATGAATTTGGAAAGGAACTTGGTCGTCCTCTTCCGCCTCCTCCCTCTCGCAGCCCCTCCATTACCTCTTTAGACGGCACCACCCTGCCATCGGAAAACGGCTCAATCAAATCCAACGGCACTCTCAAACTTCCTTTCAATTCCGCCGCTTATTTTGACGACGATGAAGATTTGATGCGCCGGGCCCTCGAAACCGCCGTCACTGCCGCCATAGATCTCTTCCAAGGCGTCGACAAACAGCAATTGTCCTATCTGGGAGCCACCACCGATCTGACCGGACCTGATGTTGAGAGATTGATTGAACGCTATGTCGCTGAAACCGTCCATGATTCCTTACTTTTTCCCAGGCTATGCTCTTTTCACAAAGCCCAAGACCAGGAGCTCGATCGACGCATCCGTCAAATGGATTGTCTCGATGTGTCTCAGGTCGGAATTGCTATCGAAGGTGGCCGCACAGGAAAGAGAGATCTCATCAGGCGTATCAATCGGGGCGTCCTTGTCTTTCGAAAAATGGGCGTCGCAGGCAGCCCCCAAGAAATGTTGGACATCCTGCTAGAAACTCAGAAAGTTGTCTCGGAACCCCAAAGCTCAGGCGATGAAGAGAAGCCAAACAACGTCCTCATCACCATCAATGCTGATGTCCTGGTCTCCCTTCTCCTCCTTGTGGTAATTCGCTCAGCCACGCGACACCTGCAGGCTAGATTGTCCTACATGCAGAGATTTATCTACATTGACGATGTGGAAAGTGGTGAAATTGGCTACTCGTTGAGTACACTGGAGGCCGTCTTGACTTATCTTGCCCGGGATGCTGGCGGCCTTCGAAGGGCTTCCAAACAGAATGGTCTCTTGTGGAAGGCTGTGAAGGATGGCGCCATTGACGAGATCAAATCCATCTTCGAAGACTCGGCCATCATCACTGACGATCTGGTGGAAGAACCAGGGGAAATACCACTGTCAAGAGTTCTCACCGCCTCCTCACAACATTCAGAAGTCAATCTTCGCCCATCGCTGTCCCGCAATTCTTCAGGGGAAGGGGGTTTGGCGCATGTCTTTCCATTCCAAGCACGAGAAAGGCAGACAACCCCCGTTGTTCCGAAGCAGAAGAAAAAGGTCCAGATGGCGGCTAGGAGCATGTCGATCTCTTCAGCTTTCTCGCTATCGTCAAGAGCCGCAACCATTGACACCACAACAAGTGGGATTGAAGGCGACACGTCAGTCGAGAGTCTGGCTCAAACACAAGATGGCATCGGCAACACAGTCCTCATGATGGCCGTTGAAAATCAACAACCACGATCACTGAAGTACCTGCTGTGCCTCAATGAGCATTACAGTGTTGAGGCTGTCCTCGCAGATGTCACCCAAGAAGGAGCGACCTTGTTGAGTGCTGCAGTACAACTTGCTAACATGGAGCTGATTGAAATCATCTTGGACTACGTGGAGCGGAACACAGACGCTGATCGATATCGAGAATACATTGCAGCCAAGGATTCCAGGGGTCGCAGCGTTGGTCACTACTTGTTCAACACGCCCACCTTGATTAAACGACTGGCAAAGGTTATTCCCTGGCAGCAAAGAGACAAGATTGGGCACACTCCCTTGTTTGCCACTTGTCGAACCTATGATCACCCCGAGTATAGTTGCATGGTGTCGGAAGCGTTATCGGCCACTACCGAGGCGCAAGGAGATGGGCTCCCACTGCGAGTTGAATCTCACACGGACAACAAGGGCAACTCTTTGCTTCACGTCATCAATGATTCGGTGATACTACAACGTGTGTTGCAAACGTGTGACGTGGATCTCAACTCTACCAATGACCGCAAGTTTACTCCCCTCATGCTGGCCAGCAAATATGGACGCGTCGACATGGTACGAGTCTTTCTGGCAGATCCTCGAATTGATCTTCACCTGCGAGAATCTCGAGGTTTGACGGCAGTGGAATTGGCCAAGGACGATGAAGTTCGAAATCGAATCGATGATTTGACATTGTTCTCGCCAAACAACATTGCCGATAGCACTGGAAGAATCACTGCAATTGTTCGGTCATTTTTTGTCGAAGATGGCTCCACAAGGTTCATTCTAAAGTCTGGAGCTCCCAACCCCGCCGTATCAAGTACCGTCTACACGATTACCACCAGTAGAAGGGCACTTCAAGATTTTGAGAACCTAGCGAAATGGCTGTGTATGGACCATCCTGCCTCATACATGCCGTTCATGAAGGCATCAGAATTCCGGAGTCCTTTTCAAATCCACTCTCGGCCTTCTCGATCGGTGCTATTTGACGCACAAACACATCTCGATCGATTTCTGAAGATTTTGATAAAACACCCGACTTTCTCCACACATGAGATGCTGTGGGAGTTTTTCCTCGTCCCTGACATGCTGCAAGAACAAATGGCTGAACGGGCGAATCTGAAATCAGAACTTGTTCAAGAAAAGATTGCGGATGACTATCATCCCTTGACATCGAGAGCGGACATGAACGCGGTGGATTCATTGATATCACATTCGCGCGAGATTGTCCGAAAAATCAACAACAGCACTAGGGTGATCATTAGAAAAGGTCACACTTATGTTCAGGCACAGTCCGACTTGGCCGAAGCGTTGAGTTTGCATGCTGTATCGATTGCCACACTTGGAGTACCATCAACGAATCCATTGGCACAAGCTCATATCGACACCTTGATCCGATTCGCCGCTTTACAACATTCGGAACCACCGTCTTCACCAGTCGCAACCTTCATCTCGAGTCTGACATCTTTTCATTCAACCATTACAGCTGTGCAGGGTGCACTTTTAAAACCGAGCACGGTCATCTCACGGATTCTGTCGACGCAAAAGGCACTGGACAAACAACGAACAAATCTTCTTAACAATAGTTTGCCTAAGAAAGGATTAATGAACATCAACTTTCCGGGGTCGGAAGAAAGTCGGGTCAAGGGGATTAAAGACAGTGAAAAGAAGATTATTCAAGGACAGATGGATGTGGAGAGGCTTGGTCGGGAATTGAGATATACACAGGAAGTCGTGGTTGGTGAATTGGCCGGGTGGACTTCATGGAGGGAAGAATGGATGAAGGATGAAATTAAAAGACTTGGCAGAAACATGGTAATCAAGGAGAAAGAAAGATTGAAGTCGATGCAACGGGCATTGAGAACATTGAGAGAGGGGTGAAGTGATGGGTTTCTTTCTACAGTGGTGTAGATGAGTTTGGTTGATCGATCACTTCATTGAATCCTGGGATGGCTTGGATACGTTGTGTGATCCAAGAAGCAGAGAGACAGGATTGGCTGTGGACGATTGAATACTCGCACGAGGATTTTCTTTCTTGCAAATATGAGGCTGGCCTCCAGGAGTGGTCAAAGCCAGGAAGTATGGGTAGCGTGGCGTTCCCATCTGTCAATCAGATATATAGACGGAAATATGGACTGGGAGCGAGGATGACTTTTACTTGGTTATTAGTAGCATCAGATGAACAAACAAGGATTTGGACCAAAAGACAGACAGGTTTTTGAATATGGGACAGTGAAGGGGGCATCTCTTCTCCCAGATATGTTCCAATCCATAGAATTAACTGGTCAAGCCAGTCTCGATCTTTATATAGATAATTCTATGATATTTATATCATCAGCTTAACCATGAGTAACTTTCTTCACCAACCCATCCTTATCAACCATGACATTCAACCTACATCAAAAAACATATTCAGTTAGCTCATCTTCCTCTGAACCTCTCTCAGAAAATACTACTAATTAACAAACATACCTATCAGGAACATGATCCATTGTCATCATTCCACCCTCGGCATCAACAACACGATGATTCTTGGGTAGATCTTTCTTTGCAAAAGACGTTTCGGAACTCGATGATGAGTCGGTGAGGGTTTTTCCAATGAGTTTATTTTGCCATTCTGAGGTGGATGACGAGGAGGATGACGAGGTGAGGTCGGGGACCACAAGAGGCATGGTTGTAATTTGGGATTTGAAGTAGGTAGCTGAAAAGTGTAATGGAATATATTTCTTGACGAATGGAAACTGTATTTGAAATTGTATTTCACAGAATAAATAAGAAGAGTAGTCCAAGGAAAAGGAATTATACTAGAAACAAGGATATTAAGTAGGTACCTAATGTAAGGGGATAAGATTCAGAATTGCTGATGCCTGATACATGATTCCTGATTATTCCTGATCTGACTGACGTTGGTGATGATGATGGCGGAGGCGGAGGAGGCCGAACCGAACTGCAATGACGTAGTATGCAGTGCAATGCAAGTCAAGTCAAGCACAGTGGCACAGTCAAGTCACGCAAATGTCATCGTACATGGATGGAGTGGTTCCGATAACCGAAGAACGACGCCACACGAATCGTGAACCAAGAATCGATCCATCTATCTACCTGATCTATCCATCTGTGGCATCAATAGGCGATGATGGCCTGGTCCCAAGCCCCAAGGCACGGATCCTTTTGATCTCTTCTCACTCTCAAAAGGATATTCAATATAACAGAACAAGCACACAATGGTACTGGAATAAAATCACTCTGGAGATTACTGTATTCGATTTCGAGAGTCGATAGCACTACTTGTAGGGTCAAATCCCCCATGCCATGCCATGCATCAAATCTCCTCGTTCCATAAGATATAAACACAGATATACAGACACACACTCACTCCCTCTCTGAAGCTGGACATGTTAGCAGCTTGACTCGAATCGACTTTTTTCCATTTGGCGTTATCTTCCAAATGGGATTTTTTGGTGTCATCTTCTCTCCCTTCTCTCCTCTCCCACGAGTTCGTCGAGTTCCAGGACAAGGCACATTTATACCTTTGACTTGGTTTTCTGGTCGTTTGGAAAGTCGAGTGAATGAAGCCCTTTGTGATGGTCTTGCTCTCGGGAGAAAAGAATTAAAATATTATACATGTGGCATTCATACACTTTTCACATCCTCCCTCAATCTGGCCGTGTCTTTCCAGACATAAGACAAAATGTCTCAGTAAGATTTCGAGATGAGTGGAATGAAATGAAATGGAATCGAGTGCCATAGACTGAATGGATGATGCTCAGGAGGCAAGGTTGTACGTCTCTGCAGCATCGACAACGACATCACAAAGTTGGCGTGGCCATGACAGACACGGTTTGGTGTCGACTCTTGCAATGCGAGAGAGACCGAGAACGGACCTTTGACCAAAAGCCATCCGACGATCAATCGACTTCATCTCTCAGATGTAGTCTCTCGCAGCCTTTTGCAATTCAATCATTCTCCAACCCCGGGTTTCTGGATTATTGACTTCTTCAGGTAATCTGGTCACTCCAATGGCATATGTAACCAATTGAACCTTGTCTTCCATCCCTGCCGCCAGTTCATTGGTCTTTTGGTTTCGGTACACGTGAACTTCCTGTGTCCGGCAGGTGATGATGAAGACCGGAATGTCACCAGGCTCCAAAAGTCGGGCATTCAAAATGTCCACGTGTCGGATGTCCAAAATCCGTCCGTCCGACTTCAATCCGGCTTTGGTGTATTGTTCCATCAATGCCGAGTACACTTGGAATTGTGCCGCCGACAGCCACAGCTTCAATGTTTCCACATCAGCCTTGACGTAGGCGTCCAGGACTTCTGGGAGGATATATTCTCGCATTTCCCGGAGGAAGGGTTCCATCTGGAATGAAGGATCCATTTCGCGGAACTTTTTAATCACCATGGCCGTCTCGTTCTCCGCAAAGAATCCTGCAACTCGATCGGAGATGGATCGTGCTGTCGAAATCAACGGGTTTTCTGACTCTTCATATGTGTTTTTCATGTTGAACAATTTTTGCATAACCGAAGAATTCTCCTTGAACTTGTTCCATGATTCTCGCCATGCAGAGTCTTTGTGGACTGTAATGTTGGTTCCGGCACTGAGGCAGACTCGTTAGACGCAATTATTTTTAGTCGATCTTCTGCACTTACTTTGGATCCTCCACCATGGGTTCTGCGGCCCTTTTTCCGGATTGCATTTCTTTCAGTTCACGTGCTTCACGTCTCAATCGACGCTCTTCCTTTTCGGTCCAACCCCCATATCTTGAGCTGGATCCGTCATCGACGGCTTCCGAGATGTCTTTGAAAGCCTTGGTCTCTCGAACCGGCCGTGTCGCTCGTTCAATCCCACGACCTGTGGCATTGACTCCGGCTCTGACACCTTGAACCACCTTGGTGTCCCAAGTCCAGGCAGCAGACTGACCAATTGCCCGTCCCGTGGTCCGTAACACCTGAGATGTGCCCTTGCTGGCAGCTTCAGATGCTTCTCGGGCTCGCCGCACGGCATCCGACTCTGTGAATTTCTCTACAGACCCAGAAAGCTGCTTGGTCGATTCGTTCCATTCCTTGGAGGCTTTGAACTCGGTACGCAGTGTCTCGGTAAAGACCTGCCATGGAGTCTTGTCTCCATGAGGAGGTGGAGCTGCTTTTTCCTCCTTCTTGTCTGACTTGGATTCCTCCTTGCCTTGTTCTTTCTCACCCTCACCCTCTGTCTTGTCTTTGGTATCTTCTTGACTAGCTTCTTTAGCGGGCTCTTCTTTCCTCGGAGGATCTCGGACTTCCTCTTTGTGTTGAGTCTGCTGGTATCTGGGAATGGAGGTATGGAGGGAGCGGAGTAAGGGTTGTGAGGACGCGAGAAGTGGTCTGGGGAAAGTGAAGGGTGATTGTGAGGAACTCCGTGAGGTCAGTTGCCCAACTGGAACAACCGGTGATCGATACGCGGTAATTCTGGCATATTGCGCCACTGGCCTTGACGCAAAAGCTGTGGTGGTGGTCACATAATGGCGGACACCATGAACGGGTGCACGACGCGGAAGGATCATGCTATTGAGGCAAAAGTCAAGGCCACAACAATTGACAAGCACGAACAACAACAAAACAAATATCCTGGTGGCCGTGGAAGAAGTTGATGTGATGGCATCCAACAGAGAAGAGAGAGCAACGTCGCAAAGAGAAAAGTGAGGATTTCGGCACAGCTTCTCTTTTGAGTCTAGCATGTCACGCTTGTCCTAATTGGGATATATTCACAATTCCTCACGACTTTCTTGCTTCTCAGTGCTTTGAGCTGCTCTACAGACGAGGGCTACAACTCACCACCACCGCCATTCATTCATTCATCCTCTTCTCTTGTCTGGTGGTTCTCCTCCTCCTCCCTCCTCCCTACTCCCTCACAACCTCTCCCCCATGCTCATCATGGCGCGCTCATCCACCCTCCCTAGCATCTGCCGATCCTGTCTCCAATCAACCACCACCCGACCAATAACCAAATCTGGACGCCCTCGACTCCTCGCCTCCAGCATCCCATACCAAACCATCACCAGTCGCGAACTCCACGGTGTCGACTGGTCTAAAAACTCATCCCCATCCGCCCCCAAACCCAATCGCCCCAACAGCGAATCCTCGGAACCCACCAGCGAATCCGATTCCCTCATAACGCAAGCTTTCTCAAGTCGCAACGCCCGCACAACCAACAGCGACATATCATCATGGCGGCGAATGACACGACAAGAAACCATGGAAAAGGACCAACAGAACGAAGACCGACTAGCTGCCCTGTCACCTGGTAACTCTGGCAATGCGGGAGCTGGAAATGCTTCACTCGATGAACCTTACCATATCCATGTCTATGCACACAAACACAACATGCACTTGACATTGACCGAACCCGGACGTAGTCCGATTCTCTCCCTTTCAGCAGGAAAACTCGGTCTGCGGAATTCTCAACGAGCGACCTACGACGCTTGCTACCAGTTAACGACATATTTCTTTCGAAAGATGATGGAGAAGCAATGGCGGTTGGGAGGCAAGAAGGCGACTACCAATCCGTTGTTGACTTTTGAAGCTATCAAGACACCAAGACTGGGGCATAAGAGTTTGGGGATTGAGGTCGTGTTTCGTGGATTTGGGCCTGGTAGAGAGGCGTTTCAGAAGTGTTTGCTCGGAACGGAGGGAAAGTTTCTCAGAGGTTTGATCTCCAGAGTCACTGATTCGACGAGGTTGAAGTTTGGGGGTTGTAGGAGTCGAAAGGTCAGGAGACTGGGTTGATTGTTGATTGACGATTGACTTCGTCGGCAGCCCCGGCCGTGTATTTGTGTATATATACATCCATCCATCCACCCAACCAGTCAGCAGATTTCAGAATTCGCATAGAGATCATCAATCACCTACCTACTTTGTCTGCCTAACAGTGTCTAGATTAATACCGAGGACTACCTAGTTCTGCACTTGATCCTCTAATTGTGTGGCTGAAGTCGTCTCTCATTCCATTCCAATTGCGTACATACTTACAAATATATATATATCGAAGCTAGTTTTGCTCCCAAGCTTCGAGCCCTTGTTATACCCCTTGCTTTCCTTTCTCTCCCCTTCCCCTCCCCACCTGTAATACCTTTCCTTCCTTGCCCCTTCTTCATCTACACCCGCACGCTCACCAACCACCAACCACCACCAATCCCACTCCCACTCCCACTCCCTCCCCGCCTCGGATCACCATCAAAAACCCCCGGGACTCGATGAGAAATACCCTCCTCCGCTGACAGGACTAGGACTCATATTCGGACTCGAACCCGGACTATTGCGGTGACTAGCAGTGGAGCTCCCTGCAGCACTATTATCCCTTCCTCGGACTCTGCTGTTTATGATGGTGTGGCTTGGGATCGTCAGCGTCCCAACAGAAGAACCTACACTGACACCGCCGTCCTCCAAGCTGGCGCCAGATAAACTCCTTGCTGGATCCAAGTGCCTTGATTGTGATCTGAAGCCAACGCCTGCAATAACTCGTCTAAGTGCCTCGCCACGAGGGTCGATAGCCATGAGGAACCTGGCCAGCTCTGCCAGGGATTCCGAATCGCCTTTTCGTTGCGCTAACTTCATCAATCGGATCACGTGTCCCTCGAATTTCCGCGCATCGTAGGATTCGGATTCGTCGTCTTCTTCCAGACCTTGTAGTACAATGAGCCAACCAGAGGCAGTCTTGAGATCTTCTAATTCTAGCGCTTGTTCGAACAGCGTCAAGGGTGGTGGCAGATGTGCGAATAGTGTCGCCCATGAGCTGAGTTCGGTTTTCCGAATGCATTGGACGATTGTGGAGAGGTAAGACGAAGGCGAGAGGACGAGCTGTAGGAATGAGAGAACTGCAGGGAGCGGATTTAGGGATGGAGATTCCTCTAGAGCTCCATCACTCTTTTCTCGGTCAACCTCACCGTCGAGCACGTGGTGGAGAAGAATTTCAAGCGCGTGTGGAAAATAGCTGAGATGCTGATATTGGTTGGCAACGCCGAACGCAGTGGCTGTGTCATGTGCCGAGCAGAGTTGATGGCGAAGAACATATGGAAGGAAAAGCTGTGTTCGTATGCTCGATCGGAATTGTGCAAAGTTGACATCTCGTCGTTGCACCAGTTCCGATTCAATGCCCAATACAATGCCTTTGGTTAGCAGTATTGATAGGGGATAAAAGTCCACAGACATGGACAGAAGCGGAGAGGTCAACGATTCCCCCTCGTTGCCTGGTTGAAATAATCCTCGTACGTCCGGCCAAAGTCGTAAATCATCTCCAGTGAATATCCAAAGCGAATCTCGTAAAGAGTAATGATGTTGATTGCGGGTAAAAGTGGCTCCAGGCAAGGGTGTCGGAGGTGCTGATTCTTCTGGGCCACTAAAATTGTAATAGATCTGATCTCGCATGAGAATATAATATTCCACGTGTTGCGCAATGACTCTCATTTCATACTTGAGTTCTTCCTTTTCGTTGCGCGAAGATTGCAGCAACACAAGTTTGTCGTCCACCAAGAACAATACCGAAGCAAACTCAACATCTCGAGATGGATCTCCGTTGCGGAGCTGGCTGTCAGGAACAATCCAACTGACCGATCGGACTCGGCTGGGTGCTCGGACAATGCCATGAAATGCAATCTGTCCAACTTGGACCATCTGGGCGCCCCGGTCGCTGATGTTGAGGATGTAGTGGTAGAGGATATTTTCATAAGTATAGACCAGTAATGAGTCTTCTCCTGATGGACCGACAAACACAATGGGCATTGAGAACGTCTCAGAGTGGAGTGGGTGCCGTCCCAGATCTCGTTCTCTTGAATACAGGCGCAGGTCGTATCCGGCAGCGCTTTCTGTCGCCACAGCAAGGATGTGGTTGAACCAACACATGCCACCTCGAATGGCAAATGAAGATTCCACCGCGAGGTCGGAGAATGTCTTCCATCGCCCACTTTGGACACTGTAATGTGCCAGACCTCGGCGACCCGCTATCGCAATGTATCGACCGTCTTGAGAGACAACGCTTGCTTTGATCGGCCATTGATTATGGAGATATACCGGAGGGTACCCTGCGTGGTGCCAAAGTGAAGCCTCGTTCGAGATTGAAGTCAAATCCGGAAGATCGTGACCACGATATACTGTCAGTTCGGAGGGGGTTTGTAGGAGTGCGCGAACGAGGTTGGCACAAGAGAAACAGCCCATTGCTGCGCTTCTGGACATCTCGACTCTCCATATCCGGTCATCTTTTTGGGCTGCCAAAAATATTTCTGCTCCACCACTTGCCCAGGCAGCGCGGTGAGGAGAGATCAACCAGCTCTCGTTGTTCGACTCAGCATGGCTCAGATTTCCTTGAAAGCTTGATGCACCCTCTTTGCCAAAGACAGACCATATCGACCATCCATGTTCGTAGGCGGCAAATAGGCAATATCCGTCAGGTGACCAAATCAGTGCCTTGATCTCTCCCCGCGATGATGGCGTCGTGGAGGGTTTGAAGGTGTGAGAAAGAGGAATGTTGCCTACATAGTCCTTTGCGGCGTAGCACAGTATCTCACCGGACGCAATAGCTATTGCTATGAGAGAAAAACGGGCGTTGATGCTGGCAAATACAGCTTCACCTGCGTCTGACTTGTGAAAGCAATACCCATCAAAGAGACGAGTTGCACCGGTCGTGGATGAGCGAGAAGAGGGAGTTGACTCGCTTGAAGATGGGGCTCTTGTCAGATTTGGCTTGACACGTTGTACCGCATAGGCTAGTCCATCATGAGATAACCAGACGGATAGATTGATGGCGCGATCATGGACAATGGTCGAGATGCTGGACTTTTGGCCAACCCAATCCAGTTTTGCCAAAAGTTGCGTGACTGCCTGAGAGCCATCTTTTTGTGTTTCCCATTTGATGCATTGGACGGCTGGGGGTTTTTTGGTTGAGACAATCAACTCCGAATCCAAAGCAATGAGGGCATTGATCCCAGCATCGATCTTGATGGCCCTTCTAAAACGGAGAAGAACTTCGGGAACACCAGCGGTTTCATCGACACCGAAGTTTCGCATGACATTCTGTCGCTTAGCTTGGCTGTAGCCATATTGCTGTTGGAGTACCCTGGCAGTGCCTTCAGTGTCCACCGAGTAAGTGATCAAGTAACTCTCGGTTGTGCGGATGACAACTGTACTGGCGTCGGGCCTGAAGACCACAGCTAGGTTGGTGCCGTACGTTTCCAACGATTTTGCGGACCTGGTCAGAGAAGCGAGGAGTACGACTGGTCTGACAGACCAAATGTCCAAGCGACTGGAAGTGGCCGTGGCGAAGAGGTGATCATTGCGGGTCACTTGAATATCCAAGATTCCCTCGACGTGACCCCCATTTGAGATATTGCTCTCATCCGGCGCGTCCTCGTGATCGATACCTGATTTGCTTGCATGATGCGCGTAAATCTGAGGCACCGTGCATGGCCAATACATAATTTGTAAAAGTAGTGAGTGAGATCATTTTTGTCGCATTGCTCTTTGTGGAGAGAATCGGGGCGGCATCAATGATCTTATCGATACAATCCCATTAGTCAAGGTTCCTAGGAGACTCGTTAAGTTGTAGTGGTATGATGTCGTCGTAATGTTGATGTGGAAATGATTGAAGACGAATCAATCGCGTGGCTTGATTGATGCCAAGAATGGCCACGCACCTTCCTCGGAACAACACGAGCACAGCACGGGGACTTCTTTTAGGGAAGAATCTCATGCCGCTTTTGTGGAGGAAATGAGAGAAGCATCAGTGAGCATCCCAACGTTCAACTCAAGAACGACTGATGGGGGTGATCAACGAATTGAGCATGAGACGTCGAATTCATTATACCACATTGTTTATACACCTCCCTAGTGGTCTCTGCCTCTGGGCTTCGATTCAATCGACAACCCATAGTCAAGCTCTACCCCGTGCATTCCAGAAGAATAGATACGCATGCCAATTCAAAACCAGCTCGTGGGACCGGTACCCTTGACTCCCGACGCTCGCTGGGGGTTCTCTTATCTGCATCCTGTCATGTTGTATAAACCTGCTGTGGTCCCAAATCCCTGACACCATTACATTACTCTGTGAGTCCTGGCACAAACACGAGACGTCAAAATATTGGCACTCGATAACTATCATGGCCCAATCGTTGACTGTCAGATGAATCTCTCCCGTTTCCAGAGTTGGACCGAGCACGCTTTCGAAGCTTGCTTTTCTTGTTGGCTGACAAAGAGGGGGCAGGCCACAGTCCAAACTCCTTGACCACGGGTCCTTTCTGTAGCGTTCCTGCTGGGAGCAATTCGAACCCGTTGTTCACCTTGCGAGCTCGAGTATTAGCAATTGAGATGGGTTCTGTGGGAGATACAGGAGTCGCGGTGGTCGCTGAGCTAGTTGATGATGTGGGAGTGTGCTTTGAGGACATTGATGTTGAGTCACTGCCTCGAGAAGATGGTGGCTTCTTAGCGTCCACCATTGCTTGAGTCTTCTCAGTCCATGCCGATGGTGGAGGTCGAGCTGGAGGGAGTGATTCGACAAAGGCACGGAATGGAATGGGTTTTGGACCTTCCATTCTTTGAGCTCGGCGTGACAGCTGTTTTCCCAAGTGTATTTCGACAGTTCTTGTGGGCCATGATAAGGCACGTGAGGAAGCAGAGTCGCTATCATCACTATCTGAAGTTGAAGGTGCAAGGGGTGTTGTGAGTACAATATCTGTATGGCGTCGGCCACGCGGAACCAACTGACCACTTTCTGCTGCGTGAAACCTCCGATGAGCCTCCATGACTTCGAGGATATTGACGTCTTCAGATTGTACATAGGAGCGTGAGTGAGAAAGAGCCTTGGATCTATTGCTCAATGTAAATTTCCTAGTCGACGGCCGATGACGGAGAGGACGCAATTGTAGCCTAGGGCAAGTTGTGTTGATTTCTTGAGCCATTGCTGGATTGTTGAGAGCTGTGTGACGTTGTCAATAGAGAAGAGCTTGTGAAACACCAGTACGGGGTTTGTGATACCTGAAACGATCTCGTCCGCCTCTTGTCCTGGTGCTGGGCTCACGTCAGGTCTTTTGTAATTTATGACCACGGATTTGCCTTTTCTCTTGACTGGTCTGGGTTCAGAGGAGAACTCGGAGACTGTGGAAGGGATTGTGAAAGGTGTCAGTTCTATGGAATGTGTTAGTGTGAAGGGGCAAAGGGCATGTCGGAGATTGACCTTCTGGTGAGGCAACTCCTGTGTCAGCCATGTCGAGCGTTGATGCGGAGGACACTGAGGGGTTCTTCTTCAACTTTTTGAAAGTCGCAGTACCAGGCCGCAACGTTGATGCTGACCTGGTTTTCTGTCTCTTGCCGTGAAATGCAGTGCTGGCTTTAGAGTTCCAGACACCGTCAACTTCGGTATCTTCAATCAGGGCATTGATTCCAAAGGGGACTTCGTCCGAGTGCCGGCCAACTAAAGACATTTCCCCCCTCTCGGCTGTCTCCGAAGGGGTGTTGGACTCGAGTCGCTTGTCTCTGAGCCATAGCACGAGTTTGATCAAGAACGCAGTACAGAGAACGAAAACCTGGTCTGGTCAGAAGGTGAGAGACAAGTGTGGACAACGTACAAAAACACCACCAAGAATCTGTCACAATTAGCGAAACACTCAATGGAGCGGATGGCATACTTGCCAATGTCAATCGCGCCCATATAGGCCATTCGATGAAGAACTCTCCGAAGTGTTTTTCGTCCTGCACTGTGGCCATGGCGAGGAAGAAATAGGAGATGCTAGGAGGAAGGAATAACGAGCAAGGTGGAACACATGTCTGGACAATGACGGCAGGGCACAGCAGTGACGGAAGAATAAAGCAGTTGGAAACGGTGTCGAGTACACTGTTAATGATGGCTGGAAAGAAGTTCGAGGCCAGATGGAAGAGAGAAGTCATTGAATGGGATGAATTGAAGGACTGCGACGATGACTGCACTTGTTTTGAGGGCAGGCACGAGTGACGGTCAAACGTGAATGGGCAAGTGCAGGAGCGAGGAGCAATTGATGCCATGCTCACCTGTCAGTGAACTTTGGATGGTGATATTGATTGACGACCAGATTCAAGGGTTGGAGGGCGATTTCGAGAAGTATCGGTCATTCCAAACATCAAGGATTTATTGCACAAGCAATTCTGTCATGTTGACTTACATGACTTGAGAAGGACTAACAACATATGTTACTCGGATGTTTGCTGTCCACTGGATATGGCTAGAATCGCGTCTTTGTCAAGTAACAGTCTCCAATGTAACAACAGTGATCAAAGGACGGACAATTTCAAGATGTTTGTGGTACAATGTTGAAGTGGTGTAACTCGATCGGCCAGGTGATGGACTGCGGGTCAAGCACTACACAGAAGTTACATGTTAGGTTCCAAGCCAGGCACGAGGGGACCTACCAGGTACCTAGGCTAGGCACATCCCCATGTATATCATAGGTAAGGTAGGTACCTGAGGTACTTGGTGGGGCGTGCCACGCCTGGGGAAGGTTGCGTGGGTGCTTGAGAAGCACTTCCATCGCTGGATTCCGGAACAAATAGGCTTCTTTGCCCTTACCGTCGGACGTCTGATGCACACTCCCCTGCCATAGGTAGATATCATGAGAGTTGCGTTGGCATCAGGCGTCACGACATCACAATACACCAGCATGTGCTGAGAAATTTATCGAATAGCGAGAATGTATATAGAAATCTCCAGTACAATCACATCCTCGAACAAGCCTGTTAAGATGAGTCGATGGTGACAAATCTCGACAGTCAGCAGTTTTGACGCCATCCTCAAAGTCATGAGTTTGCTATGAGTGTCCACAGGCGGGTTTATGCACTTCACAAGAATCCCAATGACCAAATCTTAGCCAATTGTGGTCATTATCGATAGTGGCGTCGCTAATATGACCAGGCCGAGCTCCGGCGTTCCGGGGGAAGCAGTGGAAGCACAGCTGCGCAGAGGCACCCACTAGCCACCCTGGGATGGCCGAGAGCTGAATGTTGGCGCTAATAGGCTGTCAATTAGGTTGAGGGCGGCCCTTATTGGCGCTTAAGGTTTAGTTGCAGGGATTGAGTGGCCTTAGCAACCTTGGAATTGACTTCCAAGGGATCCCCCGGACTGTGATTTAAAGGGCCCAAGGCAAACCCCATCGGCACTCGTCGGGCGTACTTACGCATAATAGACAAGCACCCAATCTATGCGTATCGTCACTGCGGACTTCGATCTGGTACTTTAGTTGGTGCTCGGCTTTCATCCAGACTTGTTGGTCTCCAACTTCTCTCAACTTGCTTGATCATGCGATAGCATTTCTTGCCTTGGTATTCTCTTTGCTTCACTCCTATCGACGACCTGATTACTCTGTATAGACATTATACTCTCATGTGTCCCATCGCCGAATAGACTTGACTACCCCGCCATCACAGACGATTGTCACCCAATATGCCACCCTTTCGAATCCCCTTCACTTCCAAAAGACCCACTGTCAACACCGAATCTGTGACAGACGAGAACGCCAGACCAACTCCTAATGGTGATCATGTCACAAGTCCATACACAAAAGACAAGCCTTCATTGGCTCTGGGTTTGAAGGAGCGAAGAGATGAACCCAACGAGTTCAAGTTGAGTTGTAAGCGAACCGCCTACCATTAAACAACCGCGGCTAATCCAAACAGCTGTCAGCGACAGTGGCGAATATCTACCTGTGAGTTGATCAACACCATACCCGACCCGAATCCACCGACTGACTATTCTCAGCCCTCACCAACAGAGAAAAAATCCTTCTGGGCCAAGTCCCCCGCCTCCGGAACCAACAATCATCGAATCTGCTTCAATGAGCACGAGCCCTTTTCTATTTCTCGCGAATCCTTTGAGTCCTACAGAAGATCATTTGTGAGTTGATTTTATTGGAATTAGGACTTTCCAAGTTGACCAAGAGCAGGACATCTCTGGTCGTTCTCCTATTCTGCAGGCAGACAGCTTCACTTCGCGCACATCCCTCGACTCCCGACCTTCATCCAGATATCCCACTCGATCAACATTAAACAGCTCGACCTTTGACCACCCTTCAGCGGATGAAGGGTTTGAGGATGTCAAGTTGAACGAGGACGCCAAAAATCAGCCTAAAAAGAAGAGCTTTCTGTCACGGTTTGGTGACGCGAGTGGTGAACACAGTGGCAAAGAAGACGGCAAACACCATTTCCACCTACCCGGCAGGCGAAGAGGCCAAAGTGGAACAGGGAGTGAATTGGGAGAAGTTCCTCGACCCCAAAGTCACGGACAAGCCGAGGTTCCAGTGCTTTGAAACGAGCAATGGACACAGGACGCGACGGTCCATACCATTTCCACTGACGTTCTATGGCATGCATTATGACAAGACTTGGGTTTTGATGATGGTTCAAGGTGCAGGTCATGGAGTTTTCGGAGAGCCAGGACAAGAGGCTGATTGTTTTACACGCATTCCAGACCAAGGTTGAGTATCCAGGCAGAAGACATCATATCCGCAGTGAACGAATTGTGTAGGTTCAAGGGCATGACTGGCATGGCCATCTCAGTCATTGTTGAGGTTCTAACAGGATACTATTGATCGATGGGAACATAATCATAATGATCCGGAATAAACATTGACACACATCGACTTTCCAGTGTTCCAGTTTCGAATGATTCTATCCATATGTAAACCAAGGTATTGTCGATCCAGCGTTGCATTGTCTGGCTTGATGGAAGCTTGGAGAGCATGACTGAACATTTTCGACAATTCTGTCTTCGCTCATGAGGCAGTAACAATCAAGCATTGAATTGTCACTGATCCAAGTTGTCCAGCAAGCCTTTCTCCTCTTCACCTCAACTGACTTTGATGCGACTCGACTTCAATTTCAGATCGACTCTACTTCAGATCAACTCTAACCTCGAAGCTTTCATCATCTCTTCGAATCGACCCATTGCCATTCCTCCTCCATCACAATAACCACCACCACCATCTCCTCCGCCCTTCCCACCTCCTTACAGTCTTTCCTTCCATTCGTCTCCGCACCACCCCCAGGGTTCTTTCTGATTGGAACCTCGCGTTAACGGATACCATGGCGATCACCGATGATTTCGAAGTGATCATTCACTCGAACGGAAAACGGGCAACCGAATATGACGACGACGACAATGCTGAGACCAACGCCACTACTCATCCGCCAAAATCCAATCACATCGTCAAATACATAGAAGCGGTTCCTGGTGAATTCTTCGAGTTTCACTACCGTATAAGACATCCTCGTCGTACTCTCAAAAACAATGGAATCAGTTTCGATTTCTACGTTAACGGAGATTATGTTAAAGGTTATGTCCGAGAGTTATCCGATTAGGAAACGGCTGGTCTCATGTCTACAGTCACTGGCGTTAATTACCTGGAGAATGGACGGCATTTTTTGGGACGATTTCAGTTTTCTGCCCTCACACTAAGTAAATACTCACTCAAATGCATCTCCATCTACTAACCGAATATCTACCTAGGTGAGATGGATGCAGGAGACGACGTTGGTGACCTGCGCGACAAACACGCCAATCTCGGCACACTACGTGTGGATGTCTGGCGATGTGTAACTACTGGACCATCTCCCAAAAATTTTCCGACCATTCCAGAATCAAAGGTTGTTTCCGAGAAAGAGATAAAAGGCAAATCCATTGACGTCTCTACAAGGTATCTATCTTCCACGTTTATTGTGATAGAAAGCCTCCTAGCCGCTGATACAATACAAGCTATGTTCGTACGCCGCTCCCAAAGATCGGAAGTTCGATCTCGGTTCGCTATCTCGATAAGACGGCCATTGCCTCCTTCTCTTTCAAGTACCGCACGAGACGTAAGCTCTGATCAGCTAGACATTCGAGATGATACGTACTAACAAGAACAAAGGCGCACTGCAATCCCTTCTCATCATCGAGCCCGACCCCGTTCCAGTGCCGCTAGAGGAAAGACCCATTGAGGAACTCACCCGTGAAGAGCTGTTGACATTGCTGCAGCGACAGAAAGTTAGAAGATCACCCATGGAGCGTGGTTCATCTAGTCTGACACTCTAGCAGGAACAAATTCAGATCAAGCATGAGAAGAAGCCAATAAAACGCGAATTGTCGCCCAGCATTCCAGACCAAATCACTCCGATGAAGCGCATCAAAGGCGACCAGGGCCAGGACGTTTATGTCCTCGACTCTGACGACGAATGAGAAAACATGATAGAGACCAGATCAAAGTTGATTGATGAATATCTAGGCGGATCAACTAGTGGAATTGATGATCTTCATTTGGCCGATCGACCGACAGCTGCTCTTCGCGACCGAAGGCTACTATTAAGTCGGCAAAGGTGCTTTCTCAGCCAGATTTTTATGGATATGGCACTTGCATGCGAGGAAATATCGGACGCCGGCTTTCCATGTGATAGCATTGGATCTAGCTCATTGGAAAATCGAGATAGGAAGCCCACCAGAGCTTGCATGATTGGGGGTATGAATGAGGCAGCTGGTACGCACCTACCGCTGGCGGTCAAGTGCTCGAAAGTCAGGTCGAGATCTTGAAATCATGGCCATGTTTTGACTGGATCATAGTTTCTATCATCGCAGCATATATCCGGGCTTACAATGATCTAGCCCCTTTGGCTTAAATGATGACAATAAATCAACAAGATTTCAAGCCAAGAGACCGATTCCATCATATTCAGGTCTTTAGCAAGTCGGATCAATTCTCTACTGAACCTGTAATGAGACGTCTGCGATCTGATTGACCCATGCCGCCAACCGTCTCCCTGCCTTTCCAACCAACTCATCAATAATCAACACTGCACCATCATAATACGTCCCATTGAGATCTCCCTCCCGAAACCCATCTTTCATGACATAGTCACAGACATATTTATTCGCCTCACCCGCCCACTCCAAAGCACAATCCACCGCATCATGTAAACACACCTCTCCCAAACCCCTTCCTTCTCCTCCTCCTCCTGCTTGAAACAACCTCACCGCCCAATTCCACGCCGCATCAATCTCATCTACTCCTCCCCCATCCAACCCCAAATACTTATTAACCATAATCGCATCCCACAAGGCATGCAAATTAACTCTTTTCCCATCAAACGTCACAAAAATATCATTCCCCCCTCTCCCCTCCGCCTCGGTATGTAAAGGCTGATGAATATCGCCGAAAAAATGCAACATGAACCTCAAACTCTGACCTCGATCCGCATGACTTAGCCCTTCATTTGCCACCCGTGCCGTTTGATTGGCAATCGCACTGACGACACATCCTCCATCACAGGCAATACAATCGCGAGTCATGTTAATACCGCATTGATTGGGTGGATGGTCATGTGCGTCGATGAAATGCCAGTTGGCGGAATAGGCGAATTGTGGCATATGTCGGACTTTATCGGCGAACAAGGCCGCGGTGGAGATGTCTTGGTTGTTGAGGAGTGTGTTGGTGAAGTGGTGGGATGGCGTAGTGAAGTACATACTGGCGAGATAGGCCACGGTGCGGTGGCCGAGGTTGCCCCAGGCGAGGGTGGTGGGGAGGAAGGGGAGGGTTAGGAGGAGGAGAGGGAAAAGAAGGGGAAGGGGGAGGGAAATGGGAGTGGGAAGATGCATTGTGTGTATGTGGTGTGTCCTGTTGATCAGGCTGGTAGATGGGGTATGTTGAGTTGATTCATGGGCATGTATATATCAGGTAGTAGTATGGGTGTAGAGCGGCGCGTGGATGTAAACAAGCCCTTCATACAAACCCAGAATCGGTATGAGAATGAGTGAAAGTCTGGTAGGAGAAAGGGGGGACTAAGTAGTCCACTTTATGTTTACAGTCCAATCCAGTCCAATCCAGCTGAATGTTTATGTCTGATGTGGTTGAGAAGGTGGTCGAAAAGGTGGTCGGCTGATACGAAGGAACAAGTCAGGTTGTGTGGCTGTCGTTTACTGGTGGATGAGGCTGGCTGGGGAAGTTGGTTGGTCAGGCTGAAGGCTGAGACAGACGCGTTGAGTGACACATGGTACGGGAGGGAGTAGGGAGCGGAGGGAGCCAAAGTAGATGGAAGTCACGTGTGGCTTGTGTTTCGTGTCTCGTGCTTCATGCTTCGTGTTTTGTGCATTGGTGTGTTCCTTCCAATTTGTAAATGGAGGGTCTTCCCTCGAGGAGGTAACTGGCACATGTGTGGAAGGAGCGATGTAGAAACAGAGGCACAGTGGGCCCTCGGCCATTCATGATGCGAATTCCTGCACGTGGATTTGAGGGAAACATGACTCATTCCAACAATAATGATCCCTACCACCACCACAATTATCACATCAATCTTGATGATGTCTTCATTTCTTTTTACTACTCTCCTTTCTCTTGCTAATTACTATGGCCTTTCATAGTTTTGTCATAACATCACAGGCGTGCCACTTCCTGCTTGAGGTTGGCCAAATTGTCACGTGAACAGCCAGGTGGGAATGACTGTTCATGAGTTCGCCGGACCTGGTGTACTCTTATCCACCTGGCTTGAGTACTCAGGTAGTACCTCCATTACGAGCGTACCGAACGAGCCAACAAGCGACCAAACCAAGTTACATCATCCCAAATTCCTGTCGGCTTTTCCGGTGGAGGTTCAATATCAATCTCATCTCCAACCACGCTACTTCCCTCTGCTGTCTTAGTTGACCCTGTCAATGACAATCGATTCTGGTCGGTGATTTTGCCTCCAGCTTCAAGATCAAAATTTGCACGACCTTCGTCCTCTTGCAGACCACCACCTGTATTTTCAGGGAAATCCTCGAGTCGGAGAAAAACATCCACAAGCCCATCCATCCATCTGCCGAGTTGATACGCGGAGATTTCTCGTCTGACGTCCTCTTCATCCTCACTGTCGAAGTGGTCGTCGAAGTCGAGTACGCCGTAAGGATCACCGTCATCGAATTCATCGTCTTCCTCGCCGTCAAGTTCCTCTGCTAGTTCACTCTCGACAATGGCGGCGATTTCGGCTTGGGTGTGGATATCATCCCATTGTGGTTGGATATCGTGGTCGTGGTCGTAGTAGTCATCATGATGATGTGTTGTCGTAGGAGTAGGTAAACCTGTGTTAGTCGCGGGAGTCATGGCTAACGACCGACGGCTGCCGTTGCGTCGGTTGCTATTCCTGCGGCTGACACTGGGGGTGGCACGACTGGCGGAGCGGGGAGGACGTCGTTCTTCAATAGGCGAGGCCAACGACGTCGATGAATCGCGTTTCGATAGCCATGATTGGCCTTTGGTTTCGCGCGACGACTCCGTTAATGCCAGTCCAGTCTGGATCAGCCATGATGACGAGGACGCTGATGCAGGGATGTGTAACCGGGTGATGGATTTGCTCGTCGGCGTCAAGTTCGCAGAATGGTGATGATTACTCCATGTCGAGTGTGCTGACAAGAGATGTGGGTGTGATTTGTGTCCGAACCCTTCACTGGTCAATGCACCAGAGGGGGGAGCGATGCTGTGATGTGGGTGTTGGTAGGGTTGGTCCTGCTGAATACCGATACTAGATTTGGACTTCTGGCGTAGTCCATCTCCGCTATGAGCCTGGCCTGGTGTTGCATGCCTCGTCCTCGAGGCGGCGCGTGATCCTACTCTTGAGCCTGGCCGACTGCTTCGCCCGTGTGGTCGATGCGAGCCACCAGGTGTCGAGGCGAGAATTCCACCAGGAGATGGTAGATTCGCGACGGTGCTTAAACTCCGCAGTGAGCTGGATGTGTGCAGCTCCGCCGTCGATGGGTCAAAATACGCATTGTAGTCGGCTGGGTCGATGGGGTATCTCGGCGTCAACGGCGCAAGAGAGAGATGGGAGAGGGATTGGAGGTTTGGATGAGAGCGTCGGTGTGGACCTGGAGTGTAGGCATGGCTTGAGGAGGAAGAGGCCGAGGGGAATGGAGGGGACATTCTGGAGAGAGTGGAAGTAATGGTGGTAGTGAGGGTGATGATGGTGGGAGGCTTTGCAGCTAGGAGGGTACTTTGGTCGTTGTTGTTGTGGGAAGGAGGAGAGAGGAGTTGGTACAGGGTCAGATCAAACCATGTCAGCTAGGTCATCTGCACGACTCTCGTTTACTGGTAATTGAACAAGAGACTGCGCAGTGGTAGTATACCTGGTAAGAGAGTGTGAGTGAGTGTTATTGTAAATGCCTCTGTGGTGTGGTTGTGGTTGCAGGTGCTCATGACGGAATTCGGCCAATAATGAATCAAATGGGCCGAGGTTGCTGCACGCAGGTGATTTGGATTTCTACGTTCGAGTTTCAACCAGCCGGGCGCCAGAGACTCAATGTACAAATAATAGGTTTCGCAATATATCTTTCACGGTCATGATTCATTGATTACTTTTGCCACCTATTTTGCTCTGCCTGTACAAATCCCAACTTTTGTCGTATTGACCGGCGTCCTTCTATGACTGCGTCCTTTTAATTTCTCCTTTGTTGACAATGAAAGCTTCCAGGGTAGAAATAGCAGACCAAAGCCTGTTTTCGGCCTCGGGAAAGACCAAAGACCGTGGACCATAGAAGACCTCGTCGCTGACTTCTTCAGGGTGTCGAGGGAGACAGTGCATAAATTTCCAATCTGACGCTGCTCCACCTTTTCGAGCCATCTCTTCTGTAACCTGATATCCAGCAAACGCCTTGAGTCTCTTTGCTTTTTCATCTTCCTGGCCCATGGAGATCCAGGTGTCTGTAACAATTATGTTGGCTCCCTTGACAGCCTCTTCTGGGGTATTGGTTTCGAAGAGTTGACCTTGACCCGCTTGATCAATTTCTGCCTTGATCTTGTCTGGGATCTCATATCCTCGAGGCGTGGCAACTGCCATGTCCACGCCCAGTTTTCGGGCGCCAATGCAGAGATCGTAGAGGACGTTGTTCGCATCGCCCACCCATGCGATTTTCAGACCCTTGAGCTTTTCTGCCGGTGTGGAAAATGTCTGCGTCAAGGTGGCAAAGTCTGCAATGATCTGCATGGGATGGTATGTGTCACATAATGCATTGATGACGGGCACAGATGAGTCTTTCGCTAGGCCGGCAATGTCTGAGTGAGGACCAACTCGTGCCACAATTCCAGCCACCATACTTGAGATGACCACTGAAGTGTCGTAGAGGGACTCGTTCACGCCCAACTGAATGTCATCTTTACCCAAAAACATGGGATGTCCTCCGAGCGCCACCACAGCTCCTTCAGTCGAAACTCGGGTGCGGGTGGAACGTTTTGAAAAGGTCAAGGCAATAGTCTTGTTGGCGAGGGTATTTCGCAGGGGCCATGACGACGGCAGTTTCGAGGCTTTGTGTGTTGTGGCGTTGTTGACTAGCGTTGCAAGTTCTGTCGGGGTCAGGTTGGATATGGAGAGTAAATGGCGCGGTGATGCTTTGGTGGAGAGACTGCGGGTTTGCTGGTGGAGAGAGCGAACAAGGGGACGAAAGGAAGCCATGGTGGGCGATGGTGGTACGTTCGTAGAGGATGTTGGAGAGAAGAGTGAGCTTGCTGTCCTAATATCGAGTCATAGAGGTCATAGAACTGTCATAGTATTCTTCTGCAAGATCGAGGATGAAGTTTTGGATTTTGGATTTCTTTTTTTTTTCGAGTCACAATTGTTTGCTGGCCAGAAAAGGAAGGAATGAGAGAAAAGCGTTTGGCGATTAGCGAGGGCAGGTGCGGGCTGCAGCCTCGAGCGCTTTCCCCACGACAATCATAAGCCAATAATATTCAGTGGGTTTGATGCTCTGGGTCTGCCACGGGCACATCACATGTATTGCTACCAAACCTACTGGACATTGCTAACATTACTCCAGGTACCTGAGGACCTTGATCTCGACTCTCCCATTCATTCACTAACTCTTGCTTCACTAGTGGAAAGCGATCTTCGCAATTCTTCATTTAGATGATAAAAAGCCTCATCGCTGAAATTATCGTAGGTCTCGTCTTGCTACATAGTGTCGAGAGCTCCATTGATCGAACAATGGCAAAAAGAGCACTGATCGCATCTTTAAGCTGTACATAAGCTTCCCAAGTGCTAGAGCGTCACACTCCGAGGTTTGATGGCCCAGTCGTCGGGGGCTGTGATGAAGATCAAACAACGTTGAAAGATTCAGAAGGACCTCCTATAATGTATCGTGCCGATGAGACCAAATGTCACCTTGTGATTTCAAAATGTAATCAACCTCTTGTGCAAAGGAATTTTACGAATAATTTAGTCAGGAATTTTGAGCCCAACTTCGTGAGCGATCTCCCAAGATAGCCATCCTCGTTAGGCTTGTGGATTCGTCCGACTTTTTGAGCACCCCGCAGATAGAATTCCAGGAAGCCAGATCTTCATCGAGACCCCGAGACATGTTTTGGTCGCGGAGATTTGAACCACATGTCCGTGAAGACTTCGGCCACTTCTTCAAACTCAACCTTATCTATCAAACCTGTGACTTCCACAAAAATTTGCAATTTCAGGTGGCGTGAAAACCCATCTCGTCAATCTATGAACAACGTTCATTGGAATTTGCATTTCATCAACATCATCAGCTGGAGGATCAACGAATGCCGTGTTCTTGTTGCCATGAGAGAAGTCCTCAAACATGTTTTTGAACACTTTGGAGGCCAGTGATAGGTGCTTCGACGATACTTGCATTCTGGGACTGTATGCTGTTGATGAATCTGTGGCAATAACGCCTTCGTGCTTTGTGCCTTTGACAGCTCGTCTCCAGCGAAGTCATGCTCGGGAGCATTATCAGCGGAATCTTCATTGATGGGTCCCGTACCAACGATGGGATGGTTAGCTGGTGCTTGGTCGAGGTGAGGCTCATCAGCAAGATCTGCCTGGAGTGGACCGGGCAGTACGACGGTATCAGCATCAGGATCGAAAATTGAGATTCTGGGAGTCAGCGACATAGTGGGTCGAGTTTAAGGCCTTCGTGGTCCATCCCATTTCCATACGCCAGCCAGTGTGTATCTCTTTCTTAAAGCGAGTCAGGCTTTGGCATCTTGGACAGCCACCCACGCTCAACCTTTGCTGAACATTCGTACTCCATCGAAACTGGATCCACTAATACCAAATCTCCTGCAGGTGCGGATGATATCGTCGAATGACATCAGTCAAGCTCGTACACTGATGGACGAGTGCTTGAATTGGGACCTGTTGACCCTACTTCTTTCCGTGTGATCGCCCCTCGCTGCGTATCTTGTGGCGAATCTGCTGCTGGACTTACCGCAGAGGTCACAGGCGATCCAATCAATTCACCGACGCTCGATTCTCCCGCCTCTGTCCGCGATACGTCGCTCATAGTGCCAGTTCCGCCAGTTCCGCTGTTGGTCAGCGTCGAAGCGTCAGGAGAGTGCAGTTCATGGGACGCTGGCGACCGAGCAGTATCTGGGGCATGCAGTTCATACACACCCTGTCTGTTCTGCGATGGTTTCTTCCCACCGTCGAGCTCCGATGTCGCCAAGTCTGGCTCAATCCCGCCTTTGCCATGGTGTGCAGCTCCTACTGCAGCAGCAGCGAACGGCGCAGCGGTCAAGAATGTACCGTCACCATCTCCGCGGTGGTCTTTTTCATCATTCAAACCAGATCCTGGTTCTGTCGACCTGGCCCTAATGCGACGTCTTTGTGCCCGTCTCCGCAAGAACCATACCAGCAAGCCTACCAAGGCAACAATAACAAGTACTCCGATGACAATCCCTGCAATAGCACCTCCACTTAACCCACCTCCATCTCCTGCAACGGCATCATTATCCAGATTGCTGCCTTCAGGGGGGGTTCCTGACTCAGCCGCGGCCGTTGCAGCGGCAGTATTGGACGGCTCTCCTGTTGGTGGGGCAGAAGTGCCACTCGCGCTGGGACTGGCGCTCGCCGAGTCGGACGTTGATGCGGCAGCTGATGTGGTTCCAGAGGCTGGCGCGGTTGAAGTGGGCAAAGGATCCGTCGCGCTTCGACCCAACTCATCAACGATATTGATCGGAGTAGAGTCGACTGTCTGGGTGCCCTGGACTAATCGCAAGGTATAGTAGCCGCCGGGATTGTTCTCAAGATCAACGTCCCATTCGAAGGATTGAACGACATTGCCCTCAGGTTCGTCTGGATTGTCATAAACTTGTAAGCTGGGACCACGAAAGGAGAGGTTTGTGATTGAATGCGAATGCATCTCCACGGGTAGTTCAGTTTACTTACCATCGTCGACCACATCATCTATGACCCGTCCGTCTTGTATCAGATCAACATATATGGGCTAATGATAAGTCAGAACACCAGCTTCATCGATCAACAGGAAGTGTAGGGACAAGAATACCGTCACTCCATCACCACCTGACCACAGGATCACGATCTCGGTGTCCTCTTGAACAGTTGGTGGGATGTTTTGGAACTCGATCGTCTGACCCCATACTCCCCTTAGCAGTATGAGGCAGACAAAATACCATCCCAGACCCACGGAGATCCATGAAGGGTATATAGAGGGCATACTTCTACTGTACGTTGTTCAAAAATGATGGCAAAGACACGAGCTTAGTGGGATGAAATGTGTTAAACAACTTTGCCATTCACGCTGCAGATAAGTTAAAGTTCCAAAATGGTCGCAAAAGCACCCAAAAGAGCGGAATTATGTTCAGTACATTTTGGCCTCGTCTCTATGTGGTCGCAGCTCCAGCTCGACTCGCTCCTCATGACAAGCAAACCCTCGAGGGCTGTGCAAGCTCTTGTCGAGCTGGGCGATCGTCTTGGCCAAGAGGACTTGGAGGAGATCCATTTGGCATGACCCACTTTGGCTTCTCGAAACAGTTGCACGCGAAGGTGATGTCCGGTCAAAGGCATGCTTCTCTTCGAGATGGGAGCAAAGTACTGCCTCGATAAACAGCGGATGGTTCGTGCCTGTGACTTAACATATTCATCCATAACGTGTCTAAGTGTAGTGTTGGTAGCTATTTAGGGGTTGCTAGTCGTCGTCACCAGAGACATGGACTTGAGGCTTGTACAGGGAAATCTCCAAAGCTGGCCCCATGGTGGAAATACCAAACATCTCGCCGACGTCAACGACGACATCGATGCTGAGCACGGCAGTGCCCTTGTCTTGTTGTCTCCCCTAATAATAGAATCGTTTCGATTAACTCTATTGCAGGCTTTAAGCCCATACATGCACAAGCTTGGACCTGATCAAGTTATTGCGTGATGGTGGAGGATGATGGTAGACACAAACTCTTGGTAGAGAGAACCTTGTGTGCTCTTGGACCGTGTCATTATTGCCATACGGACGATCAAATACCAACCAGATTCTTTGGTCAATTTTGAGGCTTGGGCCTTGGAAATCCCCTGCGTTCTCCACGAGGCAACAGTTTGTTGGAGGGAATCCTGTTATTGTTGGAATCGGAGTAGCACGCCGCTTCCTTGGCCATCTTCTTAATCATTTTGGATTTCCAAGGCTCAGCGGAGAGTGGGTTCTTTGTTCTTGCCCAGCATTCACAACCGCGCCAAGAACCACCGCTGGTGATTAGAGCGCCCACGTGCGCCATTCTCTTACGATTTGTGGTCAGAGACTCTAGAAGACGCTTTGCAACTACCGATTTGTCGTTGATATCAGAATGCAGAATGAGTCAAGACTGAGAATTCCACGACCAAAGAAAAGCCCCCGCGTTCCGACGGAGGCTGTCGAGGCTGTTCTTGACTACTGATGGTGTTTATTGTCGACCATGGGTCACGCGACTTATGGTGATAAGGATCCACCTGACTACGACACTCCTTCTCAGCCTTACTCCTTTTCCTATCCCAAACCTGTACCGTAGATAGACAATTGATCATGATCCAGAGAGTCCCTTGGCCTACAACCATCCTACAGTTGTTAAAGAGAAAGACGAACGGTTGAGATGGTTTCAGTTTGGTCTTATCCTGTCTCTAACAGACTAGACAGCAACTGGTGCCAGTGAGAAACAAACAGCCCGAATGTAGATGCCAAATCAATCAACTCATGCTGAAATAGGATACTTGACTTGGATGTATGCCAACATGGCCAGCCACTTGCGGAAAGTGGGAACTGAGCACCTCGGTGGAATATGGGAGAATGAAGGGTGTGGACGAATGCATCCAGAATATCCTTTCTGCCTTCGGAGGGCATGCCGGTGACATCGTTGGCGATGAGTCGAGCCAGACTGAGGAATTTTCTTGACTGTGGTCACGCGAGATCAGGATCGAGCTTGGACAGGAGTATCGATGGGCGCCGCCAAGGGGCTCTATTTTGTCACCAGACATCCAGGCATTGTACAAAGCCTCATTGCCTTCGACACGATAATGACTTCGCCACTGAACACAGGAGTCACCGACGTCTTTGGCCCCCGTGCCGAGCACGCCACCAAGGAGGGGAGTATGGATGCGGTGGAGGAGGGAACCATTAACCGATGGTTCACCGCAGACTGGCAGAGCCGCCATCCTACAATAGTAAAGAAGATCTAGGGATCGGAACCTCCGGCTGGGTTTCTATCTTAGATAGGAGGTGACGCCGTAGTATACTCGACCTAGACGGGATAGGTCTTCTGGCTTAGGCCAGTAGATGAGAAGCAGGGTGAGAGTGTCAGAGAACTGCGTCTTGCAAAGCGTAGAGCCAAAGGCTGCGCGTTTTGCTATAGATAGAAGAAGGACTTACCACTTCCAAGAAGTCCTCCAAGCAACCGTTTCAACCTCTCTTCTGACAGAAAAGAGGTTAGGTCGTGATGAGTATAACTCTAAAAGCGACGCCGTGCTCATGAACTTTATGGAAGCTCACTGCAGACTTACTATATTTGTCGCCGCCATGGTAGAGTTTCTCGGCACCGCTTTCATCTCAGTATTCTCGAGCCAAGTCCCAAGGAGTGGGTAACCATTTTTCTATTTTAGCAATGCCAGGATAGGCGCAGCAGAGACGCCCAGACTGGTGACATATTCTGATGTCAATATCTATATGCGTTCTCTATACCCTGTGTGCTGTCAATGGATCTATATAGACCGCAGGGTTGTCGCCCATGAACATGGTCAACAGCATCCAAAACAATCAAAATCCAGAGCATTCTACATCCAGATCATCGCTTCCATCACCACTACCCGAAAAATTATACCTTCAAGAAATCACTAATTATGAAGACCACCGCACTTATGATGAGCGCCTTGCTGGCCGGTGTCACATTGGCCTTGCCAGCTCCGACAAATGGCGGCTCGAACGACCTTCAGACGCGCGATACCAATCTCGACGCATCTTTGCAACACAAGTATTTTGCAAGAGATATCGGTCTTCCCGACAAGAGGGTAATTTCTTCCTTCTTACTGTAATGAATGTCAGTAGAACTTGACTGACCCCTTGTTCCAGGAGGTCGAGAACGGAGAAGTTCAGAACTTGGCAAGAGATGTAGATGCCGCCGAGAAGAGTGAAGACGACAAGGTAATTATCCTCACGTCCACCATGTATCCATGTTCATGTTCATATCCATATTCTGACCAACTCCAAGCGCAAAAAGCGAAGTAACGCTCTGAGCACCAGACGGAGACGCCACCGACGCCGATCTCCAAAGAAGAACACAAAGACCTCTGATACGGTATTTGAACCCCAACTCTTTCGATCTTCAGATCTCAGCTGACACTTAGTAGGACAGCGACACTGATAGTCATGATGATACCGACAGCGAGAGCGATTCTGAAAAGGTTAGTCACTTGATGCCTTTGTATCTGGTTTAAATTGCTGATTTTGTGACAGAAACATCGTAAAAGAGCGCTTGCCGTGAAAAAGGCACGGCAGGCAGAAAAACGCGCAGTCGAGAAGCGTAACGATGATACTTCCGATAGCCCTAGCAGTGCTAGCAGCCCCAACAGCGATAGTCCCGATACTTCTGATAGCGGCCCCAGCGGCCCCAGCAGTGCAAGTGACACCAGCGATAGCGATATCAATTAAAAAGAGAAGGATGTCTGACCGTCCACGGGGTCTTCTCGGCTGTGTTATTCAGGGGTTCACACTTTGAGTTCTGTTACTTTCCAAAATATTCGCTTCTCTCTTCGACATTCCTTTTCTACCTCAAGAGATACCTATATATATACATCAATAAAATTGACAAGTTGATACCTTGAGCACCAAATTATGTCACGTGATTAGTCTCACATCATCAATGATCAGATAGTGACAAATAATGACATCTTTCTGGACTTTCAACGTCTTTGCCTCGTAGCCCGGCATATGCGGAAATTCTTTAATGGTCAGAAAGTTGGTTCGGGAGTTTGATAGGAAGCTAGCAGCTGAGGATGACAATTCAAATTGGATCCGCGGGTGTTCGACCTACATGCTCTGGGGAAAGCCTCCGCTTCGGGTCGTTCTGTCACCAGTCCAAACGGAGGGATCATACTCAATCCTTTGATCAGGCTGCAGGTAACCTGTCAAATGGTTGGAATAAATCCAACTTCAGAGATATTGAATAGTAACTTGCTCTTCGTTGTTGTGCATCTCCAACCACCGTGATTATCATGTTGTCGGTCATGGTGATTCAAGCCGAAGGGTTGTTTCCACAAACATACCCTCCTGGGTAAACCGGTAATCTCATGTGTAGATACCTCTCGAAACGAGAACGTCAAGTACTTCTCGGCCAAGGCCTATATTTCTGGCTTCAGTTGCTGCTATAGTCTGAAGATAAACAGGAAGAGAACAGAACTCCAGATCCCCCAGCTAAGGCTATGCGTATCATACTTGGGAGATATTTCCATGTACCTCTTTTGTGGTTTGCAGATGTTCGTCCGTCTGTCTCACGCCTTTCTCTAACAACAACATTCACGATGGGAGTGATAGGAGGCGTGGGGCACTTTGGATGGGGTTGAGGCAAATCACGTGCCTTGACGCCTCCAGAGCAAGGTTTGTAAAAATGGACGCTTCGAAATAGTCAAAGTGATTCTTCAGACAGCTGTCAATCAACAATCTTCTATGCAGCGACCGAGACGATATCTGACATACAGGTCGAGGCAATCATGGCACATGATCTGAAACCAGACCAGGTGCTCTTGTTAGATGGTGGCCTTGGAACCACGCTGGAAGACGAACATGCTATCAAATTCTCCTCGAAAACTCCATTGTGGTCTTCACATCTCCTTGTCGAAAACACCAACGTCCTTCAGACAGTCCAGCGAGACTTTGCCAATGCTGGTGCGGAAATCATTTTGACGGCAACATATCAGGCGAGTTTAAAGGGGTTCGAAAATACCAAACTGGGGTCAGACAATGGGATCTCGAGAGACGAGGGATCCAGGTACATGGTCTCGGCGGTCAAGATCGCTCGACAAGCATTCCAAGGACGCCATGGTCTGGTTGCACTATCGCTCGGTGCGTACGGGGCCAGTATGGTACCGAGCACAGAGTACAGTGGGGAATATGGTAGCATGAAGGAGCAAGACCTAGTCCAGTTCCATCGAGATCGTCTAAACATCTTCCAGGCCAGTGAAGAGTGGAATAATGTCGATCTTGTGGCGTTTGAAACTCTGCCTAGACTGGATGAAGTCGTGGCTGTACGACGAGTGATGGAGCCAATTCAACAAAAGAAGTATTGGATATCTTGTGTCTTTCCCAACCAAGACGAGAGGTTGCCTGATGGGACTGAGATAACGAGTTTGGTCAAGGCCATGTTGGGTGGGACCAGGCCACCGTTCGCAATCGGCATCAATTGCACAAAGATCTACAAAGTCGCAGGTTTGATAGAGAGATTCGAAGATGCAGCACAGAGTCAGGGATTGGCATTGCCTTGTCTGGTTGTCTACCCGGATGGCGCAGGGGACAAGGTGTATGACACAGTGACACAACAATGGATAGGAGATGGCTCAGCACAACCACCGTGGGATGAGCAGATGATTGACATTGTTCGCCAGGTCAGAACAAGAGCTCGCTGGAGGGGCATGATAGCAGGAGGCTGTTGCAAGATATCTCCAGGGCAGATTGCACAATTGAGGCGTCAAATAGATAGTACAGAATGACAAATGTGTTGACGATGGAAACCTCCATTAGGCATTGAGCGGATGTTGTAGGCTCTAGCTTCCAGTTAAGCGTGGGGTATCATAGTTTATAAGAGCGCCCGTGATTCCCTGTGGTTTGGGCGCCTGATCATCATTTCGATTGCCACTAGGCCGTAGCTGCACCCTAAAGGCCCTTGCGATTGTACCTGCATTGGTGGGTTAGCCACCAGTGTCTACTCCGTAGACCTTCTAACCTCCAACGTCAGCTCCCTCGGCTTCACTCCCAAGCCAAGACCGTGGCTGCCTTCCATGGGTGATGATGCGTTTCAATCTCCATCCTCGTCATCATGTCACATCCACGCCATCTTCATCTCACCAAAATGCTGTAAATCGACACAATCCTTCTTTTTAAACCACCAAAACACACCTATCCTCAAGGTTGCTACCTTCACATCGTCCCAATGATCTAAATCTCACCATCAGTGCGCCTCGATTGCGCTGCTCAACATGTCCTCCTCCCCCTCCTCTCCCAAGACCTTTCCCCAGTCTTCCGAAACCACTCCTCTCCTACAACGGTCCGAGGATGCCACTTCAAATCGACCCGCTTCTGTCAATGAATCTCTCGACTCCAGCTCTCACAAGCGGACAGAAAAATGGCCCACAATCATTGCCCTGACGGCCCTCTGTCTCTCTGTTGCGCTCATCTGTTTCGGCCTGACCCTCCCCTCGGCCATCCAAGAATATGCCAAAGAAGGTCTGGTCTTTGAGCCAACAAAACTGTCCGTTGACTCTTTCACAGCCTTGGGAATCAAGGCGAGGGTCCAGGGCACTTTCTACTTGGACGCCTCCAAGGTTCACAATAAAGCGACAAGAGACTTGGGAAGACTCGGAACATGGATTGCTAGAGAGGTCGAGAGTGATGAATCGTCCGTCAAAGTCTACCTTCCCGACTACGACAATGTATTGCTAGGCTCAGCCATCATCCCTCCCATCAAAGTCAATGTCCGAAACCAACATTACAACTACATTGACTTCTATACCGATCTCGAGCCGGGTGACGTTGAAGGCATCAGACAACTGGCAAAAGATTTTCTCGACCACAAGATTCAAGAAATTTCAGTCAAAGCGATTGCACAGGTTTCAGTCCAGAGTGGCCTCATCAAGTTGGGCCAACAGACCCTCACCCAGTTCCTCCAATTCTCCGGCGGTGACGTCCCAACCATTCCTGCATTCGACATTCAAAATCTTCGATTTGCCGAGTATGGCTTGCCCGGTCATCCAGATGGATTGAAGGCTATGGCTGCTGTGACGGCAAAGAATGAATATCCTGTCAATTTCGACGTCCCTCCCTTCGCTTTCGAGATTCTCTTACCAGACTGCGAGGATGACTATCTCTTGTTTGCCACCGCTTCCACCGAGGTCATACACGTCAAGCCTGAACAGAATGTCACTGCCAAGGTTACTGCGCTCGTTTCACAGCTTCCAAATTCGCTCACTTCAGCCTGCCCTGGGTCCAAATCTTCCCCCCTCGATAGTCTGGTTGCTGACTACCTGGCTGGTCGTGACACAACTGTTTATATTCGCGGAGGAAATCAAGATCCCGACACCCCCGATTGGATTGGGAACTTACTCAAGGAAACCACACTCCCCTTTTCCCTTCCTGGCCATCCATTTGACAACCTCATCAAGAATTTCTCCTTGACCGACACTCATTTCTCGCTCCCTGACCCAGGCAGTGAAAAGTATCCCAAAATATCGGCTGTTGTCAAAGTCCTGGTGGGCATGCCCGCAGATATGGAGGTCAACCTGGATGTCAACGAGGTACGAGCGGATGCCCAAGTGTTTTACAAGGGTAAGCTATTGGGCAATCTCGACTTATCGAAGTGGCAAAAGGCCAATGCCACCAAGGTCGGTCGAGACCTTTTGGTCCAGTCCATCGTCCAAGAGGCCCCGCTTATTATTGAAGACGAGTCCGTCTTTACCAAGGTGGTACAGGAATTATTGTTTGGAGACGGAGTTGCCCTCTCGGTGCACGCCGTGGTAGACGTGAATACTCTGACTGCTCTGGGCGAATTTGTGGTGCGCAACATCCCAGCGGAGGGTCAGATCTTTGTGGCGCCACTGGGAGGAGGAGGGTTCAAGATGCCGGAAATAAAGGGTATGGAAATCGTTGAAACATCCGAACATGCATTAACTCTACAGGCAACGGTTAATGTTACAAATCCCACCGAGTACTCGGCCACTATCCCCTACTGCAACGTGAGTTTGGTCGTGAATGAAACCCGCGTGGGCTACGCATGGGTCTCAGCAAACATTGTCCCAGGACCCAACGAGGTTGTTGCCCAAGCAGCATGGGAAGTGAGCAGCGTTGGCCGAGAATGGTTGTCTCAATTCGTTTCGGGATATAATACGACATTGACAGTACAAACTCACGCCAATTCGATCCCCGGTGTACCGGATATCGGCTTATCCTTGACCATCCCCACACCCAAGTTGTTTGGCCGTCATTTCTTAAAAGAGACAACGGTATGAGTTTGTCCCGAGTTTGAATCACCCCACTGACGGATCAGATGCATCTGCTCTCCTCGACGGCCACATTTGTCTTGGTCTCACCATTTGCCCTGTTTATCACGAGCATTGCGGCATCGGCATTTTACAACGACACCGAGGTGGGCACCATCACATGGAAATATCCATTCGCCATTGAAGAGGGTGAGAATACCACACCTAAGCTCCCGGTAGAGTGGGGAGGAAACGCTTTGGGCACGATTCGAGATGCCCTTGGAGGTACTCTCAAGTTGGATGCCAGTGCAGATGTCGGAGTGAGAATTGGGGAATGGAATGAACAGATCTGGTATCAAGGAAAAGGCCTCGGAGCCAACATTCGATTATAGAAGATCACGTACATGTTATTTTGTGACAGATACACACACGCGAGATGAATGACGAAATATCACCGATAGACCAAGGCTGTTCTGATTTACACACCGCCCAGACAAGATTCCACATCCAAAAATCGGACTTGTCGGATGGAGCATAATCACAGCAAACAACAGGGTTGGTTGATGAGTGTCACACTGTGTACAGAGACCCTGTTCTTGGCTACATCTGGTCCCCTGGCCCTCCGGCTCGGAACCGCGGGATGCGTCATGTAGATGAGGTGGTAGATGAATCGGTTCTTTTCTTTTACTCACTCAGCCTGGTTTTGGAAGCGCGTGATTCGACGGCGTCGTTGGTTGAGACAAAAAGAAAACTCTTCAGTGGCTCGGCGCTAACTCGGATTTGCACGGCGGACACTCTACCGGTCACGTGAGGTGGCAGCTGCCCTAGCATCAACCTATCGCACTATAAGTATATATGATGCATCTAGGATGTCCGGAAATTGCTGAGGGCATGCTCATTGCAGACGACACTATGAAGCACACAAAGACTTTCAACCAGCAGTTGCGGAAAAACGGCCTCCAGATGGTCCTCGAGGAATTCGACCCCGTCTTTGGCCCCGTCTACACACTCGACACTCTTAAGACCGGCACCACTAACATGGATGTTGCTGCCCGACTGCAATATGCAGGTGAGACATCCAAATGGAGTCCGGCGCATCGAAAAGCGGCGATGAAGGCCCGAGAGGACATGGACCATGCACAACAATCGTCCAGCCGGTCATCATCAGAAAGTGTGTGAGAGACAGCATATTCAGACCATTGAACTCCTCTATGGTCAAGTAACAGCACCTCAATTCTGACCCTCGAACGGAACCTCGGACATGGTCATGACCTTTTTCATATCCTCATCCTCAAACTCGGGAGCTTCTCGAAACTTCCACTGGTCGCGGATCAGCTCGACCGCCTTACCACTCAACGACTGGTCATTGGTCAGCATTTGCACCACCTTGACCACACTCTCAATGGGAACAAAGCCTTGTTGTGGGAAACGATCCCATTCGGCTTTGGAGATGAGATTGGTGCGGACGGCTCCCGGACAAATACAATTGACGCGGATGCCTTCTTTGGCAAACAACCCGGCAACCGACCGAGTCAGCCCTACCACACCATGTTTGGCCGCCGCATACATGGGGAGGTATGGAGTTGGGTACAGCCCTCCAGTGGAGGCCGTCATGACCAACGCACCGCCTGGAGTGGCATTCTTCCGAAAGAAATGCACCGCCAGATACGCCGTCGTCACCACAGAGGTGATGTTGATGTCCAGCACCAGAGTGTCCAGTTTAGGCGGTAATCCCTTGGCGTCCGACTCGTGTCGTTTGTAAAAATCAACCTTTTCGACAATTCCTGCGTTGGCAAAGACTGCAATGACATTATGGGTTTTGGTCAGCAACAAGTCCATCGAAGGTTGGTGTCTTTGAGGGATTGCAAGCAAGGAATTCTACCCACCCATGTCCAACCGGCCGTGGTCTTGATACACCTGGGCGAATGTATTGGCAAGATTGTCATAGTCAGTGACATTGGTCTTGTAAAAGTTGCCATTCAGTTCCTGCGCGGCTTGTTGACCGCTGGCTTCATTGAAATCGACAATGGCCACTTTCCACCCATCTTTGGCGAAGGCTTTGGCCGTGGCCAATCCTAACCCCGAGGCTGGAGAAGAGAAGCCTTGGTCAGCTGAGGGACTTTTTGCGGGGGATTAGGAAGACAGAGACTACAAGGGTCACAATACCTCCTCCAGTAATTAGCGCAACTTTGGACATTGTTTTTCTGACTAGATATTCGTACTGTGAGCGAATAAGGTATTCAATCAAGTCAATTCTCTCAACTATCAATCGTGCATTGTATTTACATGGTCCTTGAGTCATCTACGAGGAACTGGAACCCCTCCCCCAGGCCTGGGGCAGGGTGGGTTCCAGCCACGAGCCATTTCCAAGCTAGGCGGGTATCGTCTGGATGAGTTTAAATATTGGAACCCTCCTCCATCAATATACCCCAGATCTCGTGAGTCAGAATTCCCGAGGTCGTGCCAAATGACTGACTCGTGCACTGAAGCGAAACCGTTTCGGAATCACGGAAGTTGAGTCAGGAACTATGATCCCGTAGATGTGCAAAGCGGGAGTCTCACACGCCCGGAACTCCAGATAGCGGGCGATTCGCCCATCTCATCGGACTTACTATTGGGTTTGTACGAAGAAGGTTTGATTCTCCACGGGGGTACATCTACGTCTACCATTAAAATTTTAGACCGATCAATCTATCTGCTACTAAGGACGAGGAGAGAGGGACACACTCGCCCTCAAGCCTACTTAGAAACATGCATCAATTAAAGGGAGAAACATGTCCATGGATGGTATTGGGAAATGGGGGAACAATGCTTATTATATAGGTGCCTAATTAATATGTTTGTAAATCTTTCCTGACTGTACCTTTCATCTCGCTCGACGGAAAGGTAAACACTTATCTCGGCCACCTCGTTCAGGGGACAGTCATCACTATCTCCTTGCGAATGCGGCCCGAGCATACCAGCCCCGAGGTCCGGTTCAAACCACCAACACAAGATTCCCGCTAAGATGTCTAATTAGTTGTTAGATTATCCCTCTAATGAAGATATACCCAGATTACTTATGACATGCCATAGTTGTCACTCTTCCACCCATACATGAATTCATCTCAGCATGGCTCCCACCAAATGGAAGCGCTCCACACGGGCTTGCATTACCTGTCGCTCTCGCAAGGTCAGATGTGATCTAGAGACATACGGCTCACCATGTTCCAACTGTCGATTCAATAACATAGTATGCCAGGCCGCGGGGAATAACCGTCGCAAGTAAGTGGTTCAACTCCGGACGCGGGATTTGGCGGGGGTTTTTGCATTATGCTGTCTGTCTGTGTCCATGGCTAACCACCACCACCAATTCTCTAGAAAACAATTGAAAAATCATTGCAAGAAATGTTCTGGGTCAATCACTGAAAGTGTTCATGTCGCTGAATCTCATACTTCCTCGCCGTCGCATTCTCATGATTCGGACGACGATAACAAGCCACTACCGGAACCGGAAGCCAGGAGTATTCCAACTCCGGCGTCACTGGATGAAATAACAGATGGTGCTACTCAATTGGATCCTTCGTGGCCATGTTTGAGAATGACCCACGTCCCCAGCGATAACCTGGCCTTTCTCCGCCAAAAGGGTGCATTCAAGATTCCCGACAGACGACTGCTAGTCCCTCTATTAACCAGCTACTGCAATTGGATCCACCCTCAACTTCCTTATCTAGACTTGTCGACAATCCTCGACGGGGTTTTTGACCGTGAAGGTCCAAAGATCAGTCCTCTACTATTCCAATGTATCATCTACGCTGGTGCTTCACATGTTCCTGACGGGACATTCCAACGGTTTGGTTATGCTTCCCGCTCCGATGCTCAGAACGTCTTCTTCCAGAGAGCAAAGGTACGTCTCCCTCTACAGAGGTACCAGGTATTTGTCACACAATCATAACTCGTCATAGATACTCCATGATCTCGACACCGAGAACGACCTTTTGGTATTGTCACAAGCCACCCTTCTTCTATCCATCAACCATCAATGTTCCAAGACCAGCACCGTCTGGCTGGCCCAAAGCCATCTCACCGCTCAACGTCTTGGCCTGGACCGTCCATCCGTGTATACCGGCTTGAGAGGGCAACGAGCCAAGCTATGCAAACGACTATGGTGGTCCATGTTTCTTCGCGACAACACTTTACGCCTGGAACTAGGCACTCCCAGACATTTCCAGGACGTCAGTCCCGACATGCCCGCTCTGACGGAAGACTGTTTCGACATCACCGACTTTCCCACCCACCTAAAGGAATTATTACCCGACGCCAGCATCGTCGTCGATCAAGACATCCATCGAAAACTAATGCTCATGTCTGTACGACGAGCCGAACTAGCCACACACCTAGCCCACATCTTAAGCCTAGCCAGCCAATTGAACGAATCCATTTCCACCAACACCACAGGCAGAATGGAACGCATTTCGGTGCTATATGAAAACCAACTCCGAGGATGGCTATCTCGACTAAACAAAGACACGCAATTCAGTCCTCGGACCGACTCACATATCCTGGCCTATCACTCTGGATTATTGTCCATGCTGTATCTATCCGCGTCGAATGCCTTGCTTCAACACCACCTCGCCGGCACATACTCGTCATACGTCGATTTGGCCGTCCGATCACAGATGGAGAATGACACAGAACGACTCCTGGAAATTGCTCGCATCTTGTATCAGACGTCGTCGACGTGTTTCCCGCCCACGCTGGGAATGGGTCTGGTGTACAATGCCATAAATCGATTCATCGCCCTCGCTGATTGGAGACGTCTACACGCCGCTCCTAGTCTGGTCCTCAATCCAGCCATTAAATGTCTCTGTGCCCTCATCAAATCAACCCCTCGAGGCACGGCTGTCGCTGTGGCGTTGGCCCATCTCGAGGCGAAAATCAAGGCTTTGGATATCCCCCTTCCATCATCTACTGTGTCCCATGCCGGTGATGCTACTGATCCGGTCGATACTTTGATCCACTCCAGTGGGTTTATTTTACCGAACAATAACAACCTCAGTGGTCTTCAGTCACCAGCGGATTCGCTGTTGTCTTTTGGTGATCATAGTTCATATGTCAAGAATGACGATATTATCATCTCCAATGCTGACGCTGATCATGAAATGGATGACGATGCTGGCCTAAATACCAGTGGCGATGCTGACGCAGGAAAGGATGTCATGACCATCGAGGAGATCTTTAACATGGCTATCCGCTCGGACCGGGCATTGTCTCCTCAGGCTGGGTCTCGTGAGCGAGATGGGGAGGAGGAGGCCAGTAATGAGTTGACACATCCGACGCCCGGAATTATGATTCCCATTTGATTTTTAGATAGTTCTCAGGTATCTATCTATGTAACGTATATATTGATGCAGTAAACGCAAATGGAAATGAAATTATCATACTCATATATTGGGACACGAATAACATGACGTATTCTATGAACCATCATCGATGAGATGTACCTTGGACAGTTCACGTCGATTGAGGACTCATTGGGACTACTGAGCGAAGAAAAGAGACCGATGACTCTCGATGAGTTTGTCCTCGCTAACATGGCACAAGCTGTCCACGGACCTCTGATGCCGTTCTGTGTGGTTTCTGGAAAGAAAAGTAGCGGCCTGGAGAACAAGTGTGGGAACCATGCCATGAGGCCGGACAGCCACAGGAGGTAAAAGGCAATCGCTTACTCCAATATAACGAACATTAGACATACAATATATTGGCATTCATCATAACTCTAAGTATACGATACATAACGACTCGAGGTCAGCTGCTGAATTCTTAATAATACTCCATTTCACCAGTAACCTTCCCACGTTCTGTAAACGGCGTCTTGGCCAAGTCATGGCATTTACCTTGTTAGAAAGGTGGAACTTTCTCATTCTATGACCAGTGATAAGTAGTGGAAAGATGGCGACTTCCGGTACCTTATTTCCTTTGCGGAACCGGCCCAAATGCCACCCAACTTCATCGGAGATAGCGGGTGGGCATCTAACTCGCATCATCGATTCTTCCGCAGGGTGGTAACTGGGTACTCGTATGTCAGAAGATGGGAAGAATTTTGAGCTAATAATCTTCCTGTGTAAAATCTATCTTGTGAATCTCAAGACACCGGCCAGTCGTTCATGCCTCACCGGAAATTAAATGGAAGTCTATCATCGTAGGGAATTACCGATAACCTGACACGCCCCATGGCTAGCGGCTTGACCGAAACCGAGTCAACTTTACAATGTTCGTCATGGCCATTTCAGCTTTACGAAAACTACTATCTAGCATCTATGTATGTAATCTAGCCCCTTCTCCAATCCATGCAACTCGCCAGTAAGTAGGTACCTAGGTAATACAAACAATCAAACAAGGTCGGTTTGGGGACCTCAGCAGGTGTAGGCCTACTCAGCCTTCTTGCTCTTCTTGGTGCGCAACTTCATCATCAAGTACACCAGCGCGTAACTGGAGCAGACGAAAATCGCGACGATCCCGATATCTCGCCAGCCGTAGTAGTACTCCTTGGTGTTGAGCGACCTCAGCCAGTCGCTGCCAGACTGATACTGACAGACTTGGCAGCCATTCTGCGCGTCCGGGTTGAGCAGGTTGCTGGCCATGCCAAAGGGCGTCGTCATGTAGTCCTCGAGATACTGGGCGCAGGTCTGGTTGGCGGGCGGGTCAAAGATGGCCAGTTCTTTCTCGCTGCACTCGATGACAATGTCCCAGTTGGGGAACACGAGGAGGCCGCCCATCAGGTAGGTGAAAGGGTTGATCCAGTAGAGCCAGTAGCGGAGGCCGTCGACGATCTGCTCGTAGGGGACGAAGACGCCGCAGTAGCCAACCATAGTGAAGGTGAAGACCGGGTTGGCGAGTGCGGCGGCGGTGGCGTTTGGCGCGTACGCGGCGATGAATTGCCCGATGCCCGTGTATAGGAACTCGTAGAGCAACATCATTAAGAAAGTTGGCGCCGCTTTGCTGGATGCGCTTGAGAAGCCGGCCGTGTAGTAGAAGGTGAAGAAGTACAGCGCCGCGCAGATGACGAGGTAAGGCATTTCCGAGATGATCAGCCCTGTCACAAAGGCTTTCCAGCTGTACATCCTTGACTTCTTTTCTCGCACGTCATACAGGTCACGTCTCTCGATGAACAGAGGTTGTAGTTGATCTATAATTCGCGTTAGTTACTCTGGATATACCTTCATCCGAGGAAAGGTGCTTGTGCTGAACTTACTAATGACACCTGGCGCAACAAAGATGAACTGGAAAATGGCGAACATGCGCAGGTTGAGATCGCTGACACTATTACCAATCTGCCAGAAGGTAAATCCGGAGAAGAGACCAGTGATGATGTGCAATGCGAATTTATTGTCGACGTATTCAGGGTTTCGGTAGATTGATTTCGTCATCCGCATGGTAACAAGCTTGATCTGGACCCAGAGATTCGTAGCAAACTCCTCATCGTCAGTACTGGTCTGGGGATGGTGTTCTTTGGTCCTGCTAACCATACTGTCAAGCTCGGACAGCATGGAATCATATTCAGGCGACTGGAGCCATACTTGGTGCCAATCCTTCTTCCTCGTAGAGACAATATCGATCATGTGCTCGGCGGGGTTTTTACCAGGTGGGCAGGGTGCATTATGGCGGGCAAAGTACGCCTTCAAAGTAGCACCATGGTCTCCGATTTCTCCAAAGTAAACTGTTCGGCCGCCTTTAGCAAGAAGAAGTAGTGTGTCAAACTCGTAGAAGAGTTGGGCACTGGGCTGATGAATAGTGACGAGAATAGCCTGGCCTGCGGCTGCCAGCTTTTTGAGGAACCGAATGATGTTGTAAGCTGCCTGACCATCAAGACCAGACGTAGGTTCGTCAAGGAATGTTAGAATACTAGGCTTAGCGACAAGCTCAACACCAATGGTCAGACGTTTACGCTGCTCGACGGAAAGCCCTGCACCGCCAACGTAGCCGACTAGACAATTCTCAATATCGTGCATCTCGAGTAGATCAATGATAACGTCGACATATGCCAATTTCTCTTCTCTTGGTATAGAACGCGGCTGCCGGAGGAGTGCAGAGAACTCCAGCGCTTCTCTCACAGTACTACGGTATCCTCATCGTCAGCTCTTATGAAACAAGGATGAAAGTTAGGTGGATCGAGAACTTACGCAAGCGGTTCATGGACATCGAGCTGTTCACAGTAACCAGCGGATCGTTGGAAGTTGAGCGGAAGCGGTGCACCATCCACTAGAATCGCTCCATGGATTGTCCCGTCGGTTTTCCGTTGAGCAAGCACATCCATGAGAGTAGTTTTACCAGCACCAGAAGAGCCCATGAGAGCTCCTAGCTGACCGGGTTTGACCCATCCATGAATGTCGTCAAGCAATTGCCGAGGGCCACTTGGGGTCGAAACTGTGTAGTTGAGGTTCTTCCATGTAAAGATAGCTTTGTTCTCATTCAGTCGTTCATTGATCTTCTTTGCATCGAGAGTGCCGTCAGATGAACTGCTCCCAGGTGTTGATGCAGAGCCAGTGTTTTGTGATTCTTCGTCATCCGTGGGGAGTCGCGCGTTCTTTGCAAGTTCTCGAGGAACCGCGAGCACTCCGTTCTGCGACGAGACGCTTTGCCACGCAGAGGTACCAAGAATCGTCAGGAAGACGAAAAATGCCCACCAAACCCTGAAAAAGCATATCAATCAGTTTTCCGATATCGATCAACCAGAGGCGGAACTCACCAAACGATGCCGACATTTCTCCACAGGTGTGAGTGGTCGTATCTGAGAGCTGATAGAAATTGCTCTCCGGAAACAGTGACTTGTCCAGGCGTTGCGCCAAGGACACCTGTACATGCTTGGTTTTCTACTGAATTATATCCTGGTCCGTTGGGCACCAGATTTGGCCCTGCACAGTTGATGACTTTGCCGTACATCTCATTCGAAAGCATTGCATTCAATGTATATGCAATTGGGTCGATCCAATAGATCCTACAATGGTTAGCTGCGTAAAGCGCAGAAGCGACTGAACCTCACCAGACAAACCAAGGTTTCATGTCAGGTTTGGGGACCATGAATCCGCTGTACAACAGTAGCGCCAGGACAGCAACACCAGAGATCTTGCTTGCGTCGTTAAATGTTTTGAAACCAGCGCCAACAGCGCGGAAGAAAGCTGTTAGGCAGAATGTCACCGAGATGAGGATGAACCAGAATCTGAAGAATGCATCAGCGGCATTGGTTAGGCCCACCATAAAGTAAACCGGAAGAGAGAAAGCTGTAATTTGGATGAGCACGATAGGGATGTCGGTAATGATCTGTGCCAAACACCACGCTGCAGGGTGATGATATGCCAGACTCCGATGCTTGGTCAGAACAGAGCGACCAACGAATGAATCAGTAACCTCAGATTGAGCCAGAAAGACATTGAACACAATGGCTGTAAAGAGAGCGCCGTTGCGAAGGAAAGTACCTGTTGAATTGTCTGGCGCATTGTAGAACAGTGCGCCAACTGATAGTGCTTGAATGATGTTCGTGCCCTGCTTGACGAACAGAACCGTTTTATTACCTTTGAGAATCTGAACCTGACGGATAATACTTGCTTTCAGCTGGGACCAGAAATTGACGGTATAAGGAGCTCGTTTCGCCAATAAGCCTGGGTGTTTCTTGCGCTGAACCATGTTGGTGAAATTCGCCGTACGTTCCTTTGTTGTCTCCGTTTCCGGATAGTCTAGTTCAGCATCCATATTCTTCTTGATGACAGAGTCTTCATACTGCTCGCGAATCTCCGCACCAGTTTTCGGGAATCGAGACTCGTAGCCAGAACGAATGCGTCGCTCTGTCGGCACAGTGACTCCTGCTCAGTATTAGTCTGGAACAGTTCCAAGAACATGAGATAGAGTAATGTACCTGTCAAAAAGTCTGCAACGTTGGCACCGTCGGCACAAATGAAGCCAAGATCCTCGAAGAATGGCCTCGCCGGTTCCCTTGGTCCATAGTAGATCTGCTCACCATTTTCGAGCACCAGAATCTTGTCGAACAGGTCATAGATGCCGTTGCCAGCCTGATAGAGAGTGACAATCGTCGTGAGGCCAAACAAATCCGTGAGCTTCCTGATTGATTTGACATATAATAGTGCTGTGCTTGCATCCAGTCCCCTTGTGGAGTTGTCCCAGAGATATATACTACCTTGAGCAGCTATTGCCTCCAGGATTCCAATCCGCTTTCTCTCGCCTCCAGATACTCCGCGGATGTATTCGTTGCCAACTTTGGTGTCTTTGGTATGAGAAATATTAAGCATGCGGAAGAGAAATTCTGCAGTGGCGCGTCGCGCCTGCTCTGGCGAGCTAAAGCCATCCGGAGTATCATGCGCCATATTGAGACGCGTAGCGAAATCGATCGTTTCTTGAGCGGTAAGCGTTGGGAAAAAGGTACTCTCGTCTTCGTCCATCACAATTTGACCGCGGTATTGCGTCGCTTGTTCACTACTAAGTGATCCATACATGACCTGGCCCTCAATCCCCTTGAAGCCCTTGGTTCGATTGCCTAGTACTTTCAAAAGCGATGTACAACCTGCGCCGGGACGTCCAAGGACCAACATCATCTCACCTGGCTTCACGCAACCTGAGCTGTTGTGGATGATCTTTTTATCTGACATGGTCGCGAACTTGGTTTTCCTCAAGAATGGTGGGAAAAACTGGGAGGACACATTTTCGTTGATCGTTCCACCTGCGGCGGCTCCTGTGATCGTCAAATTCTTCCATGTCAGGCCCAGGCTTCGGTCAACTGGGGTTGAGGACCCCAACACTGGGTCGGCGCGCCAGTCGACCTCGTCTTCTGAGTCGGACTCAATGGGTTGAGTTTGCCTTCGACTCAGATGGCTGTGGATTCTAGATATCGCAGACCCTCCTTCGCTGCCATGGCTGTATGATCTGCTGGGGTCACTGCGAACTTGATCTCGTGTGAACTCATGGAGTTCGCTCTTGCTCTGATTGTCTTGGCTGAGTTCTTTCTCAGTCAGCGGCGAGGCAGTCATGGTTGTCGAGAGCTTCTTGTGACTTCTATGATCACGACACGAGGGTCGACACCCTCCATTAGGGCAAGACACAGATGCATACACTTATGTAGGCCAGCTAGGACAACACACTTAACACTTAGAGTTTAACAAAAGTCTGAGACTCCTTTTTTGTCAGCCCTTCAAATCATGATCGGGGCCTCTTTTGTCCGCAATCTCAAACCTGCTCGATCTTGACCAAGACATGATCATTGAGTGTAAGGGCCACGAGTATCGGCATGAATGAGGTCCGTGACTGTGGTCCAACATGTCTCGGTTAGAGGGTCTGCCTGCCTGGCCTGGTGGACCTGGTGGAGCGGGAAGGGGTGGCAGTTGATTTGCACGGCTTAACTATTGAGCCGGGGCTGTATTTTATTCTGTAGAGAGGCGCCAGCTGCATTTCGTTACAACGAGGCTGATGACGAGCAGGGGTATTATCCATGACGATTTCTTCATCATTGGGCCCAGCCCCGAGCCTCAATCTCGAGAAGATGGAAGGTAGCTCGCACCAAGTTCTGAGCCCCTGCATCGTTCGTAACAAAACCAGGACCCACGGACTGATTAGAAGATGGAATGTAACAGATCTCGTAGTTCTCTAAGCTGTTCAGTAATCAATGTTGTTGATCTACTGGTTTGAAGAGGTCTTAGCGCTGCGCCTTTGGTACGTACGGCCGAATTAAATAGACTTTTCCTCGCACGAAAATGCCACACGTGATTTTCATTGGTTTCTGCTAAAGTGTCGAGTCTGTCGATAAACGTCAATTCAATCTGCCTGATCTTGCTGATTTATCCGTCGGTGAACAGATATACGACGACCCAGCAAGAAAGTCACTCTCAGTTCAGGATTTTTTGCTCCTTTAAGTAGATCACCACCCTGGATCATCTCCGGAGCGCAGCACGGTACATAATTGTCTTGGTAGGCCACATGACCACGTTACCAGATAGACAGAAATATCAGAAATTGTGCTTGGTATTGCCAAAAGCTTTGAGAAGTTTGAATCCAGACCTCGTCTGCTTGACGTTGACGTTCCCCACAAACGCATTTGCCGCATCCTCTGATGGAAATTCATGCTACACCCCGGCCCGAGGCCGTGTTAGTCTGTATCTAGCAAACATGAAGACGAGAATCCTCAAGACAGAAGCTCCATAAGAAGATTGCCAGAGGGGAGGATAGAGACTCACCACAGCCAAGAATGCGGGCGGTGTCGCTATGTTGTTATGTTCCTGTGCATTACGATTCTGCCGCCCGAAATAAAGTCGGTACACTCGCACCCGCCTGGCGCCTTGCTTGTTGTTGTCGAGATACCATGAACTGACCTCCTTAGAATCTGCGTCGCGTAGCTCGACGGGGGCATCGAATTGAACAGTTGTGAGGTATGGTTGAGGATCTATCGGTGAGAGTAAGACCATATTGGTCAGTCATTCAGACATGTGACAGACGATAGAAGTCGGTTGAGAACACGTACCATCATTACTATTGGCGTCGTTTCCAATTTCTACTTTATCCACATTGGCGTAGTACCTGGTGTCGAAGTCCGCAACGTCAAAAATACATTTCGTCGGGGTCGGTACTAGGTCACTGTGAACAGGGATCGCCTTGAATTCATCTGTCTGCAGAAATCCGACTTCCTTTAGGGGATATAATGCTAGGTATGGTCGATCAACCGGCGTGCTGCTATTACTGGTCGTGAAATACCGGTATGCTGACTTTATACCTGACGTCTTGAAAATATCAGGGATGTGCACTTTCTCGTACCATTGTCTAAACACCGATGCAGAGAATTTATCGGGGTCCGTGATTTTCGAATTAACATATAACAAGCCAGGCCCTCTAGCTTCCGTGGTTTGCGTGGTGGCACTCATGGTGAACGATGATATCTATCAGTTGATATGTTCTCTCTCTCTTTGACTACCAATGCGGTTGATCTGATCAGTGGTGAGGATGGGCTGAAGGTGACTACAATGAACCTCAACGTCTCTTGTGTCACTCCTGTAGGATCGTACTCTTGTAGGATCTGTACCACCTAACCCCCGATCAGGTACAGAACCTAATATTTGCAAGCCCACAATGCCGCCAAATCCAAGTTGAACGCTGTCTCCACGACAAGACATCTGTGGGGTTTCAATTACCAACATGCCTGGGAACGGCTATCATATTCCGGGGACCCAAAAGTGGGGATGCATCCTTTAATTGTCATGCAGATCTTTGACGAAGCATATGCTGCATGGTCATAAATTGACGGATTACCAGTACCTGCATCTATTAAACTCGAAACACTGGTCCAAATCAGAATTCTTTCACATCTATATCCGTTTGGGAGACTGCATTCCCTGTGGCGTATACTTGATCATCTGCTCCTTGCCTCCACCTGTCTCTGCAAACAACAAGATTGTAGAGAAAAGGCAAAGATGGGAAAGACAGCAGTGGTCTTCGGTGCTAGCGGTGTCTCAGGCTGGTCCTTTGTCAATGAGATTCTGAATGACTATCCCGAAAAGGGAACTTGGGACCGTGTCTATGCATTGACAAACCGTCCACTGTCCCAGAAAGACTCTTTCTGGCCTGATGATTCAAGGTTGAGTATTGTTTCGGGTGTAGATCTTCTCAGAGGGAGTCAGGAGGAGCTTGAGGCAGAACTGAAGAAGAAATTACCGACAGCAAATCAAGTCACACATGTTTACTACTTAGGTACAGTATTGACACCGTCGACTAACCTGAGAATCAACTCTGACATGATCCTGCAGCATACAAAGCCAATACCGACATGCAACAAGAACTCGAAGATGCAGTCAACATGTGGAAACGATCCACGATGGCAATAGACCACCTTTCGCCAGCTCTGGAATTCGTGGTCTTGCAAACGGGAGCTAAAATGTATGGTTGCCATCTCCTGGAAAACCATCCATCGGACTATATGCCCGTTCCTTTATCCGAGTCGCTACCACGGTTAAAAGCACCATATCACGACATGCTGTTCTACCATCCCCAACTCGATTGGATGAGTGAATACTCCAAGGGAAAGAAATGGAGTTGGTGCGACACACGGCCGGACATCATCATCGGATTCGTGCCAAACCAGAACTTCTATTCTCTTGGAACCGCACTTGGTGTCTACCTATCTTTATATCGCGAGGTTGAGGGAGCAGGCGCAGAATGTCCATTTCCAGGCACATCCAAAAGTTGGGTAGCACAAAGCAACGATAGCTCCAGCGACATGATCGCTCGACAGACACTATACCTGTCACTCAACCTGCCGGCGGACCAGAAAGGACAGGGGTTTAACGTGGCAGACGCCAGGAAACCAGAGTCCTGGAGCACCAAGTGGCCCGTCCTGTGCGAGTATTTCGGTCTCAAAGGAACACCGCCAGCAGATCCAAACGACCGTGAAGTTCGCAGTTATATTAAGCAAAATTTTGACACTTGGACAAAATTGGAACAAAAGCACGGTCTGAAGAAGGGAATCGCGGATTCAGACCGTACATTCAAAGGGTTCGAGTATTTCCTCCTCACTCAGTTCGACTTTGACCGTCAGTATGACATGACGAAAATGTATTCCACGGGATTCAGTGAAGAGAGATCTACCAAACAGGCTTGGGGAGGTGTCTTTGACAGAATGCGGGCTGCTAAAATAATACCGTAGGAAGATGGGGAGAGGAAGAAAGACTGATGGAAAGATGGAACTTTCAAGAAAAAGAGTTGAACTGAAGAAAAAATGAATTCAATGACAGGGTCACCAGGGTATATCGTCAACCGACTAAACGTTCCGTCACAACCCTTATACCCTCCAACGCCAGGATTTACATTTCTATATCATATGTTCGTTTCATCTCATTTTGTTATTCGTTCCCTTCATTTGATTCCACAGATCGTCGAGCCCGGCCATGGTTCGAGCGGCAGAGCCATCCTGCTGGCGGTTGGTGGAGCCTGTGGCGGAGGAGGAAGTGAACGGACGATCTTTAGTACCGTCGAGAGGTTTTGTCGGATAGGAAGCGACTGGTGTCGGAGTCGGGGTGGGTAACAGAGCAAAATCGTCATGATTGCCCGTCAAGGTGGAGAAGTCAGTGCGGTCGGTGCCTAACAAGGTGAGGAAATCTAGGCTGGTGTTGGCGGCTAGATCGTCCTGGAGGCGATCGTTCGATGAACGTCCGAAATTCGACTGGAACATATATGGGTTACCGCCAGCGGGGGGAGAGACAGCTGGAGTTTCGGCGCCCATCCACGCCGACCGGTGTGGTGTCGTCGACATGGCGTGGAACTGTGGTCGGTTCGAATTGGTGAACATGGGATAGTCCAGTGCTGATGTGTCGGTCGTTAGTGTCGGCCATGCCCCTTCAATGTTGACCGGTTCCGCGCGTGGCGTCACCACTACGAAACCATCCATCGACGTTGCGTTGGCCAGCCGGACTTCACTCGCCTCACGGGTCGATGTGTCTATGAGAGGTTGCTGTTGTTGCTGTTCCAGCTCACTAATTTCAGCTGGCGCCGTCACTTGAGGCGTAGGGATGAAACCATGGCTCATCGTCCGAGGTGGGCTGTTGCGGAACGATTGGTGTCTCTTACTGGGCATGAACCGCTCCGACTCATCGTCGTTAGCGGTGCTTTCCCGTCGAGCTGGTATTATCTTGGCTTGTTTTGGTTGAGGTAGTGACGCTCTCAGCTCCAGGATCACCGCTTGCAGCACAGTTGACATGAGCTCTGCGGGCTGGAACGTCTCCGACATGTCTTGAAGAGCAGCTGCTAAACATTCGAGGTAATGCATATTAGCGTCTCGGGAGGAGGTGTCCTTGAGAGACGCGAGCGCCGCAATCAGAGCAATCGCTGCCGTCCCAGCGTGCTGCATCCCCGTGACGAAGATGTGTCGAGTGTCAAATCTCTGCCGATGTTGCCAGAAGATTCTTGCCACCCGAACTGCATGTTGTGTACATATCGATCGTGACATCGACGACATGTGGATATTAGGTTGAGGCTCATAGTCCTCCATATTGCCATCTGCGACTGGCTGGATTTCGTCATATCGAGCAAATGGCCGATGGAGGAGGATCATTGCCACGTGATACTGCTGGTGAAGGAGGAAAAATGAAAACGGAGCGGATTGAACGTTCTGTGGGGTCCATTGTAAATTTTTAGGTAGCCGGGTATACCATATCTCAAGTTCTCGGTTGAGATTGGCCATTCGAACAAAGACGTGGTGGTTGGGGTTGACTCGGTCATCAAGTCGCGCAGCTTGGTCCATAATCTCGGTGATTTTGCCGGCGATTTCCATGAGATCAATAAGGGATTCGTAGATTTGTGTTTCGAGGCTCTTCTCAGGCCCCGCTGGTAGGCATTTGCCCAGTCGTTCAAGTTGTTGTGATAGATTATATGTTTCCAGATCAGATGTTTTGATATTGGTGGGCCGACCCAAGAACAGTGCCCAGTACTTATCGTAGATGACGCAGGCAAGAAGAGTCATCCGTCCAATTTCGAGATCTCGTTCCGACAGACCAGAGTTGCTCCGGTCAAGATGAAGACCGATGTCGAAGCACAAACGGTTGGCCATGCCTGCATAAAGCCACCCAACGTTATCTCGTCCGACTCCGCATTCAAGGTCACCAAGCAACAACAGCGCCGGGATAGACGTGGTCCCTCCAGGTTGCTCAATCTCATAGTCGAGCATGAACTTTGCCTCTTTATGAATCGTGCTTTCTTTATTGCCGATCGAGATCTTCATAATGTCAGGACGCGTTTTGTCTGCGTATCGATAACCCATGGCCAGGATGCAAACATGGAGGAAACCTGAGTAGAACGGACCACCGTGTTCTTGTCCATGTTCAAAGGCGGCTTGGTGGATGACATGGATGACGGAATTATAATACTGCCAAAATAGGTTCATCAGATAGTCGTGGGTGTCTTTGGAGATGCTATTGATGAGCCTCTGTGTTCGCCGCTGTTGTTCCAGGGCCTGTCGATGCATCTGTTCATTTTGTTGGAGATGGGAATGAACATGACAATTTGCGATTGGACCAAAGTATCGAAGTCGTCCACTTAATTGGTCAAAGCTCAGGTGGCCTCTTGTAGACAGGAGTTTGCTAACCATACTCTCGTTCTCGTGACTCGAAAGGTTGCTTGGTGGTGAGTAGCCATCGGTGGCGTCTGAGTCGGTGATGACGGCTTCGTGATGTTCTGACATCTCCATGAGCTTTGGGTCGATCTCATGGCGGAATGAATTCGTGATTAGCACGGGACTATGGGAGGGATTTCGTGTTGATTGGGCTTGAGAGGTTGCGTTCGAATCTTCGATTTGCTCTTTTTCCTTTTCTTTGTCCTTGAGCGCCGATTCAAGTGCCGCAATTCTCTCGTTCAGGCTATTGATGTATGCGCGAGAGTTTGGTCTGAATTAATCAACAACATGCTTAGCAACGATGATGCAAAATACTCACTTTCTTCGTTCATCGTCGAAATTGACTATACATTCACCACCGTTGGATCGACACTGTGTGCACTCCGACTGACCTGGAAATATGACGCATCTTGTTCTACGTTCGCGACATGCTGTACAAGCTACTGAAGCTCGATGTCTGGGCTTCTGTGATTTGTCGCTGGCCGATGGCAGCATGTTTGCCTGTGCCATGGTTGTGGTCATGGTGCCAGTCTATTGGTTGAATCGTGAAGCAATCTGGTTACAATTGTCAAGGGATCCACTTGGATAGAAAGGTATGCAGAGATCGCATCCCACGTCTCAGAACGTGCAAGCAAAAATGAGTCTCTGGATGAGGATCCGAAGGTAGGAAAATGAATGCAATCTTTAGGCAGAAGATGGAAAAGAGTCCCAAAGCTTCAAGGTCGAAAAGACTGTCAGAGTAGGGATGGGACCACCACGAGGAGGGGGAGGCAAAAAAGGGCGCTTCTGAGCCGACCTCGATAGATTGGCGCCTTGCAGGCCACGGGACCCTTGAAACCCCAAAAACAAAGACAGCACTCACATGCATTACGGTAGAAGTCAAGATTGAGCATCTATGAATGGCCAGCACAGGCGGTGGGGACCCCGTAAAGCATCCTTGGCCGCCCGCTTGAGGGCCGATGGAGCTCGAGGGGCCCCACGGTAACAAACTTTCTGGGGACCTTTTGACGCCTAGAATGTAAGCAGTGGCTGGAATAGCTAACGAATTTGCTCGAACGACTCCGACCCACGGAGGCTTAAATGGCGACAGGAACCTTCCAACTGTGAAGTTTCTGTGATCTGCGACAGGCATATAGGTCACAGGGTGTGCCATGTCCGTTCATCGACCATGGCTATTATGCAGTAGTGACTCAACGCCTCCCGTCTTTTGGTCTGCAACAAGTTCGACACGTAGGTCGCCCTAGGGCGTTGGGGTGTGGATTCCTGGATTCCTCGGGTCCTGGAGTCTCCTCACTTCCCTAGGTACCCCTTGGGTGTCCCCACACGAGGTCTGGGGACCAGCCCGGAAAATCATAACCGACCATGTGGACTACACGAGTCACTGCGGGCCACCCAAGCAAGTCCATTGGGTTTGAACATGAGTTTCTGCGGAACAAAACACCGAGTTTGCGTAGAATGTATATCTCTTGTTTAGTTTGGATCACGGGCGCAGGTTGAGAAAAGCGAGGAGACAGAACTAGATCAGCATTGTCACACGGGACTCAAAACTAATCTTCAAGATGGGCGCAACTAATGGTGTGAGCAACGGCGCGACCTTCGAGTTCTCTGCGAAGAACCTGCCCAAGCAAATCTTCATCAACAACGAATATGTCCATTCTCAAGGGAGCAAGAATCTATCTGTCTACAACCCTAAAGACAACAGCCTAGTCGCAGATGACGTGCCGATCTGTGACCAAGCAGATGTCGATGCTGCTGTCGACGCAGCAGAAAAAGCGTTTCCAAAATGGAAGAAGCTGAGCGCAAATGCTCGTCGAGATATTTTGGTAAAATTTGCAGCCTTGTTGGAGCAACACGTGGAGGCATTGGCAGAACTTACCAGAGTCACTCTTGGGGCCCCATATGGTGCATTTGGCAAGTTTGAAGTCGCCCTTGCGGCAGAGGTAATGATCCCAACCTCAGCAGCGCTCCCAAAGGCTAATTAAGTAGGCTTTTAGATACAACGCTGGATGGATCGACAAGTTCGTCGGCGAAGCTATCCCACAAGAGAATGGATTCATGCAAATCACTCGAAATGAGCCTCTTGGTGTGACTGCTGGCATCGTCCCGTGGAATGGACCATTGGGCACAGTCGGTCTCAAAGCCGCGCCCGCTTTGGCCACAGGAAACTGCTTTATTCTTAAGCCCTCAGAAAAGACCCCCTTCGCCGCACTCGCACTTGGACCTTTGATCAAGGAGGCGGGGTTCCCTCCAGGTGTCTTCCAGGTTCTGTCCGGTGATGGAAGCACTGGAGCCCTTATCGCCAGCCACATGAGAATTCGCAAGGTCAGCTTCACTGGCTCTATCCCTACTGGCAAGAAGATCCAACAGATGGCTGCCAATTCGAACTTGAAGCGAGTTACCTTGGAATTAGGCGGAAAGTCCCCTGCAGCCATCTTTGACGATGCTAATCTCGAAAATGCCGTTACTTGGGCTGTCAATGCCCTTGCAACCAATACTGGCCAAGTGTGTTTTGCCGCCACTCGAGTTTATGTCCAAGAAGGAATTTACGATGAGTTTGTGCAAAAGTACAAGGCGGCCTTGGAAGAGAGAGCCAAATCCATTGGAGATCCTGAAAAGGAAGACACTCTCATGGGCCCTCTGGTAGATGAAGCACAGTTCAAGCGTGTCACTGGCTTCATCGAGCGAGGAGCAACTCAAGGCAAACTTCTGACTGGAGGGAAGCGAGTAGGGGACAAGGGCTTTTACGTTCAACCAACAGTGTTTGAGGATGTCACACCCGACAAGGAAATCTTCTCGCAAGAAATCTTTGGCCCTGTATCGATTTTGAACAAATTCAAGACTGAAGAAGAAGTCATCGAAAAGGCCAACAGCACTGAGTATGGTTTAATGGCTGGTGTGTTTACACAGGATATTAACAAGGCCCTGAGAGTGGCAAGTGAGTTTGATTCCGGCATGGTCGGCATCAACTGTGTCAGCTTGACGTTCTTGACTGCTCCTTTCGGTGGTAGCAAGCAGAGTGGCTTGGGACGAGAGTGTGGAAAGGCAGCTCTTCAGGCCTTCACCGAACCAAAGACAATCATGATCAATATGACATACTAGATAGATACGGTGACATGGAAGCACATTTGCTGAAAAGTCATCTCTGAACATCAAAATCTTAAATCATATAATTTTGATAGTATAGCCTAAAGGGCTAGACCTAGAAAACTACAGCCATTCTCTTGGTTGCAGTGCCGGCTCGCATTTCCTTAATCATGTCATCCAGCTCCTCCAGTTTCCGGAGTTGGACTTCAGGAGCAATGTCATGCTCTGCTGAGAAATCAACAGCCTTCTTCATCCTCTGGGGAATGCTGGTACTTTCACTCTTGATCTTATATCTTCCGAGAGCCATGTCCATCGTCGACACTTGGAGATCCTTGGGTGCAAGGCCAATGATCATCATAGTTCCACCGACTCTGATGATATTTGGTGCATTAGTATACGCAATCTGAGCATTACTGAAGACTGCAGCCGCATGGGCACCGCCCTTTGTCAAATCCTTGATCTTTTGCACATAGTCGGGATCAGTCTTGGAGTTGAAAACTGCATCTGCGCCCTGAGATTTGCAGACTTCCAAAGTCGAGTCGTTGATATCGACTGCTACCACCTTGAAACCCATTGCCTTCGCATACTGGGTTGCAATCTGGCCTAGCCCGCCAGCCCCGATGGCCGCAAACCACTGACCAGGTTTCAGGTCGCAGGAGTCGACAGCATGGAAAGCTTTAAATCCGTGAGTAAGGGATACTATACAAATAACAAGAAAATGCAACTCACAGGTAATACCAGCGCAGAAGAAGACACAGCTAGTTTGGAGGCTCCACTTCTTGGGCAGTAGAATCGCATTGCGGTAGTCAACCACTGCATATTCCGCAAAGAAGCCAGGTTGTGTAAACCCTTGGATCTCAGGCTGGCCATTTTGGCACTGCAAATTGTGAACGTGGCAGCCTTCACATTCGAAGCAACAGCCGATGATATATAAAAACCCAATGGCGTCCCCGTTCTTGAATCCCTTTCCTTCAGCAGATGGGTGGATCTGCTCAATCAAACCAACGCCCTCATGTCCTGGAGTGAAAGGTTCCTCAAGGCCCGGTCGTTCGATTGAGATGATGTCGGAGTGACACAGCGAGGCTGAAGTAAGTTTGACCAAGATCTGATTCTCACCAGGCTCAGGAACGGGAACAATGTTGACAACAGCTTTATTGAGCTTGGGGTCCCATTGTCCTGCTTTCATGGTTCTTCCGGTAGAGCCCATCTTGTGCAAATGTTCTTTTTTTGGACAATTGTTGCAGAATACTTTCCCACCTCCACACCCCGCGTACGCGAACGCGGTTTTGAATCTCTTAAGCACATGTCGTTGGCCAATATTTCTCCAGGTTCCTTGACTCGTGATGCACAAGGGTTCATCGGGTTAATGCATCCACTGAGTCATTAGACCCAAACCTTCTATGCAAGCTAAAGAAAGTCTATCCCTCAACTCCGCATCTCTGCGCCCACCATGGAGGCGGGACTGGACCTCGGGTAAGATGATCTGGATTTATTGGACGTTTGGACACGCACTGCACGGGACCCCTGCTTTGTTCTTCTGGCCTGGGCACATTGCCCTGAGTAATGCTCAGGAGAAGCCTTCCGTGCTGACGAATGGTCAGTGTCACAACGTCAACGCTGACCGGTACTCCAACACACGCAGCAAAATTGACAGGATTCTGGTCCATGATGCTCTTCGAATTGTAATGCGTTGCGCTATGTTCTATTTTCATACCTTGCCTCTTCTCAAGAAAACATTTGGAATGTCCACCCATTTCGCTCTGATATACTCGCAAACATTCTTCCCCAGAGTGTCGTAGGTGCTGCTCGCTCCCCAGCTACGATCAAGATGGTCATGTAGCAAGAAATGTACAGCCCTAAGTCCTGGAATCTCGAAGCGGTCCACATCTTTGCCGTTGTACTCAGATCCTAGGAGCTCCTTCATCTTTGGAATTGTAAGTAGTGTCCGCAGCCAATCCCATTCGTCTTCTCTTCGTACGAACAGTCCAACATTCGCGTCAGACGCCTTGTCTCCTGATCGTCCTAGTACAACCCATCCCAAGGGACCTCTGGTAGTTGGCCCAAATTTTGAGAGGTCAACAGGGTTTTTGGTTTCGTAGCTCCATTGCCGGGTGTCCCAGAACTTGCCGTAGTCTTTGAGGTTGTCAGCAGGTGGGACGGGGATTGATTGACCGTTCCATGGCAGTTGAACACTATGAGCAACTTCGGATTGGGGTAAGAGCGCCGCCCAGTACTCAAGATATTCTTTGCCGGACGACTGTCTCAAGTCATTCTCGATGGAAGCTCCAGGGCAGCTTTGGAGGAAGTTTTCCATGCACCAGCGGTTGAACCCAGGTACATCGACCTTGTCCATGATCACAAGGTCCTTGTGCTTTGTCTGGACAAAGATTCTGAAGTCGACTGTTGCGACGTCTTGGTTTTTAGGATTATCGGGACATGAACCGTTTGTTGTGAATTTCAAAAGAGAGAACTTTTCCGCATTCTTTCCCATTGATTTTCGAATTTGTCGCTCGGTCCATTCTGCCTTTTGTTCAATGTCCAAACCAACCAGATAGTAGTGAAATTCTGCCTGATAGCCTCCTTTGGCACTGATACCAACTCGGGTCGTGGTTGGAGGTGGGTTGCCTTTCACGCCAGACACCCGAACCTTGTCTTTTCCAATCTGCTCCATGTTGATGCCCTCCAAGACAGCAACGACATCGGACCCATAATATTGGGGTCCCTGGATTTCGTAGAGAAGCTGTGAGGTTGCAGTTCCAACAGACATTTCGCCACCAGTGTTGGGTTCTTTCTCGAGTGTGAATGTCCCATCGGCATTAATGGCAGCAATGGGGAAACCATGATCCTCACAACCCTCGAAAAGATCCTTAAATCCGCTGTAGTAACCTCCTGTCACGTATGTCGAGCATTCGATTAAATGTCCAGCAATGAGGGAAGATGCGATCTCGTCAAAATCCTTGTTGCGGTCCCATCCATGCCACCACATTGCGGCGCCTATCGTGGGAGCCGCATCTGATACTCTGCCGCAAATGACAATATCAGCTCCCTGTCGGAAGGCCTCAGCAATACCGGCCCCTCCAAGATAGCATTGGGCGACCAGAGGCTCGTGAGGCCAGTCTTCTAGATTTCCTCCGAAGCAAATATTCTCAAACTTCTCGCCTTTGGCTAATAGCTTCTTGACCGCCTCCATGACTTCATCGCCCTGAATCCAGGCGACCTTGAGTGAAAGCCCTTGGCTTTTGATCGTCTTGGCAACCAGATCTGCCAACATGCCAGCATCGCTAGCTCCGGCGTTGACTGCCACTTTGATACCTCGTTCTTGTAAATGAGGCAAAGCAGGACTGAAAGTGCTCATGAAAGAAGGATCGAAAAGCCCATCTCTTTCTGCATCAGTCATGCCTTTCTGCAGCTGGTCTTTCTTCGCCACGCCATGCCAGGACATGGTCATCTCGCTCATCCAGTCGCCGATGATGACGTCGACTTCATTGTCGCGAGCAAAAGACAAAATAGAACGTTGACGATCTGTGAATCCACCAGAAGCGCCTCCGATCCTGACCGGCCGCTTGATCTCTCGTTGAATTGATCCCATTGTGACTTGTCTTCTGTTCCTGTTCCTGTTGATTCGTGGTCGCAATAATTCGTTCACTCCATGAAATTATGCCAATAAGTATTGTATAAAATGTTCTAGAGGATACATCGGCAAAGCGGCAACAGACGGTCTTGGTTCTGGGGACGATGATTCAGTGCCCACGAGGACAACATAAGTTTTGACTCAGGCTATCAACTTCCTCTCACTCCAATTGGTCAAGAGGTCGGAAAAGGCTAGTGATTTGCGGAGGACGATACTTGATTGGCGGATTCCTCCACATCAAAGTCCTCCCTTCCTGTGACACAATTTCGGGCCGTGATTTTCCTCTCATGCTACAAGTGGCTGTTTCTTCGGAGGAAGGTAATCACGATCCCTGGCCGAACACCCAGTTTACACCCTTTACCAAGTTCCCAAAGAACTCTGCCTGATGACCAGCCAGCTTTTTCGACGGCAATGTCCACGAGTAGTGAGGGTAACCAGGGTAAGTATCGTAACGAACAGCAACACTGCATTGAATTAGTAAATAGGTCTCATGTAGAATATATGCCTTACTTTTGTGATTCCAAGTTCTCCTTCATTAATCTTGCATCGTCCCGGAGTGTGTCCATGCCGCACTCGGTGATATACACCTTCTTTGCCTTCTTCAAGAGCCCATTGTGCAGAAGAGGGGATATAAGGGGGTCCTGTGGCTCTCCGCCATATGCATCTAGCATGTGTTAGTAGTTTTGATCTAGGAATAGGTTTCTGCATACGGTGCTCACCGAAAAACGCCATCATGGCATCTTTTGTGTTGACTGTATCTTCGGCGTGTTCATCGTATGATGTGTATTTGTTCTTCAACTCGGCGGGCAAGGCGGATGGGTGAATTGTGACAGGAACCAAAGCGGCCACTCCAGCTAGCTGGGCATCGTTTCCGTTTTGTATCATTTTGATTGCGACACTCAGAGACAGTCCACCACCAGCAGACGTGCCGATCAAGGCAATTGGGCTGTTATTGGCTCCCAAAGTCGCTCGGTTATCCAATGCCCAGATCACCCCAGCATAACTGTCGTCGAGGGCGGCAGGATACTTGTGCTTTGGGGCCAAGCGGTAGTCGACGGAGACGAGGACAATGTTGCACTCCTTGCTGATAATTCGGCACTGTGCGTCCTCGATATTGAGATCTCCCATTGCCCAGCCTCCTCCATGGAAGTACACGGCGAGATTATCGGATCCAGTTGCGTTGGGCGGTGTGTATACTCGAACAGTGACCAAGTCATTGATCTTCACATCTTTGGTCTTGACACTATCATCTGGAGCTGGGAACTCATATTTGCTCCCCATTTTAACCAATAGCTCGTCCCATCCTTTGAATATATTTTCTATCGGGCCATGCAACAGAGGAGCGCCTCCGAATTCTTTCTTGAACTACGTCGTCGTTAGTACTGTATTAAAGAAAATATTGCTTGCCTGCTTACTTCTTGCCACGGTTGAGCAAAGTTACTGTCGCCTGTACCAGCCATAGTTATCGTGTTCTGAACGATGTTAGGAGTCGCAGGAAGGAGAGACTTGGTTAGATCAGTAATAGGTTAATGTAACAGCAGAAGATCTTCACTGGGTAAAGCCGAAAAGGTTATGTTCATACTGTTCTGGGCATTTGGTAGGTCGCGCTAACGAAACCAGTACTGGCACGACATGCCCGCCAAACTTCAGCTTATGCCGTTCAAGGACCTTACAAGTTTACTTTGTGACTCTTAGCCCTATGGAATGATTTTGGCTTTGCGAAACCGGTCAAAGGCCGTCCACCAGGCGCCTTTGGCGTCTGTCTCTTCGGTTGCGCTGCCCCATGCCTGATGCATCTTGCTCAAATCCAGATGCCTGTCAAAATTGAACATTGTCATGATGAAGTACGGAAAGCCCCCAAAACTGCGTTCATTGCCAACACGACCAGTCTGTAGTCCGTATTGCTTCTCTAGTTGGAGCCACTTGTCGCGATTGTCCACAGTATACTGGACTGGATCTGGACCAGAACCGTTCGTTGGAGCAACGCCCTTCAAACCGAAATATTCACATATGACAGGCCATTTCACAGACCATGATGAGCTCTTTGAATTATCAGCGGCATTGAAAGATTGGCCATCTGCTACTTCCGGATGTAAACTGGCGTAAATCGCAAATTTGGCGATGATGTCCTGGCTACTGTCGTTTGACTGGATCTTCCAGGATTCCATTGTGCCGGGAAACACCACCTCGGCACCCGGGCCCTCAATCGCTCTGTAGAGAGACAGGTAGAGCGCCAAAGCCTGCGCTAAGCAGTAAATGTTGTTATTTGGCACGAAGCCGACCACAACATCGGGGATAATATCGCAAAATGTCCAGTTCTTCCCTTTGGACAAGTTCTTCAACGAGTCCAGTTGGTTGTAGTAGAACATCTGGGAGGCATACGGCTCTGGGATTCTAGGAAGACTCTCCGACAAGGGGACTTTATCCTTCCAGGGGAACTGATCGATCAGATGTACGCCATAAGCCTGAGATTGTCAGCCCAGTTCAAAGATGAAACGTGGGTAACTCACCTTTGTGCCGGTTGGAAGAACAACAAATTTTAGAGCGCTTGAGACTGTTTCCACAGCCCTGACGGCTCTATCAAGCAGCTCGACGTTGATCGAGATTTCTTTGGCTGGATCTGCATCCATGATGTATGCGAAGAAATACACGTGCGAAACCGTGGAAACTTCCTTGACTTTGTCCTTGAGAGTCTGTTCCAGTGTAGATTGATCACCAGCAAGGATATCCAAGCCTGAAACAACCTGGAGCTTGTCGGATTGAGGCCATTGCGCTGTTTCGGGCGCAAGAGGTCGATTGGTCAATGCAGTCACTTTGGAGAACGTCGACGGTGATGGATAACCGTTTAAGATGGCATTGACAATTGCCCACCCTGTGATCCCCGATGCTCCAAAGACGAGTGCATGATTGTTCGTTTCTGTAGAACCCATTTGTGCTGGCGAAATTGGCTTGAAAACACCCTGGGATCTTTTTATTGACACTAGCAACAATAGCGAGATTCAAGGACGGACTGCAACAAAGCGACGCAATCTCTAAGCACATGCTGCCGTTGACAGATGATAAACATCCTAGACCCAAAGGATCGCTGGGCAGGATGGGAAAAGCTCTCCCGATTTGCGCCGTCGGTGGGAACCTTGCGGGGAAGTGCTTAGAGGGGCGCTTCCGGCCATCGAATGCGATTCCTTTCAGTGATACTGTCTTCAAGGTCTTAAAAAATAGGTGCGAGTTCTTTTCATTGGGTAGCTATGGCCCCTCAGATCATCATGTTTTATTTTACATGTGGAGGCTGTTAAGAATTCATCATAATCTGAATAGATCTACGTAGCTCTATCTTTCGACCTTGACAACTTTGCAATTCAAGTCGGGCTTCTCCCAAGTCATGAAAGCCCTCATGTTCTTCATTTCACCCTCTGGATCCCATTGCCACGCGCCATCCGTGCTGATGAGATCAAAATTCCATAAAATTCTGGTCAGGATCAATCTCATTTCCATGTACGAGAGATTGCGCCCGATGCACCCACGAGGACCTAACGAAAACGGCTGCGCGGCTTTCTTGAGGTCTGACGCATATTCTGAGCCAATCCATCGCTCAGGGATGAATGAGTCAGGATCCTTGAAATTCACCGGGTTATGTGCAGCAGCCCAGGAGCTGACTGCAACAGAAGTTCCCCCGGCGACCCAGTGTCCGTCGATAAAATCTCCTCCTTTGGGAACGGTTCGCAGAAGGCCAGTTGGAACGGGAGGGTGAATCCGAAGGCCTTCTTCTAAGCAAGCATTAAGATATTCAAGTTTGCTCGTCTCCTCATAGTTGATTTCGTCTTCTTTCTTGAAGCGACTGCGGATCTCATGGACCAATTTGTCGTACTTGTTCTTGTTCCAAAGGAGTCTTGCGATCAAGCCAGATAACAGATTGGCCGTAGTTTCGCTTCCAGCAACGATGAACAGTGCTGAGTTGAGGATGATCTCGTTGTCATGCAAGTCGAACTTCTCTCTTTGCTTGAGGATGTACCAGATGAAATCTCTGTGATCAGTGTCTTTATTTTCTAATCTGCGGGTGACCTTTTCCTTGCTGAATATCAGGTGGTTCCGTCGCCGCTGCCGAACATGATTTGGGATCAAATTCACGAGCATGGACTGAGCCCAGGACCCGACAGTGGCAAAACGGCGAGTTGCCTGCTCTAAAGCTCCCACCTTGACGGTTTCATAGATCAAGGCCACCCAGTCATGGAATGCACCCTTAGCGAGACAACCAAAAGGCTCTCCAAAGGCCAGATCGCCAATGATGTCAAATGTGGTGAAATTCAGCCAATTAACCATATTGAATTCGTCCTCATTCTTGGCCATTCTGTTGAGGTTCTGGATCAGAATATCGACGTAGCCTTGGATAATAGGTTCTTGTTCCATCAAAGCCTTTGTGGAAAACGAGTGTGCGAGTGCTCGCCTTTGGCGGGCGTGATTCAAGTCATCGGACATCGTGAGGGTTGATGCACCTGGCAATGGATCGACAGAACCAACGTGAATCGGATCTTTGTGCATATTGGGTCGACCCTGCCGGTGTCCGTAGATGTCTTCCCAAGCTTGGGCAGAGTTGAACGCCAACTCATTTGGTGAGACCCGAACAACAGATCCATACTTTTCATGGAGTTTCTTATTCTCAAGTGGTAGACGACCCCTCAGCAAGGAGTAGATCCCAGGGAGCGAGCTGATTGCGTTCAGTTTCGGACCTGGGAACTTCGCCAGGGGATGGAAGTATAGCCGATAGACTATGGTAGAAATCAGAGTGCTTATTGCGAGCAGCCCAGCGAGGAGTGCAAGCATGGTCAGGGCATCCCCCAGGCTGCGCGGCTTTACCACTGTAGAGTCCATATCGTCGACAGTGTGTCATCGACAGTCTTACAACAAGAACTAAGAAAAGATCAGATAGTGAAAACGTCTATGTTACTCTAAATGCCATATTGCAACTCCCAATGCGCCGTCACTCTCCAGTCCACCTGAAGCATTTCCTCAACGGCAACACGGCACAGTCAAAGCATCCTGATTCGGTTGCGGGGAGGTCTGCGATTGCCAAGATCATGCACGAGTCATGACGCGAGTCATGCCGGAAATAGTTAACCGACGCTAGTACCCCGCAAACTCAGCGAAGCGAGACTCACGAGTCATGCTGATTTCAACGCCGGTCAGCGAAGAGGCTGCCTTAGTCCTCATGCGACAGAAGAACGCGACGAGACAAGGCTGGAATACGGGGCGATCTCATAGTTTGGTCAGCCTTCCTGCACCCAAGCGAGCGCCGCCGTCAACTTCGATATCGACACCGTTGCTGCACACGGTCAGGTCCATTATTAGTGTCAGGATTGTAAACTCACATGTAGTTTCCCGCAGGCGAGGCAAGGAAGAGCATGACACCAGCTATGTCTTCTGGTTCTCCAAGACGTTTTCTGGGATTGGATTGCTTCAGATCCTCCTCACCACCCAAGAGTTCAATTAGACCATTGGCCAGTTTCGACGGGAAGAAACCAGGTGCAACGGTGTTTGTTGTAATGTTTCGCGGACCAAGCTCAACAGCCAAGTTTCGAGCCAGATGATGAGCTGCAGCTTTCGATGCTGAATACATGATCGTCCCATGGTCTCCCACGTGGGGCACATTGACGCCTGCCGTTGAGCTCACCACAATCACTCTCGCTGGATCTTGGGGTGTTCCCGCTGCTGTTAGGAGTGGCGTGAACCTGTAAGGCTATCAGTTTACACCATTTCACATCAGACTTGGTGACCACTGACGATCGCACTATGTTGAAAACCCCTCTGACGTTCAGGTCCAAGACCTTTTGGTTGGCCCAATCTGGTGTGGTTTCGAATGGCCCTCCCCAGGTTGCTCCAGCGTTGGCGACGAGGATATGAATTTTAGACTCGGTCTTCTTGACTTCCTCTAATAGTCGAATGACATCCTTCTCCTGTGCGACATTGGCAGCAATTCCTATAGCAGTCCCTTTGATCCCCGGAAGTTTGTTCAATTTTTCGACTGCCTGATTGATGCCTTGTTCGCCTTCAGCTTTCCGGGCAGTAATGATGACTTTTTTAGCACCTGCTCTCAAGAACGCCGTTGCAGCATGAAGCCCAAGACCTCGTGAGCCTAGTCAAATGTTAATGGGTATAATTTTGAGCAAGATAGCATACCTGCCTCCAGTGACAAGCGCGACTTTGCCATCTAGACGGAAGAAGTTGTCGAAGCCGTTCAAGTCCGACATTCTGCTGGCCTATAATGCGATAATATTGTGTTGTGGTGTATTTTCGTGAGAATCACTCACAAATTAATCCGTGTAGGCAGTTTGCTCGATATTATTATTATTGGGGTCTTCGGTGGACTTTTTCCGCCCGCATCGGTTGGAACGAGTGTCGGCACCTCGGCAAGCCTAAATCTTACTCGACAACCACTGACCAGAAATCGTTTCAATCGACTTCCTCAACCTGCATCTACATAGTCGCCGTCTTTTGGTGAGACTGTTCTTGTCAATTGTATCTAGAGTCGTCATCGAAAAGATGGTTTACAAGTCCCCTTATCCTGACCTGGATATTCCAGTGACAAACATTCTCTCATATATCTATCCACCTGGACAGCAACCATCCGACAAGCCAATATGGATCGATGCGAAGAACCCCCAGAAGTCGCTCTCGCTGCGCCAAGGGCTGTCATGGATCAAGAGACTAGCTGCATTTCTTGATCAGCAACAGATTGGCAAAGGCGAAGCTGTGATGATTTTCACCCCGAATCATATATTTGTTCCTATTGCCTACTTGGGAATTGTAGGCTCTGGCCGTGTTTTCAGCGGTGCAAACCCCATTTACACTGTTTCGGAAGTGGAATATCAGATCAAGAACACAGGCACCAGTTTGATTCTCTCACATCCTTCACTTTTGGACACTGCCCTTGACGCCGCACAACGGGCGGGCCTAGACAAAAGTCGAATATTCCAGTTTTCAGACCAGCCATTGAAGGAAATCAATGAAATCAGGGATTGGAGAGATGCCAGCGTGGAGTCAGATCATTATGTTTGGGATCCCATGACCTCTTCGGCGAAGACCGCTCAAGCGACCGTCAATTATTCATCGGGCACCACAGGCTTGCCCAAAGGTGTTGCAGTGTCTCATTACAATATCGTGGCCAATTCAGAACAGACTATTTTCATGAGAGACCTCGAACAACCTTATACGCCACCCAAAAGACCCGAAGAGAGGTGGCTTGGGTTTCTTCCTCTCTATCATGCATATGGTAAGTCGAAAAGCAGCGCTCGTGAGGAACAAGTTATTGACGATAACAGGCCAGTTGTACATGTGTGTGATGGCCCCGAAACTTCTAGTCCCTGTTTATATCATGCAAAAATTTGCCTATGAAGAGTTTCTGCAGGCGCTACAGCAATATCGAATCACGCATCTACAGTCTGCTCCACCTATCCTGGTTATGCTCGACAAACGACCAGAGACCGCAAAATATGACCTTAGCAATTTGAAGAATATCTTGTGTGGTGCTGCTCCCCTTTCTAAGGAACTACAAAATTCTGTATCCAGGCGATTCAACGTCAACATCATCCAAGGCTGGGGTATGACCGAGGTGACGTGTGGGGCTATACATGTACCCGGCGGCCGATTGGATGATTCTGGCAGTGTTGGTCTCCTCGATCCAAACAGTGAATGCAAGCTAGTTGATGACGACGGTAAAGAAGTTGGCCCGGGCCAGCCGGGCGAAATGTACGTCAGAGGGCCACAAGTTTGCCTCGGCTATTGGAGAAATGAAGCTGCCACCAAAGATGCGATTGATGATCAAGGCTGGCTCAAGACGGGCGATATCGCGGTGGTCAAAGACAACTGGTTTTGGATTGTGGATAGGAAGAAGGAACTAATCAAGGTCAACGCGCTACAGGTGGCACCAGCTGAACTTGAGGCAACGCTCCTCGAGAACGACCATATTGCAGATGCGGCCGTGGTCGGGATCACCCTGAACAACGAGGAATGGCCCCGCGCCTACATCACGCTCAAGGACGAAAGCAAGGGTAAGATCAGTGCCGAGGATATCCAGACGTGGATGAAGCCCCGGGTGGCCAAGCATAAGCAATTGGTTGGAGGCATCAAGTTTATCGACGAGGTTCCCAAACTGGCCAGCGGCAAAATTCAGCGCAAGGTCATGAGAGAATGGGCCAAGAGAGACGCCCTAGAAATGCAAGGCTCGTCCAGAGCCAGATTGTAAACATTTGAAGTGATGAGATTCGGCTGGAGCGTTACAATCTGCGGTAGACGTCATAGAATATGTTATATCAAGGCTAGACGAGGCTACGGTTGGATTCCCAATTCGGCCACTAGGTACCTACCTAGGTACCGTTGGTTTGCTAAGTCTTCGAACGCCAACCTGGCCCATTGTCATTTCGAGCCTTCGAAACCATCAAATCGGCCTCGGCAGTGATGCAAGGTAGATCTATGCGCCTGAGAGAATGCATGATTATTAAGCTACGGATCGATGTTGGGCAGAATTGCCACATTCACTGACATGCTTGTCTGTTCCTGTTGTGAGTTTTAACCCCGGCCACGCTCGACGAAACGGGGCAACGGGACGGGTTCTCCAGATTCCAGTAGACTTTCGGGGTATCTCTGGGCGATTCTAGGCTAAACAAACAACACGAAGTCGACCCGCTCATGAATGACTCGTGCATAAGTGTCGTAGGAAGAACGAGTCCGGTCCCCGCATGATCGACCTTCTTGTCCATTCGGATATCATATCACCCCGCGGTGGAATCAACCCATACATCCAAGCACATATTGGTTAAACTCCACAGGTAGGATATTATCACCCATTGATGAATGGAAACTCCGTACCGGGGATCTCGGCGCGGTATCAGTGGCCGCTCGGGTCCAAGACTTGCGCATCAGCGGTGGACTCCAAGGAAGAATTCATCCCTGGGTTGTTGTCCCAGTTGTTGCGCAGGTCCAGAACACGGACTGATTCACCATATGCAGGGCAACATGAGACCCCGAGAACCATGTTTGGATATCAGGTGACAAAGTACCTGATGGAGCCTTCAAGTTTGTAGAACAAAAATATTGTTTACGGCTCTTGTACTTTTTCTTCTTCACTCTCCATCTTCGGTTTTGTCTTTCTGTGTCAACGCAGTTCGCAATCGTGTTTACTCAATATGGGCGACGCTAGTTCTCACATCCCATCCCCGACGGAGCCTACCACCATGCCCAGTATTGTCATGGGCCAGAATGGGGTGGGCGAACACTACAGCTACCCAGAGCGATCCCAGGAAGGGCCGTATCGTGTTCTGCAGCAATATCACTCCAAGGCTCGGAAATTGCGAGTCGCCTGCGTTGGCGCGGGGGCTTCAGGTCTCTGCCTTGCGTACAAGATGGAGCGCATGCTAGAAAAGGGTTCCTGGGAATTGACTCTGTTTGAGAAGAACAAGCAGTTTGGCGGAACGTGGTACGAAAACACGTACCCAGGTGTCGCATGCGACATTCCCTCCCACCTTTACACGTTCACTTTCGACCCCAACCCGGATTGGTCTCATTTCTTTGCCTATGGCGACGAAATCCAGAAATATTTTGAGGGCTTCGCCGATCGCTATGGATCGCGCAAGTACATGAAACTGAACACCAAGGTTGTCAAGGCTAGATGGGATGACGACGATGCCGTCTGGAACATCACCCTGGAGGATCAAGTCACCAAGGAGCAATGGCAAGACTGGGCACACTGTTTGGTCAATGGAACTGGTAAGTGTAGCAGTCAGTATCGCGAATCTTGGACCTACTGCTAATCGACACGACAGGAATTCTGAACAACTGGCAATGGCCGGAGATTGAAGGTCTCCATGACTTCGAGGGACCCTTGATGCACTCAGCTGCGTGGAATCACGATGCGGAGCTAGACAACAAGGTCATCGGTGTCATTGGCACTGGATCAACCAGCGTGCAGATCGTACCTCAGCTACAGCAGATTGCCAAACAGGTACAAGTGTACATGAGAAGCCCGACATGGATTAGCCCTCCCTTTGGCGCGGGGGCTTTGACCACCGACCTGACGAAAGGCTCCGACGTTGATCCAGGACACCGTCAATACAAGTTCACCGAAGAGGATAAGAAGCGATTCCGAGAAGATCCCGAGTATCACCTCGACTTTCGAAAGCGAATTGAGGCTGAGATCAACGGTCTCTTTGGTATGTACCAGCAAAATTCTGAACTGTCCAACCAATTCCGAGAAGCCATCACCTCCGAGATGAATCGAAGAATGGGACCTGGACATGAAGAGCTCAAGTCTTTCATTATTCCCAAGTGGTCGCCTGGGTGCAGGCGTATCTCACCTGGTGACGGGTATCTCGAGGCTCTGGTGCAACCCAATGTAGAGACCATCTTCAGTGGGATCGAAAGAGTCACCAAGAACGGCATTCTCACCAAAGATGGCAAAGAGCATAAGATGGATGTTCTGGTTTGCGCTACTGGATTCAAGGTCGCATTTCGACCCGCATTCACCTTGATCAACGGGGAGGGTAAAACTCTCAACGAGGACTGGGGTGATGGTGTCAATCTTTACTTCGGTGTCTCCGCCCCCAGGTACGTTTGACCCCGAGATGATGATAAGTACTCACGCTAACAATTCTAGATTCCCTAACTACTATACTATTGTCGGTCCCGGTGCTACCTGGTCGAATGGTACCTTGCTCCCTAGCATCGAAACCACCATCGAGTACTCGATAAAAATGATGAAGAAGATGCAGCATGAGACCATCAAGTGCATGGATGTCAAGCAAGAAGCTCTCGACGATATCTATGCACACTTTGATGAATTCCACAAGACCACGGTCTGGCAAGAAGAATGCCGCAGTTGGTTTAAGGATGGAAAGGTCAAGAACAGAATCTACCTCTGGCCGGGCTCGGTACGTTGCGACAAAACTCCCTGTGTCTTCAAAATAATTACTGACATCGCGGCAGACAATCCACTTTCTCAAGAGCATCAAAGATCCTAGATTTGAAGACTATAACATCAAGTACCGCCATAAGAATCGATTCGCATACCTCGGCAACGGTGACGTTAAAGCAACTGCAAGCAGAGACGTCAAGGGTCTATCAACCTATGTCCGAGCCAACGATCACGAATGGTCGGTTTCGTAGTTGGTCCAATAAGACAAAGATAAACTCGAAACGGCATAAACCGTGGGCTGCAGGAGTTTGGTTCGCATGTAATTAGAAACCAAGTAGTTCAATCAGGATACCCAGAAGGACTCGTACTACTTCGTACTCTCGTTAGTTCGTGGCTTTCAGAGTACATTCAATTCATTGACAATGGTCGACTGAGTCATGAAGTGAGCTTATCATGCGACAACATGAGAAATAACCAGCCACTTCAAGCATAAGTCCCACTACAGCCGAGGTTACTTGCGTGCCATTTTGAATGGTTGAAAAGACCTTCCCAGTCACGCGAAGACCCATGAAACTACTGTCTCCTAGTCTTAGAGTGGTCGGAACCGCCTCGGGAGGGGAACCGGTAGCCAAAGTATGGGGCATAAGGTTCAAGGGTGGTCTGAGGTGGGAGTGTTGACAACTCTGGCTGGAGTCTTCCGGCGGCAGCGCTTGACAGGTCCAGGCCAGGCCCAAGGTCCAAAGACGACGACGAGACTACAAACTCTTCAAAACCAGTTACAATCTAGTGAAGAAATCTCAAGATAAGGAGATCTCTATTGTTGGCAATTTTTATCCATGGCGTCATTGTTGAAGGGTTTCGGCTTCATAACAGGTGCCGCCTCTGGTGAGATCAACCCACATGCAGCTCAGGCTATGACCAGTCACCTGACCGACATATACACTAGGCATCGGTAAAGCAACCGCGTTTTCATTTGCGAAGTATGGTGCTCGAGGAATCGCCATTGGCGACCTGAATGCCACGGCAGTAAAAGCGACGGCGTCAGAACTCAACAAAGCTTTCCCAGGAGTTGAAATTCTGCCCTTGCAGGTGGACGTGGCCGATGAACAATCGATCAACAAGGCCGTCTCCGACGCAGCAGCCAAGTTTGGCCGGATTGACTATGCTGTCAATAATGCCGGCATCGCAGGTTCTAATGCCCGCTCGGGGGACCACGAGCTATCAGATTGGCAGAAACTTATGAGCATCAACCTGACTGGAGTTTGGATGAGCTCCAGAGCAGAGATACGGCAAATGCTCAAGCAAGAACCACTTGAACCCAAGTCTGTCTTAAGGCACCAATCTAAGAGAATCTGTGGCTGACATCAACTCAGTTCTGTTCGGTTTGGGAAAGGAACCATTATCAATGTCGCTTCCATGTATGGGATTGTTGGTACTTCTAGAGACATATCAGCCGTGGCATATACGACCTCTAAGCATGGCGTGGTCGGCATGACAAAGGCAGATGCTGCAGCTTATGCCGCAGATGGGATCAGGATCAACGCTATATGTCCAGGGTAAGTGATCCCACAAGATGTCAGCAGTCTGTGATTTAATTCATTGTTTCCAGTTATGTGGCCACGCCTCTGCTCCAAACAGCCTCGAGCATGGGTGTGATGCAGAAGGAAATCGAGAAAACACCAGCTGGCAGGATCGCAGACATGGACGAAATCGGGGATGCTATAACCTATTTGGCCTCCCCACTAAGTAGTTTCATGAATGGCAGTGGCATGGTCATTGATGGGTACGCTATCTTATTTTCCAGAGCAAAGTGATTATGCTAACTTATCATCCAGTGGGTTTACTGCTCAGTGATTAGGAAGACTACTTGAGAATGCGTGTAAAGAGCCTCGGGAACAGGTAGTCTTATTGAACAAAATGCTAAAACTCCAACCCAGATTTTCCTACAAACGTGACTGAGCACCAGTAAAGTTGACAGCAGCGTTGCTCTGAGACACACTTCCCGATTTTGTGAGGATCTCTCTCTTCTTTCCTCGACTGAAGTACTGGCCGTCGTCATTGTCGCGGACATAGTAAGCCCAGTCGGCCGTCGGGTCGAGTTCGGTCTGACTGTAGCCATTTCCGAGCCAAGCGAATCGATTGCCGTTGTACTTGACGTCGAAATCTTCCCATCTAACTTCCCCAATGGCCTCGATGTAGTGTAAAGTGGAACCGGGCCACAGGGCTGTGACTGGAGCATCTGACTGGTTGGCCTTGTACCAGCTTCGGCACGGATCTCCCCAAACTGTCTTCTCCATGAATTGGTCCTTGAATTTGATGAAGTCCTCGACGGCTTCCATCTTAGGGGCGAAGCTATGGATGTTGTGGGTCTGATATCGATCAATGACCGCCATCATCCAGTCAGCTTGATACTCAATCGCGGACAAGACAGGTCCATTTCCAATTGGACAATTAGGACCCAAGAAGATGAGATAGTTAGGGAAATCTGGGGCGGCAAGACCAAGATACGACTTAGGTTCCTTAGCCCAAACGTCCTGAAGATTATCTCCCTTTGGTCCGATCAGAGGAAATCGGGGCTTGAATGTGGTATCGAAGCCGGTCGCGCAGATGAGGACGTCCACTGGATATTCCTTGCCATCGTCACACAAGCAACCCTTCTCCGTCACTTCCTGAATTTCTCCATAGACCACTGAAACATTGGGCTTGGACAGTGTCTCGAGATAATTAACGCCAGGAGTCAGTCGCCGGCCTGATGTACTGTCAGTGGTAGAATGAATAAATGCGGACATTATACTCACAGCCTAGTGCCCAATCTGGAATGAGCTTCTCCTCCAAATACTTGTTGTTGAGTTTCTCCTTCATCTGCTGCACCATATACGCACGAGTCTCGTTTTGAGTCTTGGTATCTTTCAAAAACAGGCTAAATTGGCCGTTCAAGCCAGTTTCAATGTTCTTTCTGTAGCTAAGAAGAGCGCCAGGCTTGTTGACAAAGTCATGTCGCTCTTGTGGACTGAACACATGTTGCTCCAAACCTTGAACTGGTGAAACATAAGTCGGTTCACGAATAAAAGTAGTAACCTTGCTGACGATAGGCTGGATTGCAGGTAGAACTTGAATACCAGAGGAGCTAGAAAAAAGTCAGCGGACGAAAGATCTGTCTCTTCAGAGCAGCACTCACCCGTTTCCAATTAAACCAACATGCTTACCAGTCAGGTCGACTGATGGATCCCAGTTTGCAGTATGCAACAGGGTACCCTTATACTTATCGAGGCCAGGGATTGCAGGCCATCTCCAAGCATTCAGAATTCCTCCAGCGTTGATCAAAATGTCACAGTAATCCTCGTGATGAACATTGTTGTTTAGATCGAGGATGGTAACGTGCCAGCCGCCCTTGTCTGCATCCCAGACTGATTTGACAACTTGGTGACGAGTTCTGCAATACTTCCGCAAGCCGTATTTTCGAGAGAAGTTGTCGAAGTAGTTGAAGATTTCACCGCTTCCAGCATAAACAGCGGACCAGTCGGTCTTGGGCTCAAACGACCAGGTGTAATTGTGAGATGGAACATCACAAGCACAACTAAAGCATATTAGCAAGCCAGCTTTTGTCCCTGTCAATAGGTATCATACCCTGGACTGTGTCTCTGTCAGCATACAAAGGCTCGAACCTGCAATTACCACAATAACTTACTATTTGTTCTCCCACCAAGTGCCAGCAACCTCTTCGTTCTTTTCGTAGATGACTAGGTCAACATTCCTGAAATTACGTTGAACCTTGTATGCAAACAATAATCCAGACGCGCCAGCACCAATACAAATCACTCGGAGTTTCTTCTCCGAGTGGATTGGAGCATTTGCTCGTCGTTGTAGGTCGGGAACACGCTGAGAAGGGACGATGAAGTCAGCCATGATGATGACACGATATGTTGGTGAGGTAAGGCGAACGATGCACCATGGGGAGGCTTCGAATTCCCTTTAATTAAAAAAATCATTGAGACGCTCGCTGGAAATCTCCGAAGTGTCCCAGAGGCTAGTGATTCAGTCAACCAGATGACTACTGAGACCCTAGTTCTGCCACGCAGACATGACACATTCAACCGAGGGAGTTCGGGCCTGGGGAAGAATCTGGGGGAAACATGACTCGTTGAGTAGGAGTCTCGAAGCGGCTGCGAGTCGAGAGCTTCAGAATGAGGCCAAGTTTCCTGCCCACACTATTCCCCACAAGCCGGATATGCTTTGGCATCTCCGCACCGACGTTTAGTTTGGTCAAGTCGAGCCTCAGCTGACTTTCACGTGGATTTCGGATGGTTGGGAGACATATTGGAATTTCATTCATAATTAGAGACATACGGCTAGTAGCACCATACAGCATCAGAAGACAACATACGAGAAGTTAGAATCAGATGCATATCGGGGACTAGGATAACCACACCAACATGACTCTCAAGAAAATTGACCATACCTTCACACATCAGCCTTTGTCATACGACGCAAAACCGAACTATCAGCCATACATCCGGCTTTCATTTTACTTCAGCAAGCTACCCGAAGTCAGCTACGAGCAGTTCCACAGACACTGGGAAACCGTTCACGCAGATCTTACGGTCGCAAGTAAACCATTCAAAGACTTCCACATTGGTAGATATTGCCAGGTACTAGACTCTCCATAAACCGCCATTACTGTGATCTCGTGCTAATCCAAGGCAATACAGTTTCACCAAACTCCAGAGCTCAAGGAGAAGGCCAAAGCCCTTGGTCTTGCACAACTGGAATATGACGGATGCTCAGACATCTATGTGAAGAATTGGGATGACTGGATTCAATTCTACAACAGTCCAGATTATGCAAAAGCCCTTGCGCGTGAGTGCAATTCTTTGAGTACTTCCTATTAAGGCTGACAGAATCTAGCTGATGTGTCCCATTTCATGGCAATGCCTATCACTATCATGGTCGGCTATGACAATTTGATCTTCGGAGAGGCAATTCCAGATATCGGTGGGAGCTCTGGTGTTGTAGGGAAAGACTTGTAGATTTAAACAAAAATTCATCGACCGCCATTATTCAAACTGTGGTTTATTATTTGAATCACGTCAATATTAAGCCTCAGATTGTCCTACATCAAAATAGTTTGCAATACTAGTATGCTCCTTGACTCTTGTACATTCTTAATGGTGTACGTTCTTCTCGGCGTACTTGTCGTTCTCCAAGAAAATTTCAATCTTAGGCGTCATCTTGTGATCAATGTGCAAGCAAAGACAACAGCAGATCAGACCAACGCCACCAAATGAAAGAGCCGACAAGGAGACAAGCTTGAGAGCGTGGGCATAAGACCATTTGAAAGCAAGACTTGCCGCAGCGATTGCTTCTTCCGTGATTCCTGGGACGGCCATAATGGCTTCAGCTCCAAGGGGGAATGCAGCAAGCAGCTCCGGACCGCTTGACTCGGGCAGTCCGGCTGCAATGGCAGCTTGTGGTACAGTTGCTGCTGCCCGAGTTGCCTGTGTATTTGTCAGGATGGTCATGTAGATTGCTTGAGCTAGTGAGCCGCCAGCAAATCTAGCCATTCCAGAGAGGCCGCCAGCAACACCAAGGTCGACCTGGTGAACACCAAAGAAAGAGAATGCGATTGAGGCGTATTGAGCCCAACCGAAGAAAGCCTGACCGAGGAAAGCAAAGGCAATCATCAAGCCTTTGTTGAATGGAGTGACAAGGGCCATCAAGCCCACCCACAGGAGCATTCCAGCCCAAGCCACAGTCAGTGCCCATTTGAATGTAATCGCCTTGGCTGCAAGGTTACCGAATGCTGTTAGCATCAAGGCGCCAAACACCAAGCCGAGGTTTCCAGGCAGGGTTAGAAGAAGAGCTTCTGATCGTGGTGTCTCAGGCGTGACGTAGAAGACGTTGATCATAGTTGGCCATGTGATGTTGGCACCATAGTAGAACATGGTGACGATGAATGATACAACGAATGGGGCTGTGAATTCCCGCCCATTGTGCTTTTTGAAGATCTCAGGCGGGCAGAGCTTGTACTTGACTTTGGAGAACTGCTCCCAAAGCCCGAAGATGGTCAAGATGACGAGGCCGGTCACCAACGGTGCAAGCACGTGTACATCAGTAGAGGGTAGGTATGACGTGTAGACAATGCCCATTAGTGCGAGAGTGAGACCTGTGGCAGAGAGCACAGCTCCAACCCAATCGGCGCCGCGGACAGCCTCCCTCCATGGAACTCCCTTGGGGTGCTTTGGAGGCTGTAGGCTGGTCAGCATCGGTTTTATGAAGTAGGTGAGGTCCAACTTACGTGATACAGCCAGACGAGAAACACGAGGGAAATGAAACAGCCAATAAATCCTGCCCAGAAGATATATTGCCAGTTGTTGCCAGTCTCGATAGCATACCGGCCGGCGACAGGTCCGAGCACAACGACGATAAAGACTACAGCATCGGCAATGCAAATACCGATATGACGGAACTTGTTTGGCATCAGTTCACTGGGATGAAGGTTAGGCTTGAAGAGTCTAACTTTCAGGGCAGGGAAGTTACTCACGGAATTGCACACATGGACATCTGACAGAAGCCACCAAAGAAGCCTGAGATCCCCAAACCAGCCTGAAATTGCTTTGTTGACTTTGAGCTGGCAAGAATTGCCATTCCGATGACGACCCCGACTTCTCCCATGACAAGGCACAGTCTGCGACCGAACAGATCACTGTTGGCCCCAGCAAGCAAGAATCCGATGGCAATGCAGATTGTATAGGTTGGCACGAACCAGTAGACGGCAAGAGGGTCGCCCAGTTTGGCAGCGAGCGTGCCTTGCATAGCTGCGGTTGTCGGAATGGGCCAGAAAGACAGACCAAAGGTCGACGACAATACCTGGTAGGTTTGATCAGCAAACGAACTGCAACATGGGGTTTGCAGAAAGAACATACCACAATGACACACCATGTCTTCCAGGTCACCTGGTCGTTGTCACCTGGAACATGCAGGGCGACCGCTTGGTGAGGAGATTCCTCCTCCACAATCTGATGCTTTTCACTGCTGTTCTCACTCCCATGTTCGCCACGTTCGATAACCGAGGGCTCATTGACCCTCTGGGCTTTGTCTGTTCCATCCATTGCGTCTCAAGCAGACTGAGGTTATGCAAAGGTCTGGAGAACTTGCGCTTCAATCAGGAGGGTTTGAACACTACTGATATATCTCACTTCAGGTCACAAGTTCATCTGTGTTTTTTTGGATGTGACACGGTTGAGAGTCTGTCCCGCCAATGCTCCAGACTTGTGGTCTGGAAAAGGATACCCATCCAGACGGGAGAATGCCAAGAGCCCAGGTCTGGGGACAAGCCAGTGTCACTTGACCAATAGTCGTCCAGATCCCCACTACTATCCCGGATATCCGTGCGAGAGGCACCTCTCCTTTAAGGCTGTCGTGTGTTATACAGTGCATAGACGCCTCAAAAGGCCATGACCGGTTAAAGGACGACCGAACTAAGCGTGTATTCTGGTCAACTATAAAGACGCTAGTGGCCTAATATCAGCCGAAGGGACACACGTTCGATCTCATTTGGCAGTGTCTGACAAGGGGCGGCAAGGTTCAGCTGGTTTATGCGTGGCAATCATCCTTTACCTCAATATACGCGAGCACGTGGATGACTGATTCTAGCCCTTTCTCTCGGCTAGTCTCCAGTCCATGCTGATTGCAAATCCTCTGCGGCTTTCAACAGCCAAGGTTTTCAAAGCAAGTCAAACTTTCCGCCGTTCGGTATCAAGAATAGCAATTAGGGGCGCATAATTCTGATCCCGAACTTCTGGGGGAACAATGGTTCCACTCCCCTTAGGCGGAGCAATGTTGAAAGTGCCCAGAGTTCGGGTACCGTTTATCGAGACCTCGACACAGGCGCCTCCTTCATAAGACCCGTTCTTGACAAGGTCTATCATCGCCTCCGCAACTGCCTCTGCCGTAACCGCGGTCTCTGGGTCATACCCGTATTGTTTCATCTTCTCTGGGTGGTCTGTCCAAAGTGGTGTTTGGACCATTCTGTTCGAGCCGTCAGTCATAGACCCGTATTGACACTTGTATACTAACCCAGGAGCAACCGCTACGACTTTGATGCTGGCGAGGCGATCCAGTTCAGCCATCGAGCGCACAAATCCAATAACTGCGTGCTTGGATGCACAATACAGCCTACCAGTATTAACACCATCACCTAGCACGCCACTCATGAAAGAAACTCACGGTGCCGAAAAAGTACCCATATATCCGGCCAATGAGGACACTATAAGCACAGCGCCCCTCTTATTCTCCCCCAATAGAGCCCTCATGGCTATGCGTGAAAGCTTCAAGGCATGATTGACGTTAATCTCGATTTCAGCATACTCGTTTTCTTCTTCGTCGTCCCACCAGTTGGACCATGACTTGGTACTGTCAGAAGCTAGTGCGCACCTCAAATTGTAATTGGACAACGTACAGGCTCGAACACGCCTGCCCCTGCGATGTAGACATCTGGAACGGTCCCAAATTTCTCTCTTGAAGTGGTGATCAAATTTTCCAGGTCTTTTCGTTTTCGGACATCACACTCAACGAAGATAGCTTTGTCAGACGAGGTGCCGTCGACAAACCTTTGCCCGTCCTCGGTAAGTCTGATATCTCCAATGATGACATTTGCTCCTTGCAAACGACATGATTTGGCAAAGGCCAAGTTGATACCTAGAGTTTATATCAATCAATAGTCAGAAGCCCTAAGCAATTGGCAGTTGGTCCTCACCTGAACCTCCCCCTGTTATCACAACCACCTTGCCGTCAAGATCGATGTCACCACAAGTCATCCTGTAATTTGAGCTTTGGTCAACCGCGTACCTGTATCGTGAATCTCAGTATCTGATATGCCTAGATTCATATACGGGAAGTGGAGCCTTTCATTTTGTCGGTACTCCAATAAGCTGGTGGTGTTTCTGGGATGACAGGTCCAGGAGACCAACACCCGGAAAATGTTAACCGTAGCAAAAAGGCCAAATCTGGTCAGAAGACTGTCGCAAACTTTATTTGACCTCGATTCGTGCGACAATCCTTTCATTGTCTTGACGATATCTTCAGTGTCGGGAATGCACGAGTTTCTTACTGTTGTCATTCTGAGGTTGCTGACATACAAGTGTCCAACTGTTGAGTTTCACGGTGTCCCTGGAATTCCAGACGTCGTAGGATAGAGTTGTGATATTCTGTGCTGAATCTTGTGCGAACTTTATAGTTGCTGGCTCGCTATATTTTGCGACTTGGTTTAGATGGACGAGAGCTTAGTATTCGTGATTGAAAGCTTGCAATACGTAGGAGGTAAATGCTTTCCTTCTCAAAGGTGAGAACTCTGGGAAGGATGAAGACTGCAAACGTAGCCTTGCTCATTTTGAGATGGCCAAATAGTATCTTATACTCTCCAATGTCGTGCTATGCATCTATAGCACAGGTGACAAGCATCTGACCACGAGAGATGTAGTCATACCATAGCGCCCACCAAAGTCTAGTCCAGTTCCGAAAATCCGACTGTGTTACTGCTTAGACTCTTTCAGACGGGGAAGGAATGATTACGGAGTATATGGCAATGATCAAGCCGATGAGTTCTGTCCAATGCCATCGGCTATTAATCATCCAAAGGGCAAGCTAGCCACACAAGCCTATGTATCCCTCAAACATTGGCCTGATCGGCCCGGAGAATGGTTCCCCGTGGCTCCGCAAAGCATGCACTCCAGTACTGTAGTCCTGTGAGAACACATGATCGGGCAGATAGGAAGCCTAATCTTATATGTGTGAACAACAAGGCTAAGGTGGTTCTCGTAAATATTGTCTAATAGGAGTTCTGATTGAGCACACATTTTTGATTTGCTAGCGAGGGTTCTTATTAGCACTGTCTCCATGGCTTCAAACTCGTTTCTCAAAAACTTCTCACTAGAGAACAAAACAGCCTTAGTTACAGGAGGCACAGGAGGTGAATAATAGGATTTGCCCTTCCTTTTATTCTACTAATATAGTTGAATAGGAATTGGCCTTGGATTATGTCAGGCTTTGGCAGAATCCGGAGCGGATATCGTGTCATTGCAACTGCCGACGGAACCCACAGAAAACAAAGTGAGAAGTCCAACGCCCTTGACCACAGGGTCAATATCTGATGCGGTGCCAGGAGCTCATCGAGAAGGCTGGAAAGAAATGTACGATCATACACTGTGACTTGTTGAAGGTCGAGGATCTTGCAAGGATTGTGGAGGAGGTATATTGACATTGATTCAGCCCTAAATATGTACATGCAACCGCTAACAAGTAAAATCTCAATCCCCTTCTAGGCCTGTGTTGGTCATAATCCTGACATCTTGATCAATTGTGCCGGAATCCATAAGGCTGGACCGACAATTGAGTTTCCTCTGGAAGTGACTGAACAAATCATACGACTCAATACTACCGCAAGTATTGCCACTGCGACCGCGTTCGCAAAATACTGGATTCAAAGCCCTGGTGGGTGTTCAGGGATCAAGAAGATCGTCAACTTTGCTAGCATTTCGAGCTTTCAAGGAAATTTTGAGAATGTGGCTTATGCCGCCAGCAAAGGTGCCGTGTTGAATATGACTCGAGCCATGAGTAACGAATGGGCTCCGTAAGTCTTCAGGCCATTCACTTCCGCCGCGGTCTGCCCAGAGCTAATTCATGTATACTATAGCCACGGCATCATTGTCAATAGCGTCGCGCCTGGATACACCAAGAGTCGGATGACGGAGAATATCTACGACAATCAGGAATTCAATGCGAAACTATTCAAGGGCATTCCGGCTAGGAGGTGGGGAGAAGCCAAAGACCTCGCTGCGGCATGTGTTTACTTGTCCAGCCCTGCGAGCGATTACGTTACTGGTCATTGTCTGGTGGTGGATGGTGGTATTCTCGGCGGCCCACCCATCGTACCTAGAAATCAAACCTAGAGAGTCACGTATATTTGGACCTTCGATTGACGCTTGAAATTCTATGAACCGCAGCGAGATGCTATGGTGTACACTGAACACAATACTTGGCTACGATATAAATCCAAGAATGGTGAGCAAGTACCCTTGGTGGCTCATAGGCTCGACGAGACTCGGTATACCTCTCTGAGAAGCTCGGTAGTTGGAGTCGCGAAGGTCCTTGTGGACCAGTCTTTGGTCGGGGCCAGGGGCCAGGGTCGTGAGGCTGTTCAGATCGCTGAACACGTGGTCTGCTAACTGGCGCTATCGACAGCTTCATCGAATGCACCACACCAATCACGCAATACCAGCGAGCAATGTACTTCTGGAGGTGCGGTTCGAATCGGGAAACCTGGGAAGCTTGGGAAGCTTGGCATGGGCTGAGACATCAACAACCTATCTATAGTTCAGCCTCAGCCTCAGCCTCTCGAAATCTTTTCGCAAGTTTTCTCAACACCCTCCAGCATTGAAAGGACTAAGTTGGCAGCTCGTCCGCTTGGACTGACAAATAGCACAATCAACGATCGATCAGCTCTCCACGGCACTCAGATACTGAGCAAAACGAGCATTAGTGGTGATATCTTTTTTGCAATTAGCGACGCTCGACATGACTTTGCTATAAATCTGTCACCATTGGATAGCCAAAGGGTGAGGCAGAACTGTATGATTCAGGAGGTTTAGCTGACACCAGAACACAATTGGCTGTTCTGGGAACCGGCAAGGCAGAAATTGGAAATTGGAGGTACCGCAGTATCCCAGGTCAGGTATTGCAATCATGCCCATGCTTCGCGGCGAATATGTCTTTCCATAGTACGGCTTTGCAATATGGTTTGGAAGGGTATAAAAAAGTGGTATCATCCGCAGTCAGGAAACTCACATTGGGGAGACAGCAACTGGCAAGCAATTTCTTGACTACAAGAATCAGAGTCATCTCAGTCTATAATTCACCCGATCCTTTCAACAACCATGAAAGCAACCAATATTCTTTCATTCTGCTTCTTTTTGGGTGCCGCCTTTTCTGCGGCTATCCCCAGCGCCGACGCAGCGTTGGCAGTGAGAGCCCTAAAGCCCATTACTTCGCCGGTTTCAATCTAATGTTTTTCCCCCAGAAAAAGGCCATTCCTGTTGTATCACATTCAGCAACACTTTCACCCATGTACCCAAATCCAGAGGGCGTGGATCAGAGCGTGCTGCTCTGGTTTGAAAAGGGTGTGGGTAACCCATGGTTAGCAAAGTTCCTTTTCCTTCTCGTGGCACTATCCCCGCATACGTTGAATCTGGAAATGCTCACAAAATATTCTCAGGAACATTGGCGATCTCAGAATGGAACTTGTCGTCACTCTGCGCAATGATGGCCGTGCTTCATTCTGGTCGAGAGTGAAGAATAAGAACTCGCTCATCCCTTACGATTACTCCATCGGTTGTGGACTTCGTGATACTCAGGGCAACGTCTATCAACTGGGCCACGAGGGTGATGTCAACCCACTGCAGAAGGAGACCTTTGATACCCATTATGTATATAGCAATAAGATTGCAGAGAATTGGCAGAGCATTCTGGAGAGCTCAACCATGGAATGTGTCGGAGCTGAGGGGGTCAATCTTGGCGGCATTGCGAACCAACTGCAAGAGTTGTACAAGAAATGGGGAGCGATTGTTGAGATCATTGCGTGGCTCCTCTAGCTGGACTACTTTGGGGACAACGATCTTGTCGATAAAGCAGACGAGAGACATCCTTATCCTTGTTACTAGTTGGGAAGGACGTCGTTTGCCACAAGACCCTATTACTGGGCCAGTAACACTATCTCACACGATGCTTGTTAGGCTAGCCTTACCTGGGCCCATTCGATTCTGGACATTTCGGTTCTGTGAGCTGAGCCAGCGTTCACCTTTGCCAGCCTTATCCGCGCCCATCCCCGACGCAATAACTGTATCCAGGGACTTCGATCGTAAAACCTGCAGCTTCAAAGACATCAAGCAGACCCATCCGTCTGAGGCTTTTGGTTATGGGAAGTGAGCCGGGAACCACATGTCGCTTTCCCCTTTTCACAGGCGAGAGGCCCTTAGTACGTGTGGCGATCGCACAGTAGGAAAACACGAGACCATCTCAGTAACCAGGGCCAGTCCAAGAAACCCCAACCTCGCTCATGTTTTGATTGGTTGCCCATTTGCTGACGTGCTGACTTATACATCTTCGATGTCGAAATGGTACCAGATCCTACACCTGCACATACATGTGCGTTCGTCAAGGAGCTTCCTTTGAAGACTGATGTAAGATATTAGTGGCTTCCTACTCATTTCTTGCTGACATAGGCTTCTCATGTCGAAATCGAGTGTGTCGCATCCTTGTAAACCGCCACAACCTGTCACTTTTGGCTATCTGGTTGGCATGCTCTGAAGAGTACTGGGTGGAGATATGGCAAAATCTAAACTGTGATTTCTTTCATATCTGGTCTTCTTCGTATAGTTACTAGATACTTGGTCGCTGTGTCTTGAAAGTGAGACAAGATCAGCCTCGATCGACATGTTAGATGCTCACGTGATTTCTAAAGACTTCGCCGCGGCGGCACTTTCAGAGATTTCAATCATTGACCATCAAGTTGGTTTGTAAATGATATGAATTGCCGTGTGTCTTGAATCCCTCTTCAATTGAATTCTTGTACGATATTGATAGCTGCATCTCGCTTGCGGCTTCAGAAGGTGTGTACAACCATGTCCGTCGAATGAAAGGGCCTGGTTCGCCGCCGAGTTACATTGGCGTGAGGAGTATCTGCGGACTGAAGAACGCACCATCCGACTGGCAAAGTCTCTTCTTATGACTCGACATTTTGTTTCTATTGGCTATGGCTTGATTCGTTTGTCCTAGAACCTTGAACATGTGCTACCCTGAACATGCACTATCTAATCGTCCCAGTGGGCTGTCTGCAGGGATATTTGTCCCAGAAAGGGAATTGGGTTTTTTGCAATGTTCGTCGGATAAACAGGTTTACTGTACGGAGTAGCTCAATGGACTTGGATGCGACTTGGCTGGCGGTTGACAACTTGTCATCGCGAGGCACACACAACACACTCCAAGTGCGCTTGTCGTGTACAATTCGCAATAAATATATGCGCGCTCGCAACGCCTCAGCTCCTCGCCACATGATCAGTAGAAAGATCATCTCTGAGAGGGGGTTGCAGTGGCACAAAGTGGTTGACCAGCATATCACTTTGCCATCGAGCGACTAGACCCAGTGACATGCCGATCAAAATGAAGAACCAACCCATTGGGGTCGCAGTCTGACAACCACCTAGACAATGAATTGAAAGATATCTGACTGGTCCGTTAAGTGGATTTGCGTGGCTGGCGAAGGAGATTGGTTGTTCCAGCCCAGATTGCCCCCCCATTGACAGGTCCTAGCTCCCAGTGGGGGAACGGATGTGGCTTCAATGGTCCCTTGGATTGGCCTCTCCGATGTAAACCGACTTCTTGATGCAGAAACTTGGCGTGCTTGGTTATACAGGAAATGTAAGGTCATCATCGCCAAAGGCGGGGTTGACCCTGGCAAACGCTGGGCATTATCCTAGCATGATGGTATCGCATGGTCTGTTGCGTCCCTGTTGTTCCACAGGGGTAGAGATTACAAAACTACAGGACTTCGTGTTCTGGACATTGCATGCTCTCCTCAACCCTCGATATCGGTCGAATTGCAGGGTGCAATACGAGTTCAGACGCGCTCGGATCTGCACCTGTCTTTGTCGCGTCAGCATGCTATTGTGCACCCTGACTTGCCACGGATTTTGAATCTTCTCGCTGCTATTTGAACAAGAATGGAGGAAGTCAAGAAATCCGAAGTGATAGAGCTTGAGACCGCCACTCCTCAATCGTCGAGACAGTCGACCAACGAGCCTCCTCCCGACCTTTGGAAGGCGGTGCGAAAATGGCCCAAGGTACTGGGTTATACGTTGGGATTGACTTCAGCCATCTTGCTGTACGGCTTCGACACCTCCATCGTGAGCAATGTGTCGGCGATTCCAGTGTTCCAGTAAGTGGGCCACCTCCTTTGTCAACCCGACTGGCATTGCATGCTGATCTACGCCAGACGTGACTACGGCCGCCAGTTGGGCGATCGATACATTGTGCCGTCAATGTGGATGGGCCTATGGAACGCAACAACACCTTTGGGAATCATGGTTGGTGCTGTCATTGCCGGGTGGCTTCAAGATCGCGTTGGTCGACGATGGTCATTGTCCATCTCGAGTCTGGCGTCAGCCGCTGGTGTGGCTATGATTTATACTTCTCATCTGTTGGACGATGTCGATTCTCGACGGGGCCAGTTCCTCGCAGGCAAGTTGTTCCAGGGCGTGGCCATCGGCAGCTTGTTATGCACGACGCAGACTTACATGTCTGAGGTGCTACCACCGAGTCTGCGAGGTTCTGTTTTGGCGTTTTTTCCTGTCTTCACGCTGCTGGGACAGCTGGCGGGCGCCGTCACCGTCTTCACTTCCCTGTCTCTCTCGGGCCAAAAACCATATACGGTTCCCATGTTGGCACAGTGGCCTTTCTCCGCGGTGCCGTGCATATGGGCCATCTTCCTTCCTGAAAGCCCGGTCTACCTCTTGCGAAAGAAAAAGTTCGACGCTGCTTTCAAGGCACAGAAACGCCTTGACACAAAGCATATGGACACCCAGGCCAACATCGACACTCTCAAAGCCTTCTTGCAGGCAGAGGAGGACCGTTCCAAGTTCAATACGTCTACCTACAAGGAATGTTTCATTGGCGTCAACCGGAAGAGGACATTAATTGTTATTCTGGCCAATAATCTACCTCAAATTGGTGGACTGCTCCTTTTGTCTGATGCAAGCTACTTCATCCAGATGGTCGGCATGAGTGCGACGAACGCCCTATTGTTCCTCCAGCTCGGCATTGGTCTAGGATTGCTGGCCAATATCCTCAGCATGTATCTATTGAGCCGGATTGGACGTCGACCACTGATCCTAACCACTTTTGCAATTGCTGCATTGCTCTGGACCGGCATGGGCATCGCCGGGATCTGGGATGGTATCATCCCTATGTGGTAGGTAGCGGTCCACTTCACTCATAATAAGACTCCTTAACTGACGGGGTATTTCTCAGGTACACTGCTGTAACGATGATGATCACAGTGGTAGTGATTGGGGTGGGCCTTTGGCCGGCGTCATATGCCGTCAGTGCTGAGACGTCTTCATTGCGACTTCGAGCCAAAACCCAAGGTGTTGGCTGGTTGTTCGGAGGCCTAGGCAGTGGGATCTTTTCCATCACTCTTCCCTACACATATAACAAGGACGCGGGCGATCTAAGGGGCAAAGCCGGCTTTATATTCACCTTCTTTTGCCTCCTTGGTTTATTTTTGTGCTGGAAGTACGTGCCTGAGATGAAGAACAGGACTGCAGCAGAGATCGACATTATGTTTGAAGAGCGATTGCCGGCCCGAGAGTTCAAGAATTGGTCCGAACCCCTCCAGATCGAGCGTATTATCACAGTCGACAGCACCGCATCTGAGGCCGTTCTGATTCGACCCCAACGAGAAGTTTGAACTTTTCGAGGGTCCGGCCGTAGCATAGGACCATTTGGTGGCTGATGTGAGGCACATCTCAGGCTCGGCAGAACCAGGGCGTATATGTCCTCAAAATAATGATCAGAAATGAGCAATGTCGTATGGATACAGATTCTGGTGTGCTCTCACAGCTCAAGCGTCTGTATTCTTATTTGGTTTGCCCAATGCACACGATGGTACTAGATTTCCTAGCTCACATTACCTTTTACCTTAACGGCCTCTATCTCCCGTTCGCGGACGGCCGTGAGAAGATCCCGGTGCGTTCGGCACCACCACTAGGCCAGGTACTCCCTTCAAGCCCATCTTACCGATCAGACGTTTCTCCAGAGGAGGCACTTCTGGACAATCAAGACCTTGTAATGCAAACTTGTTGGCTTCCTGTACGACCCTTTCAGAAGACCACCTTAATAACCTGGCGGACATTTTCAAGTAGCCTAGGCATGCTCGATAGACCTTTTCTTTCGTCTCTTGCTCTAGGGTCGCTAGAGCTTGGCTGATGTCTTGGACTTTATAGTCAAGAGGCTTCTCATATTTCTGCACCCGTACCTTCTTCAATTGATTCAGAAAAACCGTCTCTTCCTGGCTCAAGATCAAAAGTCCGCAACCTTCAGCCCCGGCACGAGCTGTGCGGCCCAATCGATGGATATAAGATTCTCGATCAGGGGGCAAGCCTACTTGGAACACATGTGAAACGCCGGGAAAGTCCATGCCACGAGCAATGACATCAGTTGCCACGCAAATCGCATTTTTGCTTGTTCGGAACGCGGCAGTGATGTTGGTACGCTTGCTCTGTGATAGGCGGGAATGTAAAATTGAAACGGGTGGTAGACCGCGGGTTGATGCAAGGACGTGTCCAAAGAAGTCCGCTTGGGCTGCAGTTGGTGCGAACACAATTGCCTTGAAATCATCGCTAGTTGCAAGCTCGGATCTGACAAGTGAGACCAGGGCCGGAGCATGCTCGATGATTGAAGGGGTGGTGACAAGGTATTGATTCACTCGTTCATGGGTGTTGGCCTCGCCCTCAGGTATCGTGGAGATGTACTTGTAGCCTTCTCTCAAGAACAGCTTAGTAACATTTGCAATCTGATCATCCATGGTTGCGGAGAAGAGCATGGTTTGTCGTGGACCTTTTGGGATGTAGGCCAGGATCCTCTGCATATCTGGCAGGAATCCCATGTCTAGCATTCGATCTGCTTCATCGAGCACCAGAGTCTGGATGGTATCAACAGAAATGCTCTGCTCACCCGACAGATGGTCCAGAAGTCGACCAGGGGTAGCGACTAAGATGTCGCAGCCATTCAGGATTCTTTGCGCCTCTGTGTTCTTGTTGGTTCCTCCGATTGAAGTAGCAACTTTGACTCGTGGAAATCGTTGTAGCAGTCTCTTAGCCTCATCCGCGATCTGCAAAGCAAGCTCTCTGGTTGGGCAGAGAACTAATGCGGACAGGCGTTGGGTCCTATTTTGCAAAAGAGTTTTGACGGCAGGGAGGAGAAAGGCCATTGTCTTTCCGGTACCGGTCTTTGCCTGCGCCAGACAATCATTGCCCTCAAGCAGAGGAGCCAGAGTGGCAGCCTGAACAGGCATCATATGATCAAATTTGAGATCATCTGTCAGGGTATCGATGATGGCAGGGTCGATGCCATAGAGCCCTCGCAGCTCCTTGAATCGTGGGGTGGTATCTGGAACATCGATCGAGGGAGGTGGGAGGGATGATGAGGGTGTCGGTGAATGGCCATCTGTGAGATTATTGCGATGAAGACTCTTGGTAATAGAAGATCCTGCTCTGTGAGACTTGGGTTTGGCCTGCTGTACAGGCATAGGTCTGCGTTTTCCCATGGCGAAGTGTGCTGCAAAGGTCTTGGGTGGGCTCAGGAGGAGGAGAGTGGGAGAGAGAAAAGATTTATCAAGTGGTTGCAAAGAAGACAGGGGTTTGTTTGCATGATGAATGTGTCGAGATCATTCAAGAAATCTTGACATTCTCAATCTGGTTGCGGCCAGAAAGATTCGCGCGAAACGCGCACCTGCCGCATGTGAATTTTTTGGCAGAAGGAGTGGAATGACGTCATTTGAAACAGAGTGCCAAATGCGGCAGGAATGATTGGAATGTAAATTTGGGCAAGAGCGAGTGACATTGCACGTGGTTGTATTTTGACTCTGATTCTTCCTCATCGATTGAGGCACAGATACAGCCATGAGAGACTCAATTTCATAGATTATAAAGTATGAAAGTAAAAAGCGATAAGGATATAGCCGGAGGATCTACACCTCTTCAACCTGGCTGGCATCACGACGATTTCCACTTCCTTCAGCTTTCTCTGCCACGCTACCACGCATTCCAGCAGCAGTGCTTCTTCGCTTCTCCATCCTCTTCCTTCGGCCAATCTCAAGTTCCTGTGCAAACTTGCTCTTCAGCCGTAGATTGGCACCCTTGAAGTAGAAGTAGTAGACTGGAATAATCACAAGAACCGCCAAGCAGGAAAGGATGACTGAGGGATAAACCAGATGACGATCTTCTCCTCCTATGTTCTCATAGACTGGTATAGTATATCAGCAGATGATCACAATGTCATGGGCAATGACGCTCTCGACTTACATGGGTGGGCATAAAGTGCGGCGATACCAGCAAGAAAGTCTCTTGCCAGATCATTACCACCAGTTGCGGATGCAGCATATGGTCCATAAGCAGCAATCATGTAGTCGATGCTCGACTTGTAAACTGAATAATTGGCAATACCAACAATGGCCGTGAAAATCAACGGTGCAATCCAGTGGACCTGAGGAGGGCCAAGTGATGTCCATGCGAATCCCATCAAGCCAACAGCGAGGAGCGGGGCTAAGTAGAGAAGCCACCACAGTCGCGATTCAGGCGACAAGAGGTCAGGGTTCTTCTTGCGAGTTTGATTGTGATGCCATATCACTGGAAGATAGCTCAAATATGCAATAATGTATCCGATGACCGAGCTACAATTCTGTTAGCAAGGGCTTGATCATTGGTATTAGTAGCCACTTACGAGAGAAAGCAGAGACCAATCTGCCAGGTTTCAAAGTCCCACTGTTCAAAAACAGGAGTAAAGGCCTCGAGGAAGGTGAAAATCAGAGAGTCAGAGAAGCCAGAGAGTAGAGAAAGAAACAGGACGATGGGCTCGGTGAAGAACATCAACCATGGTCGCCACCAGATCTTGCCGACCTCTTTCCAGCTAAACCGTTCCCTAAACGGCGTCAATTCATTCGGTCCGTAGATGTTAGACTCCCCATTCTTGCGGCGTCTCTTTGCCTCCCGGTCAAGAAGGATTGTAGCTCTAGTTTCAGGAACCAAAATGAAATGCGCCGCTTGCACAACGCCGCCCATAATCAGCAGGACCCAGAAAATCCAGTACCATTCTTTGTACTGTCCGACAAAGCCGCCAATAACCGCACCAATTGGTGCACCACCCACTGATGACAGAATTACAAACGCGACAGCATACTGAAATCCTGTGTCTTCGGGCTGATAAAGATCTGCGATAACACCAAGGGTGACAGATCCTCCTGATGTCGAAAGGCCACCCAGGGCTCGTGCCACCAGAATCGATCCGAAATTCGGTGCTAGGGCGGTCAAGATCTGCCAGATGTTGACGAGAAACAGAGACATTTGCTGCGTGGGCCAACGGCCAATCTCCTCGGACCATGGAGCCCAAAGTTCACATCCAATGGCATAGAAGATGAGGAAGATGGCTTGTCCAAGACGTGCTTTGGTTTCAGAGACACCATATTCCTCAGAAATCCCTTCTACAGCGAACCCATACATGGAGGCATTGGAGTTCATCGAGGTCTGAATGAATAAAATCATGACGAGAATAGACCATTTTCGCCATTCAGGTAGTGAATAGCCAAGCTTGTCGTATGCATCGTCTTCTGTCAGCTCGACTTTGCCGTCCGCACGTTGGGGATCTGACGCATCTTGTCCTGTTGTGGTGAGATCCTGGCCAGGCACGCCGAGCATGGACTGCTTCTTTCCCGGGGTTTCGTCGACACTCTTCTCAGTATAGCGATCATGATCAGAGTCGCCCAGGACTGTTGATGACCTATTGGAGCCCGTCATGTTGTAGACAGATGGGGATGGCAGCCGAGACTAAAACACATAGAAGGACTTGCAGAGGAGTCTGACTGATCTTGTGGAAACAAAAGGGAGGAACCTTGAGAATACTCATATACTCACCTTTTCGTCAATAGATCACATAGAACTCACCGTTGTCGGGCAATGATCTCATCGCATGCGGGGAGCCTCGTGGGATACTAGGCGCAGGATTCCTATTGTGGGAGGTTGCGGGGGTTAGTCTGCCGTTTTGTCCGGGGGGACAGAGGAAACCATGGCAAGGATCGTAGATTTAAGCCAACGGCTGCCACCATCACTATATTCAACGCCAGGCTCGAGTAACAGACACAGTCAGAATGCACAAATCGCATACTGATTTGATGGGCAAAATCGCGATCCACGATTCAACGATGATCTCATATGGCACAAGCAGTCGCAAGAAGCGGGACGAGAAATGCTTTTGAGCTGCAAGAATGTCAAGGCGTGCCCAAGCCGCAGGGGCATGAGCAACACTGACTGGCTGTTTGAAGCCTTGGATCAAGTTTGGCGTCACTTGTGCCTGGGGTGGTAGCCATCGGCGTCTGGGCATATCTTGGCTCACAACCGAAGGAGGGTGGCAGATTTTCTCAGGTATGACGTAACTGTAGATTGAAGTAGACGCAGGAATGATTATGGTGAAGAATTCAAGCTGAACCTTATGGTGTTTATCTTTGTTAATACTATATTCGGTCAAGAGAAGAATGGTGGAGGGGATGATGGTAAGCAGACAAAGGAAGCCAAGTTGAAAACTGAAGATGTATTTCAGCGCATCATATCAACCAAAGTAGAACAAACTGTACGGCGGACTAAGAAGACAATAGCTGGGATTACATACGAGGCAGGTCTACCGGATCCAATTGTCCAATGTCTCGAATATCAGGGGTCATTGATTGACTCTGCGCTGTCCATTGCTAGGTCACTAGATTGACTTCTGTCTCTATATGAGACATGATCATCACCTATCCCGGTTCTTTGTTCTCACTTGCAGTTGTTCTGCAACTATGCAGTTCGGCCTGGGGCCAAGATGGATTATACGGCATCGAGGTGGACCAGTTATTTCCCTCTGTCAAGCTCGAACTCCATTCAGATGAGGATTCGCCCAAGGCTGACTCACCATGGTCATATGAACCAGTTTGTACAGCAGAGATAAAGTCGATTGGCAGTGCACTCTGCGTATATACACAGAAAGATTTTTCTGATGGCCGAGGAATATCACTCTTTACCACTCCAGACGTCGCTCGTCAAATATTAGCTTCGTTGCCATTCAGCAGTCCGAGCTCACTGGCCGGCTCCGGGAGCAACATCCCTCAGGACTCTTGGTTTACCAAACCAGTACCTGGCAAAGGCATCGGAGTTTTCGCGAAGAAGCCTATCCCACGAGGACAAGTGGTGACTGCCAATACTCCAGTGTTGATGGTTTACACGGAAACATTTCTTCCCAAGGCTGAACGTGAAGCCCTCCTACGCCTCGCGACAGACCAGCTCCCTCCTTCTTCCAGGGAAGCACTACTCTCCCTTTCCAAAGTCTTCAACAATTCTGAGATTCCAATCCAAGATATCATAGCAGGGAACGCATTCGGACTTGAAATCGGAGCCCAAGGTCACTTAGCGGTGTTTCCCGAAGTCTCTCGAGTCAACCATGACTGCAGTCCAAACTCACAATTCTACCTGGATTCTGATTCCTTGACCCATTTTGTTCGTGCCATCCGTCCCATTGCGGAGAACGAGGAAGTAACCATCGCCTATTCTAATCCCCTGGCGCCCTTCTCCGATCGTCAAAAGGCCCTGTTCAAAGGTTTCCATTTCAACTGCGGCTGTTCACGGTGTTTGCGTGGCGAAGCTGCTGATATGCCGCTCCAGGAGATTGCCGAACTTCAATCAATTCTCTCAAACTGGACTCCTGCTTCCAAAGCCAATGTCAAGGTTGCAGAACGGCTAGTAAAGTTGTATGCACAAGAAGGACTCGAAGGCTACGCTGACCCGGCCTACTGCCATGTGGCCTTGACATACAGTGCTGCTGGTAGTGCTAGAGGTGCTCGGAAGTACTACGACCTTGCTCTAGAATCACATCAGCTCCGTCTAGGCCCAATGGCATCAGATCTCGGAGCTTGTAATGGCATGAAAGACAATATTGAAAAGCACTGGAGTTGGAGACGGAGAAAAAGTGGGTGATCACTGGAGCAGGTATGGAGTCTATGAAAGCCGGACATTCGCTTCTCGGCGACGCCTATGTAATCACATCCCTTTTCTAACCCATCCCTAGGTCCAAGCAAAGTTCAACATCCACCTCACTCAAGCCTTGCTAGTGCAGGGCCTCACAATTTTGGCACTATCAACTCGTCTATTCCTTCAGCCGCAATACTCTCTTTGACCGATGTTCGCTCTGCCACATTGAGCGCCAGCTTGGTGTATCGAGGATACCTAACTCTCATATCTTCGCCAAGAGCGAATCCCCATCGGTAAAAGACATACAATAAGACGTCCACCACGGTGAGACTATCGCCGACGGCATAGACTGAGGTTAATCGGTCCTCTATCTTTGCGAAGCAATCTCTGACATTGGAGAGACCTTTTTCTTTGACGGCAGGATAGACGCTTTGGTCGTCCGTGTACCGTTCAGGTCTCAAGAGGCCCCCAAACGCCTGACCGTGCAGAGTTCCCGATAGCCAGTTCAACCATTCGTAGGTCCGGACCACTTCGAGGTTGGTTTTGCCCAGGAGATGCTTCTCCGGTGCAAGCTGGGCAATGTACGTGAAGATAGCTGGGGTCTCAGTGATGGTCTCGCCATCCGCGATTAGTACCGGCACGCGAAGCTTGGGATTGAGGGCAAGAAGTTCTGGGCTTTTGAAAGCGATCTTGAGCGGTTCAAAGGAGGTCCCACTCTCCCTCAACAAGATGTGTGAGGCCAGCGAGCAAGCCCCCGGGGCGTAGAATAATTTAATGGTCGACATGGTCTATTGAATGGTAGATTTTGCCAGTCGATCAACAATCTTCGTTCTCTAGACCTTTCAAACTGCCCTCCAGGTGATGCAGACAACATATAAGTATTCCCAACACGCCCTTCGTCGCGAGTCACTCCAAATGTGAAAGTATCCTACGGCTCTGCGAACGAATCACATCGTGGCCACGGGCTTAGCTTAACGTTTCGGAGACTTATGAAAAAAGCGGCGTTGGCGATCTATAAAGCAGCAGGAATTCAGCATATTGGCATGACTTTGCAGCTGTCTTGGTCGGGCTGCTGGCAAAATGATTCGCTGTTCTTCTGGAGACGTTGAAGTTGAACTCCGGAAGCATTACCGTTTTTGACTTGGTGTATAGAAACATTACTTAATCCTAGAGGACGGAAGATGATGTGATGCCTCGGCCTTGAAGTGACTTCGCACCCATGGAACCCATCGATGCCTGGCTAAGCCCCCTCGGCCTCCATGCCTCGGTCACTAGTTGACGTGTCTCTTCTGTTCAATAACATATTCATGGATTTCTTGTTTTCTTTGGTAGACCATCTAGACCTTGTACCGCTTAGCCTCGCATCACACAAGCTACAAATGCTACACTATGGCCTATGCGTCACAGGAACTTTGTCGTCGATGCAGATTTCATTGAGCGGCCATCGACTTTCCAAACTCAGCCATCTATGAACTCTTATCACGCATCCACGCAAGTTCTTCATCAGTGTGCCTTCTTCTGATCTCAAACTCGTCACAGGGTGGCACACGGCTTGATTAGCCTGCAATATGATGTTCGAGGAACAACATCAAGATTAGATCTGCCCTAACAAAACACAGACATGTGCCAAACCTGGTAGGAAAGAGAACGTGTTGCCTTCTTACACAGCTTTTTGCTCGTTTGTTTTCATCCCAGTCAACAGTGTACCCATCGCCTGATATTGAATAGAGAAGCGACTGATCATACGTCAGCGGAAGACAAACCTCTCTAGAGATGGATAGTCGTCGTATTTCCGCAGGGTCCCACTGCCACTTGCTCTGAAAAGCCAAATCCATGTTGCGATATGTTGGGGTAATAAAGCGAAGTAGGTCTCCAGACGTGTAACAGACGCGAACAACAGTTACTAGGCTCAAAGAGACTGTCGGGGATTGAATCATTGACTAAATCATCCATAGTCCGTGAACACCTCAGGACAGCGTTGCGTCGGCAAATGACAAGGTTGATGCTTATTACCCCTCATGATTCCACTTGACCCAATCAACAGCCTTGCCAGGCTTGTTGCCACCCATCCATTTGTCCCTGAACTCGGAAGATGGACGTTGAACGACATGGAGATGCATGAGTGATGACCGACAACCGTCATGCAGAGACTGCCGACAAATTTAAAAGGGGATCTTCTCCAACTGCTGGTCTGTTCATCACCATGATGACTACTAGAAAAGCAAAGTCAAGACCACTAACTATTTGACATCTTCTGGTCTGCTCCATCTTCTCTCTTGTGCAATGGCAGCGGTAGAATCGATGATTCACAGAGACAGCACTAATGCTACCCAGAAGATACCAGTCTCGGCCAATGACGGACTATCGACGCTGCCTACATCTGAGACATTGGCACCAAGGACTATTTCCGAGTTGATAGCACGACGGGCACAGCAAGCTCCACACCAGCCAATTCTTGGGTATCCTTCTCATGGCGTTGAATATGTCGAGTACACTTTCGAGCAGCTGGATCGGCTCGCCGACGCGGGAGCTAGCCACTATGCAGCCAGGGTTCCCACAAGGTCTTCGTCAGAGGATCCAGAAGTAGTTGTCGCCATTCTTGGACACTCAACCCTGGAATACCTGATCACAATTATAGCTCTCAGCAGACTAGGTTTCACCGTTCTATTTCTATCTACACGAATTTCAGAAGAAGCCTACATTTCTCTTCTAGAATCTACGAATTCTTCACATCTCATTGTTCACTCGTCCTTTCAGAAGACAGTCGCTGGCATCAAAAACATACTTCCACAGCTTGAGGTTGTTTCTATCCTGGATCGATCTGACTTCGACAATGAAAACACTGCCCACTTCAACACCAATCAATATCTGAACCCTGACGAAGAATCTACAAAGACCTCATGGATCATTCACTCCTCTGGCTCAACAGGTCTTCCAAAGCCTATCTACCAAACACATCAGGCAGCTCTACGCAATTATGAATCCAATATGGGAATGGAGGGGTTCATTACTCTCCCTTTATTTCACGCACATGGTCTGAGCAGTGTGTTTCGTGGAATAACTGCTTACAAGAAGATCTACATGTATAATGCCTCATTACCTCTCACAAGCCCGAATCTCCTCAGCATCATGCGCCAACACCGCTTCGAAATCTTCTATGGCGTGCCTTACGCTCTGAAGCTACTAAGCGAGAGCAAGGAGGGAATTGAAGCACTCGCATCCATGAAGATCGTCATGTTTGGAGGGTCTGCTTGTCCTGATGGTCTAGGAGATCTCCTTGTCGAGAATGGTGTCAATCTTATAAGCCACTATGGGACGACTGAAACTGGTCAGCTGATGACCTCATTCCGCCCTCCAGGCGATAAAGCATGGAACTATGTACGAGTTCATCAGGCGCTCGAGCCGTACGTTCGATTTGAAGATCGCGGTGGCCATCTCTTCGAGCTCGTGGTTCTGGAAGGTTGGCCGTCTAAAGTGGCTACAAATCGCGATGACGGTGCCTATGCTACTAAGGACTTGTTCGAGCCACATCCTTCCATTCCGAATGCATGGAAATATGGCGGGCGACTCGATGATACCATTGTTCTTGTCAACGGTGAGAAAGCAATTCCACTTGCCATGGAGGGCGCCGTTAGGCAACAGAAGCTGGTCAAGGATGCTGTTGTGTTTGGCACCGGGCGACCTAGCCTTGGTATGATGATCATTCGCTCAGATATGGCGGCTTCATATTCTCAAGAAGAACTGATATCACAAGTGTGGCCGACAATAGAAGTTGAGAACTCCAGGTCACCATCCTATGCCCAATTGAGTCCTCAATCTATCCTGGTACTCCCTCCTGACACTATTTATCCCCAGACCGACAAAGGAACTTTAATTCGTCAAGCATTCTACAAAGCATTCGCTACAGATATTGAGCAATTCTACGCAAGGCTTGAGGCCAGATCGACTGGTACACTTGATCTCTCAGGTGAAGCCCTATGTGACTATCTAAGAAGCGAGGTCCTAAGGCTAATTCCAGGACTTCGGGACGATGAGCTCAACAATGACACCGATTTATTCTCCTTGGGCGTTGACTCGTTGCAGTCATCTAGGCTGAGGGGGACTATTCTTGCAAGTGTCCAGCTCAATAGCCATTCGCTATCTCAGAATTTTGTTTTTGAGAATCCAACAATTTCGGGGCTTGCCGACGCTATTGTAGCTGTCCGTTCAGGAGCTTCCACGGCTCTTCGCAATGTTGAGCAGGAAATGGAAGACCTCGTGATCAAGTACGGCGAATTTCCTCAACACAAACCTCAGAAGCGAAAGTCCAACAATACCTGTGTAATTGTGACCGGTGCAACGGGGTCTCTTGGTGCGCACATCGTGGCCCAACTTGTGTCTAGAGACGATTTCTCAGAGGTGTGTTGTCTAGTTCGTGCACGCACCGCAGAGGCAGCAATAGATAGAGTCTGGACTTCTCTCAACCACCGCGGAATTCTGTCTTCGATACCCTCACATCTAAGAACCAAGATATCGGCCTACTCCTCGGACTTTTCGAAGAGCGATCTAGGGCTCGAGACCGAGGTCTACGATCGGCTAGCTCAAGACGTGGTCTCTATCATCCATTGTGCATGGTCTGTCAACTTTAACACCACATTGGCCAGTTTCGAGAAGGGCTGCATTGCTGGAGCAAAGAATCTGATACTTCTCTGTTTGAATGCCATTCAGCCGACTCCTGCGTCATTCAACTTTTGCTCCTCCGTCAGCACAGTTGCACGTACACCTTTTCACGAGAGTGCGCCAGAGTCAATCCCAGCAAACTATGGCTATGTCCAACGAATGGGCTACGCGCAGTCCAAACTAGTAACCGAGAAGCTTGTTGTTCAAGCAACCTCTCGAACATCGATCTGTGCTAGAGTCCTCCGTATCGGCCAGATTGTCGCAGACACTGTGCATGGGATCTGGAACGACACAGAAGCAATTCCACTTATGCTCCAGACTGCCGTGACTCTTGGTACGTTGCCTAGCCTGAACGAATCATGTCGGTGGTTGCCAGTCGACATTGTCGCAACAGCCATTCTGGACGCTTCGTTCGCTTCAACACCACAGATAGTATTCAACATCGTGAATCCGTTAGCATTTCACTGGACAGAAGATTTACTTCCGAAGCTGAAGATAGCAGGTCTTGTGTTCGAGCAAGTCGACCAGAGAGAGTGGCTACGCCGTTTGCGTGAATCCGACCCCGATCCTAGCGTGAATCCAACCTATAAACTGCTCGAGTTCTTCACCGCCAAGTACGACGATGGCAACGCCGAGAAGAGAGGCTTGCGATATGAAACTACAGCCGCAGAAGGCGTCTCACCAGTCTTAGCAGCCCATCCAGAACTCACTCAGGACCTAGTCACGAAATTCGTCCAACATTTTCTTTCCACGTCTTGGTCGAACTCGAGTAGCCCTCCCCAAGAGACAATTCTTAGTTACTAGGGCTTAGAGACTAAGAGGGACAGGCACATAAATCACTTTTTTGTCATGAGTCGCGAAACTTTTAATGACGATGTGTTTTCAAAACGTCCTAACACAACAACAATTGCTATCTGATTCAGAACAGGTTTTGGGGTATCTCTGTCTATCTGTGTCAAGAATCTCGTAGCCTTGAACATAAACCAGTGGTTGACCAGCATATTAGGTAGATCATTCGACCTTGCCGACACGGACAACGCCTTCGTTGGAGCCCTCTTCCGAGCCATTGTCTTGCACTGAACCCTGGATGGTGGTTGGCCTCTTGCCTGTCAAGTCGCGGAACATGGCCTTGGTGATATGGACCAAGGTCTTGCGGCCTTGCCAGACAGGGAACACACCGACGCAAAGGGTGGTGCAGAAGATCCAGATAAAGCCGACGACAACCCAGCCTAAGGAGGAATTTATGTCAGTAACTGAAAGATACTAGAGCACGGGGATGTCAGTTGACTTACCAGTGAAGAACGATCGGCTGAAGATGTATCCAGTGCCGTACAATGGCATGGGCCACAGTACCAAGAAGGCAAAGGTCATCAGAACGGTCATGATGCGTGCAATCTTAGCTGCTCGGTTGAGGTGAGCTTGCTCCTTGGCATCGTTGGTATAGTCGACATGTTCGTGGACCTGGCCCGGCTCGATGCTAGCGCGACGAATGATCTCGGAGTCGTCGCCTCGGCGGATCAACTTCATCGACTGCCAATCATAGTTTTGTCGGCCAAATGCAAAGGTGAGAACAGGAACGAAGACGATGGGACTGAGGAGTGCAGTGACGTTCCCAGCAAGCATAGGATTGTTGCTGCCGGTGCAAAGCACTGTGAGCTCGCCACAGTCACGACTCGCGGTGACGAGCCAGGCCGTAAGCGAGCAGCACAGGCCCAACACAGGAGAAAAGGTCGCTGCAACCCAATTTTGGTCTTTCCAGATCAGGGTCAAGGTCGCAGGAATGACAGCAGCAGAGATGATGACACCCATCATGACATAGAGGTACCCCATACCAATTCCGGCGTAGTAGAGACCAGTACCAACCCCAGCCATGATGAGAGCATAGCCAATACAACTGACATGCGACATACGGATGAGGAATTTGCCGTCGGCTGTAGGGTTGATATATGTTTGGTAGATATCGTAAGTGAAGATCGACGACACAGCGATAAGTTCCGAGGAGTACGCCGAGGTAACAGCGAAAAAGACCAGTAGGAACGAAGCAATAGCACCACCTTCGCCCAAGAGTGCTCGTGCAGCATAGGGAAGGACTAGACCTGCAGTGACTTCGTTTGTAGGAATTCTCTCTGGATATGTTGGGAAGGTCGGGGAGCTCTCAAGGGCGAGAGCGGTAATGCCCATAGTGGTAGCGCACAGCCATGGAATTGCGAACCAGGACAGACCTAAACGATGTGAGTGAGAAGCCACAAGCAAAGACATGGGTTGAGCATACCTCCCATGATATAACCTGGCAGGGCATCAACTGGAGAAGCGGCAATGGCCTTGTTGTAGTAACCATTGTCCAGGAAGACGGTACCTAGCGTCGGTCAATATAAAGGTCTGATCTCAGGGGCAACGTCCTACCAAAGTTTCCCACGATATTGATGACGAAGAAGATAGCACCCCCAGAGCTTCGCATTGTTAGATAGCTACCTTCTCGGTTGCCATCAACTGGGTGTCGCTCGCCAGCCTCCTTTAGAAGTTCCCACACTCGTCCAGGAGAACCTAGTTCGGCATTTGTGGCATAGGCTGAGAAACTAAAGAGCATAATGATTATAAGAACCACAAGGCCATGAGTATAGTCCGAGAGCAGGGTAGCCTTCAATCCACCAAAGATGGTATAGAGAACTACACCAAAGGGAATAAGAAAGCACCCAGCAGCAGAAGGAACTCCGGTCAGAGACTCGGTGACGGCGCTGAAACGTTAGACTTTTTGTATAGATCGGCTCACGTGTTGATCACTCACCTGCCACCAGTGACCAACATTGCTGTGACCAGAAAATTGGTCATGAGACCGAAGGTCAAAAAGACTAAATGCGCAGCCTTTCCATATCTTGCACGAACAGCTTCCAGGAAGGTGTGGGCGTTGGGAGCACGTCTTTTGAGTCTGATGGGGGGTTAGCAGAGTAGCTTACCGCAACTTGTATAAATATGCTTACTCTATGGCTAGCGTAGCGAAGAGGATGATCTGCACGGTAGCACCAGAAGCATACCAGAAAGGACCGGAAATGCCATAGTTGTATGCAACACCGGAAGACTGAAGTAATGTTGCGGCCCACCTATATGACAACAACGTTAGCAAAGCCACAAGTACAGCATTGGGTCAGATGAACTCACGTCCAACTCGATACAACAGCACTAGCGACCAGACCCGACTTGACCGTTCTTCCAGCTGTGTTGAAAGACTCAGAGGTCTGTACCTCATTGTGATAGCGTTTCAGCGCCCATGTAGAAAGAATCATGAACAGGGCAAACACAATACCCAGGCCAACGAGGATACCATATCCATAGCCTTGGCTCAAGGGCGGTGATGCTGGAGATGAGCTGGCGTCGGCCATTGTGAGAGGAGTCGTATGTTGTTCAAACAGAGTTACAGCGACGATGATCTCGTTCACACGAGGAATGACGGGTGAACGAGGAGCATGGCCCTTTTATGAGCGCCGATCGCCATCGTCGCAGAACTATGACGATCCGGGGAATGTTGGAAGCTGGCATGGAACATGACAGGAGTCATGCCGTGAGCCTTGGAAAGTTCTTTTTGTTGAATAGATAGATAAGGGAACATGAAGAAACGTGACCAACCCGTAGAATGCGCGAATGAGGATTGTCATTTGCAATGCTGATCTAGATAACGATCCATGTCACTCACATATAGTGGGACCAGCAAGCAAAGACTTGACGCGGGTGATCCCCAATTGAAAAGGCGCCATGAACGATTCTGGGGGCCTTCAATGCAGAGGAATTTCTTGGAAAAGTCTTGGAACCATCAGCCTGGGCGCTTGGCAGACCGAAGGTCGATCGCGGAGCCTTATCACTTACCTAGACGTAATGATTCAATCCAATCATGGTTCGTGTAGATAGCAATTTGTGTGGATTCCCATGTTTATTCCCATGTGTAACAAACCTAATTGCATGATTCGAGCCGCAGGAGCTGAGGCAGTAGCGTGGAGGACACAGCGGTATAGGGAGTTCAAGGTCAGGAAAAGAAATAACACTACACAATGACTGTCCGTGAATGGTCCAAGACGCCGACGTGGAGCCATCTTCACGGGGGCCTCCGATTTTCAAGGGGCAGATATCTCGGTTCACACATGGACATGAAGCGTTTCAAGGATAATTTTCCCTTACATAGCTGGAATCGTCTTGAAAAGGCAGGTCATCGTCGCATCGGCTATTTCTTTGTCGACTAGCGACGAAAACGTCACATGGCCAGGAGTAAGAAAGGCTCTTTGCGCCGTATCTCGAGGGGACCTAAGTCTTCAATTCCTCCGGTATAGGAATGGACTGTCCTTGGTTTTTGGGCAAGGGCTGTAAGCATCGGTGAATCACGGGACACACAGCAGATTGCCAGACGTTTAGGCAATCCAATGACTTGTGACATGAGAGCTCCGAGGAGGCGCTATGATGAAAGTCTCCACAAATGTTTTCTCATCACGCAAGGAAAATCCGTAATTACGTCCAAATGATATGTAATAAGGAGGCTGAATTTGAGACCTTTATCAAGATTTGTGGGCGGAATACTACTATGTAGATCTTTGCAAGAATAGTTAGCGCGAGAACAGACGAACATGTATCGGAGATCTTGTTGTACGTAAACACAACCTCGCGATCCCAATCGGCCAATGGCGTCCTCGGCCATAATGGCTGCCCCGCGGTAGAACGAAGCGCCCAAAACCGCCCCTCGGCCTCCAAACTAGGGCTGAAGCATCCAACAACCCCACCTATTGTGCCCCTCTCGTCGGCCAAGGGGCTCTGGGGACCACAGATTAAATTTACTGGCCTCTTCAGGTAGAACATGGGAGACTTGATCCTGCACCATCTTCTAACAATACTGGGAATCTACGAGGTTCGCAAAGGGCGCTGGCGCATGCCCCTGCCTAAACATACATTGGACCAGCGTAAGTCCATGGACAAATGCATGTAGCACCAAAGCATGAATGAGATGCTCAAACATGGATATGTACTCCGAAGCGGACTATTCGCAAAATGTTCGCTTCATTGGCGACCTTAAGCCCGACTTCGAGCGCGCAGCTCTCGTCTCGATTGAGCCCTCGGGTTTCTACATCCGGCAACCTCCCAAACCCCATGAACTGGAGACTGAAATCACGGATGATTCACAGCTATTTCAGACCATTCACATGGGCGCGGCGGTGGTTGACCAAGATCAATGGATTTTGGTCGTTGACGGTATGGTCGATCGACCATTTACCACTACGTTGTCGCAACTCAAGGCAATGCCCAAGGTAACAATGACGGCGTTCCACGAATGCTACGGAAGTCCGCTCGCGGCTCCAATTCATGCACTATGGAGAATAGGCAACGTGGAATGGACAGGCGTGCGCCTGTCGCACCTGTTAGAGTTGGCTAGGCCACGGGAGGCAGGCATTTACGTGTGGTCGCAAGGATTAGAGTCAGGGTCTTTTGGTGGCGTCTCCGCCGACCGATTTGAGAAAGATCTGACAATCGAAAAGGCGTTGCAGCCTGAGGTCCTGCTGGCGTACGCCATCAATGGCCAGCCCCTGGACAAGAACCGTGGCGGACCGGTGAGGCTAGTTGTGCCAGGCTGGTTTGGAACCAACTCAACCAAATGGCTCTGTCGCATCACAATTCAGGATCACCGTGCAACAGGACCGTATACAACCAAATTTTACAACGAGATTGACCCGACTGATCCTTCAGGGACAGTGACCAGGCCTGTTTGGGCCGTCGAGCCAAACTCCATGATAGTGAGACCGAACCCTGAACAGGTCCTTCGCAGGGGCACTATCGAGATCTGGGGACGGGCCTGGGGCTGTGATGAGATATGCTCCGTCGACATCAGCATCGATGGAGGCCTAACTTGGCTACCGAAGCATGTCTCTCATCTCAACCCGCGCGTGTCGTTTGAGTGGCAGCTATTCAAAGCAGAAGTCGAGTTGGAAGCGGGAGTATACAACATCACCTGCCGGGCACAGGACACCAAAGGTATTCAGCAGCCTTTGGCGGGGAGAAGAAACCATGTCCATTCAGTTTCAGTCACGATCATATAAGGCGTCTGGCAATAAGAATAATATTGGCATGGAGGGGCGCCGCTGACAACTGCAAGCTTGGCAGACAAGGCTTCCTACACAATTTATATATGCGTACATTCCGCCACCTTGCGTCGTCGCCTTGTTCAGTCCGGCGGTCCGTGACTGGTTGCATTTGTGACACGGTGTCGAACATGACTGCGGACGTATCAGTGGCATTAACGGGGCTAGGGGGCTTGTCTCATGCAGCAAACGTAGCGCCCGTATCTAGTTAGGCTCGCGCCATGCTAGATATCCATATCTAAGGAGCTAGTAGTCCGCTGATGGTAGCCTTACAAGTTCGCAAAACATATATCAATCATTCTTAACTTATCCAGACCTCACAACAAGCCCTCATCTAGTTATCACTTCTTTACGATCGCACTACCCACAATGCCTGTCTATCATATTGGTAAGTTTGGCACATCCGCCCAAAAATTGGGGAAATTTGACGCAGAACCTTACTAACCCTGAACTCGGAAAGTTTTGTTCAAACTGAAGCCAGGCGTCACTGCCTCACAGTTGACTGAATGGAAAGATGAGGCCAAGGCACTGATTGGCCAGATCCCAGGGCTTGTTGCCATGGAGGTCGGCCAGCCATTAGCTATAACAGCACAGAGAGCACAAGGCTTCGATATGGGCCTAGTCTCGACGCTAGAAGGGGCCAGCTACCTGAAAGGCTATGCAGAACATCCGGCACATCTGAAGTAAGTTGTGGTGCTGGGACCGAGTTGTCCAGAGATCAGGCACGGTGGATTGACACGTTATCTCAGGATCGCGAGATTTCGCACGGAGTTGTGCACAGATTCTCTGACCTACGACTTGGAATTCTTCGCCTGAGGCTAGATACGGCACGATAGCGAGAACGGACATGGCAAGCGATGGCCTTACAGACTTTTTCATACTATGGGGATTATGTCATTGCGCTCGATTGCGGCTGTTTCCTTTATATCCTCCATCACAACTTGGTCACCAGTTTGCCTGTGTTTTTTCCAGAGAAGAGTCCCAACCATGTTTTGGGGACGTCCTCGAACGCGGTGGGCACGACTGTCTCGTTTGCATCGCCAATCTTGAGTCTTCCGTCCTTGATGGCGTCTTGGAACAGCTGGGTAATCTCGGCGACTCGCTTGGGAGCACAGTCAATGATAATGAAACCTCGGATCTGAAGCCTCATAGAGATGACTTGAAAGTAGTTGGATAGAATGCATGGCTCTTCTGAATTGTATCCTGTGATGGCGCCACAAGCCACAATTCGACCGTACATGGACATACGACCCAGCATGAGGTCAAGGATCTCTCCTCCCACGTTGTCAAAATAAACATCGACACCATCTTTGGTGGCCTCTTTGAGGTCGGCTGCAAATGTCGATGATTTGTAGTTCAAGCCTAGAGAAAGGTATTAGTTCAAAGCTTGAAATGCATCCAAGAGCTAGGGAAATGGCAGATTCATACACTTGTCCGCTCCCAACGACTCAACCCATCGACACTTGTCATCTGTGCCGGCAATACCAATCACATTGGAAGCCCCAACAATGTGTTTGGCGATCTGGACGACCATGGAACCGGTGGCTCCCGCAGCGCCAGAAACGACAATCTTCTCACCCTTCTTAGCCTCCCCGACATCAACCAGGCCATAGTGCGCTGTTAGACCGGTGCCACCCAAAGCACCCAACCAGTGGGTGATGCTCAAGCCACCGGGGAGTTCTGCCACGACTCGAGCGGCACTTTCGTCCAAGACCGCATACTCGTTCCAGTTGAGCGCTCCCAGGACAATGGAGCCCTTCTTAATCTTTTCTGAGGTGCTTTCAAGGACTTCCCCCAATCCTCTGGCACGCATAGGTTCTCCAACATTGACTGGGGGAACATACAGTCGATCCCCTGGGATATTTGCCGAGATCCAGCCACGTTGCGCTGGGTCATTGCTGTAGTACAACGATTTGACCAAGACCTGGTTAGGTTTCAGTTCAGGCAACGGTCGCGACTCAAGTTTGAATGTCGCATTGCTGCCAGTTATGGTTGGAGTACCCTGGGGTTTGTTGGCCAAGATCCAAGCTCGGTTCGTGATCCCTGATGACGACATATTCGTAGCAAGAGTACCGTGAAATTGATCAAATAATTAGGAGAAGGCGTTGGTGCTGGTTTCAGGTTTTCCTACAAGCGAGAGCTGTAAACTGGCAAGACAGATGGCAAGAAACTTTATCTTGTCTCCTCTACACAGGTCTAATATCAATTCCTTAGCTATTGGGGTGATTTCAAATCCAAAATATTGCTAGAAGCGCGGTCCGAGGAGGGGGTAAACTAAAGTGGGCTGCCAATGCCTCGGCTTAGTGCCGTAAAAGCACCAGACATGATGTGGTTCTGATCAAACGGTCGTTTTTGTTTGCACGACATATAGATTATGTAAAGCACATGCCATTGCTTCTTTCAGTGTGTAGATCAGCCTCCCGAATTTGCTTATGGTTTAGTATCATATAGCATTATATACTTGCTGGATAGACTATTCATCAAGTAGCAGTTGGTCTCTATCATAAAACAGCCATGAGATTGACGATGTCGCCCACTCTGATATATGATCCATCATCAGGTCTCAGTGGCATATACTCACACTTCAGAGTGACATTACTGATCCATGATGAACGAGAAGGCCATCTGCAAGCCGATCAGTGATTGCGGCAGAGTATTTTCGCGACAGGGCTGAAAATAGATGGTCAGGTAGTTTGACCCGGCCTTTTGAGGCACCCACGTCGAGTGGCTCAGAGACTCAGAAATCGTCAAGTTGTAAGTCACTGATTGATAATCGCGAATCGCACCTGCCGTATCTTCGTTCAGGTGGCTATATTGAAACGCTCCTTCCGGTTCTTTGATTGTGAAGCTGTAAACAGTTGGAGAAATGAACGCTAAGCTTTAAACGGCTTAGTCCGGCCTCACATGTTCCATGCGCCGTAATGGGAAAGGGAACACTTCTCAACATCAAACCACCAAGACAGTCAACACTCGAAATCTCACTAGACAAGCTGTCACAGGCGAGATGCGAGCGATAAGAAATGCACAGCGATGATGACTATGTCGACGTCTCATCCAAGAAACGCTCAGACGGCGACTTCGATCCCAATGACCCTCTCCTGCCCTCACCTGACAACACCCCTCAACTGACAAGGGATTCGTCTGCCGTTGATCTTAGCAGTACTCGCCCTACTCCCCAGAAACAGTCATCTCTATCCCAGCCTCGCAATGATGGGACCCCTAGGACCCCCCTCCGTGTACGGTTCGATCTGGAGGAGCCCGAGGGTCCAGTAAGAGAGGAGTTGAACGTTGAAGAGGAAGACTATCTAGATTCACCTGGCCATGGACAAGATGCACCACTTCTCACAGATATCACTCCACCGGCAGACTCGCCGTTTTTGTCTGATGCGTTTCAGCCTGAAGATCATCTTCCCGATGCTCGACCCAAGAGTGGGATGCGCAGTGCCTTTATGAACATGGCCAATTCCATCATTGGGGCTGGTATCATTGGTCAGCCCTTTGCATTTCGTCAGGCCGGACTCACCATGGGCGTATTGCTGCTGGTCGGGTTGACCATAACAGTGGACTGGACCATTCGCCTCATTGTCATCAACAGCAAGTTGTCTGGCGCCGATTCGTTCCAATCGACCGTGCAACATTGTTTTGGGAAGGGAGGGCTGATAGCAATTTCTCTTGCCCAGTGGGCTTTTGCATTCGGTGGCATGATTGCTTTTTGCATCATTGTGGGGGACACTATCCCACGGGTACTCCAGGCTCTGTTCCCTAGTCTGGTCGATGCTCCGTTTCTATGGCTTTTGACTGACCGAAGAGCCATCATTGTACTTTTCATTCTGGGTATTAGCTGGCCTCTCAGTCTATATCGAGACATTGCAAAGGTGGGTTGACTTGATCATCTATATTTACAGGACTGATACTGTGTAGCTCTCCAAGGCGTCTACACTGGCGTTGATCAGCATGCTGATTATCATCGTCACCGTCGTCACTCAGGGATTCTTGGTCGACAACGAGCTTCGAGGGAGTGTAAAGGGATTGTTGTTTGTCAATGATGGCTTTTTCGAGGCTGTGGGAGTCATCTCATTTGGTATATTATACTCCCTCTACAGTGCCAACCATTCTGACTGGTCCAGCATTTGTGTGCCATCATAACTCGTTGCTCATTTATGGGTCACTAAAAACACCTACGATGGATCGATTCGCCACCGTCACACATTTCAGCACTTTCATCTCTCTCGTCGCATGTCTCATCCTCGCCCTCGCAGGATTTCTCACTTTCGGCGATAAAACCCAAGGCAATGTTCTCAACAACTTTCCAGCCCAAGGTCACATCATGGTGCAGATTGCGCGGTTGTGCTTTGGATTAAACATGCTCACGACACTGCCTCTAGAATGCTTTGTGTGCCGAGAGGTGATGAACAATTACTGGTTTCCCGAGGAACCATACAATCCAAGTCGCCATCTCATCTTCAGCAGTGCCCTCGTCATCACGGCAATGGGAGTCAGTCTCCTCACCTGCGACTTGGGTGCGGTGTTGGAACTTGTTGGGGCCACCAGTGCATGTGCTCTTGCTTATATCCTTCCGCCGTTATGTTACATCAAGTTGAGCACGAGAAGCTGGAGGACAATACCCGCAGTGATTTGCATTGTGTTTGGGTTGGCTGTGATGGGTGTCAGTGTGATTTTGGCAATCCGGAAGATCATTCAGAGTGAGTCTCAGGCAACATGCCAGTAGATGTTCGATGTGGACTGACAATACTAGACGATGGTGAAGGTGGCCAATGTCGCTGATGTGGCCAGTCGTGGGTTACACGTGATCAACTGTCTGTGTGTCACGTGGCCATAGAAGTCTCCGGAGAATTAATTAATGATGCAACTCTAGCCTATTTCCATGCTCCATTTTTTGACTAGGAGTGATGTCATGGGCTTCCACAATCTACGGAGTACTTCACTTTGACAGAAGGACATGCATCGCTTGAGAGGTTGGTGTTTGATATCCTCGTCAAATGGTTGAATCGCAGGGGCTGCTGGAGGTGAGGTTCCACGTTGGCGCCAACGCGTTCCTGGAGACGTGGCGCGACTGACCAATCAAACCCCAGGAATGCTTCTTCCTCCCCACTCCCAAGATGGCGCCTTCCCCTGAACTGCACAACCATCGTGCCTCCTCCACTCGTGCGACAATTCCCGTTACAATTCCCGTTCCAATCATCACCTCATCTTCTCCCCAAGGCCATCAGGGCCATCAATCTTTGTTTCATCCTCCATCTTGACTCCATCTCATCTGTCCGCTCACATACAGGATCGCCTGGACTGGCCTCCCTCTCGACGCTCCGCACAATCTTAGAAATGCTTCATCAATCGACCAACATGGAGCAGATGGATCGCACTTTCACTCTGGTCTTGAGCCTGCTCCATGGCTTTGGTTTGTTTCTCTCTTCTTCTCTTCCCACGCATTGCTTCTTGTTGATGGTTTCGAGTTTCCAGAGCTCGTCGTCGCTCCTTTTCCTCTCCTCGTCCTAGAGACGCCTTTCTTTCATTCACTCCTCTGTTCAGTCATTCTCTTACAGTTGCACATTCGCTCCAGTCCCTCCCTGTGCATTACGCTCTTTTCACTGCGAATTGATTTCGCCACGCACCTTGACGGTCGCATTCCATTTACAGCCCCTCACAGAATTCCCCAAAAAACCTCATCCAATTTGACACACCTGTCAGGATGCACTTCCCTTTCTTGACACTTGTTGCTGTCTACTTGACCTTGGCGCAGGCTCGCCCGGAAGGACGTTTTGCTCGACGAAATGGTAGCGAACCAGATGTGCAACCAGTGTCTGATTGGGCACAGGCTTCGGCAACGGCAACGTTGATTGTTTCGACTGCTGATGACACTTCGGTTGCGGCCGAAACCGAACAAGCGACTGTGGAAGCAGCTATCTCCTCGACATCAGTGCCAGCCATAGACGTCGAGGTAGCAGTTCCTACCACGACCACGACATCACCGGCTGCCGAAACTAGTGAATCCACGGAAGTGCACTTGATAACTACATCTGAAGAGTCCGAGGATACAGTCGCTTTGGTGGCTACTACCACAAGCTCCGTCGTTGATGAAGGTCTCACCACGGCTACAGACAGCACTGCCATTGTTGTCGGTTCTGCACTACCAACCACAGCTGAGGCATCGACAACATCCACCAGGGAAGTTGCAGACCCCTCATCCACAACAGCAACGGAGAGTGATGCAACGACTCTTCCAGCTGTCGAATCGCTATCTAGCAGTTGGGACGATTGGAACCTGACCACCACGACGTCCAGCCAGAATACCACAGTAGACGGCGGTCAACCCACGACGACGACGACGACGACGGCGACGACAACGACAACGACAACCGTCGCTTCCACTCCCCGCTCGTTGACAACTGATGTGCCTCTGCCCACATCTTCGACCTCGACTACTACCACGAGTGCTGAGACCACTATCGAGGCTGTCACAACCACGTCGTCAAGTCACAACCATGACAACTCGGTCGAACGGACATCTCATACTACCACCTCTACGACTGTTGAACCAATAGTGCATGGTGTCACATCATCCACTACTACCACCAGCGACGTCTCAGACGTTGCCGACGCTATCGCGACTTCGAGCACACAAATTGATCGCAGACCTCCAACTACTCTTCCAGAGTCCACCGCTGATCATTCGACTGGATCTGACAGTCATCTGCCGGGCTCGACCATTGTAGAACCCACTGCCACTGTGGCTACACAGGTAGCCCCAGTGGTCAGCATATCTGTCGAGACATCGATTGCAACTCTGACCTTTGGTGATGGTCCAGATCGTACAGTGATGACCACGACCATTCACAGATCGAGAACGATCACAATTACTAGGACTATTCATGCTACAATCTTCCGACCCTTCCCAACCGCAGGGCAAGGTCTGAATGCTCCTGGTGCTCCGGTCAACAATGCTGGCGGATCTGGTGGCGAGCCTGTCAGAACAGTGACTGTGTTCTCGACCATCACTGAGACCACATTCCTTCCACCCGCCCCAACTGCTCAAGGACCTATCAATGTCGGCGGCACAGGCTCTTCTCCCGGCGGTCCAGGGCGTGAAAACGAACCATGCAGTGTTTCTTTTGTGACTGTTACAGAGACAACCGAGAGAATTGTGACGGTCACAGCTGTGCCCTCTGGTGGTCAACCCATCGTCAAGCCAGTTCTCCCAATCGAAAGTCAGGATTTGGAGAAAACCACTACTTCATCCACTACGGTGTCCGCGGAAAGTACGACAACGACAACGGGACTGACATCGACATCCACTACCGAAGCAGAATTGATCGTCACAGACTCTACCTCCACGACCACTACTGTAGACTCATATACCATCACAACGACCTCTACCACCGTTTCTGCTCCCTATGGATTCGGAAATGGAACCGATGCGCACATAAATCGCTCTGGTAGCTCAGGGTTCCTGACTGTATCAAAGACTGCAGCTCCAACTGGTTTGAAGCTATGATGCTCTCGACATGAACTGAGTGAGAATCTCAGAACTCGCATATACCCTGACTTGTCGTAAGAGGAGTCCAATTTCAATTCTTGTACATATATTCTTTGGAAGGGAGAGGAGACGGAGCGATGCCTCGACAGCAGGCCAAACGCAGTGGTGGCAGGCTATGCCGTGGATGCCAAATAAGAAATAGTTGAGATAACTGTTCTCGATACTGCCATGATGTTATGACGAGAAGAAAAAGAATGTTGACGGTTTGAGGCAAATCTGATTCTGATTCTGATCTTCGGCAACATAATGCTGATCTCGTAGAATCTCCATAGGTACGGGCGACGTCATCTCGGCTTTGTGGAAATCAACGGATCTAGGTTGACGCCATACGTTTAGTAGTTTGTAGCCGTTGGTGGAAAAGGTCCTTGCCAGGCACACCGAACACAAACATCAGGTGAATGGTCAAGTAAGCAGATCCTCGATCCTCGAGAACCCGATTTCAACAACTGAGTTCATCAACCGTAACATGGCTCCAGGACGGTCGGTTACTTGCCTCATAGCAGCAAGATGGTCCAATCGATACGGCCTGGAATCTGGATTGAGTTTGATCATATCCAAGCTTCGAGTCGTCCCCGCCAGCTTCGTCCCCGCATCGATGATGGCAAGCTTGATTGGAGCGGCTGACTTTAAGTAATGTCACCAGCTGATTTGTTCCTGGGCGCCTTCGCCGATACATCCTTGGACCTGTTAAGCGGTGCCACTGAACAAGTCCCTCGTGTCCCTCCAGACAAACGTTCGTTCCTCATGCACTATGACGCACCTTGTCCAGCCGTTTTGATCCCCCGGTGAGATCATTCCATTTGATCGACGGCTGAACGCGACGCACGTTCAAGCTACCAGGTCGAGAGGGAACTACTCGATGCTTATAAGGTCAGGTTATCACAATGTCTTGGTTCTCTTTGCCTCGTGAAAAAAAAGGACAGGTACTAGGTATCTCTACGAACTTTTCTGCGATTAATATAATTGAAACTATTTTGTCTCGTTGTCGAGATCACTACTCACTTTAGCCTGTTGGACCAATATACACGTCATCTCTCTACCAGTGGAATTATGGAAGGTATCAAGAATACCGTCTCCAGCCTGGTCGGCCAAGTTGGCTCGATTGGATATACCGGAACCAACGCCGTAAGTGTGGATAATCTGAACCCCAGACAGAATTATTCTTGGATTATGCTAACATGGTTACCGTACCCAACAGGAGAATGATAGGTATGTTGGATTGCCCAACTCATTAAGTATCGTCGCTCCTTATTAATCACCATCCAGCTCCTCCTCTACCACTGCAGGTAACCCTGGTACATCTACCCACCAACAGACCACGACTGAGGATGCCGGAATCACTGGCCATTCAGCCGACACCACTGCCGGTCACGGAGCAGGAGGATTGACTTCCAGCTCAGGTCCTACAAGCACAGACACCACCACGGCCACGGCCACGAACCCTGGTTCTGGTACTGGTGCCGAAACCGGTGCAGGAGCAGGAGCAGGAGCAGGTCCAGGTCCACACTCAAACACAGGTGCAACCAGCACCGGTCCTACAAGCGCAGGCAACGAGACCGACCACAGCCAGAACCATAGCAAAGAACACGCTCACGGCCACGGTCTCTTCCATGCCCTTGGCCATAAAGACCACGACGACAAGTCGGGGGAGACTGTAAAGAAAGTACAATCACCCGATCAAGGCCCGGATCCAGCACTTGTCGGCGAAGCAGAGAGCCATCCTAAATTATCAGGTCAGGGAGTTCCAGGCTCACACTCGGCTGTGTTTGGATTGACACCAGACGGCAAGAGACATGATGATACTAGCCACAGTACCACGACGGTGGCGCCGGCTCATAGTGAGGAAACCACCATGGGTAGGAAGAGTGTAGCGGCAGCAAGTGGGGTAGATAAGGCATCGACTGAGGGTGGTGTTGCGGGTGGAGCTGGTGGTGTCAGTGATCAGATTGATGCTCCGGATATGGGTAAGAAGGGTCTTGAGAGGAAAGATCCTCTTCCCTCGGGATTGACTGGTAGTTCTGGGAAGCCGGGAGCTGGCTTGACTGGTGTGTGAGGTGGGAAAAGGAAAAGAAAAAGGAAATGGCCATGTTTGTTTTCGATCGTTGTGTCTTGACAGTAACGAAACTCGGAGTCGATCGTTGAGAATATTATTGTCTTAAATCATGTACACACTATTAATGTTCCGTCCAATAGATACATGTGGTGGGAAGAAAAGGCACTCTCGCAGAGATCTCTAGAGGTCTTTCTCTCATCTCTTCCAATATATATCTTCATGTATACAACCCCCTCTCCACGATCCACGTTCTAACTCCATCGCCAACATAGTGAGATAGGTCATCCGTCCTTCCTTCCTTGACACATGCCCTGGCCTTGGTGGAACTGACACCTTGGGCATCTCCAGACTCATCGACCACCAGATCGACCTGACCGGCCCATTCCCGCTTCAGACCTTGCTCCTCCAAATCGCCACGTGCCAGACCATCCAGATATGCTCTCTGACTGTCAATAGTGCCGAACTCATCCTGCACATCGTTGTCGTTAGTCGACGTCGACTCGACTCGGATTGTGGCGTGGATCCGGTGTCGCGACAAGAATGGCTCTAGCGCTGACAGCGGTGGCGTATATTCCGGGTAGTATTTAGGCGCAAAGATGCGGGTCAGTGTGTCAAAGCCCGTGATATGGACTTGTGTGATTGGCGTATCTTCAGCTCCCGCCGTAGTTGATGTCGAGGTCGATGAGTAGGCATGTGACTCTTCGATAGACTTTGCCTTGTCGATAAAGTACGGCTGCTTCGTAATGCCGATGTCGACAATTGGAGCTCTGCTTTCGCTTGACACATCTGTCGATGATTTTGCGAGAGCTTGTTGAAGAGAACGTAACTCCTCAGCCATCAGAGTCATCATAACAAGTCGATCTTCAAAATCAGCTGGTTTAGGCTTCTTATCGGCATTAACGGTGGCCAGTAAAAAAAGAACCCGTGGTGGACCTCCATCAGTAGCTACGCCGTCACCATGACTCGATTTGACATGACTTATTGGATCATGTTTGGTGTTTAGTTGTGATTGCTTGAGTGTTGCTTTCACCAGACTGAGATGCGCTTTCGATGGCGGGTTGAAACTAGAGTCCAGAACATAGAGTGTATTTATCGGTATTGCCGATGATGGCGGATGTGATGGCGGGATGGTATGTAGAATCTGAAAAGATGCAGGCGAATCGGCAAATTCCTTCAAAGCTTGCGAGAATCGTGTTCGTAGTCTTTGGAGGGCTTGCATGTCTACGGTTGGTGACATTCTTTTGATGTTGTAGGGGAATAGTCCCTTAGTTCATGAATAGATTGGGTTTGTTGATGCTAAGATCGAATTGGCGATAAGATATCCATGCTCGCACTTGGAGTTTCTTCAGGATCAGTCCGCCTCCAGACCACATCGACCTATGGTACAAGTTTAATGTCAGTTGGTGGGCGTTGATGACAGCCTCGCCAGCCTTGTCGCCCTTGATGAGGCTTTGATTCTCGCCAAGACCACGTGAGCGAGATACTGCAGACCTTTGCGCTGGCCGATGCTAAAATCCGCTACACCCATCCCACCATCAATTCAAGGTAAATCTTGGCATGCGGAAGCCACTCACACAACGACCAAAAATTCGACGCTTGAACCGCACGCATACAACTGCGCTTCTCTTCAACCAGATTCCAATCCCTCCTCACCACCTCAATCTCCCTCCCAGTCACATCTCGTCGACACCGTTCAAAATGTCTACCAACGAACTCGCCGCATCCTACGCCGCACTCATCCTTGCCGATGATGGCATTGAGATCACCGTACGTGGGAACCCTCAAAACTAGTCCGCCCGTCCTCTTCCTCGAAGTCGCAAACGCCCGGGTCGTTGGAGAGTTTGCAATTCGAGGGTTATGATGGCATTCGTGCGAAATTTCAAGAAAGAACCAGTCTCGCTAACATTCCTATCCTATAGTCCGACAAGTTGAACACCATCATCAAGGCCGCTGGTGTCCCCGATGTTGAGCCCATCTGGGCGACTCTGTTCGCCAAGGCTCTCGAGGGCAAGGATGTCAAGGACCTTCTCCTGAACGTCGGATCCGGTGGCGGAGCTGCTGCTGCTCCCGCTGCTGGTGGTGCCGCTGCCGCCGGTGGTGCTGCTCCTGCTGAGGAGGCCAAGGAGGAAGCAAAGGAAGAGGGTAGGTTTCCATTTCCAAGAAAAAGCGATCCTTTCGCAGGAAGAAGAGAGAAGGAGAAAGCTAACGTGTTCTTTTTTTCCCATTCGTACAGAGAAGGAAGAGTCCGACGAGGACATGGGCTTCGGTCTTTTCGACTAAGCGCATCAATCAAGTCTTGTTCCTGCCGAGGCCGGCCTGCCTCTTACCATGTCCATCATCCCTTATTTCCTCCGAATCTGAGGACCAAGAATCCAATTCCACGACGGGAAAGAATAAGAAAACCACACAACCATCAATCCTCCCTTTTTCCACCAATTGATTTTTCACCACTACAACCGGTGTCAACCTTTTAACATCCATACACCCCCATTGTTTTTTTAACTTTCCGTCATGCGAAACCGATTTCTACGTCATCAGGGGAAGCGAGGTCTGGGAGAAATGGATATGATGAGAGCAGAAGAAAAACCCCGATTCTTATGATGAAGATTTAGGAGGGAATGAATCCAATCCTTCCCAAAATCTGAGATAAATAAAACCAAAGTGCTTGAGATGATCGGTCCGGGACGAGCGGAATGGGCATGCTAAGACTCATGCGGACTTTTTTCAAGCCTACTGAACTCATCCTTTTCTCCATAAGATGAATTGTACCTGAGATTGAGATCTGGCATCCCCTTGAAATGTCTAGAAGCCAAAAAAATCCAACATTGAAAAGAAAAGTTACCTTTATGTTGTCCTTTTGGCAATGTCTTTGTGGTGATACGTGTCTTGCGACGTCGATCTTGATATTGATGTTGATAACTATCTGTATACCCGGCTCTCGATGCTTGATCATGTATCGATATACTCGGCCGCAAGATATCGATGAAACCCAATCTTAGGCTTCACCTGCGACGATTGTGGAGCTTGCTGCTGCTGCTGAGATTCAACCTCATCAGCGTCCCCTTCCCCCATGACAACATCTTCCTTGTCCTCTGTGGGATCTTCAATCGTCGTGCGATCATTCTCCTCCACTCCCAGCAGCTTTAGGTTCGCCGTTTGATCCCCCTGAAGCAATACAGTATACCCATCATTCTGTCCCACAGCCCGAGTTTTATGAGCCGTAACTGTCATTGCAAGCCACAGATCCTGGTGTGAGAGATGCTCGACTTTGCTGGATCGAGATTGTTTACTAAAACGTAGAGGTGAGCTCAGTGAGAGGGATAGGGGTAAGGGGAGAGATTTGATATGCAGAGTAAGAAGAAAGAAACCTCAATGCGTGGGTTAACATACATGATATGACAGAAAAGCTGCAAGATCCATCTCGCAGAAATCAAGCCCGTCCACGTCATGACGCGAACGGGACGCACGTGAGCGTGAGGGTCAGGGTGAGCATGTTCGATTTCGTCCGGCACGACATATCGACTTATAAAGGGGTCGACACGATGGTCCTTCAGGATTCGAGGCGAGCGGAGTGATAACATGTCGATGTACTCGAAGAGATCATATAGAGACTCCTGTGTCTCTTCGGAAGGGAGGGTTGATTTGGCGGATGTTGGAGGTGGTGATAGGTCGAGGGGTTGAGTGATGGATGATGGGACCAAGACGTCGGGGAGGAGAGATGATGTTGGCGTGATGGGTCTGATGGTCGGGTGGTGCTTGTTCAGAGAGGCATGAATGTCGTCTGATGAGAAGGGGGAGCTGGTTAGTTGGGGTGTAAGGAGGAGGAGGAGGAGAAGTAGGCTCGTCAAGATAGGCAGCATACTGTCGGACATACCATCTGACCCAGCAGCCAAATCAACAACCAGCCATGTCAGACTTTGGTTCAGGACATTCTTAGCTGCCCAGAAAATGCGATCGAACCCCTTTTTCCCGTGTAGCATGGAAGGTAAGCGGAGGTTGAGTTCGACAGCTAGATGAAGGGAGGGAGTATACAAGTTAGTCTCACCGACCAAAAGCGCGGAAGTGGGTTGAGGAAAAGCCATAAGACAAACGTACCGAATCTCGCTTTGATGTGCTTCCTTGCACCTGACATGACTGGTTTCCCTTGTAGGCCGGCGCGTTCGTAGTCGTCCTTTGAGAGTTCGAGGCGAAGAATTCCTGGTTGAAGTGGATCCAAGTCAGTCCATCAGACTCCAGGATGGGAGGGAAGTGGACATGAAAGGGAAATAGGTATACCATCATATAGTGAGAACAGGCTATCCACACCGGCTTTACCCTCAGATAACATGAGAACGTTTCCTAATCGCACGACTTGGTCAGCAACTCTCGCTTCATTTCAATCCAGTCCAGAAATCCGAACACCTCTGACCATAACATCCTCGACCTAGGTCCAAGTTGGTGACATACCTCTCTTAATCCAAATATCAAACCCGTCCCCCACCAGTAAATCCTCCAACTTCAAGACCACCTTTGCATACTTGGGATCAGGCAACAAATCCTGAATCTCCGGCCAGATAATCTCATAGAGTGGGTTAGGAAATGAAATCGTGACAGATTGATTGAAAGAGATGTCGTTGATGATACGCCATGGAGGAACTCTGGAATTGGTGTGTGTTTGACATGGAGAGACGGGGATTGAGTGTGGGAGGTGAGAGCTGGTGATGAAGGTTTTTTGGGAGGGCATGGTTTGAGGTTTTTGAGGTTATGTTGAGGTGATTTGAGGTGAGGGACCTGAGGTTGATGTCTCTTGACGAGGCTGAATGCTAGAAGGTCACGCTTATGGCCATGTTGAGATTATGTGAATCGCTAATCACCTTGTGTCGGATTTGTTGTGGTCATGGTGAAGGGGATAATGACTTTTGAGCCATGGAAATATTCAATTTGGACTTACGAGGTAGCAATGTGATGTGATGGTTTGGAACAGGTACAGTACCTAAGTAGTATTTTTTTGAAGTCGAATATTTTTACCTATCATGTCCACACCTCGCGCAGAAACATGGCCGTGAACTACAATGCACCATCCACCTCAACACCGTTTCTCTTTTAATATGACAATCAAGAGAGCAGATACTCTGTGGCTATGATATAGATATTCATGTTTCGTACGAATACCTAATAGTACATGGTTTAATATTCCCACTGTATTTCCCAGACCATGAATCTCTGACAAGCCCTCAATATGGTTGCTCTACATTATCGTCGTTGTTTGTACGATCATTTTCCTCGGTTCGTGCTCAATATGGCTCCCATTTCCGCAGAGCGACTGCTTGCTCGGTCAGATATGCCAAATGCTTTCGTAGAAATGTATCATCCTCCTCTTCGACGTTTCAACGGCAATATCAATCCCAGAATCGTAGACATGCTGTTTCGCCGGTTGCGTTGGGGCACCACTGATATACAAAGCCAAATCCTGGTCTTCAGTCTTCAGTCTTCATATTGACGGTCCACCAGCCGCACCGATAATTTTCAAACTACTCTTCCCTTGCCTCGACTCTTCAACCTGTGTATATGCCAACCAATACCGGCTAGGATGCCACGCGACAGCCGGAATACCACTCGTTCCCGTCGGTACAGTATACACCACATCGCCTGTTTCAGCGTGATAAATCTCAAGACCTCCACCCGATGAATCACTCGTCCCGGTGCCAGTATCATCACTAGCACCAACCAAATACCGACCATCCCAAGACCACGACAAGCCTTTAATGGCGCCAGAAGTGGGATTCGACACGGTCCGTCGACATACCCAGTCGGTTGTATCCCAAAGACTGATCATAGCGTCAGATCCCCCTACTGCGACATATTTGCCATTCGGACAATATGCGACAGCGGTGCATGACGAAGTATGCGCAGAGAGATTGTGCAGGGGAGTCAATGTAGGATAGTCGAGGATCTTGACTGATCCATCGCCTTGGGTGATGAGTAAATCGATGGGAGGGTATGCATTGGAGAAGGCGGTTTGGTTGGTCTGTTGAGGTTGTTTATGGCGCGAGAGGACCGAAGGGGAGGATGGGATCGAAGTGGAAATGGGAATCAGAACATCGCCCTATATCTCGGTGTTTAGCCTAGGACTTTCTCTGCCTGGAAAATAGGACATGTTCTTTTCCATTACTGACCTTCGTCCCCACCATCAATACACTACCATCAGTACTCCACGTCATGGTAAAAGGTTCACCTCCAACCTCGAGTTTCGTAACGAGATTTTTCGTCCGGGTATCCCAGAACCGAACCGTCCCATCAGCCGAACAACTAGCCAGCTCGAATTCCCTAACAGGGTTGAACAGGACCTTTTCCACGGCATGACCATGGCCTCGCAGCTCGGTCTGACTACGAGGGGTTGTCCGTTCTGGGTTCCATACTCGCACCGTCTTGTCATTTGCGCCTGTCGCGATCAATCCGCCAGAGGCATTCCATGAAATGGTCCGATGACTGTGGGGGGGAAGAGCAGGGAATCAGTCGAAATCCGACGACATGGTGTGACGTTGACAGGTTTCGTCAGGGGGAACGAACGTACATGGTCGGCACGGGGGTTCGAGCGGCCGGATCGATGTATTGCTGCGTCTTGAGCAATGGGAATTGTTTGGAGAATATGTCTCGACCAAGGTGCTTGCGCTGGTTGATCGGAGCCATGGTGGGGTGGCGGTGACGCCGTAGAGGGGAGGGGGCTTGTCAGCCTTGTGGTTCGATGTCGTTCACCTCCGTATAGTTGACGAGATCATGGTAGGCAATGCATACCAAGGTATGCATATAAGAGCATGTGCGTGGTTGAATGAATACTCGAGTCTGTGATTCTGGCCCTGCGCTCGAGGACGGCGGGGATGCCTTAATGGTTCCCCGTAAACGCCATTCTGGGCTGATCCAGCGGAGTATTAGATAATAAAACGTATATGTGCACAGTCACGTGTCCGACATTGTCTTCAGCCATCGTTGAATGATTCCTCAGTTGCCTTAGGCCTCAATAGTCTACAATCCAATTCATATTGGAGGCTAGTATCTGGTCTCAACAGATTCCCAATAGTAGAGATGAGATATATACCCAAGATTTTCAAGTAGCGCATGATCTGCTCGGAAGTTCAAACATCCATCAGCTATTTTCCACAACTCCAAATCCACCTATTCCAAGGGTATCAATAATCTTTGCGTTTCTGCCGTTTTCATTTTTGGAATCGGCCCCATCCGTGGGTCTCTCTTTTTCCATATCGACCTCAGTCAGCCTCCAATATATCCATGTCATCTCATCATAAAAGGCCCTCCTTTTCTGCGACTAAGGTCGCGGGGTTTGACCGGGCCAAGTAAACATCCAATCTCCGTTTTCACTCATAGGGTCTGTAGGCCACATCCCATCCGGCATTGGAGTCATTCCTGTGTGGCCGGGTGTCAACCCGGTAATACCATCGTTCATCGTCGTCTTCATTTCGGGAAAGTTCATGTTGTTCTCGTTCCCTGTCGGCCATTGACTTTGTCCTCGAAACACAAACTCCTGCGAAATATGTCTTGTTTGAAATTGCATGGCTGGATTAAACTGTGTTCCATCGTTGTAGTTGGACGACATGTTGACTGGATTTTGTGGCGATGGGTTCGAAGCATACGACGATGTTGGATTGGAACTTGTACTCGGGGTGGGATGATTGCTATGTGACCTGGATGAAGTACCATTGGTGCTACCATGATGCGAAGTACTTCCTGGAGAGGCATGTTGTCCCACACTCGCGCTTTGAACCTGTGGAAATCCATAGCTGTTGTCGAAAGAGAGATCATTCAACGGGTTCGTCTGTCCAGACGCAAGATTGCCCTGGGTCACGTCGTTGTTGAAAATGCCAGCATAGTCATTGAGTCCCGGATCTGGATTCACACTGCTCCCACTTGGCACCGTCAGGGGATCCCTTTCTGGTTCGGCTCCGGCATTCAAATGTGGAGCCTGACTTTGACGAATCTCGAAGAGTGGGCTGCATTTGAGTGAATCGGTATTGGCAGGACTCTCTCCCTGTTGTCTGTTAGAATTGTGGGGCGGATGAAGGGTGGTGATCAAAGTTACAGGTGGACGTTGACCAAACTTCCAGCGTGATTTACTCGAGGGTATATCAAGTCCGGTGCCTTCCAGATCAACGTCGAGTTGCACAAGGAAAGACTCGGTTAGCGGATTTTTTGTTTTCAAGACTTGCATGGTGGCAAGGAGGAAGTGGAGCGAGGATAAAACGGCGGTGTCGTCTCTTCGTGCTTTTAAATATTGCACAAAGACACGTGCGGCGACGTAGAGGCAGAAGGCGATGAAAGGATTCATCTGGGATCGCTCAGTACTGACGCTCAACAAAAGAGTGGACGTTAACTCACCAGAGACATGTCGAGATGACTGATCATTTTCATGATATTGGTGACCTGATCCGCAGCAACAATACACCTCCGCTTGGATTCCGCGCTAATCTGTGCTGGGAGGTGATTTTTATCGGCTTTGAAGATGGCGGCCTGGTGGAGACAGATGGTTGCTGTTTGCAAGTTCATATTGAGGAAGACGGTGTTGGGGTCTTGTATTCCAGCTGGCAATCGAAGATTAGATGGCAGAGATAATGCGGTATTAAGTAGTATATTGTCCAAAGCGCGATGTCGTTTCCAGAAAGGTCCATTGAGGTCGTGATCGTTGTCGTTTTCTGATGGGCGATGTAGGTGAAGGAGGTTGCGGCCATACAAGGTCGACATCAAGATGATGCCGCCGAAGGAGGACAAGGTGGCGGCGCCATCACCGTTCATGAGGTCAGAGAGTTGAAGGGTTGGTTCAGCCTGCGACTTGTTGAAAGCCTCGTCACTGGAGGGCAGATTTGTAAGGATCTGTCTTAAGTGTCAGCCTCATCTTTGGCCATTAAGGTAATATGGTCCGCCTACGTCTCGTTCGTCGAAACCCATAGGCCATCCCGTGCCTACACTGGCATAACGATCCTGACAGTAAGCCATCCAGAAAGTCCGGCGTCTTTCTTCTCGGTCGGTCCAATCTCTTGGAGGTGGGAGAGTTTGTTTAACATCCAGGCCCACACGATCTTGTCGATGTAAGCCCATCATTTGAGTAAGTCTTGTCGCTCGGCCAATGCTCATCCATGCGCGGGGAAAGTACATGAGTTTGAACTCGTAACAACCAATCAAGGACCAGGCCTGCGCATGAGAAAGAGAGACCATGGATTCGCCGCGGCCTCGCATTTCATCTGCTTCGGCGTATTTTCGTGCTCTCTGGTAAAAATGCTCGGCAGATGTAGTGTACTTGGGGGACACGGAACAAGCATGTGCCCACATGGCGTATCTCAAGCATGCTGGTGGTCGCAAATTTGGGGCAAGATTCATGGACGAGAGGAATCTGGCTTTGTGGATCATGGGCATCGAGGGGTGAATCTTGAGGAAGTAAATCTCGTTCCTGTCATGGTCAATAAAGGAAATGTTGGGGGGAAGGGAGGGGCCGGTACAGTTCGTCAATCACATCTTGTGAAGGAAGGGCTTCCTCAAGGCCAAGGCCTATCATTTCCCACGAGAAATCATCGCCCGTGTTGATGGAGAAATCATTCGCTGAAAAGTCGGGGACGGCGTCAAGATATGTCGGATCAAAATCTGCAGCTGTGATGTTGACAGGCATGGACGAATCTGTCATGGTAGAGTCATGAGGCGCCGGAACACTTGTGGAAGAGGAGGCGGTTGTTGCTGGTGCGGCAGTGTCACTAACCCCATCTCTCGTTTCCAATAAATTCTCGACTTGTCTGAGGCGGGCTTCGAGTAACTTGACGTATCCCCTCTTTGGGCCACTCTTTTTCCGTTCCTCAGAATATTCGCAATGGTGACTCAATCTTGAACACGTTCCACAGCTGGGCTTGTTGCCATCACATCGCAGCTTCCTCTTCCGACAAAGAATGCATGCTATTCTCTTGGGGCGAGGAACAGACTCATTGGATCGGGATTCTTGTGGATGAGACTCTCCATCCTCCAAGGTGTCAACGTCGTCTGTCATGTTCGACACACAGTGATGGTCGAGAGGTTGCTAGGGTGTCACCACAGCTGTTTCTGGTAGGGCTGGCGCAGGTTGTGAGAGGATGCTTGAAGGTTCGAGGACTGGTCGACTCACGTAATCCTAAGGATTGAAATACCTGGCTGATTGACTGATGAAGAGTCGCTCAGGGCGCCATGCGCAAGGTAAGGGACACCCAACAGAGTGGTCAGAAGAGGTTTGTGTGAGAGAATAGGGCTGTGGGCGACGGTGAGTCTGGTCGGTGCAGTGGTTTGTCAGGCCTGAATTTGGGGAAGAGGGGACAAAGAATTAGTCGTTATGGCAGAGAAGCAATGGGGAGGTACGTGGCGATCTGGGGCCTGGAGCCTGGGAAACGGGTAGATGTGGGTGCGTTGCTTGGATCCTACTTGAGTCAGATACGGAGGTAATTGCCTGGTGGTGCTTATGCGGTATACCGGTAGATCTGTGAACAGGCACCCTGTATTTTCAAGGCCGTCAAGGATGAGAAGCAACAGGTGATGATGACGGTGGTGATGGATTGCCGTGAGTGCTCTACTGGGCGAATAATGACTCTCTACGGCTTCAGGGCATGTCCAAAGACATCTGGATACGAGTAGATATGGGAGACTTTAATTCATGGGAGGCCTGGAGTCGGAGCCGAGGGGGGCATAAAGCGACATTGGGCCACTGGGCGTCTGGGGGGCCCTCGGCCCTCCAGTCTAACACCATTTGGGCATCAGAAGCCGCCAGGCAGCGACGAAAAACAAGAGACAGACCTCGGGCCTCTAACTTCATCTGTAATGGCTGACATAACATCTTAAGCCATTAGCCGTCGTATTCCCTTCAATAATTCGTATTCCCTTCAATAATAATGGCTTTTGATGACTTGCAGGATATTGGGCTGAGCGGCTGGCCCACTGACACAAAAATACAGAACACGTGAGCTGAAAACGTGGTAATTAATAAAATAATAATAACAATGTCTGGATGTCTGCGTCTTTTGTCAAATCCCCCCCAACAACTCGGTACAAGTAGGCTATATGATACACCTGCAATGGAATGGTGGTAACAGAGCACAATCGTCAAGGATCGTAGCACCTCTGGAGATCGCTTTGTCTGGTAGGTCTATGTTCAGCAAGTAAGCTACATAACTTGTTTAACATGGTCGGTGGTATCGACAGTTGGGGGAGTTCCACGCGTCCTTGATGGCCCCCACGTGAGCAACCCTTCAGTTCACGCTCGAGTCCCTTCCCTCCTATCCACAGATTGCGAGGCGAGACGCGCAACGAGGCTTACGCCCAGATGGCATCCATCATCAACGTACAACATCAGTCTTTCGATTGAAATTCTGGAGAGGGTTGCAAGAGCCGCATGATACCAGTAGAATCCTTCCTCTTTCCAGATGCTTAATGGCTGGGAACATCACCGCCATCACCTTCCTCGTTAAAGAAGACTCTCACTGGGAGCCACGAATCTCCGCAGACCTTGAATCGATCTTTAATGCTGCTGAGTGTCTCCACCTCTTCTGGAGTCAACTCCCATCCGTCCAATTGGAAATTGGCCTCAATCCTGGATTTGGTCACGCTCTTGGGGATGACCGAGGTGCCTCGCTGCAAGCCCCATTGCAGGAGAACTTGTTGAGGTGTCTTGCCATGTGCCTCTGCGATCTTGCCCAAAGTCTTGTCACCCGCGAGTGGTGAGTCGGTGGAGCCCAAGCACGAGTATGCCGTGACGTGGATACCCTTCTCTTTGCAGAACGCGATTGTCTTTGGAGAGGGCATGTTGGGGTGGAGTTCGATCTGGTTGACTGCTGGAACGATCGTTGTCGATTCGGCTTTGAGGAGCTTCTCGAGGTTGGAAATGACAAAGTTGGAAACACCAATGTTTCGAACCTTTCCGGTGCCGACGAGCTTCTGCATCTCGCGCCTGTCATCGAGGTTAGTCATTTTAGCCATCACTCTGGTGACGAGGAACCAAAAAGACGAACCATGTGTCAATGAAAGTCCAGTCGTCATAATGTTTCATCAAGTCCTCCGGCACGGAGGAGCTAGGCCAGTGCATGAGGTACAAATCAACATAATCTGTTTGGAGATCCTTCAATGAGGAGGCAATGCCCTCCTCGACGCGCTTGTGCCATGGGTTGTCGAGTTTAGTGGTGATCCAAATTTCACTTCGAGGCACTCCAGAATCAATGATGCCTTGACCAACCTCGGCCTCGTTGCCATAGGCTAGAGCGCTGTTCCAGACTAGTCAGAAGCGAGAAAATGCGGAGAACAGCAGTCCCAACTCACGTGTCAATGTGACGGTATCCAGCCAGAAGAGCGTCTCGCACAGCGACACGAACTTCATCCGGTTTAGATTGCCATGTTCCCAAACCAACACCAGGAATTTTATCGCCAGTGTTTAAGGTGAAAAAGGTCCTTCAACTCGAGTTAGCAGCTGAGGCTGACTAGATTTTGGGAATTGCCATACTTTGTGCCTTTGCCCTCTTGAGCGGTCGTCATGGTGCGGAGGAGGATTGAGGGTCTTTGGATTCGAGAGGACAGGAATGAGGACGATATACAAGGTCTCGATGTTCTGGTCAACAGACGACAGTAGGACATGCAGGAGAATCGAGAGAGGAATGCAGAATAATCAGCGAAGCGGCGGGCCCGCCGTTAGATAAATGCTTTTGAAGGTATTTTCCAGTTATTTTCCGGTGGCATCGATGAGACTTTCAGGAACCTGTACACCATGGTGGGGCAGTCTTCTCCAACACAACATCAGACCGGTTGATGGACGAGGGGCAGGGTCTTTGATCGTTCATGGAATGGATCTGGAACAGCAGCATTGATTTGTCCATGAGCGAAGAACTGGGGCTGAGCCATACTAGCTTCTGGTAAATCTGGGTTGTTGCATTTAGCCTGAAAGGGATACGCTTGTCCTTCCCTACTCTGATACGGGGAAATCCCTCGATTTGGGGCTTTTGGAAACACAGTCTCGTAGACCACGCGCCGTGTCTGTCTGTTCTAGGCGCGGATGTTAACTCGAATCAAACCGTCATGCGTCTTGTTGGACTGCATATTAGTGCCGGGTTGAGGGCTGGACGATAAGCATTGTGGCATTGTATGTGGTTAGGGGAATCTGGTCGGCAATTGAAGAACCGCCACCACCGGGAGATGACGTGTGAGGTGATGAAAGGATTGATGAGAGTGATGGAGGGGATTGACGAGAGGGAACAAAGTCCGGGCCGCCGCAGAAGCTGATTGCGGAGGCGAAATGAAACTATAGGCGGCTGAAATACTGAATTGGGTGGTACTGGCGCTAAGAGCCGACATGGCTTATGTGTGTTAAGTACCTACTCCGTAGGTAGTCAGTCACAATGTTGGAGCCTGGAAGAAAGGACTCTGGGGCCCAAAAGTCCGTGTTTAGTGGCAACAAGCCCAGGGAACAGGCCCCCTCGGCCCATACAGAGTAGCACGGTAAATTTATTAGGGACCACTTTAGCACCACGAACGGCTTAAACGGCTTAAGTATCTGGTTAGGTGGTTCCTCGGTCCACTAATTTCACTTCTATTCATTTAGAACAGCCTAAGATCATAGCCGGCCGGCACGTGTGTCGCTAACCCCCACCAGGCAGTTCTTACAGTCCAAAGCGACCTTTGCCCGTAGTGACCCTTGTCAGCCTGTGCCCCTCTCACAGACAAGAATTTGGAGAACCAAGCCACTACCGACTCAGACTGGAGCACCTTCAAAAGAATTTACCCAGACAACTCCAGTCATGGGCTTGTTCCCGATTGTATAAAAGCACTCATGTCTCGATTTGTTTCAGCCGGCACCGAAGCTGACTCCATCACACGAGATGATGCCTGGATTCAGGCACAAAAAGAAGTGGAGGCTCAACGGCAGTCAAAGCCCGTAGTCAAGCCGGGTGAGCAAGAAGGCGGCAAGAGTCTGTACGAGGTTCTACAACAGAACAAAGGTAGGTGCTATACGGTGATGAGACTTTGGCTACGTGAACTTGCTCTGACGCGCGATGAACCTTACCTTCCACAGCCTCGAAACAAGAAGCATTCGAAGAACAAGCCCGTCTGAAAAACCAATTTCGAGCCCTCGACGATGACGAGATCGAGTTTCTAGAATCCGTCAACGAATCGGTCAAGGCTAAACAGCATGCGGTGGAGCAAGAGACTGCTGAGCAGCTCGAAGAGTTTCGAAAACAGCGTGCTGCCGCCGAACATTCTCTCCTCGAAACCACCCCTGGAAATAATCCGACTCTTGGCTCTCCGGTGGCATCAAGTTGGATGGTGAAGAAGAAAAAGCGTCGGCGTGACCACGATGGTCCACCAGAGAGGGCTGCCGACAGCAAATCTAGAAAACTATCATCTATTCTGGAGGACCACCCTGCGGCGCCGACTTTAGCGAGTCCTCCTCCAGAAACATCTTCGAAAGAGACAAAGGTTGCCTCGAGCCGGGTAGAAAAGAGCGTGAAAAGCCCAGTGTCTGCTTCTGCCGCAACAACGACCACAAAACAAAGTACTCCTCTGACGACAAGCAACCAGCTCGGTTTACAGGGCTATAGCTCCGATGAAGATTAAACAGACTACATCGGACATTTTTGTAACTGGGACGAAAATCTGGGGGAAATGAGAAAACGAGACTTTTTCACTGGTCGTGCACCAGGACTGGTCCTGCGCCTGGCTCCAGTTGCAGGATATTAGGCTTCAGCGCACTTGAATAATCAACTAAAAGGCGCCTGGAGCGCCCGCAGACCCCCGAGTTTTCGAGGAAGACTACCTACCTAGGTAAGCACCAAGTAGTCTCTGTTAGATAGGCGTTGAGGTGCAGCGCTTTTGCATGCACTCCAGCCCAATCACTATGAGCTCATAAATCTTTACAAATGAAATGCACCTCAATGGTATGCAAAGCCAGACTCTGCTCTCACTTCAACTCTGATATTCATCTGCAAGTGAGTCCGTGCGGAACGAGCCGGAGGGTTTGGTTCTGTTGACGCGACAGAATTCTCGCACCGCGTAGAGCGAGTGAGCCTATCAAGTTTCAGGACGCTGATCAAAGGAACCACATTGGCCGTTGTCGTGGGTACGTGGGTGTTGTTGGTGTGCCTATGTCGCCCACGCAGCCGTTCGCCTTGAAGCCTATCGTGCCTATGAAGCCTAAACGACGCGTCGGGTGTGTCAACGCTCAGGTCATTCTTCCCTTATTCGTTTGTTGTTGTAGCGGTGAGCAATCCGTTGGCTGTCCTGCGAACTCGCCCAAGCGTCCTGCATCTCGACCCAGCACCTCCACTGCACCTTTTGTCCTCTCATTCGTCCATATTACCTGCAAATCAGTCCCGAGAGACGTGTGATGATGTCTCGAATGGATCAAGATGCACTGCACTGCACGGTTGAATTTTCCTCGGGTTGGTTTTGGAGGTAGCCTCATGTTTAGGTAGCAACACCTTTTTGTAGCTATACAAACACAATAGAAATTTCACCCCTCCACCCTGCACCAATTTCCCTCCGTTTTTCTTCACAATCGTTGTGTATCGATAGACAGCGATAGACGATAGGCTGGGTTGGGATCATCGATACACACGCTGGGCAGGATTTGATCCCTGCAAGCCCCTGACGGTTGCCCGCCACCTTCGCAGGTCGCACCTTTCCAGCCAATCCAAGGCCGCGGTTTCACAGGCGTGACCTCCTGACGCTGCTTCAATCTTCAAGTCACTGTCGCTTCAGCTTGTCTGGTAAAACTCATCACATCAGCAAACACCTTTCTCCTCGTCGTCGCCTTGCTGTCTACTACTGCTTTGCACCTCGTCGCCGTTCGCTTTTTCGCATAATCACCGTCGCATCAAATGCTTCCCTACCTTCCATCGCGCCAATCTTTCGCACGTCCTCACCATGGCTGCAGCGGTAGCCTCATATCCCCTTGCCCACCCCACAGAACGCGACTGTCGTCGACTAAAGATCCCGCAATGCTCCTGGATTGGAATGGGTGAAGGGGAACTTTCGCGGTCTTGTCGCATGCCCATGGTTTCGGCTTCTAGCACGGGAGCCGATTGGCCATGCTGTCTGCACACCGCTACCTTCTGTATATGCAAGAAGAACACGCCAGACTTACGGGTATGCGCAACATCTCTTCATCCTAACTCGGGCTTGTCTAGTTGGGGCCTTGAACCTACCCTCATTTCTCGCCTTTTTCCTTCGAATCTCATTTTTATCCCTTGTCCTTGCAACCCGTGCCCGACTTCTCGTCCCTAACACCTATCACAGCGCGATCCGCCTACCTATGAACTATATTTGAGAGCAACTGCGCTGGTCGCAGCTTTGCTGGAGCAATTGGCCACATGTCCATTGCCATATGGCACATTTCCAGCCTCAGACCATTCGGACGATTCCCCTACGCCCAACCCTTTGGACGATCCTCTTGCAACGGCCCATAATCTGGCCAGTCTTGCCTCGATAGAGCTCGACACAACCCTTCCACGTGTTTCGAGCCGTCGACCCCATTCTGAGACCAACATGGATTACAAGATTGACTTTGGTGACACCACCGGAGTTCAAACAAGGGGCAAGAAGGCTGCTAAAAAGGCTGCCAAGGCCGCCCAACAGGCCAAATGGTTCGAATCCGATAACGAGGGCGAGGGGAATACCGCCGGCGATGGTGGGGGTGACGATGCAGGTGGTAATGGAGGCGGAGATAATTCTGGAGCAGGGGGTAATGGAGGAGACGACAACAACGGAGGCGGTGGCGATGACGATTGGGATTTTGGTGGGAGTAAGAAGAACAAGAAGAAGCAGAAGAAGAAGGAAGAGGAAGAGGAGGAGCAAAGGAGGAAAGATGCCGAGTCAGCAAATGCTAATAAAGGTGCAGACCCTCTAAGTTGGGCCGATGAAGCCAACGAAGCCGCTGCCGATGACGATTGGGCGGGCTTCACCACCAAAAAGGATAAGAAGGGCAAAAAGGGGAAGAAGGTGAGACAATGAAATTCCTATCACCATATCACCCTCAATGTCTGACGATCCCAGGGCGTCGAGGATACCACCAGTCCACCGGCAACATCAGCTTTTCAAGACATCAGCCTCGACGATTCAGCGCCCAAGCTGGAGTTCTCTTTTGGCAATGACAAGAAGGACAGTGGAACCGGATTTGGTGCATGGGGGAAAACTTGGGATTTTGACTCTCTTAGTAATGGGGCCACCGACAAACCACAAGACAAGACCTCGAAAAAGGATGACAAGAAAGATTCGACAGCTGATTTTGGTGACAACAATCCTTGGTCCGTGGGTAATAAATCCAAGAAGAAAACGTCGACCTATGGATCAAACTTTGATTTTGGCAACTTCAACACTGAGGAGCCCACTCTTAACTTTGACGGCGACCTGGGCGGAACAAAGTCCACTGACGATGCTTGGGGTTTCTCCTCTAAGAAGGATACCAAGGCAAAGGAGGAGGATACCTGGGGCGGTTGGGGAACCTCAACAGCAAAGAAGAAGGGGAAAAAGGCTGACCCCATCGAGGAACCCGTCGCAGAGGTTGCCGAGGCCGATACCTCGTTTGACTGGGGATTCGGCGGCAGCAAGAAAAAGGGCAAAAAGGGCCTCATCAGTGAGGTTGATGATCTTCTTGCCGTCCCTGAGGCTCCTGCTCCTGCCGCTGCAGTCGACAAAGCCGATGATGGAGACGACTGGATGTCTGCAGCTTGGGGATCAAAGAAGACCAAGAAGGGCAAAAAGACAGAAGACTTCTCAACATCTGTTGACCCAGGATCAAAAGAAGCCGACATCACCACGGACACGTTAGCTGATGACACTTGGGGAGCCTTTACCACCGCCAAAAGTAAAAAGGGCAAGAAAGCACCAATCATCGAAGAGACTGTTCCCGAACCAGCTCCTGACCCACCTAGTGCCATCGATGATGTGTGGGCATCTTTTGGTAAACAGGACAAGAAGGGTAAGAAGGGCAAAGTGACCAGCCCTGAACCTTCTATTCCTAATGTCGACCCAGAATTCGACGACTTCGACAAGGCCATGGAGGCTCCGAAAGAACCAGAAGGCATGAGCTACGTGGATTGGATGTCGTTGACCCCCAAGGAGAGGAAAAAGAAGGAAAAGGAATACCTCAAGAAGGGTATCCCCATTCCCACCGAACCAGAACCAGAACCAGAACCAGACCCAAGTCCAGAGGAAGACCCTCACCTCGACACATTGCCTGAAGATCCGCCGCAGGAGCAGGGCATGCCTTACTCCGAATGGATCGCTCTCAGCTCGAAGGAACGAAAGAAGAAAGAGAAGGAGTATCAGAAGAAAGGGATCCCTATCCCGACTGAACCAGAGCCAGAGATTGACCCCATTCCGGAGACCGAGGAGCCAAAAGAGCAAGCGATGAGCTATGATGACTGGATGCTTTTGACTAACAAGGAAAGGAAGAAAAAGGAGAAAGAGTATAATGCTGCTGGAATCCCTATTCCAACAGAGCCCCAGCCTGAGGATGACCCCATGCCTGAGATCGAGGAGCCAAAAGAGCAAGCGATGAGCTATGATGACTGGATGCTTTTGACTAACAAGGAAAGGAAGAAGAAGGAGAAGGAGTACAATGCCGCTGGAATTCCCATTCCAACAGAGCCCCAGCTTGAGGAGGACCCCATACCTGACTTCGAGGAACCAAAAGAGCAAGGGATGGGCTATGATGAGTGGACACTCTTGAGTAGCAAGGAAAGGAAGAAAAAGGAGAAGGAATACATCAGCAAGGGTATTCCTATTCCTACCCCGCCCGCATTTGAGCTCGAGCCCGAGCCTGAACCTGAACTACCCAAGGAGGAGGGAATGAGCTATGATGAGTGGATGCTCTTGAGCAGCAAAGAAAGGAAGAAGAAGGAGAAGGAATATACACTAAAGGGCATCCCTATTCCTACCGAGCCCGAACCCGAACCCGAACCCGAACCACCCAAGGAGGAGGGAATGAGCTATGATGAGTGGATGCTCTTGAGTAGCAAGGAAAAGAAGAAGAAGGAGAAGGAATACCTCAGCAAGGGTATTCCTATTCCTACCCCGCCCGTATTTGAGCCCGAGCCAGAACCAGAACCCGAACCACCTAAGGAGGAGGGAATGAGCTATGACGACTGGCTCGCTCTAACTCCTCGAGAAAGGAAGAAGAAGGAAAAGGAATATGCACTAAAGGGCATCCCTATTCCAACTGAACCCGAACCAGAGCCTGAACCCGAGCCGCCGAAGGAAGAGGGCATGAGTTACTCAGAATGGATAGCCCTATCCACCAAGGAGAGGAAGAAGAAGGAGAAGGAATATCTGTTAAAGGGCATTCCAATACCAACAGAGCCGATACCTGACCCGGAACCTGAGCCAGAACCAGAACCAGAAAAAGAGAAGAAAGAGGGCATGAGTTATACTGAATGGATAGCCCTATCCGCAAAAGACCGCAAAAAGAAAGAGAAGGAATACAAGCTCAACGGAATTCCTATTCCAACTGAAGATCCCGCTCCTGTTGAAGCAGAGGTTGAGGAAGAAGCTGATGATGCATGGGGAAGTTGGGGAGTATCTACCAAGTCCAAGAAAAAGTCGAAGACCACAAGCACGGGCCTTCTTGATCCTGAAGACGGCACCAGCGCTACTGCTCTAGAGTCCAAACCCGAGAAGGAGGATACTTGGGGTTCTTGGGGCACTTCCACAAAGGACAAGAAAACTACCACCAAGAAGAAAGGTTTCCTAGACATCTCAGAAGAGCCCGAAGATTCCAACTCCAAGGATATAGACCCATGGGCAGCATTTTCAACCACCGGTAAAAAAGACACCAAGAAGAAGGACGCAGTGATCGAGGATGCAGAAGCTGACGCTGGAGGGTGGGGATTCAGTTTTGGTTCGTCCAAGGACAAGAAAAAGGACACCAAAAAGAAAGGTCTACTAGATCTCGACGAAGAGCCGCCTGCACCTCCCCCAGAACCAGAACCAGAGCCAGACCTCGATTTGGATGAACTTGCTTACTTGACGCCAAAGGAGAGGAAGAAGCGAGAAAAGGAGATTGCCAAGAAGAAAGCGGCCGCTGCTCTTGAGCCTGAGCCAGTCCCAGAGAAAGCCTCAGACAAATCCAAAGAAAACGATGACATTTGGGGTACTTGGGGAACTACGACAAAGGACAAGAAAGGCACCCTGAAGAAAACTGTCCCCGAAGTGGTCGAGACCAGCAAACCCGACACCAAGGCCGATGCATGGGATATTTGGGGTGCCAAAAAGAACACCAAGAAATCCAAGATGGTGGACGAGCCTCCTCCGCCAGTGCCAACTCCTCCTGCACAAGGTCTGACACCTGAACCTGATCAGACGGATATGCTCGATGAGGACGATTACGGCGGTGGCACTTGGGCGACTCTGACCAAAAGCAAGTCATCCTCCAAAAAAGAAACAAGCACAACAAAAGATAGCAAGAACATGTGGGGATTTGGAACTGCAGCTGCTGCTGTCACCACTGCAACAGGCGCCAAATTGACCAAGAAAGAGAGAGAGGCCAAGGCTAAAAGGGAAGCAGAGGAACAAGCTGAGAAAGAAAGGGAAGAAAAAGCATTACGCGAGGCTGAAGAAGCTGAAGCTGCAAGGCTGGCAGAGGAAGAAGAAGAAGCCAAGCGACTGAAGAAGAGCGGCAAGCTCAGCAAAACAACCACTAAGACCAAAGATGCCGATCTTCTCGATGGACTAGACGATGTCACCCCAGCTTCTAAATCGTCCAAGCTCAAAAAAGCCACGACTGCAAAGGAAGAGAAGTCGGAGGATTACTTTGGATTCTGGGGTAACGCGTCGACGTCCAAAAAGACAGCTGGCAAGAAGGATGGAGACTCCAAAAAGGAAATTACCAAACAGGGGCTGACCAATGAGGACGAGGCACTAAATGACCTGGAAGACGACTTGGACTTTGGCGTTGATCCCAAGAAGAGTTCTTCTGCAAAGACAACAACGGCAAAGGCAATGACCACAGCAAAGACAAAGACAACATCATCGGTTGCAGATCGTATCAAAGCTTTGGAACATGGAAAAGAAACCATTGGGAAGAAGTCGAAGATAGAGGCGCCGCTGACTAAGTCGACGCCTCTACAGGACGCGCTATCGCCGAAAGAGGAAAGGAGGCAAGCCGAGAAAGCATCATCACTTTCAAAGACCAAAGACTCCAAAGGATTGAAGAAGAGCGACGCGACATACATCTCCCAGGAGAAGAAGTCAAAGGATTCTGTGCCGGGTAGCTTCCCTGGAGGCTTTGGTGACGACCTGCTCGACGACGACCTGTTGCAAACATCTGTCCCACCGTCGCCTGAAAAGACAAAGACCAAGTCAAAAGTCGTTGACAAGAAGACCACAAAGTCCAAAACTTCGACTGCTAAGACTTCAGCCGCAAAGGACTTGGATCTGTTGGACGATATCGTCGACCCTAGCAGCAAACTCCCTACCCCTCCGCCAGAAGACAAGAAGCCTGTGAAGAAGGAACGTCCAAAGGTTGAACGTTCTGCCACTTCATCCTGGGGCTTCTGGGGGGTAGCCGCGCCTCCACCAAAGAAGTCTACCAAGGACAAGGTCAAGGAAGACGGGCATGCTTCAGCTTCAGAAAGAAAAGAAAAGCCATCACCTGCCATGGTTCGGTCCAAGTCTGTCAAAACTGCGAGGGAGAAGGAGCGTGAGCTCCGAGATGCAGAGAAGTCATCCAAATCATCCAGTTCTGACAAAGAAGTCAAGCCTGCCACCAAAGAAAGACCAAAGGCTCCTCGTGGCACCAGCTTCTCCAATTTCATGTTTGGCGGTCCTCCTCCCTCTGCGATGAGACTAAGTACGACGAGACGACCTAGCAGTTCCGGCAGTGTTCGTACATCCTCGAGACGGCAGTCCGTTGATGGTCTTGTCTCTCCTCCACCGGAAGAAGATGTACCGATCAACTCCAAAGCTGCAAAGTTGATGGGCATGAAAAGCGCCAACGTCGAGAGAAGGTCGTCGGTCAAATCAAAGTCGAAAGGTAAGGTTTCAATCCCTAGCTCGTGGCATCCTCAAGCTAATCATCTCCTCCAGTACCTGATCCGTACCCCATTGACGATGATGACATGGTGATGATCCATACCCATGACGACGTGGTTGTGAACACTGCTGCCAAAAACAAGTCCAAGACAAAAGCAACACCGTCCAAGAAAGAGGTAGGTTCAAACCCCTCCTCGATTGTGCCGGGACATGTTGTTCGCCCCTCGTGGTCCCCAGATTTTGTCAAGGAGCGAAAGGCTAACGGGGAGATGTCATTCAAACAGACAAAGTCCTCGAATAAAAACATCAGAGACGAGGATGTCGTCATGGTTGATCATGGTGATCCTCTTGTTACTAGTGGGCCTGAAGACATTGCCTTCGTTGACCACCCCACGCCTCTATCAAGGAGTAACACTACCCCACGGCGATCGACCGGCTTTTTCGGTAGTTTCTTTGGAGGTGGCAAGACAGTTGAACCAGAGCCAAGGCCAAGAAGTCAGACATTGACGGACGCTGAAGATCAAGGACTCCCAATCAGAACTAAGGATCGCTCAAAGAGGAGATCTCGAGTAGTGGACGGCGAAGAATTCACAACTGACGGTCCAGGCGAAACTGATGCAGACGTCGAAGCAAGAAGGCAAGAACGTAAAGCTAGACGAGAAGCTAGAGATCAAGCGGAAGAAGTCGAACGCGCAGACCGGGAGCAGAGACGCAAAGACAGACGTGAACGGGAGAAGGCAGATCTCGAAGCCCGTCGACGAAAAGATCGTGAACGAGCTCGTCAAGAGCAAGAAGCTGAAGACCAAAGAAGAGAAGAGAAACGAGCTCGACGGGCCGCCAAGGAAGCCCGTCGCCAACAGGAGGAGCTCGAAATCAGCCAAGAGGCCGAGCGCAAGCGAGAAGAACGACGAGCTTTACGTGCCAAGCTCGAAATGGAACATGGTGATGCTCAGCGTGATCTGAAAGAAGAACGACGACGGAAATATCACGAGGAAGAAATCGAAAGAAGCCGCCGCAGGGAGCACCGGTCCCACGACAAAGACCGATCAAGAGGACACCGCAGTAGTGCTCTGGTCGAAGAGTATCACGAAAGCCGCAGTGGCAGCGGCAAAGGAACAGCACCACCCGCCAACAAGACCAGCTCGTGGGTGAACTCACAGGCGGATGAGCCACCCGAAGTCCCGCCTGTCGAAGGGACCATCGTGGACGGCAGTGGAGAGAAACCACGAGCTGGAATCGACGATGACGAGCATAGACAAAGCAGTCGGCGACGTGACAAGTACGCCGGCATGACGGACGCTGAGATCGACGCATACCGAGCCAAGAGAAGAGCAGAACGTCGTGGCGAAGGCAAGAGTGCCAGTGGCGGCAGCCATGAACGTGAACGTGAACGTGAACGCGATCGACAAGACCGGCGAGAACGTCGGAGAAGAAGAGACCGAGACGGCGTGGACGGCCGTGACGGTTACGGGTACGAAGATGTACCCGTCAAAACTTGGGATGGAAGACCATCCCTAGGAAGAAACGACAGCAAGAGAAGAAGCTTCCTCGGTAGTTTCTTCTAAAGACAATGGCGAGGTCAAGAACAAGAAAGAGCAGAAGAATGTCGGGGATATATCTAGCTGGTCTAGATCTCGACTTTTGCTTTTTTCGACCCTGCCATACGGACAACTTGATCTGCTTGTCCACCATTACATCGGCATCTGTCGTTGGGGGAAAAGAGTGCATAAACATATGATTTTGATTTTGATTTTGATTTTCAGCGTTTTAGCGAGCATTTATATTGATCGATCGATACTTGGTCATGGGTTTGGGTTTGGATTTATTCTTTCTTCCGATGGGGAACAAGATTGGTTTGTTGGTTGTGGACGGTGTTGGTGGTTGTTAGTGATACCCGTCCTCGCTCGTTTGCTTGCTTGCTTGCTTGCTTGTGTGCATGCTTATTTACCTATATGCTCACTTGCTTGTCGCGCGTTATATTTACAATATTTACATTCCAGTATTGTTTGTCTACGATACCTCCAGAACAGAAGAAGAGTGGAATACACTGGGTACACTTCAATCTCATCTTATCAGACTTTCTACTTAGCTTTTGATACTGGTACTTTGGTCCCAAGTTCTATCGAATCTTGTTCTTGTCTTTGTAGAGAGATCTGATTGATTTGTTCATTTTTTCCTATCCCAAGATGCCTTACGTAGTAGATCTAGTCTTGGATACCTAGCTTAGGTACGTATAATACCTACCATCTACAACTTCAAATTCCCACCCCCAACAGCCGCACCACCACCACCATCCGCACCAATCGCGACATCACTCTTCTTCATTTTCTTCTTCCCCTTTCCATCAATATTCTGCAATTCGCCTCCTTTACCAATAATCTTGACATTTCCCTTTGCCAATTGAGTGATGATATCGTTTCGGTCTCCGGATTTCGTCTTTGATTTCGAATTCGCATTCGAATTCGAGTTCGAGTTCAAATTCGACTTGGAACTGATACCTTGATTCTGATTCGCTGTCTTGATGCGTTCCTTGTCGCGACGCCGACGTCGAAGTTTCTCTTCACGTGTCATTTCGTCGCGTGACGTGGATAGACCAGAGGAGCGGATTATGATATTTTCGTCGCCTTCGAGCTCGACGAAATCATCCGCTTCGCCGTCGTTCTTGGATTTGGATTTAGGTCGTTTGTCTTCGCCTGGACGGTACACTTCTTGGGGTGCTAACATGCCAACGTTGCCGTTATCGGCCAGACCGACGGGTCGGGCATCTTCCATGCTGATGGTGGGTTTATCTTCGACGGTCTTGATTTCAGCTTCGGTTCGTTTGGGTTTGAAGTGAAGGTTGCTGAGGAGGTCGAGTTGAGATGAGACTTCTTTCCAGAGGCGAGAGATTTCAGCGTGTTGTTTTTGAGCCGCGGCTGAGAGGGTGGATGTGTAGTTCGGGTCGGTGGCGGCGAGGTGTTGTTGTTCGTAGACTTCGCCGAGTCCAGTGCTGGGTTTTGTGTCGTCGAGTTCGATGCGGCCGCGACGAGTGGCGTTGGAGTCGGTGCCGAGATCGTCTGGACGTCGACGGATGACTTCGTCGAATTCTCGGGCGAGAATCCTTCGTTTGATCAAGGCCTCGATTTCTTCGGTTACTTCGGCGGTAATTACGGGAACGGGTTTCCCTACTCGCTCGAATTCGAGGTCTTCTTCGAGTAAGGAATTGATAGGGCGATCTGCTCCGCGGGCTTCGCCGGACAGGGTCCAGTCTCGTTTGGCGATGGATGCGGCCTCGAGACGGCGGATCTCAGCGGCGATTTTGGCACGTTGTTTCTCGTGCGTAGAGAGGTTCTTGGACGATTTCTTCAAGGAGCCGTCAGAGTCGGAATTGGTTGCGTCTTCATCGTCGGAGAGTTCTTCCTCGGATTCCAAGAGGTCGCGACGGACATCTGAGATGGCTCGTTGAAGGTCGTTCTCAAGATCCTTGTTTGTCTGTGGAGCAGATGTGGTGGGTTTGGCAGAAGGTTGAGTTTTGGGCAGAGCACGCATGCGTTTTGTCTTGGAGGGTTTCTTGGGTGGAGGAGCGAAGAAGTCGGCGTATCGAACGTCATTGGTGTTTTCAACGGCGGGAACGCCATGGGCAAGGCCATCTTCTTGTGAGTCTTGGTCGCTATCAGATGCATCGAGATCAGCGTCGCCAAAGGTCGGTCCTTCTTCATCGTCGTCGTCGTCGTCATCGCTGGCAGGTTGGTCTTTGTCTTGATCCTGATCCTGGTGTTCCTTTGGATAGTGGTATTGCATGGTCAATGGATCGACTGCCCAGTCAATATCATCTTCATCACTAGGGTCGTCATCCTCGCCACGGGCATCCTGTTGTTCGAGGAATTGGGTTTGGCGATTAAAGTCGTCGATAGAGAAGAAACCATCGTTGAGCTTGTTTGGGTCTTGGACGTAGGTTTGTTGAACGGGTTCTTCGGATTCGGCGTTGGAATCGGACTGAATATCAGAATCATCATGCTCGATGTCCTCGATGTCCTCGATGTCCTCGAGATCTTCCATTTCAGCATCCTCGTCGGAAATACCATCAGATTCATCTTGAATGTTTGACATGTCGTCATCCATGTCATCTTCTTCTTCCAGGTCTTCATCTTCGAGCAAGTCTGCATCATCGACGTAATCTGGCTGTTCTTCTTCATCGTGTGTGGCAGCATTGTCCAGATGTTTCTTATTTGTGGCATCAATATCGCGTTGGACCTCAGAGCACGCGGCATCTAATATGCGACGAGCTTGTTCCCAGACCTGTTTGGCGACGAGACCTTTTGTATAGACCTGGCGCAGTTGAAGAATGGCATCTTCCTTCTGAGAGTCACCTCTCTTTCGCTTTTTCCGGTTCTCGTCCCTTCTCAGCTTTTGAGCATTGGCGATATCTTCTGCCAACGGGTCAAGGATATCTTTGACGGCAGACAGGGCATTAAGATGAAGTTCGGGCGGGGGTTGGAGGAAGGAGTGCGAGGCGGAGGAGAGGGTGGAGAGAATGTTGGTGGTGGCTGTATCCATATGGAACAATTGAAAGCGAGGACTTTCCTCACGCCGATGAAGGTCGACAGTGACGACGTATAGTGTTATCACAAGGTCAAAGCCATTAGACTGGGTGCGCAGAGGTGTCGTTGATGGATCGAGGTGAGATGATGATTGGACAATGTGGTTGATATTTTCTGGAGCCTCGATATTTTTTTCTGCAGGTTATGATAGGGCGGTGAGGAAGGCGGTCAGAGTTGGGGGCCGTGAGGGGGTATTTTGGGGGGAGGGTCACGGTTGTGCCTGGGGGACGATTTAGAGTATGGTGCTTGTGGTTAGGCTTAACGGGGGGTGAATTCTCGGGGCTTGGTGGCTCCAGTGTGGCAGCCAAATGGACCCTAAGGAACCCAGCCTTAGGGACTGCAGCCAAGCATGTCATTGTCATACCTTGTTTGCGGGAACGACTCGATAGGCCAAAGTGGAACTAGGCATATCTAAGAATGCAATGTTGCACATGCGCATCATCCTAAGATTACAATGTGCTGCAGAGATGAAAAGACATTGTGTACCAGCACTCGACTCGGTGTCTACGGAGTATTACTAGCATAGTACCTCCTCATGTCATTTTGTGTTCTGTGTGGAAAAGTGGCAGTGCAGCTAGCATCATGTGTGAGGTCACTTGCTAAGGTTCATTAGGGTTTAGCAAAGGATGATAGGGGAATTTTAATTCCTAGGAACCTTGACATGCATTTCCATATCAGTTAAGGTAGTCTGCGAGCAACTTGACCTAGTGAGAGTGTCGCGTGCTCAATTACTGGATTCAAGATAAGGAACGTAAAAGTGGCTGACTTGTGGATGTGTTGGGACATGCAGGTTGCCTGTAAGTTGCACCGAGTACACGAGTGACGGGGGAAGGGCATGTTGTTGGTGGCTTTCACAAGCAAGTACTGTATGAGCAACGAAAGGTGCCTGGAGTGCCTACAGCCCTTAACTATGAGTAACTGTACGTGAGTCCCGAGTCGTCCCTACTTGTTATCATGATTACCAAGGTATGGATAGTAGCCACCAAAGTTCATGGCCGTTGGGTACTATTGATTTACCGAGTTACTGGCTCCTTGGATAAACTTTCAGACTTATAACTACGCAGAGAATCAGTTTATCTTGCGATTAGCAAAAGCAATACGAAACAAAAGAATGTTTGAAGGCTGGTTTTATTAAACATGTCCACTCAAGCACAGACCTAGGGACCCTCTTCCTCGGTCCACAGGACTAGGTAGCTAGTAGTAGTTACATCTCACAGATGGGAAAATGGAGATCTCATCTTCATGTTAGTCGACGGTTTGACAAAACAAATGCTACATCAAAATTTTCCATCAGCGCATGTACTTCGTCCAACACCCAATTATCACGAGGCTCGTACTAGTGGCTGGACAAAGAACCAGTAGAGGCCTGAATGTTTCCTGCATCTTTCCCCTGGTGGCGTCAATTGTTCTGGCCAGAACTGAAAAGTCTCTTCTCTTAGGTAGGTTATCACTTTGGTCCCCGGTTATCAATTGTCCCGGTTATCAATTGCCGGAGGGTGCACGTTTAGTGATGTTATTGCTTTTAGGTAGAGGCGTTGGCGTTATTGAAAACGAACACGACTCGAGGCCCGTGGTTTGTAGAGAGACATTCGAAGAACACAATCGCCATTGCCATTGCCATTGCCATTGCCATCATCACAAGCACAATAATCACTCCTTCTAATTGCTCCTTTCATTTCCACCTTCAAATCCCCCTTCACTGTTATCGCATTCTTTTTCCTCTCTCTCCCTCTCCTTCTCCTTGCCCATCCTCCCTCAACTGTCAACACGGTACTTGTTAGTCTCCCTCGGCACGATTTCACTTCTGCATCTTTGGTGGGCCCCGGGGCTTTTAGCACCAGTATCATCGCTCGCTTGCACAAAAACAAGGATTCTATCTCCATAATCAAGCAGCCACCTTCTTTTGGCCTCCACATGTCCTTGTCTACCAACGATAGACTTTGAACTGCGCACGCTGCGACCATCTCCCTGCACGTTGACTCCGCCAATCCGAACCACGAGCATTTCATCATTCCCCAACGGGTCAGTGCCATTCATACATCATCTCATCATTGTGTCTTCAGCTTCCGAATGGTTTCCCACGGGCCTCGTTGCAACTCTATTCTTTAAACTCTCCTCTCATTCTCGACATTGATCTATCTTGCAGCTTCACTTCAACCTTGCTCCCACCATCAACGTCCTTCTCGCCATCGCCGCTGCCCTCCCTCTCTCTGTACCAACATTGTCCCTGATCAATGCATCCCACCGCTTCCTTCATGCACCCCTCCGCCAGATCGTCAGACTGCGACCAATCTACTATCTGATCGCCCTCTCTCATCTCACCCACCATCACCGCAACCCAGCTACACCTCGATACTCATCCACCATTCCCTCCTGCACACAGCAACCGCCTTTAGGAACACCGCTTGACCCTCTCATATTGTCCGTCCATGACGTCCTTCTCCCAAACTCTCTTCAGCTTCACTATACACCACTTCCCACCAAGCTGACATCTTCCTCCGCCTGTTGAACTCCAATGAAATTCGGCGACACCATCTATCAGCGGTCGGTCCCTAAGTGGGCTGCCTATAATTTTAAATATAATGAGTTGAAACACCTTATCAAATCCAGAACCTCCGCCGGTCATGCCGTGCCCCTTGACATACCTTCCCACGGCAAGAGCCGCTGGGAGGAGCTTGACACTCAATTGCTCAAGCTGCTGCAGGACGAGTACGATAATATCACCCTCTTCCTGAGGAGCAAGCAGGGCGAGATTGACAGGAGGCTGTCCCACCTCGAAAAACAAATCGCCATAGCACATCGCGCCGTCGCCCAGGACGCCTTGGACAGGCCCATCCTTCAGGCCAGGAAATATCAGCGCTTGGTGAAGGACTCGGAAGAGATTGCTGACGAAGTCCAAAACCTCGCCCGCTTTGCTGCTGTCCAGAAAACCGCATTTCGGAAGATATTGAAAAAGTATCGCAAGTGGACCGGTTCAACCTCTCTCCAGACCAGGCTCGATGTCGAGGTCTTCTCTTCGGACAAGTTGCGTACTGACTATTCCGACTACCTGCTCAGGCTATCCGACCTCAACCTCACCTTGCATCAGACCCTCGCTTCTCCCATGTTGACCGGTAAGCCCGGCAATCCCATTCAACAGGCCAACAAGATTTCCACGTCCGCCAACGGGTCCGCCATCAGCCAGATCGATGCGTCTGTCCTTCAAAGTCCGCTGACTTTCGATGCCACTCTTCTGACCGTCCCTTACGGCCAGGTCGCTGGGAGCGCATACTACTGGATCCATCCTGACAACTACGACGAAGCTCGAACCCTCCTTCTCAGGCATATGCGTGACATTGCCCTCACCCGCACCCCGTCACGCACTGGCTCAGAAGCATCTCTTTCATCCCAACCCCGCAAATCCTCCTTGTCCCCCGACCTCTCCCTGCTCCATGCAGTTTTCTTCGACAATTCCCAACGGTACATCAAGGATACAAGTACGACACGCCCAACTCGCATAGCCTTGAGTGCCTATTATAGTCAAGACTCCGAAGCTGCTGTCACTCTTGCTGGCCTCTCGCCGACTTCATCTGGCACTACTGTATTGTCCATCAAGACCAAGGACCTAGCCAAGGCCTTGCAGCGATCATCAAGTCCTAGCGTGGTCTCCAGCGAAGTCTCCGCTGTCCAAAAATACCTTTCCCAACACCGTGATGTTAAGTCCCTCGCCGAGTTCTCCTCCAGGCGAACCCGCTACTCGGGCATGACAAATTCTGCTGATGTCGCCACTTGGGCCACTCTCGACACCAATATTACCACATACGTTGCAGACACCTTATGTATTGGCCAGCCAGGTTACCATCCCCATGCTGGAGAGGCCTTCCCTTACGCCGTTCTCCATATTCGGTGGGAATTCGCCAGGGTACCTTCGGTTGTCAGAGCCTTTGATGAATCGCACCTCGTTGAGCGAGTGAACGACTTCACCCTCGAGGCTATGGCCATCCATACCGTCCATAAAGATCTACCGAGCCCAAGTTGGCTGCCTCTTCTAGACAAGGACATCCGCAAAGTGCCTTTGGTGCCACACAGAAAGAGAGCCGGCTTGTCTGGTCGCGGGAGAAATGGGAGTTTGGACATCGCAATCTCCTCGGGGCCCTCGTCTGCAGATGAGCCTCCGAGTAGTGTCTTTTCTGCAAATCCAGGGCATTCTTCGGCTACCTCAGAAGAGGTCGGTGCCCTCGTCAGTCATTCTGAATCGGCCCAGTCCAAGCCCCAGGCCTCCAAACCCCAACGCACCAAGAAAAGAGCACGCATCCAGACGCCTAACCCTCAGCCTCGGGCTCAACGGTATTGGAATGAGTTCGATGACGGAGATTCTGACGTCAATCAAGACGAAGGCTATGCCATCTATGTCGATCCGAACGAGCCCATTTTCCCTGGTGCTGACGCTGTGCACAAGGCCATTGGCGTCATGTGCGATAGCGTCAGCAAAGGCACAATTCGCGTGCTATCCTGGTTTCCACTGACTGCACGACGACATGCTCATGGCGAACGAGAGCCGTTGTTGTCAGAACAGCGTACTAGTGATGACGGTGATTCGTCCGGTTCAGATACAGATGACCTCCTGGTCCCCCAACAAAGAACAAGAAGGCCTCAACGGACTCTCTCACATGGATCCCGTGGAGCAAATCGGCCTGGTGGTGTCTTCCTCACGCCACGTCAAAAGCAGCTGGAGAACACAATCTTCATCTTTTATACGGGCTTGATTGGAATCTCTGCCGTTTTTCTCGTCATGTCCAGTATCCTCCTTGGGACTGGTCGTAGAAAGGCGTTTGTCGAGGTGGATGCTGGCGTTGTTGCCGGAGTGGTCGCTGCCGAAACCTGCGCCGTCGGCGCAATTATACTCATCCTAATTCGAAAGCAGAGGCTGAGCATCGTGCATTGGGGCCTCGTTGGCGTCTCCGTCTCTGTTGTTGTTGTGGTTGGCATGGCGTTGTTGGCGTTGATGTTTTCTGGCGCCCACCGATCCATCGGCAAAAAAACTGATGTTTGACTGCCTCGGGTCCAGTGGGCACCACATTGTCACTTTTCCCTACACATTGATACCTCCCCATTGCAGATAGAACCGGCGTGTTCATGAAGGCGGCAGCTGCGGCTACGGCCGGGCCCGCATTGCAATGGTTGTGACACGAATTTGATATGGCTCTATAAGCATGCATGCGTGCATGTAGGGCTATGATGAAACGAGGATGTACACCTGTCTCTGTACATGGCATGTCATGATGTCCACCTCAGCTCGAGGTTTATGAGATCCAGGACAAACTCAAACAGGCATGGGGGGATTCACACACCACCTCGAAGAATCAACCCACATGCCAATACGGCCGCATTCATCACTTTAATTTCCCCTATGGAATACCTACGGAACAACACTCCTGGGGGACTCATCTATTACATACCTAGTGTACATAACTATCCCTTATCTGCACTTGGACAGCGTCATCATATTACTGAAGTCCATCCTATTAATAATCACAGTCAATTACCGTAACACTTTTTCAATCCTCTGTTCATTCCTCATTGCATGCGTTCTACGCACTTACGCTCGCATTCGCATTCGCATTCGTCCCCATGGTCGTGTTGAACACATCATTCACTCGCGTGACATTACCGCTTCCACATCCCCCCACCGTCAAGTTTCTCAGCTGTCCACCCTCAAAACGAAACGTGCCATTACTCTGCTGCAAGATATATTGATACTCGACGCCCTCTCCCGCCTCGAGCCAAATATCCACATACCACACGGGATTCGTCGACGAATAATTCCCCGGATTCAGGGGCAAGATAATCTTCTCTGGATCATCAAGCGCCCCACCTAATTGCGACACATTCCCAGCAAGAAACACATTCGTCCCGAACGAGGTGGTGGCATTGACGCTAAAGATGACTTCACTGTAACACAGCGACGTGAGATTCGTGATATTCGGTGCCCCTGCGCCGGTGGCAGGGAGGTATTGACCCGTGGCGTTGTAGGAACTGGATTCACATTGCGAAGAGGTGAGGTTTCCATGGGCGAGATCGGTCCATGCGCCCCATGACGGTGGGTATTGCCGTGCACGACGTTGAGATGCCGTGATGAATGATGCGAATGACCAGGTTAGTTTACTGGCAGAGTAGGATGCCCCGGATGTGGTGTTGATTTGTTCCGAGATGGACCCGTTGGGAAGGATATATTGCTGGAGAGGAGAGGAGGTTAGTATGTATGTATTAGGGGTTTTGGTTTTGGTTGTTGTTGTTGGGGGTGGTGAACAAAGATAAGGGAAGGGAAGATGAAGGACTTATGATGATGATGATGGAAAGATGCAGCGTACCTGGACTGCGCTGATGAACCCATCTGCGTAGGTCGTCATTGCTCCGGTAATGACGCGGAGCTCGTTTCCTGTGTAGTCGGAAACATTGGCATCGGGATAGAGATCCTGGAAGAATGCTAGACTATCTTCGTCGATACTCAGAGTGCCAATTTCGTTGAGTTGAGCTGCGGCGTCGTAGAGTAGTTCTGCCGCGGCAAAGGTACATAATGGCCAAGCACCTCCTTTGAAATACGTATCTTCGGGATATCGACCGATAAGGACTGCCTTGGGAGCTGTTGCGTTCTTGTTGATTGGGTAGAGATTGCGAAAGGCGTCCACGACAACTTTGTGAGTGGCTAAGATTCGAGAGTTGCAGGGTTGGTATACTGAGGATGGAGAGTTAGTTGTTGTAAGTAGTATGACCAGTAGTGTAGACAAGGATTTGGCTTACCTGAATCACAGGTAGCATTGTAATCAAAGTTCGTGATGGCAGCAAGCAGCGGATCAGCGTTGATACCACTGCGGTTGACATTGTTCACGTTGATATCAGCAGTGATATAACCACCAGTTTCATTCCAGAAATTGTTCGATAAGAGACACAGGATTTGATCAGCCTGTTGGCAAAATTCACATTCTTCTCCAATTTCTTCGGCGAGCAATGCTCCTTGTACGAGGGCCCGGTGTTGAGCGGCAACTGTGAAAAAGGAGTTTCCATGAACTTCTTCCCAGAGATCATAACCAGTCTAATGGCAGTAGTCAGTAACTCGGATTAGACGGGTAGAAAGGATCAACTTGTCATGACATGCCTGATTCCAATATTGACTGGTATAAAGGAGATCATTGGTGACCAAAGGCCAGTAAATTCTTCGGAATTCGTCGGTTTCATTCAGAGCAAAGAGAACTGGCGCTAGATTCATAAATGCAATGGCTCTGAGTGCAGGACCATCTCGTTGAGGTCTACCCCAAGTACCATCGAATCTGGTGAGGTTGGTATAAAACTTTGGCTCGCCTAGACCATCGCCAGCAGGGTATAAGGAGCCTGATGGATTGGTGACTGTTTGGAGAAAGGCTTGAGCGCTAGTGTAATCTTCGATGGTGCCTTTGAGACTGGTGTTGCCAAATATGAGCTCATCAATGAGCATGATATAGGTCAGAGCCGAGTCTCGGGTCCATGTGAAGAAGTAATTGGGGTTCACGGTGGAGGGAGAGGCAACGACGACACCAGGGCTGGCTCCTTCAACCAAGCTGGAGTTGAGTCCGCCAATATTGGCCAGCACTCCTTGGAGAGCGATGGTTCTCTCTTGAGCGACAAAGTCGGCAAGCGAAAGATTGGCAAGGACATTTTCTTGTTGTTGTCGAAGATGGAGAGATGGTGACGAGACGGCCACTGAGGCAAGGAGGGCAGTAGTCAAGGCTGTTGGCCACAACATCATGGAGTTGAGGAGGATCAGGGAGTCGATTTTGTGCGAGCATGAAGAAAAAAAGCGATATGTGATACGAGGATCGACCTGAATGATATGAGAGTGCCTACCTATAGGAATTCTTAACCTTACCTTGCCAAAGATCCAAGTTTGAGTCGAGGGGATGACGACGCCCTAGAGCTACACTTTGAAGCACAGCAGTAGCTTCGGTGAAACTCTCGGGCAGGATCTAAGGTTCATGACGATGTCAAATCGAGAACAAGCATCATGGGTCGGGGTTTATTGAATATTCAAGCGAGGCAGACGAATGTGGAGTGAGGGAGGGGAGACGATCAGGCAGCGTAAATGCATGCAACATACGTGATGCGATGATGTAAAAACGGGATGATGTAAAATGTCCAATTGTCACGTGTGCCCCGCCAAGACTCCACCGTTTGCGGGGGAAGGAGCTACCTAGAAGCTTGTGTGGTCACTAAGGAAAGTCTTGAATATACTTCGACATGAGAAGGATATCAGTAGCGAGCAGACCTGTCAAGCACTCTTTATAGATTGCGCATTGCTTTGGAGAAGGCGTTGCGGCCTGTTCGGATCTGGGATGGGAGTGTGACAGATCCATACGAGAGGCTTGCATAACCCACAAACTCAATAGCAGATTGACACATCAATACTGCATTCTTGCCCTCATGGCAGCGTAGTCTCTCTGTGTGATAGGCTCGTATTTCGGTGGGTGATTCTCGTCGGCTATCAAACACTCAATCAATAGGTCTGGGTCAGTTGTCAAGAAATATGGGATTGAATATCTCGCTCTCGTCTTTTTGCTGGCGCCGGTAAATCGGTCCTGCAAAGGAGGTAACTGGACACGATGTGATGTCGATTTGAGGTGATCTACAGACACGACATTGTCAGAAACGCCTTCCTCATGACAGGGCAATCTTCGATATTACTCACCATTACTCCACCTCATCAAAAGATCCCCAACATTCATCACCAAAGTACCAGGAATGGGCGTCGCATCAATGAATGTTCCCGGCTTGTGCACGTTCTCGACTTGCAATCCTCCACAATCGTCCTGAAACAGTAAAGTGATGGTACTCCAGTCGGTATGGGCTGGCATACGTGCAAACTTTCCCTCATCGATTGCCGCTGCAGGGATCGGTGGATAGTGCAACAACCTCAGTTGATTGTAGTCGCCGCTATGGAAGTCGAGAAGATGATTCTCGTCCAGACCAAGTCCAAGAGCAAGAGCCTGGAGAATTTTCTTCCCAGCCTCAAAGCATGTCGAGTAGAATGAAGACATGCAGGGTTGCCACTCAGGGAGTACATCGGTCGGTGGCCACACGTTGGGCTGGTCTGGGTTCTGGTCGGAGCCGACTTCGTAGCTTTCCTATTTTCAAGCGGAGATGGGTAAGTTGATAATGCAGAGAGAGGAGCCAAAGAGCGTCTTGTCACCATTCATTCCCATCGTCACCAATAGATATTGACATACCTTGAAATCCTGCACTTGACGGAGTTTCTCGATGAACTCATCATCGCTACCACCATCTGCTGCAGGGCCACTGACGAGGTTCGACACTTTTTCCAGTCCAGGCCATGAGTATCCGCGATGAACGGCCCAGCCAGGCGGGTGGGGTGCTTTCATCTTCTGGTCCGTTGGAAGGTCGAACCATTTCTTGGAGACGTCAAATGCTCGGCTCAGTTCGGATTCAGACACGCCATGGTTCTTGATGTAGACGAACCCTACATCATGACAGGCAGAGACGAGCTGTTTGCCTGCTTCGAGTCGTGTTGCTGTATCTGACGCTGATGTGAATGCTTCGAGGTCAATGATGGGGAGAGGTGGTTGGTTGGATGAATCCATCTTTCATTTTATGACACCAATTGTCAGTATTGGTGGGTAGGTTGGTATGTAGTCGATAGAGAGACGACTAACATCCACCCCTTCCTCTCTAATGTAGTACGTGCTGGTTTCGAGGTGGTACAAGATCTTTGCGGTAATTGCTGATTAGTACTTCAAGGACATCCAATGTAGTCCGCCAGCGCCATGCTGCCTCACATTGGAAAGTATAATCATCGAACAAGCAGAGTAAAGAATGAGGCCACCCATGCTGACGTCCAGGAGTATCAGGCTCATATGTAGGCAGCAGCACCAACACTTATCTCAAAGTCTTGGCGGGATCAACCGGGCAATGGGCCCATGACTACATTCTTCGTCAAAACTCTCACTTTCAGGTCAAGGTAATGTCATTGTGACTGAAGCTACACAGTAGGCCATCATCCAGCCAATCCGCCAGAATTTCTGCACCTCCTGACTCCTGAGAGCTAAAATACAGCATCATGCCAGCTTGTGTCGATCACCAAGCCGAATTGTTGGTAGGTTATATCATCGGGCTTCCGATGTTCATCTTGTAGGAAGTATTGAGTTGGTCTCTTTGTTTGTCCGCAGGCATGAGCCACACACGGAGATAATTTGATGAATCGTTGATTTATTCATCACCGCCCTTCTTCTTGCCCTTTTTAGCGGCCGGCAGACCCTCTTTCTGTGTGTGCACCTTCAGTCTGGTCCATGACTCTTCGGGATCCCATTCGAATCCCTTCAGGTATGGCTCCTCCATCTCGTCATCCGCCTGGCAAGCCAGTGTTAGTGAGATGTGGTTATAAGTGTAGATGTGACTGATATACCTTCTTCTTGAATTGCTTGTGAATAGCATCCAATGCGTCCTTGATTGTGACTCCTTTCAGGTTCCGTGCAGTGACTTCAAGCCCCAGAGGGAAGTGTAGATCAATTTTCTTGACGGGTGGCGTGGTAAGCATCTTCTTCAGGATGGTAGGGTCTTCCACCGTGCTCGTTGATGTGTTGAGCTTCCTATGGACAGGTTAATGAACTTGGATTGTGATATAGGCCCGTGGGGCTCGCTTACCATCCTGTTTTCTGCGTTTCGGCAGCAACCTCAATCTTGGTGCCCTCCTTCTCTACGTGCGTGTCAGTAAGACACGTCAGACTAGGATGGACTGAGGATCATACCCAGGTCAAGGATGTTGTAAACACCAGGAGCACTGGATGTTGTTCTTCGCTTCGTGGCACCTTCTTTGGGAGGAGATCCGGAGATACCGCCAATAGCGGAGTCTACCTTTGTGAGGTCTGAAGTATCGGCCGACATGATTGATATGAAGTTGTTGGGGATCTGATCACTATAAGATTGGTAAGACGAGAGTTGAATGGTGGATGGTTTGGAATCTCGCAGGGACAAACAATGACCTGTCCTTTGAGAGGTCTGTGTGGCTGAGGGTGTTTGTGCGTGCGGTGGTGGGAAGGTCACGATGAGGCTCACCTTGGACCAATGAGTGTTGTGCAGGGAATGGTTGGCAGTGAGGGTAAAGGCGGGACAGCTATGAGGTGTGGTAGGCAAGGTTGAGGAATGGTTTGGGAGAAAGAGAACGGAGAGAGGAGGAGAGTGGGAGAGTGGCAGAGGTCAAGACCAAGGCAGTCACGGAGTGTATGGATGCAAGGATGGAAGGAGCTCGACTGATGTCGATTGAGGGGTAGGTGAGACGAGACAGGAAGGCACGGAGGCAGGAGGGCACGGAGGGTTGGGGTTCAGGGCACGCGGCAGGAGGTCAACTGACCAACAAGAAGGCGTGGAGGGTGCGAAATGAAGCTCTCAATTCACGCAATGCATCATCACGTTACCAGGACCACGCAGTCCATGCAGTCACGCAGTCTGTAGTGCACGCCCAGTTCTGAAAGGCATTCGTCAGGCTCCACTTGAGGTACATACAGGGCTTCTCCATAGTGAAATGGGTCACTGGGTAGTGTAACAAGGCACCTAGGTACCTGGGGTGACAGGGTGACTGGAGACTCGACTCCTCACGCGACAATCAGGTGCTTCCTTCCCCGCACTCGTAGTCACAGTTTCACGGCTCTCACAGGCCAGCAACTGCACATCTGGGCCCGCCACTGCCGCCACGACCCACAACTGCAACAACAAGTCTGCAGCACCTTCCCCTTCCACACTTCCACCGTTCGGAAACTGGAGAATCTCAAAATCCGGGGAATCTAATCTTATCTCCCATCCACCCTAAAATGGTACATCCGTAAGACCTTGTGCAGGTCTTAGAATCCTTGAACGCGGGCCACCTTTTTACCTTTTCCTTTTGGTTTGACAGGTCTCACTCCAAATGCACCTGGTTCAGGCTGTGTCATGCTGATGCCAGGAACTTCAACCTGGCTTTGACCCTGGCTAGACTCTGGCATAGCTGGCTGACTGCTTTGAAAGTCTCTCAAGGGCAAAGCGGGTACACGAGACTTGATCACTGCTGGCAACATTTGTCGTTGCTGATGAATGCTCTGGGACAGTAGCGCTTGTCTCTCCAAGGCCCTTTGTCGCTTGCTTGCCACCTTGGCCAATCGCCTTTGCTCTCGCATATCCAACGACAGTACGGCCGCTTCGTCTCGCTCAATGCGAAGCTCGTTATTCCGCTTCTCGTAGGAATACAGGTCTGGGTTCTCATCAATCGACTCTGGTAAGTGACCTAGAATTACCGATGCCGATATGGACAGTGGTGTTGCTGTTGCGTGGGATTTCCGTTTGAATGTCGTATATTTGTCCAGCCGTGACAGTGCAAGGTCTCTCGACACTTGGCCATTCTCGATCACAGGTTCTTGAGCCTGTGAACTAGATCCTTGTCCGGCCAAGTAGGCTTTGTCCGCATCAGCGTCATTAGATGCCTGCTGCTTTATAGTCCCCTCCAACACCCGTGGGCTGAGTACTATGCCGCCAAACACCATGTCTGCTGCAATCTGTCTAGTCATCCTCTCACGCACCACCCGATTGCGGTCAGTCGCGTTAGCCGAAAGAGAATGGACATAGAGCAGCAGGCAATGATCGTAGACCAGGAGCAGCTCTGGGCTCTTCGTTGCTCCGCTTCCAGAAAGCGCACTTCGTCTCCGTAACCCACGAACATCACAGTGGCTTTCGAGCCACACAGGAAATTCTTGGCTATCCGCCTCAATGTCCACAATCTGAGGATGCTGTAAAATATCTCCCAGTATCTCCACTCGGAGATTTTGGTCTGTTATTGTCAGGTTGTCGAGGCGATGTAAGAGTCTATCCTGCGCATCTTGTATGGCCAGCCGAGAGTTTTCTCCTGCAAGCAATTCGGGGTGATTCGATAGGCCATCCCATTGTCGAATTCTTGAGCTGTAGGCAGGATCGATTGGGCTATTATCCACTCCCCCCATATCGAGAATTTTGGAAGATCTATCAACTATATCATCCTCCACAATAAAGTCTCCAATCATGTCGTCGTTGACAAATCTGGAGCTGCGATATTGGTGCTCGGAGGTAGGAAGAGTAGGCGTTAGCAAACTCATGTCCAGCGGAGAAGCAGAATGTGCTTTTGCCAACGTCTTGATACTGTATACGGCTTCGACCACCGTTCCATTTGCTGTAAGAGCAACCAATTTGAGGTAATCTCGAGAGTCCAAAGGAGTGGGAGAGCCTATCGGCCAGAGGTGAATATTCTCGATCGGAGAGTCGCCTCGAGTCAGAGAGTCCGGCAGCTCAAATATCGCCGGATTGCTGGATCTCAGACGGTCACCTGGCAATGATTCATGGTAAAATTGATACATGGTGACGAATGAATTCGTGTTCGAATAAAGTAGGACCCCAGAATCTGAAAAAGTCAGCGAGCATATCGAGTTAGCATGCGCGAGGCCTTACATTGGCTTGTCTCCACGATGCTCATGCGGAGACCAAGATCAAGCGAATGCCGAAAGTGGTTCCAAGAGCATATCATGACCAACGCCTCCTCCGTCGCGTTGACATTGTTCTGTCCCAGAGTGGAGTCGAAAATGAGCAAACGACTCGACGTCAACATGTAGACGTGGTGTCTCCTCAGTAGTCCTTGCTTCACCTGGAGGATCTGGTTGCCATCCGAGGGAGGGCCCAATCTCGTGTTGACTTCCCCAAGGGAGACTTCGTTGATACGAAACACACAAGCTGTTGTACGAGAGCAGACAAGAATCCGATCAGCAATTCCATCTGAGCTTAACAGCCAGCTGAGAGCATGCCACCCTTCAGTAGCTTGCTTCCAAGGTCGATCTGTGTCCTGAGCCTGCGCGAGATGCATGTCACCTTTGCTAAGAAGATGGGCGCGGCAGTTCACCCTGATTGGAAATTGCCTGCCCTTCTTCACCCTCCAGATGCTCCAATTGCCTGCAGTATCAACTAGAGCTAGACAGTTGCGATCTGTGGGGCAGAATGCTGCATCCGCATGGGGCATACCCCCGGTCTCAGAACATGGAATTGTCACCAAAAGATTTGGCAAGACCAAAGGGGAGCGGGTGGGTTTGTCTTGCAGATCAACGCGATCTTTCATCAGCGGCCGGAAAATGCTCGTCCCAGTGGAGTCGCGAATCAGCATCTGATCTCTGGATTTGGCCATGTCAAAGGATGTCTGCTCCACGCAAACTCCAGATGTGGCCCACTGGCCAGATGATGATCGACGCGCTGACGGGAATTGCAATTCTGCCTGGTCTCCATCATCTGCTGGTAGTGTGACATTGCCTCTTTCGAAACGGAAAAAGTGAACCTTCTCGAATGTTTTGCCACATCTGATTGCCAGAATTGGTTCATACACAACACCATAGCTGTGGTCTCGACTATGTCTGGCATATCCAAAGTCGAGGACATTTCCAGAAATCGAAGAGAGGTCTCTGGCTTTGGAATCGGGAGGTAGACTTTCAAGAATCTCTCTCTTTGACACAAGTGCCGCCTCGGGGACATTTCGAAGTAACAATCTCCTCTGAGCCGATGTAAAAGACAAATTAGGGCATGGACTGGATCTAGCGACGATCTCATCCAGAGACCACCTTTTCTGGTCGATCAAGAGCGCTGCTTGGGATGAAACTTCTGATCCTCTGCCAGCAGGGTTCGAAGAGATGTCGTTCCGTAAGAATTCCCAGCTATGATTGTTGTCATCATATGTCGCGCTTCCGAAATGACCATACGTTAAGGCGCTGGATTCGTGTACGTTTCTGATGCGCCTAACGCGCTGAGTCTGAGCCATTTCCGACCAGTGCAGTCAATCAATTCTCTGTGATGTCGAAAGGCTGAAGACATTTTCGTCCCAGGGCGACTACAACGTCGGTAGATGGAGGGCAAGTAACCGAATGACAACCTAATGACACGTCAAGGACAATGCTTCCAACGTGTTGAGACGTGATCTATGATATGTCGTTGAATTGAACAGAGAAAGAATTCCATGGCCAAGGAAATATTGATTGTTACTGGTTAATGGTCCACCGTATGAATAGATACGGTGGAGCATAAATATCATAGCGTATCTCACGTGATCATCCACCCATGCGACTCTTGTATTTCATTATCCAAAAGAATGTCCAATCTGTAGGGTTTCTCGATTCCGAATCATCCTGATCACCATCGCATTGGGCCATCTTTGTTCGAAAAGGTTCCCGAAACACCGTCTCTGCCCTCAGCCACAAGCTGCGTCACCCTGATGGCTCCTTTGCGAGGATTGGTGTCTTCAGTCAGTTGAATCCCATTCAGACCTGTTGCGTTCAATCCGGGGCAAACGGCATTGGACTTCAAGTTCGGGTACAACTTGGCATAATAGACGGCGAGGTAATTGACGGCAGACTTGCTACTGCTGTACCAAGGACACTCAAAGGGCGGTCCCTCTCCATCAACCAGTCCAGCAATTGACCCGATGCCCGACGAAACAAATATGATTTTGGGCAGCTCGGCCTTTTCCAGCAGTGGCAGAAGGTGATCGGTCAAAGCCGCCGTGGATATGACATTGACATTGTACACATGTGTGTAGACCTGACGGACGGACACTCCCACACCTCGAAAGCCTTCGCCTTCAATCTCGCCCAGGTCTCTACCAGCCGTTGCGGCATTGTTGATGAGGATGTCCAACTTGCCGTAGCTGGTTTCAATATGGTGGTACAGACGTTCGATGGACGCGTCGTCGGTGATGTCTAGCTGGACGGGACTGACATTCGTAGGTGATCCCAGCAATTTCCACGCCGCCTCACCCTTTTCCAACGAACGTGTGCCCATGAGGATCTGATGGCTCGTCGAATACTCGTTGGCCAATTTCTTGACGATCTCAACGCCAATACCAGCATTGCCCCCACTGATCAGCACCACTACTTTGGAAGCATCTGGAGCTGACATGGTCCACTGAAGCTTCTGAGTACAGAAAATGTCTTTTGTGTCGCGAAATGGGGCGATCTGTCCGTGAAATCTTAGGATGTCCGGTTTCATCAACCATAGATATACTGCTTGTGTCGGGACAGTCTATCTCTTGATTCCATCGACTTGTGGAACGGCCCGAGTGACACGCCGCCCCAGATTTGTGAATAATTGAGGAGGTATCGGCCGGAGATAGTTGTTGGCATGATACGATGCTCGTATCATTCCTAACTATTCCTAGCAGGGTGTTGGCACTCTCCCACAATGCATTGCGATGCCTCGTGAACCAGACAAGTATGAGTCATAGACACCGAACAGGCCTGTTAGGCCATTCTTAAAGCATCTCGACGCTGTGCATCCTAGGAGATGAAGTTTTGTCGGCAGTTTCAAAAGCGCAGTTATGACGGGATTAGGTAGCTTAACTCCACAAGTCAGCAGGGCGCTGGCTTTTCTCCGGAATTGTATCACAATATAGCGACCAGTGATACACCAGTGGTTTACAGTCCAATCAATCACTACCCTGTCGCATGAAATTACCTGGTTTCTGTTGATGTAAAATGTGGTGAAACCTAGTAGGTTCCTCACAGACTCGAGAAAGGATAGGCAGTGATGATTCGTAACATTTGGTCCGTAGGAAAAACTCCGGCAAACTTCGCGCTCTGTTACTGATACAAGTGCCTAGTTATGATAGCAATCTGTCCTTGTACGCAGAGCGCGGCTCATGTGCAAGACGGGGCAGGATCATTCTCACCAGCGTCCCCAGATTCACCAACACCTTCTTTGGCCTCAGCATTCGTTTCTTCACCTTCCACAGGCGCTGTGTCAGTGGGCACAACGAGCAGATCTTCCGAATCTGTCGGCTTGGCCGACTCCTCCACCTGTAAATCCTTGACACGAGACTCTTGAAGGATGATGCCACTGAAGACCGGAGTGAACGAAGGATTGTTTGATCTGTCGAGCGCAAAGACGCGGGGGAACACGACCATGACCCGCTCGCCAGGACCAAATTCATTCGAGTCGATATCTACCAAGTTCAAGCCCTGGGTGATTGATGATATCGATTTCCAGGACCAGCGGCTAGAACCTGGGTTTGTATTGACCTCGAAATGGCTTTGCGACCGTTGCGCGTGTTCCCATATTCCTGCAACAGTTTCCAACTCCAACTCCAAGTTGTTCCTCAGGACTGTGGACATTTCATGGGGAAGGAGTGTTTTGACCAAGTCCATAAGTTCATCCAAGGCATTTGATATCCTCTTCTTGATGACAGTGCGCTTCCAGTCATCCACATCAGATGCTAGCAAGAGCATAGATCGAAGGCCTTGTTTTATCAAAGGATTTTTTGATGCCCGTAATAAGTATCTGAGGTCATCATCATCCTCCAAAAGATATTCAGGGGTGAAAATGTACTCTTCCAACAATTGTGCCAGGATCGCCATAACAACGATGACTCGCCCTTCTGTGGCGGAGGTGGGATTCGCCAGCAATGGAGCTACGACGGCAGTGGAATTGACCTTCTCTTCCAAAAGAGAACACAGGTTCTCCTGCTGCCATGCAGTGGAACACTGTGACAGTTAGGAAATTTCAAAGATACCAAGAGACGTTACTCACCTCGTCCGCGATGTCGCAGTGCATAGCAGAGTTTACTGCAGCAAAGATACTCGCCCAGATCTGCTCGAGACTTTTGCTTCTTTGATAATTATTAGTCATTTACTCACTGGGTCGGCTGGGATGGTGGGTATACTGACATTTGGTCGTGGTCATCCGCTAAAAAGACTGACGATGACAGATGGGTTAAAAGACCCTCGATTTCCGCCCTCGGCGCCTGCTCCAGAAGAGCTGCATTGGCATTCTGAACCGACATCAGTTCTGTCTTGAGCCTGTGGATCTCTCCATCACGTTGCGACACTTCCTGACGGTGCGCAGCAAGGAAGGCGCTAGCAAGCTCCTGAAATCCCTGGTCATGTTTCTCAGAGGTCCCAGTATCAGAACTCGTCGGTGTTTCTTCCGCCTCAGAACTTTTTACCTCATCGGTGGCTTCACCTGCTTCCCCTTGCACAGTGGTTGAGTCGTCATTCACTTGACCTGCTTCTCCTTGTCCAGTAGTTGCGTCATCGACGACTTGGTCTGCCCCTGCTTTCACAGGACTCGAGTCATTGGTAGATTCGACTGTTTCTCCTTGTGCAGGAGCTGAGTCGTTAGTCGATTCACATTCTTCTGCTTTCACGGGAGTTGAGTCGTCAGAGGGTTCGTCTGCTTCTGCTTTCGCAGGAGTTGAGTCGTCAGAGGATTCGCCTTCTTCTCCCTTCGTGGGAGTTGAGTCGACAATGGATTCAACTCTCTCTGATTGCGCAGTAGTTGAGTCGTCAGTAGATTCGTTCTTGGCTTCAGCTGACAAAGGCTGCACTGCGGCTCCATTAGGTACGAGCTCAGCACTCTCAGGTGTGACTTTTGGTGATATATCGGACTCGATCTCCGCTGCCAGTGTTTGATCGATTGACATGATGATCTTTCACTCCGGATCTCGTGATTTGCCCCGTCTAATCACCAGTCACAGGCGGGAAAATATCAACGTGGCGTGCAACAGACGTAGTGTAGTCGACAAAATAACAAGTCAGGCAACTGAAGGAATCTCGAAGATAATATATTATGTATAGCAGAATGACATTAGGAACGATGTCGAGAGTCAGAACACTCCAACTCCGTACACATCATCCGATATGTAACGAAGCATGGATATTCGACGGGTCTCGGAAGCTCAAATCAAGGGCCAGACAAATGTTATATTGCAACATCCAGCTATTACCTGGCCATCATTTGGTACTGGTCCAACAACATGTGAGAGTCAAACCGTAGCTGCAGAAATCATCCGTTGCACCGAATTAAGCGAAGAACTCATGAGCGAACGCCTGTCTGATTAGCGAATGTTAGGTGATGACCTTGAGCAGACACACCATGTGAGCTTCACTATTCATGTTTCGGGCACCAGTGCTGTGGGCATCGTTCATGAATGGCTGCATTGCCAATAATGAGTAGCCGAGCCTGGTGCAGCTCCGTGGCGACCTCTGATTGGGGCCGAAGTCGTGGTGGTTGCCGTCAGGAAGGACAGATTGCCAGTGATGAGCTTCTCAAGAATTGCTAATACCTTTGGTTTGGGATAAATTCACTCGAATTGCCCGACATCAGGAGAAAAGAGAAGAGAAGAAAAAGAACTTCTAACAACAAAGTCTGCTCCTTCCCCTTGTTGGCAAAGGCAAGACGCCAAGATATATTTTGAGGCGAGTAGCGCCTTCCTTGTCAGAGAGAGACAGACGGCACTTGCCAAAAGTACAACCAGCTTCTTTTTTCATCCACGCACATTTGGAATTCTGAATTCTGAATTGTAATTCTCTTCCTCTTTTCTATGATTCTCAATTGTTGGTGGCTAGTACATCCATCAGTCCTTGTCATCTGAAAATGTTGCCACATGCTTGAAATGAGAGCAAAGAGCCTCCGACTTGCTATTCCCGATCCTCCACGTGCCCACTCATCTAGAGCAGTCGATGATACCCAGTAAGATCATTCCCACAGATCCCTTATTTATTGGGATAAGCAGCCTGGACTTGTATCTCAACTAAACACTTTGGTGGGAAGAGAGCCGCAACACAGATGGCAGCCCAAGCTGGCTTGTTCTTGCCTAGGTATTTCCGAGCCACTGCCGCAATTTCTAGTTGTTCTTCCTGGGGAATTGTCCCTACGTGGAAGGATGTGATGTTGAAGATGCCTTCCCAAAGCTCTGTGGGAGACAGATCAGGTGATGCTGCGGCCAGGGACTTTTGGATGTTATACATGGCCACGTCGAATTGCTGTGCATGACCCCCAGCAAATTGCTGACCATCCGTCCCATTGGGTTCAAATGGAGAGTAATCGCCAGACTCTCCAATCTGTCCGGACGTTGCCACTATTCTGGCATCTTTTCCTTGGAACGAGGCCGCTGCACTGATGTTGAATACATTGCCCAAGACTTCGTACCCAGGGTAGTCGTGATTCTCGACGAAAGGCATTGTTCCTACTAACGTGTGTCTGACGGTTTCTGGTCGTCAGAGGTAGCGGAATTGTGACAGCCTACAAAGAATTGCGTTTCTCGGCTTGGTCAAGATCATGAAAAAGCCTGCCCTTCATTTATTAGGACACCACAGATGATGGTCTTTGCCAGCCTTGAATCATGTACCAAAGTATGTACACACAACTCGCACTTCTCCGTCTCAGCACTGACGAGATCTGAACGTCTACGGATATGATCCCAAAATGATAACCTGCATCACGGACAAGCTAGCCAGAGTTGGTGCTTATTTCAGCCGCAGGGGGTGATGCCTGGACATGTCTTTATCGTCGAGATTCTAGGGCCCGCCGTCGCCAAGGCCTCATCTAGCTCCCGTCGCCACGAGCTCGGACTACCAAGGGTCCCTCGAATCCTGACGTGCTTGGCTGCACGGAGATGCCACCCAAGACGCCTGTGTTTCAAGCTATCACACCAACCATATCTTACCATAGCCCAGCCTCGACGAATAGAACTGTTATCGGGCACGCCCAAGTCCCGTTCCCCGCGAGCGAAGCTTCTTTCCACCTAGCGGCGCCTAGATCACCCTGAGCAAAGATAACCACCTGGCATGCAGAGGATACAACTACTGCAGCGGGCTCGCTAGATGCCGACATTTGATCATACTAATTACTGCCACGTTGTCGCAACGTCTTTTGTCAATTTCTAAGAGCCTCTTCATCTCTTCACTCTCTTCAACAATTCTACCTCAGCCGTCGCAACAATGGCCGACACTCAGCCATCAGAAAATGTTACGCCCAAATCGCCGGTTGATGAGGCTGGCCTCTCAGTCGACGAAATCCAGCTGCGCGCCCAGGGCCACATTGGCGAACTCCCCCGTCAGTTCAGCGCCTTCGCGACTTTGTCCTTAGCCTTCAGCTTGACCAATTCATGGGTTGGTTATTCTGCCGTCTTCCCAACCCCATTGTTTGCGGGAGGCGGTCCTACTGTGGTCTTTGGCCTGATTACTGCCATGATTGCCTGTTCTTTCATCACTGCCGGGCTGGCCGAATTGGCGTCAGCCTTCCCTTCAAGCGGTGGGCAATATCAGTATGTCTGGATTGTGAGGTACACCACAGCTCCAACTAACACGTCACTAGCTTCGCATTCATGGTCGCTGCGCCAGAGAATAGAGCTGCCATTGCTTTTACCGTTGGCTGGCTGAGTGTCATTGCCTGGTGTTTGACCGTGGCATCTGCCCAGATCTTTTGCGCCCAGATCATTATGAACTTGGCCTCTTTCTACAATCCGGAATTCGAGGGCACTCAATGGCAGACCTACCTTGTTTATGTGGGGCTTTGCTTCATCGCCGTGGCCGTGGTTATCTACCTCCCACGACAAATTCCAAAGGCTGAAATAGTCTTCTTCTCCGCGTCCATCTTAGGATTTGTCGTCTTCTTTATTACTGTTCTGGCAAGAAGCGACACCAAACAATCTGCTCGAACTGTGTTCGTCGAGTGGAACAACCAAACCGGCTGGGGTGACGGAACCGCGTTTCTCTTGGGCGTTGGTGCTTGCATGTACACCTTCCTCGCAACGGTAGGCGTCTGAATATCTCTTCACACGCTCCATGCTGACTGTAATGATAGGACGGTGCAACACATGTAGCCGAGGAGATGCCCAACCCAGGGAAAGGAGTTCCTCAGGCAATGGGTCTCACCATGATTATTGGCATCATCACGTCTTTCCTCTGGACCATGGCGTTCATGTTTTCATCATCTAATCTCGAGGAGGTATCACTCTCTTACCTTCCCATCCTGACCGTGTATCATCAAGCCTTGCGATCGCAGGACGGCGCCGCGTTTTTCGCCATCTGGCTTTTCTTCATCTACTACGGAGCCACCATAACCTGTTTCGTCACCGCCGGTCGCTTGACATGGGCATTTGCTCGCGACAATGGACTTCCTTACAGCAAAGTCATCGCCAAAACACATCCCACCCTTAAAGTTCCAGCCAACGCAACTATCGCCACCGCTGTCTTTTGTATTCTCTACGGATTGATCTACATTGGATCCACCACAGCATTCAACAGCTTCATCTCTCTTGCTATCCTCGGTCTCAACATCACCTACGTGATTCCTCAGGCCATTGTCGTTATCCGTGGGCGGGACAAGGTCCTTCCCAAGAGGGCCTTCAACCTTGGTCCGATTATGGGCCCCTTTTGCAACATCTTTTCCTCTCTGTGGATTTCTTTGTATACGGTCTTATTCTGCTTCCCCGTGTTCCTGCCTGTTACCGCCCAAGACATGAACTACGTCAGCGTGGTTTTGGTCGGCGTGGTTCTACTTACTCTCGTCATTTGGTGGGGCGGGAAGCGACACACCTTTGTCGGACCCAAGATCGACATCCATGGTCTGGAGATCTTGAGTGCCGCCAACACAGGCACCTTGCGCTCCTCCAGCCTGAGCGCCGAGCCTGTGACAGAGAAAAATGCTACCGGGTCTTCGGCTGCCGTTTAGAAGTGTGAAAATGTTGTCTCCAGGGCTTAATCCAGCAAGCCATCATCAAATTCAGACAGAGCGTGTGGAGTTACAATGGAATTGTGTCCAAGCATGGTGTGATGATCAGGCGGATCTTGTACAGGCAGAGAGACGAGAAATGTCTATATCTCTAGCCAGGGTGATTTTAATTTAGTCGACGCCCAGATCACCAGCTTGTATTTCGGTATTGAGTCAGCAGCGGGTATGTATGTAGCAAGAGTCGACATGGAATGAATAATAGAATTGATCAAACAGATTGACGGATAATATAATTATCGACGAGCATGATTACAGTATTTGTACAGACGAGATGAAGCACGTGATATGCAGAAGATAAGACTGAGATCGAACATGTCATAAATTCATAATATCGAGAAATCTACCTACACAACTATGAAATAAATAAGACCCCCAACTCCAAAATGCATCCATACCCATGCATCACCACCACTACCCCATCTCCATGTTCTCTTTAGAATAAATCCTTATTCAAGGCATCGGTCTGAGGCCGGAACAAATCATATGGATGTTTGAAATCATGCCACCCGCAAAAAGGGGCGGAAGCCTTCCAACCCAGCAAATCCTGGACTTCATAGGGATATTTCGCGACCTGTTCTTGCGTCACGGTGAGGAATTGATTCTCTTCGGCACGATAGACACCCTTGCAGAAAAGAGAGACGATGACGCCGCGCAACTGGTCGGTTGTGGAGTTGGCGCCGGCGCCGTGGTAGCAGTTTCCCATGACGAAGAGGGCGTCGCCGGGTTCCATCTCGCCGTAGGTGCATTCGTCAATGCGTGGTTTGCGGTCGTCGTCCCATACGTGGCTTCCTGGTACGATCTCGGTGGCGCCATTTTCCCGTGTCACTTTGGTGGTTGCGACGAAACATCCGAGTTTGGTGGTCTCGCGTGGGTCGCCGTGCGTGTGGCTAGGGTGGTGGTCCTGGTCGTCGCGATGGAGGCCTTGTCGTGCGCTGCCGGGTCCGACTCGAACGGTGAAGAAGCTTGATAGGAGGGGAGGGCTCACGCATTCGTTGCGTGCGTCTCCCCACCATGACGACGTCGTCACTGTCAGTGCATCTCGAACAGCGGCGAGGACCGTTGGATTGGCCAATATTGCGTGCACTGCTGCGGGTGACTTGCCTGCTAGTCCGCACACCGTCTTAGTCTCTTTGGCAAACACTTCCAGTCCGGAGTTGTAGTCGGCGTCCATGTATGGTTTGATCTCAGCATTGATCTGATTTATGCTTTCAAGAGGAATCAGATTTCTGATTCGTACTGCCCCGTCCCGATACAAGGCTTCGAGTACTTCATCCATAGGGTGGCCATTGTCAAATGTGGCCACAGGTGGTACTGAAGGAATTCCCATGGTCTGATCCCGGTCTGAATTCAAGGTCCAATGCTTCCTGCCACGGCTCAACGTGATGATAGGGAGGTAGATAACTCCTGGCCTTAGGGGTTCTTCGGTACTGTGGTCAGTGTAGGCCGTAATCTCTCGGCAATCAATCACCTTTCCAAGGCAATATCCCAATTAGAGTGACAGAGTAGATTGTTGTCCACGCCAGTTGCTGATGAAACTTTGTACTCTATCTCGACAAATGTACTAAAACCCATGACAGCTTATCTTTCGTCCCAAATTGGTCACCACGTTAGTTGTGGTGCGCAATAACTCTTGCTTGGTTGTTGATATAAGTTTGCGGAGATATTGCCCGTATCCGGAATGGTTTGATTCGGCGGGGGTACCGTCTGAATGTCTCTCCAGATCATGGCCATATTTGCGCTTGCTTTGTACTACCAAATCAGCATTATCGGACAAGAGCGCTGGATGCTAATAGTGCGGCGAACAAGGTGTTGGAGCCTCTAGCCTCGAGCATGATAAATGGAAAAAGGCGCTGGTCAACGTATCGACGACCGAGACGAGAACGAGTCCACAGGTCGGCAAACAAAGGAGACCATTTAAGTCTAGTGCGGCAAACATGTCTCCTAGTCGTCCAATTCCAGAGGAGTATGACTACATCATTTGTGGGGGCGGAACGTCAGGCTGTGTTATCGCTGCTCGACTTGCTTCGCAAACAAAGGCATCAGTGTTGCTCCTTGAGGCCGGCAGAGATGCTGGAACGGCTCCCGACGTTCTTGTGCCGGGGAAGTACGTGCATCAATTATCTGCCGACCTTGAAGGGTTATGGCAACTTCCCACAGTACCTCAAAAAGAACTCTTGGACAGGGAGATTGTCTTCCTGAGAGGGAGACAACTAGGGGGAAGTTCGGCCGTCAATTATATGGCACTGGCCAGAGGGCCGGCAGCTGATTACGATGAATGGGCTCGATTGACTGGCGATGACCAATGGTCCTGGAAGAACATCCTCCCAACGATGAAGCAATTGGAGGCCTTTAGACCAGAACGGCCCAAGGGATTTGAGGAATATGCATCGCCCGAGATGTCGAACCATGGTTCCAGCGGTCCCCTCAAAGTTGGCTTTGGAGATGAGATGAGTCCTGGTGTCGAAACATTCTTCAAAGCATGTCGAGAAATTGGAATTCCTGTATGTCCAGACAACAACTCTGGGAATCCGGTTGGAGTTGGCCTTGCACAATTCAACAACGGCGGAGGCATCCGCTGGTACGCCGCTAATGGATACCTAAGCACCAATGCGCGAAATGAGATGCCCAGATTGACCATACTGACCAATACCTCTACCGACAAGATTGTTTTTGAAGGGGCCAAAGCAGTGGGAGTGATAGCATTCGACCATCATTCCAATTCAAGTTCTGAATACCGGTGTCGCAAAGAGATCATCGTCTGCCAAGGCACTTTTGGATCTCCTCAACTGCTGATGCTGTCGGGGGTTGGACCGAAAGAGCATCTCTCTTCCATGGGTATATCTTGCGTCCTCGACAACAAGAATGTTGGGCAGAACATGCTCGACCACAGTATTCTGACGATTGAGTATCGAGTCGACGATCGGATACTGGCCCATAACCAGATATTCGAGAATCTTGAGCTGCTATCTCAGGCAGATGCTCAGTATGCAAAGGACAAGACGGGCCCTCATAACGTCTTCGGTACCAGCGGCTCTGTGGCATTTCCCAAGATCTCGAGATTGTTCGAGAGTCCTGAATTTGACCACCTTGACGAAGCGACTCAGAGATTCATGCTTGAGCCCAGTCGGCCGTCGGCTGAAATATGGCTTGGCTCGGGACCAGCGGCGTTCTTGAATGGAAAACCTGACGAGAGTTACATCACTCATGAACTTCTCCTCCAGAACAATCTCTCTAAAGGACATGTCTCACTGGAGTCGGCAGACCCCAGGGTCCTTCCACGGGTTGATCCTCACTTTTTGGAACATCCGTTTGATAAGAGGATCGCTATTGAAACTGTCCGCGAGGCGGTTGCGATTGGAAAAGCGTCTGCCTACAGCTCAACCATTCGCCATATGGTCCACGGACCAATGGGCGACAGCGACGAAAACATCCTAGATTTCATTCGAGCCAATCTTGGCCAAGGATATCATTCTTTAGGAACATGTAAAATGGGTCCAGCGAGTGATGAGAATATTGTGGTAGACCAGCAATTTCGTGTTGTGGGTCTGAAGGGATTGAGGGTAGCTGACTTGTCGGTGTGCCCAATCCTCACGTGCAACCACACGCAGATCAATGCGTACTTGATTGGTGAGAAATGTGCAGAGGCATTGATCTGCAAAGTGGATGGCATAGATGGGGCTCATTTATAGGTTGTAGCATCAGATGGAAAATTGTCCAGCCATTATACTGGCACCATGCTTCCACTCCCTCCATTTTCTGTGAGAAGGGTGAGGTAATCCGGGCGCTCATCCGTGCTCCAGACCCTTTCAAGTATTTCCATGATGGTCTCCACGTTGCGGAAGCCACCACTCCTTTGCATTTCCTCTGCTCGGATTCTGAGCCACTCCTGGCGTTTGGCATCTCGAAATTCCAAGCCCGCGTGAAATAAAGGCCAAAGCAGGTGATCAGCCCATCCGGTTGATGCTTGGATATTCTTTGCGTGGTAGAAGACGTTATGAGCTAGGTAGCTGATATCATCTTCATCAACGGGCACCTTGAAGAGTCTGAGCATGTAGAGTGCGATGGCAAACCGGTATGCTTCTGTGAGATGCAACCAAGCCGCACCTCGCTCGGTGTGCAGGGGAAGGTACAGCAGTTCGTCCTTGAGGTCATTCACAGCATCGAGAACCTCTTGTGAGAGTACTGAATGGTCATCTTGGCTTTTGTGTAGCTCAACAACCCTAGAGAAGATTTCGAATTGGTCGGGTGGGCAGGGGAAGACGTCGTAACTCCATTCTGTGTTGGATCCCCTGAGAAGGCTGATTTCATTTGAACTGAACAGTGGTTTTCTGCGGTTTGAAGCAGCCAACATGACATCTAACCATCCAATGTATTGTTCGACAAATGCATCCTGTGTCCTGCTTTCTCCTCGTAAGTCGATCAGCTTTCTTGCAGCGGCAAAATGGGCATCAAAGTTGGAAAATCCACCCAGGCACATATCAGTGAGGGTAAGCATGAGTACAGCGGCGATATTGCTCTCATCTTTTGCGGTCTCTTCTGACCACAATTGCTCCTGGAGGCGGCGCATGGCTTTGCCGCGGAAACGGAGGCAGTCGATATGAAAACCCTGATCCTGAAGACGAACGCTATAGTGACAAGCAGCCAACGCTGCACACGCATAGAGAAGTGCAGGACGTTGAATTCCCAGCGGAAGAATGTACTGAGAGTAGGGATTTCTGGTGGTACTAGTATCCACGCACAATCGGGGGGCGACCTCGCCAAGATGATAACCGAGGATGTACTTGAGTTCCTTGGGCACATTGTAAGGGTCTAGGAGGAAGGTCATGAACCCCAAAGAAGCATGGTGTCTAGCAACAACATTGCTGGTCTCGGCCTCTGGGCTGCTGTCGCTATCCTCGGCCATCATATTGAGCTCCATGGTGCGAGGAGTCAGGTTCGAGAATCTGCTTTGATCGAATTGTGATGGACTCCAATTTGGAGTCTGAGAGGGTGAATTCCATACTGGACGGGATAGGCCAGTTTGACTGGTGTTGGAGACTTGGATGACATTGTCTGGGTGGTCAGCAACGTCGCGTCGTGAGGCTGATGGTTGCCCACGGAAGGCAAGCGGTGCAGTCTTTGGCTTGGTGGGCTTGCTTTTGGGCATGGACGTCTTTCCAGCCAGTTTACCACGGCTTGCCAGACCGGTCCATTTCAGCGTGTATCCTTCACATTCGATACCTTTGTCGAGACAAGACTTGCACTTTGGCAGTTCGCGGGTACACTTCCGGCCCCGCCGCCTACAGGTCTTGCAGGCCGCGCCGTGGAATTTCCCGCTCATCGTGGATCATAAGTCGGCTTTTACTGAGGTGACTGTGATGAACAGAAGGCACTCATCTGATGATGAAGGCATAATGCTCACCGCTGGTTGATCGAAGCCTTGAGAAAGTGAGGTGAGGCTGAGGGAGATAACGACTTGACGGAAGGTGGGGGGCGGTGAAACCTTAACCGCCGGCCCAAAGAGCTTGGCATGTTTGTCACGGGTCCGGACGGGATCCGAGACAGGCGAAGCTCCAAAAATGATCGTCGATGAGCACGTGATGAGTAAGGGTTGGGGGACACAATGACTAAGCGGAACAATGTTTCACCCTTGCCCGGCTGGCAAAGGCACCAGGGGACATGAATAGATCGAGTACAGCAAGAGTATAGGGTATGTGAGATGAACCACTCTTCCACAGCATTGACATTCCTCAGGATGTTCCCTGCAAAACTTTGAGCACTTCCACAGCCAAGTCGTGAGCACTGCCAGGATTCTGTCCAAATAACAGTTTCTTTGACGGTGAAACCACAACATGTGGTGCCCAAGCCTCTGCCGCCTTTTCATACTTTCCTCCACTCTTCTCATTGAGTGCTTTCTCCAAGTCAAATGGCATGCCAGGTGGCGCAACCTTGATGGCATAGGCCTGCTCTTCCTCCTCGTCACTAAACCCTGTGACTGCCTCTCCTGCAAGAACCGGTGTTCCATCGGCCTTTTTGACGTTGACGAAAGCGGCAGAACCATGACACAGTCCGACGAGGATTTTATCGGCCTTGTGAAACTCCTCAAGCAACTGGATTGAAGTCTTGTCCGTTGCCAAATCCCACATTGCTAAGAACATGTATGAGCACATTCACTTATGTCACGATTGAGGTGTCTGGGGGCAATACTTACGACCAAACCCTCCCACCACGAAGATTATATCGAATTCTTCAGCTCGGCCGACGTAAGAGGTAAGTAAATCAGTCTTTGTCCAGAGGTCTTTCTTGGTCCTGAAGAACTCTTGGGCATCTTCGTCGTCTTTGAATCTTTCGACAGAGATTGGATCGCATACTGACTCGCCGGTTGGAGACGCGATGAAGGTTTCAGTATGGGGTGAAAGAACTTGGTACGGATGAGCAAACTCGGGCTATTGCAATGTCAGTCAAAGTGGTCTGTGAAGCCTTCCAGCCGGACATACCAGATACCACCCATTAAAATGGGACGATAGAATATACAAAATTTTAGGTTTGCCGGCCATTTCGAGTTTGATATGAGTTGCACTGACTTGTTGGTAGTTGACTGAGGTGAGAAATGTCGTTCGGCAGTGTACTTGTCAAGCTCTAGCTGTCATATATAGGCCGATTACAATTGCGATTTCCTATCGATCAGGCAACCTCGTGGATTGTATGATTACGAAAAGGCCTACTCAGACTAAAACAACAAATTCACTGTCAAGCTAAGTCGCTAAGGCTATGCGGCGAATACGATGTAACCACGAAAGTCGAGTCCATTTTAGAATTACCATTTCTCGACGTGGTCAAGTAGTCAATGGGATATCCACCTATCTTCTGTTTCGGGTACATCATGGTCGTCATCTCACTGGCTCGGAAACAAAATGCCCGTGGATCCACATTACTCAAAGAAGCTCTGCATACGAAAACCCACAATCTCAACTTCTGATAGGCCGTTCTGAACATGGTCCGCCTGTGAGAGGTATTGAGGATGCATTCTGACTAACCCACGTTATAAAAAAAATCCAGCAGACGTCACCCTGCTTGCCAATATCATTCGTGATACTTCCTCAAACTTCCATGGACACGAGAAGTGATACTATGCATCTGAGAAAAGACGGGACACTACAGTATGACAACATCAGACCTGCAACCTGCAATAATCTTGGTAATCACCCCGCCGAAGTTCACACCCCAGTGGCAGGCGTTTTCCATCATGTTACGTCGAAGCGAAGTGTATGTTGTTCTTGCACTTGACATGGCCTGCCAAGCGAGACCACAGCTTGTACCGAACTCAGGTCCATGACGATGTTGAAGACAGTAGCATCCTCACTGATGCCTTCCTGAGCTCTACAAATCGACACTGGGAATCCATCATGGTCGTCAAACAATGTTGCAAACGCCCCCCGAAGGAAGTCCTGTTCGGGAAAGTCTGCCTGCGCCGTCAAGAGTGATATCCTGTCCATGCGTGCAAATGAGTCTGCTTCTGCGAGCTCGTCAATACCCTCATGTATTCCCAGCATGTGGTTGGTGTGAAGAATGTATCCATTGGAATTGCCATCCAACTGCACACAGGTCCGAGACGTGAATTCGAGTCCAAAGTGATCTCTAGCATCTGCGACCAGGATGTGCGCTGACCCTGCCAAGCCTATGCTCTCAATTGCTGACCGCGCCTCACGCGCCGAACTGGCTTCCAAAGCCATTCGGAGAGCCAGATGGGCCGGAAGCTTGGTGTCGTTCAGACCTCTTGATCGAATAGCATTTAGGCACACCCCAACTCCATACTCATTGAGACCGATCTTTCCAATAATTCCTCCCTCGGTCACCATTTTGATAGTTGGTTTTCCTGAGCAGGCAACGGTCAAAAGCACAAGATTCTCCTTTTGTTCTTCCATCCAGTCCCAATTCTGGCCTAACCAAGAGTGCTCTCCAGTTTGCAATGACACTGTCGTACAGCCGTCACTCCTGCATGGCGCAGGGGCATTGCTGTCGGTGAGAAGCCCAAAGGCTATCTCGGTGCGGACGTTGAGAGCAAGGATATCGAGAACATCTCTACCAGACCCAGCGGCGATGCCTTTCAACTCCTGGTAATACCGTGGCCATCTTTGTTGTATGTTGACGCCAAAAGCCTTGGCAATCGGTAGGATGCTTTCCCAACTTCGACCAGTGTACTTCTTGAACAACCACGAGTAGAACGCGATGCTCCCAGCAATCTGCTTACTAGCTGCTCCTCCGTGCTGGACTCCAACTTCATAAGGTGACCCTTGGCAATTGATCACCAACATGTTTGTTTTGAGGACATTCGACGTGGCCGGCGGTTCACTTATCCTCGTTGGTTGATGAGTCAGCCTAAGCTGCCACGCAGGAGTTGTTGAAACGGATCTGGAGATGTCGCCTTTGACAATCCAAACTTTCGCCCACAATTGTCGGCAATCTGGAAACAGTGGATAATTACGATAAACCAGTCAATATGGAAACTCGTTCAGTGACCAGAATAGGCAGCTCGATAAGCTCATCAGGGTCCAAGCGGCCCCACAGAAACGTGCTTTCGGTGACACACCACCAGGATGGAGAATCCTATCTCGGTTGGCCAAAGTTTAACACGTTTAGTCGTTTACCAACGACGACCATCCCTTTGCAAATTTAAGCTGAAGATTGGACTATTCGTACACTGACTCAGGTGCGCTTGGCACATTCATCCTCGAGCATGGGCAAGAAAGTTCTGGTGGGATATGGGATCGATGTCGATGCTGTCGCTGGGTGGTAAGCAAATGGCGGATGAAACGAGGCAGCAAGGAAATAGCTCTGACGTCAATATAGGGTGGACACGAAAGATGGTTCAACTCCAGACCCTGTAGAGGTTTCTCGAGGCCTGTTCGGTGCTACAGTTGGGATTGATCGGCTTCTTCAGCTTCTCGACAAGTACAAGATCAAGGCATCATGGTATGTTCCGGCTCACACGGTGGAGTCATTTCCCTCGCAAATAGCGAAGATCAAGAACGGCGGCCATGAAATGTGAGTTTCTGGGAGCACAAGTTGAACGAGGATATGCTCATCAATACAAGAGGTCTCCACGGCTACAGTCATGAGTACGTTTCCGGACTATCAGAACAACAAGAGCGAGATGTTCTGGAGAAGTCGATCAAAATCCTGACCGAGTTCACGCGCGAAGCACCACGGGGTTGGACAGCTCCAGCCTGGACGACTTCAACACGGACCATCCATCTTCTAGAAGAGATGGGAATTGAGTATGATCACTCATTCATGCACCATGATTGTCAGCTATATCGCACTCCTTATAGTGACTACGGGACTCGACCGACGACATACAAGGCTCCTAACGGGCACCAAAACGCAGCAAGTCAATGGATGGAGGGGATGCCTTCGCCGAAACTCTCGTCAATCGTGACTGTTCCCGCGAACTGGCATCTCGATGATTGGCCACCATTTTCACCAGGAGATGGAGGCAGCGATGGCTTTGTCGATCCTCACATGATTGAGCGAATGTGGAAAGAGCACTTTGATTTCTTCTACGAAGAATATGATGAATTTGTGTTTCCTCTCAGCATACATCCACAGGTCAGCGGGAAGCCTCATGTTCTCAAGATGCATCAGAGGATCATCGAGTATATCAACGGCTTTGAAGGGGTGGAATGGTGTACATTTGGGGATATGGTGAGCCGATACAAAGAGGGTAGTATCGGTGGATTTGACATTCGTCAGAGTATGGGGCTTGGAGCGTGAACATCTCGACAAAGTTTCCATTGATCGTTTGCAAGGTAGTCTGCCACATTGGTGGTGTATTTTGTAAATATCAACATGGCAGACAAAAAGACAATTTTCTCCGCTCATTGTTTATCGCCCGACCTTTGTAGTGTCTACTTGGTCAACAAAGGTGAGAGAGTCTCTTGTCTGGATGATAACAAGCAGGAGACAAAGCCAGTCAATGAAATATAAGTCCCTTGGAGTCGCCAATAATGATGCCGTGCCATACTCAGTGCCTTCTACTGAAATCTGGGTACATTTTATCAAATCGACAAACTGAATTCTTGCCTTCTCCTTTCATCACCATGACTGCTCTTTCCATTGCATCCCAAGGAACTAAGGGCCAACCCTCGAAGGCTGGATCAGGCCGTCCTATTTCATCGGCGCGAACTTCAAACATGTCAATGCTATCATCCAACTCGTCTCGTTTCAAGAGTCGGATTCCTCGCCCTACCTCTCAGGTGATTGACCAAAATCACACTTCAAGCACTGGTGCTCCCAGTCGTCCCCGTAGTGAGAATGCGACGAACAAATCATCACTGCGCAATCCCAGCCCAGTGACATCTAATCAGGTGAAATCAGCAGCACACGATCGACGAATTTCTCCAGATTGTCCTAAATCCACTTCTCAGGTCAGTCGTTTCCCCCCACCATCTTCCAAAGCAGAAGCTTCAAATCGAAGTCACGCTCCTTCGCAGACCAATGGAACTATCAGATCATATTCCACCAAACACTTAAAGATTCCTACTCCGATGGGCACAAGTAGCATTGCTACTACTTCACTCCCTCCTCCCAAGGTCAAGGAAGTTCCCATTCCCGGAAGTAGTCAACATCTGAACAATGGAGGTAAGTCACCCCATTCAGTGGGCACCCACCAACTCAAGTCAGAGACTGAGAAATCACAACAGAACGCTACCGTGGAGGAAGCCGGAGAAGTGACAGATTCCCAGCAGGAGCAGGAAGTTCCGCCATCAGGTGCGGCAAAATCGAAGGACAGTGCAGTTAAGGACAAGGCAGGTGGTTCGAAGAGATCCAAGAAGAAGTCGCGCGTGTCGAAGCGAACTATCAAGATGTTGAGATGGTTTGCTTATACTTGATCACAGGATTTGATGAAAGGCTTGGGAACAATATGGGTGTAACAACAAGGATAGCCGACAAGTCTCAACAGCAGGGACCTCCTCTATGGTCACACTATGCTAATCGGTACATGTCAATTAGGGGACGGTCAATAGTCGAGACCTATACATATGTCAGCAGAAACTGACTCTAATATATATCTGTCATACTCTGCATAGAATCTTAAAACAACTGACTCACAAGATTCAGGAACATTCATCCCCACTGTTGCCTTCATCAGTCAGAGGCTGTAAATGTGGTACAATCAAGCGATTTGACCATTCTCCATGTATCATGTATCATGTATCATATATTCATCATGACTTGAACCTTTCCTAAACTCAGTCACATTACTTGTACCTACGCAGTATCAATCACCCAGCCAGTCAGCCAGTCAAATATTCCCCTTGACAAACGACTTGAATACAACCAAACGCCATGTCCACCTCACCGTCAAACACCATCAATCTCTCAGTTTGTCATATATTTCTACATAAATCGCATGCACTACTCCATCTCACCTCCTCAAGATCAGCCCACAACATTCCCCATCCATCCTGAATGAACATATACACCCAAGCCCCACATTTTTTCCTTGTCTATTTATAAAAGAATCATATATTCCTTCTGTCTCAATAGTGAGCTTCAAGATGAGGAAATTCTTCAGAGAGGTTATAGACACCGCCGTTGAGACTCTATCACCGGAGCGTCCGTCTTCATCTTCATCGTCTAGACATCGCCGACATCGAAGGGACAGCGATCATCACCACCATCTTCGAAGGGACAGCAGCTGTCGCCAGAAACGAAATCTCAGGGAGAGCGACGAGCGACATCCTAATGCATTGCGTTACCATGGGCAGCGTTCACGCCCACGATACGATGATGACGATGAATATGATGATGAGTACGAACGAGAACGGGACAGAACGCGCAGTAGTGGTAGCAGTAGATACGACTACGACGATAGGAGTACTCGAGATCGAGATCGAGAACGGCGATATTCACCACAGCGGGAACGGGAACGGGAGCGAGAGCGTGAATGGGATCGATATGAAGATAGAGATATGGCACGAGACCGAGACAGGGCCTCGTACCGACACAGGTATCCCTCACCGTCTCCCTCACCGTCACCGTTACCTTCACCATCTCCTTCCCCTCGTCCCGTTCAAAACCCACGCACTGACCCGCGCTCCCCTCTATCACGAACCTTCAACGACGACCCACGATTCCGTGAGGGTGATGAAGTCGTAGAAGAAACCAATCGAGAATCATCTCGGTCTCAAGGTTGGGTGCGTGATGCTGGGGTACGGTATGTGAGAGATCGACATGGAAATCCTGTGCGAAGAACGAGTTATGTAGATGAGTATATTAGACGGGAGGACGGGGTTGAGTATGATGAGTATGATGATGGGAGGAATTATAGTGGTGGGAGATATAGGGACGGGTTTAAGGGCACAACTCCTGGTCCTGGTCCTGCTGGAGGTTATACAGGGCGGCCCGGAGGCGCGAGCGCGGGACGGGATGGAAGGGATTCGGATTCTCGTGAGGATTTGTCGAATATTGCAATCCCGAAGGAGCCAGGTAGGGTATTGGGGGAAGTGGAGGACAGTGAATCAGGTTCTTGATATATCACGCAACTGAGTACAAGTCGTGGGTGAAGGATAGTTGGTTATTTATATGTTAGGATAAGCGCATGAATTGAAGCTAGGGAGGACCTGGCTCTGATGAATGCTGCTACCTAGTATCTTTGAATATCCATATGCTCGCTTGCTCTGCGTTTTGAATAAACTAAACCTCACCACAAATATATCATGCACAAGAATGAACAAGGAAACATAGAGTAAAAGGAAAAATCATGGCTTGATCATTATTGATAGCTCTAGCATTCGTTTATGAAACATGATTCATGTCATTATCAGTCCACCAACTGATCATCAATTCCATTCGTGTGAACGGCTCAGGGCGGAGATGTCTCCAAGACCAATGGGTATTCAGGACGGAAATATTATCAGATCATGCAAGATTGTATATCGTGTTGTTTCATCATGGTCATTTCCAGCATAATGGAAGATTTCGTCGATTCAAGATCATCGTAGTTGGGGATTTCCCAAAAGCAATCAACGCCGTAGTCGATGGGAAATAGGGAAAGTTGATGCAGAGCGTCATCGGGTGTCGGGTCTGAATGGAGGGTTGTTGAATGGTTCGCCATATGCTTGGGGTGGAGCTTGGGCTGGTGGTGGCGGCGTCGGTACAAAGCCTGGAGGTCGTGAAAGAGCGCCGTAAGGGTTGCCGTCAGAGTAGATGAATGAACCACTCGTCCCATACGGATACGGAGGTTGACCGTATACTGGTGCCGAGTGCGGATAAGGATCGGGAGGCAAGTGAGTCAGGTCGGGCATGCTGCCAGTAAAGCCATTGTCGGCATAACTGTTGGCACTCAGATATGCCTTTCGGCGTCGGGCTTCTCGTTTCGCAGCATGTCTTTTTCGCTTCTCTTTCTCTTGATCAATCTGAAGTGACTTGTTGCGGGTCTCCTTCCACTCGCTGTAAGCTCCTTTGATACCGAGGCCAGCAATCCCGATACTGGCGACATCCTGCAATCTATTTTTGTTCTTTTCGGTTTTTGCCTGGGCGGGACTAATGTCACCTTGCTCCAAGGCCTTGTATCTCTCCTCTCGTTTCTTCATGCTCCCATAAACACTGTTGGCGGCATGGATCGTCGCTACTGTCGCTAAACCACCGGTGAGGAGTAGCTTCTTGCGACTCTTCTTTATGTTCTTTTCATCGTCGGTACTGGAGCCCAGGTCAGAATCTGAGTCTGTTTCTGGATCACCGGTATGGCGGGGTCCATAATCGAGCTTGTAGCCAGAGTGAGCCGCTCCCGGCACACTCGAGGCGCGTGGACCCCCATGTGGTTGACGGTTATAACGGGGTTGAATAGTACCTACATTTGCTGATTCATTGTAACCATATCCTCCATTGCGGCTAGATCGTCCGTCGTCATAATAATAATCATCGTTGCTTGGTCTCTGTCGATGTGAATCACGATCATAATCATGGTCGCGATTGCGGTCACGATCGGGATCGAGCTTGTCTGCCTGGTCTTTCAAACCCAGTGCAGCCAGACCTTTTGCGGCGTACGCGGAAACACTCTGACTTCGACTTCGTTTTGGAGGTTTGCGGCTCTGGCGGCTGTCGCGGCTGTCGCGGCTGTCGCGGCTGTCGTAGGAAGAACTTCGAGAGCGAGCACGGCCCCGAGAACGGGAACGGATCGAGTCATAGGCTTTTTTGGCAGTAGCAGCAACGACACCTCCCACAGCGACATCTTTCAGCCCACGAGATTGGCTTCGGCCGCGATCATCCGGACTTTCGTCACGGTCACGACCACGAGATTTGGATCGGGGGCCGTTGATGACGCGATTAGCAGCCAGACCAGCCAAGGCAGATCCGACAACGTCGCGCTTCTTGTGATCATCTGAATCACGAGCTGCCGTGGTCAAACCATTGACACCGCCAGCAGCCAGGGCAGCTGTGAGGACACGTTTGCCTTTCTCGCCGCCCCAGCCGCCTTTTTCCCCGCGAGCGCGAAAAGCCTCACCGGCACCGGCCAGAACAGCAGCCTTCAATGCCTGGGAAATTTGTCCCTTGTTGGGACCTCGACTTTTGCTCCTGTTGTTTTTAGAGCGGTCAGAGGAAGACTTTCGACTGCGACCACTTCGACTCCGACGACTGCGGTCGCTGGATCTCGATCTCGATCTCGATCTATCTTTGTCTTTGTCTTTGCTTCTGCCCAAGACGGCGCCAGCAAGGCCTCCAAGGCCAACAGCGCCTAGCAGTTCTTCAGTGGTGGATTTTCTGCGTTCCTTTTCCTTTTTGGGAGGAGTTCGGCTGCGAGAAGAGGAAGAGGAATACGAGCCACGACGTCGGCGGCCTTTGAATGAGTTAGAAGATGAAAAGGAAATGATGTTGTGACAACTTACGTCTGTCATCGTAGTCACGTCCTCTCGATGGTTTTGAGGCGACAGTGTAATCGTCGTCGTGTCGTCGTCGAGAAACGAGGGAGCGATCATCGTATCGATCGTCATAGTACCGATCGTCGTAGTAACGATCATCGTCAGATCTGGTACGGACTGGACGGTGGCCACTTTTGCGGGTGATAGTTTCGCGGTATAACTGGCCGTTCCTCGGGATTTCCTCGATAGATGATGAACTATCGTCACGACGTCTTACGATGCGGGTGTCTTTTGAGTTGACATCGTAGACTGTGTCTTCATAATCATCTCTATAGGATCGATCGCGGTTGGATCGAGTGCGACGAGATCTATCGTCGTCGTAATGAGACATCTCAAGGTTGTGGCGGGGCGGACCGGTGGGAGTGGAGGAAGAGGGTGAGAGAGGCCCAAGTGGAAGTGTCAGTCACTATGTAGCCCAATGGCAGGTCGGAACTAAGGCCCAAGGAACGGGTCGTGGCGAGGATCGTTTCGGGGATAAAGAATTCTTGTCTTCGCACGGACGGTAGAAAGGGTGACAAGTTTTTGAGATGGGGTTTGGTTGAAGGAGAAATAATAGGCCAGATACTAGTTTGAGGCGAAGCAGGAGGGATGACAATAATGAAGGCAAGCGATACTGCCTGACTGCCTTGCGGCTACTTGGCGGCAAGTTTCAAGGTAAGGCTCGACAGTTGAATGGGCACCGTGGAGAGAAATGGGCAGTGCCGGAGAATTGTGATGCAAGTGGAATTTTGGCGGATTTGTGGAATGTCGGTGGCTGGAAGAGGAGAGAGAAAAGGCAAAAGGTGGACTTTTACTGGGAATTTTCAGAGCCTGACGGTGTGTGATAGCCACTTGATTCGAGGGTTTAGGTCTGCCTGGGGAATGAGAGGAGGGATTGTGATAGGAAGTACAGTATGTACCTTGCCGACAACCTCAGAGGATCGTGACAATAGCCTGTAAGCGACGCAGGTTTCTACGGAGTAGTAGTCCTTGAGGATTTGGAGGGAGGGGTTGTTAGAGGGGCTGGAAGAGTTGTTCCTTGTTGGCTGTCTACGTAATAGGTACTTAGTACTTCCCCAATTAATGCTACAAGTGAATGTCGTTGTGTTTCTACACAGTCTTGCAGACCATAAACCGGGTACTACAATAACCCAATTCTGACATGTCCCAACAAGCCCAAGGTCTGGTTACATGTAAGAGGTTGCCAACGAGACTGTGATTGTGATGACATCTCGAGGTGAACGCTGCCCAACCACTGGGTCGAATGAGACTGTAGCAAACACGACCTGCGGGTGGCTGTGTTAGGTACATATGTACGAGATGGGCCGCATAGCACCATAGCCATCACACAGGCAATGAAGCAATGAGGCAATGATGCTACTTAGTGGCAATGTTGTAGCCAGGCAAACATTGCCACGTCACAATCCGCCAGAGCCAAGTTGGAAGTCGACATGCATCAGGTTGTGGATGAAGTCACAAGATTGTGTATGGTTCACGTGAACAGAATGAGATAAAAGTTCATCGATTTTTATCACGTGCAGTCACATGGTGATCGAGAGGTCAGTTCACGTGCTAAGTGCTGACTACCTTGGGGGAAGGGTTCGCCTAATCGGGAGGGGAGAGGCGTCAGATCTCGTGTTCCTGATTAGATTCTCGAAGGGCTGGAAGCCACATGTAATCAAAATGAGCCGGTGGCTTACGTGCTTATACGGAGTATGATTATGTACAATAATACATTCCACGAGTTTTCTTCTGGACCAAGCAGTCCCTGCAGAAGCCGTTGAATTCCCTGCATTGCTGTGTGTGTAGAATGACTGTTGTAAAATCAACCGAGTCGTGTTCGCCGAGTTTATCTATCGAAATGATTCAACGCACACTTTATTTTTGATCACCAGGAGATCAGCAGACCCTTGCACGTGGCTACAAAGATAAATATACTGTGTAATCTTGTCGTAGATAGGGTTATGGGAAGGAACTATTGCTAATTAATAGGATATCCAGTAACGTCCGCTCAAACGAAACGTCATAACTACAGAGTACATAGGTCCGGGGATTTGATTTGGATACAGGGCAATCGCTAAGTGAAGCGGCAGTGCTTGCGCTAGAATCTCCAAAGATTCTAAAGCACCCAAGTCCTTGAATTCCTGAATCCCTGGATTTCTTCCATGTCAAGAGCGCGAGCCATGTGTCCAAATGTCAAAAAGTCTATCCGGTAACTTGGTCCAGGTTCCAGGAATTGTCCTGCAAAACATCCTTTGTTGAGCAGGGGGACAGTTGTGACAGTTGCAAACCGTCGTCGGCGTAGTCGAAGCCGTGCCGAGGGAAGGGACCACTCCGAAAATCAGGTACCCGTGCTGATCAGCATCGACCTTGTAGGTACATTTGACCAGCCAAGCCACCGAATCATTGGAAGTTCGTCCAACCTAGGTAATCTGTTTTCAGGGTAACATCTTTATCAGGAAACACCCTGCTTTTGATCCCGCGTGTGCCCGATGAACAAACAAGATCTTCTGCCGTGGGAAAAAGTGTAACCATTCAATAATAACAACAAAGCGCACAGGCTGGTGGGCGAGAACGACAGCGGGAGGTGAGAAAATTAGTGATAATTCAAGACGATCGAGATTTTTAGCCTGGATCGGTTCTAACAGCCGTTGATGATGTCAGGTGCACTCAGGTGGCAGGTGGGGCATATTGACAGACGGACGTCCCAGGGGCTTGACCAAGACGAAGGGCGGGACGACGACCGATTATTCATGGCGGGGGCGTAGGTGCGCCTAAGGAACCATACGACAAGGAGCCCATGGTGTGTCCCCAGAGAGAGAAAGTGGACAGTGGGCAGCCTGTGGGGGATCCACTGGGGGGCAACGGGGCCCGCCGGAGGTCCTGCACGGGTGTATGCGGTACCCTGAGGCCTTGAAAGCAAAGGATCTTCCCCATCACACCTGGAAATAACCACCGAATCATCATGCTGGCCCGATCAACCCCCATTTACTCGATTCCTGGGTTTCCTCTAAGTAAGTGTGCACTACTCCGTAGTCTGTCAGAGTGTTCCTTTACACTCATCAGCAATTCTTGGTAGCTACTAGGTAGATTACAGTTACGTCGCGTTGGTGAAATATCTGACAAGGCGATAGTATGAGGATCTTTTCAGAATCCGAAACTTGACGAGGCTTCGTTGATTCATGTTTCGAGTTTCCGGGCATTGGATCGCGCAGGTAGAAGGGTTCTCTTCAGTCCGATAATATTGTTCTTGAGAGTAAAGTCAATTGATGCCATGAGGCGCCGCGGGGATTCCAAGGAGAGGTACGGCTTGGGTGCTTGTAGTGGTTTTTCAGGGTGTTTCAGCCTCAACTTGCTGCAAGGGATCTGCCAAATCCTCGTGGTCATAATGTATAAGCGTTATATACAAAGCCACAAGAGCCACAGGAACACGCAGGGTCGCGGCTCGAGGGTCTGGCGGTGACCCAAGTGTGTGGACGACCGTGACGGTGGTGGCTGGTATGATAGCAGGTAGGTACCTTTATGAGATGGGATTTGAATCGGCGATGATGACGTTTGCCCAGCTACCAATCTACCGGACAGGGTGATTGAGGATCGACTTGGCCTAAACAAGCCTAGAATGTAGCCTATTCTCCAGTCAATTGACATGCTAGACAGGTGGCTACAGGCTCATCAGTGGCTCCCTCATGGCGGTAGTGCCAACTTTCCCGCCTGGACAAAGTCTAACTGCGCATGATCGATCGCGATCTGATGGTACCAAATACTGTCATCACCGATCTTGAGGGCAACCCCAGTGGCGCCCCCGGCAGTGCAAGGCCCCAACGCTCCTCACAGGCTGCAGGCCGATAGGGCTACCAGGTGGTGGTTCTGGGGAGCATCTCAGATTCTCAGACGCTCAGGCGCTCAGACGCTCGCTAGATGCAGCCACTACGGCGAACCCAAGTTAGTAGGTAGGTATTTGTGGGTTTGTAGGTTCAAATGCTATTCTGAAGATTTCCATGTCAACCCATCTTGCCATCGTGCCCATGCCCATCGGTGCCATCTTTTCTCCCTTTCTTCCCCCGGCCTCTCCGCCAGTAACCTGAATAGCAAACGCGAGGCAATTCAACGATCGTGGTCTTGTCTTTTTGTCTTTTGTCTTTTTCCTGTCTTCCAACCCTGGTCACCATCCATGCCCACTTTTCTCTTCCATCCTGTCCCTTTACGAATGGTTGGATAAGACTTCCATGGTTTGTCCTGCCAGCCCAGCCCGTCTTCGCATTTCCATCTCGACTCAACTCTCCAGTTTCCCATTCCCTCGTTCTCATACACTTACTTTTACCCTGGCACACCCGTTGACTCAGGGACTCTCTTGTCTTTTATTTCAGGGACTCTCTTGCCTTTTATTTCAGGGACTCTCAATCTCCTTGGAGAGATATCATCATCGTCGTCATATCCCTACCACCGGCTACGCATTACGTTCCAACTCGCTTGGTCGCAGATCCCCGCCGTACGAGGTACACAGAGACACGCTCTGAATTCACCCGCGCACTATAGCGGTTAAACAGGACTCAATCTAAGACCATCCTCAGAATTCACCCAAGCCTAAACTCCGGTCGTTGTTGTTCTTGACGTGGTTGGTGTCGAGTTGTCAATACCTCTTGTCACATCGGTGTCGTTCATTATCCACCATTCAACCTATTCCAATTGAAATATACAAGATTTCCCAACGGCGTATGTTACTGATAAACACCCTTTCTTATGCCCTCATATCCTAATCTCTGCGTACAGAACCATTCTCCAACCAACATTTTGCACCCCCGGCGGCTTGATCGCTGGTGCAGGGTAGTCGAATCAAACAATGGATGTTCAGACTCACTCTAGAGGAGCAAGATTCTTCTCCATTCTCAACGACAACGATAGTCCGTCCTTTGCCATCCGACCTCGGCGAGCTTCTCAATCTTCCCAACAGTCTTCGCGCTCTTACACCTCGTCCTCCCCATCTGCTCCCCCAGCCAAGTACGAGAGACCTAGCATCATTCGCCAGGAACAATTCCATCGCTCCTCATCCTTCTCCTCGACTGGTTCAAGCACCCCACCTCTTGTTCGACTATCGTCGACCTCGTCCAAGTCTTCTACCTCAAGCATGGACTCTTCGCCCTCTCCAATCACTCCAGCATATTCGTTGCATGACCCCAATTTACTGCCTTATGACCCCATGCTACGACAGGATATGGTGGGATACCTCCCATCTCCCACCACCATTACCCCATTTCTCGAGCAACAGATGTTGATGGCCTCCCCTCTCATGCCCGATCAGCTGCCCAAGCCTATTTCGCAGTCCATCACTCCTCTGCAATATCCAATTCCCCCACTGCATTCCACCTCCCGCCAGCCCATCCCAACACCGGTGTCCTCGAACTCTTCAGTGCCTCCCCCTACAATCACCTCTGTTCCGCCACCTACCGTGTCTGCTAAGGTTCAAGGTCAATCTTCCCCTGTCGGCCCAGCACCAAACAAGAAGAACAAGTATCCTTGTCCATATGCGCAATCTCATGATTGCCAGGCTACATTTACCACCTCTGGACATGCTGCTCGGCACGGCAAGAAACACACTGGGGAGAAAGGTGTTCACTGTCCCATCTGCAACAAGGCCTTTACGCGCAAAGACAACATGAAACAGCATGAACGCACGCACAAGGGCAACAACTCAGGGAGCAACAGTGATGACACCAGTAGTCGCAAGAGCAAAGCTGCCATCACCAAGGACGCCCAAAAGGCAAAAGCTGCTAGTAGCGGCGAAGCTTTGGCGTCTGAGAACAGCCGACGATCAAGTTTGATCCGATCACCGCTCTCTGAGGTGACCTCTCTGGCACAAACATCGACCGAAACATCGATCAACATTGAGGACCCCGCCAACCCCGCTCTCTACCCAGATTCTCACAGTATGCTCATGCCCATGGTGGTTATGCCTGAGAGCGTATCTCCTAATCCACTCTATCATACTGCGGATGATCTCCTCATGAACCACCCATCCATGGTTCCTCAACTTATGATGGACAAGCAGTCCGAGTATGGACTTCCCAGGGGCGCAATGCTCGCACCCCCGCCCCTAGCACGTGGCTTTTCCGACTTGGACACATTGGCGCAAGCCGCCGAAAGTTATAATCCCTATTATCAATCTTGAAACATGTGATGACGATTTTTGGTCACGCATCAATGGCACGACCGCCCATTTTGCGCGTCTCTGTACATGTTTTGAACGATTTTCTTTGTTTACTTTATGGCGCCAGAGAAATGAAATCGGGAAGGGATCGAGACAGCATCGATTCACACCCTGGACTGCAACTCCTGGTTTTGCCTGCATGATATGATCATACTTATTCAGAATACGACGATACCCGCAAGCACTGTTGAATGGGCAAAATGTATTATTCTATCTGGCATTTGCATATGTATTTGCAACAGCCGCCGTCATGGCAGGGGGCGAGCCCAACGACGAACTTGGGAGGGCAGATGGTGGAGGTAATAGCATCGGTGTCACCGGACAGGTTGGTTACGTCTCTCGCAGGCAAGGTCTACAAACGACCTAATTATTTAGATGATCGAGTACCATGCCATCCACACTAGTTGATGGCTGGTGTTTGAGAATATATATATACATGGTCTGCTATTTGTTCCCTACCGCTGTGCTTGGACTTTTGCCTCGCTTATCCTTGAACAAAGTGTCATTCAGTCACGTGTGGCGCCTATGGAGTACATCCTGGACAGCCACAACTGAAAATATGCTTCGACTAAAACACTTCATCTAAGATGATCTGCATCGTGCCATATGCTCTCGTACAGTTGATGTCTTTAAGTAATTACCTAATGTATGGAGTACATAGTCGTATACAATGCGAGACGCCCGCCTCCCCACACCCGCCATTTGAGGCTATGCAAATCCTTCAAAGCCACCCCAGGGTCCAACCATCGTCTTATTTAGTCACGGGCGTCATTCATGGTGTGACATACTGTACCACAGCGAGATCGTCTCAGACATAAATAGATTAGCTTCAAGGCTCCAATCTTCTAAATATGTACCTACGGAGTATAGGTAGAATATCACTTGATGTTAAGCCACCCAATACCTCAGTATACGAGAATCGACCTCCCTCCTTATTATCACACTTTGGGTACCTCGTATGCTTTACTGACCCTTCACCGAGATTACCTAGAAGTCGAAACCTTAGATAAGGTACCTAGGTACAGTATACTCGGTACATTATTTCATTCACCTCTGACATGACACCACCTGCACCACCCACACCCACACCCACAAATCCACACCTAGCCACCAGCAAGCATTCACAAATCACAGCCTCACAAACAGCTATTCTTCGCTGTATAGGCATTATCTTCGGCATCGCTGCACTCGGCGCACAGATTGCAGTTGCCAGGATTGATTTTTTCGAGATCTGGATCTCTCCCGAGTCTTTTGTCTTTGTAAGTGGTCGTCGCCATTATCATCCCTATCTTTCCATCACCCTTCCGATCCATTCCCCTAACGTCAAAAATGTCAATAGATCTCCGTCTCATTGGTATGGAACACAGCCGAATTACTGGTTCGATATAAGAAAAGTCATGGAATCCATCCTGGCGCCCATGTCGCGCTGGACTTGATTCTCTGCCTGGGAACTTTTTGCGCCGGATTGTTGCAGATTCTGATCAATCATTGGGATGGTCGAGCTGTTGCGGCTGGATGTTTGAAATTTCCATTGAGGTAGGTGAGCAACCCGTCTTGGAATGGACATGGTTAACGTGTGTCTTAGCCTTGTTCATTTTGTGCTATTAGTCTACGCTTGTAAGGATACACATCAATTGCGACAGAGGAGGAAGGTCGCTGTGGTCAATGAAGAGAGTATTGATCTCAAGACTGTGGGACGGTGAAGGAGAATGACTGTACATGAAATGGAATGGAGTGGATCAAGGGTTGAATATTGATGTCGCTTCTGGATGTCATCCTTAACCATGCATATTCTACTGGCAAAAATATGCTTGAAGCTGTTCATGGACCAGCGAATGCTTCTGATGATAATAATTTGTTCATTCTTCTAGTTGGCTTGTCTGATACACTTTCCTCAATTTATTCCCCAAGAATGAAGTATGTGATTGGCATTTACCTCCCAGTCTGACGTAAATGAAGGTTTTCTCACACAATTCAAGCAAGCATGCCAGTCTACAAATTGGGGAGTAGTGTTGATACCAAGCAAGCCCGAGGCACCCTCAGCTCCTCTGATTGAGCGTATTGGGGGCCTTACCACTTCAGCCCTCAAACATGTCAACAGCCAGCAATCTAACCTCGGCTGACCATGTCTGAGCCAAGTATCCTGGTGATACACTGTGATGCGACACTCTCATCCGAAACAGCATCACGTGACTATGGATGGACATACAAACGAATGATGAGGCCTTGCATGTTAGGCTGACTGACATATCTTCAACCTCCATCTACCTTGACTACACACCGCATCGTATCGTATGACATATAATATACATACTTGGTCAACATAGTCATGTCATGATCCAGTCACCAGACCACAATACACGCCATCGTCTACTCACAATAAGATGACCACACAGGAAAAACCACAGAAGAAACACTCAATTAAGCCACACAACAAAGTCCGCACTGGTTGCGTGACATGTCGACGACGGCGAGTCAAATGTGACGAGTCCAAACCAACATGCATGAGATGTAGGAGAGGTCGACATGACTGTGCTGGATACAACACACCAGTGGCATGGATCTTTGATCCATTTTCACATCTCGATGGAGATCGACCACCCGACAAGACCAATCCGCTCCACAGATCTACGGACCATCAGCAATCTCTAACGATCATCGAATTTGAACGACCTCAGATCAATAATGTCATCACTACACAGGTTCAAACCCTTCCACAACGACGGAACAGTCGCGGCAGCAATCCATCGTCATCAGCGAGATTTACATTGACATCCCATCCGTCATCCCGCACAGCTTCAGCCTCGGCCTCATGCTCAGGTTCAGCATCGACCAATGACTCTTCCAACAGTACCAGTCCCAAAATCTCACAGTCACTCCCGCATCTTCTGGAATGGACCCCGGAGGAAGGCTCCCGATTCCAATATTACATGGCCATCTGTCGAACGACACTAGAAACCGCACTCGAATCCGACGCGGAGCTATTCTGCACGATTCTACCACAAGCCAGCCACCGAGTGCCCGCGATCCGGTCCGCGCTAGTCTGTTTCGCCAGCTACGCCGAAAGCCTCGCCGAGACCGATCCAATACGACGACAATCGCATCGCCAAGTTGCCGAGCGACAGTATGAAAAAGTCCTACTCTCAGCAGCATCGATCGGCGGATCTCGAAGATCCGACTCAGATTGGCTGGAGGTATTCCTCGTCGCTTTGTTGTTGCGATGTATCGAAACCTATCGTCACGACTATCTTCGTGCAAAAACCCATCTAGTGGGGTCCGCGAGGATCGTCACTGAGAAAGGCGGGATTGGTCACTTTCGAAATCCAGCCCTGGCAATCGACAATAGTATCAAGCATATCATCTCCAGAGTGGATGCAAAGGTTCGTTTGGAAGCCGTTCAGCCGGATCTGGCGAGGATTTCTCCAATGACCCCCTTTCTGGAGTTCAATTCGGTGGTGAGTACAATTTGTAAGAGGTTGAAGGCTTTAAGGGAAGGGCTTGTTTATGGAGATGAAGATACCGCCAACAAGATGAAAGTCATCTGTCAGTGTGTGGATGAACTCGACCGTTATTTCATCTCTTTCCAAAATGTTACGAAATCACCAGACGATAAGGGCCAGCCCTCGTCTTCGTCTATATATCTGCAGGTTCAGTATGAGATATGTCGACTGGTATTGCTTGAATTGGCAGATGAAGGTCATGGAACAAGACGATCTTTGTCATCAACATCAACATCAACATCAACATCACCCTCTTCCCTTCAATCTCCCCATCAACACATCCTCGACCTCATCATTCAATTCGCCGATCTTCAACACCCACCTCACCCACACTCACATCTAGACTCAACGTCACCAAAAACAGTCCACTACCGCGGAAAACGACGAGTCTACCTAGGATTCGGAGTTGAACTCATCCCATCAGTCCTATTCATAGCGACTGAATCACCTGACCGAGCGACACGAAGATCAGCCATTTCATTCCTACGGTCTAGTTACCGACAAGAATGGTTGTGGGACAGTTTCAATGCGACGAGGATTGCTGAGTGGTTGACAAGTCAACACGAAGATATCGTGGATGACGGAATTGATGGAACGAGCCAGGGATCTGTGGATGGCGAGGACGGTCGAAATAATGCTGACGCTGATGGATCGAATGATAACGATCATCGCTCATCTTTACGTTCACATTCACATCCATCGTCGTCGTCGTCGTCGTCGTCGTCGTCATCCCAATTCCAATCCCAGCCTCACCTCCTCCACAGATACCACCACCCCATCTCCGCAACATTCCACGTCCCACACACCACGAACCCATCCCACAAAAGCACCACCTCCACCTCCACCTCCTCTTCCTCCACCAGCCCAGAAAGTCCATTCCACCGGGCAACATGGATCCAATTAAAACTACGAACCTCCGGTTCTGGAAGCGGCAATACCAACACCAACACCAATACCACTACAACTCACTGGCTAAACTCAGACGAAAACAACTTCCAGGATCAAGTCAAGAATCTCGAACCTCCTTATCCGTCTCTCCCTCGTTACACGGTGCCAGGCCCGTTCTGGCCGTCGGCGGCTCAAGCGATTTGGAATTCTTGGAATGGTGGTGGTGGTAGATGAAAAGTGGGAAAGGGGAAGGACGTCCTTAGGACATATATTACTAGATACATTATGCTGGACTTGGGTTTCTTGCATAAGTACAGTATTCTTACGCACGCTAGTGAGGTCCAAAGGCAGATAAGGAGATGAGAACATACATATATCAGAAATAAGTATGTAGATGAAAAAATAATCTGACCTGGCCTATGCCGGACTATGTAACTCACTCTTCACCTCGGTTATAAGTCCATGTTCAAGTCCAAGTCCATTCCATTTCACCTTCAAAATACCTAAGCACAAAACGCCCTTTTGCTGTCGACCTAGATGATGAATCCATGCATACCTGCAATTCGCAAAATAGCTCGTCTCGGGGTATCACAACCAATCAGGTAAATGTCAAAATCAAAAGTCAGTATGACTGTGTGTATCTGTATGCGTGTGCGTGTGCGTGTATGTGCGAGTGTGGCTGTATGCTGGTGCATGAGTGGGTTTTATAAATTGTACAATTGTGGCGATACAATTGTGGCGAGTTTGGGGACATCTTATGTGTATTGTCCCATTCTTTATATTCACAACGAATCGCCTTCTTCTTGTTGACTGTTGTCATCGTTGCTGACACTGAGGCTATCCCAGCCTGCAGGACCATCGGCTTGGTAGAGTCCGCAATGTCGACTTAAGACGGTCCCGAGTCCCTTGTGGCATTCGAGTTGAAAAGGTTCAAATGGTAGCTTTTCGCCATCGACTGAGAAGAAACCACCGTCGCCACGAACGGCTTTTTCAGTCGATCCGCTTCCCGAGAGGCCGAGTTTATCGAACAGCTTGCCTAGATGGCTCTGTTTTGGAGGGGCAACGCCATGACGTCCGTATCTCGGATAGACACGTAGGGCTTTGATTTTGCGAATGCGAACTACGTCCTTGTCGAAAAAGGTGCCCTTTTCCACGGCCAGAAGTAGGCTGAGAGAGGTCAGGCGGCTGATGTCGCCATCGATGGTAATGAGATCACATAAGCCGTCGGAGGGGACTGAAGCTGGGAAGAAGGGCGCGTCAGCGGACATGATGTTCATGTTTCCGCAGTAAAAATTGCCCATGTTGTCGTATGGAGTCAGGGCGCTCCAACCGCTGTCGGTGGGTAGAGGGTCATTGATGGTGCCATGTTCCAACGGTGGCAAACCAAGTCCAGTGGATGCGTCGAGAGGTCCGTCGAGGTCGGCGAGATTGATTGAATTTGGAGTGGTGGCTTTGTTTCGATAATGGGCATAGTGTCGCTTGATGTCCATCTTGTCCTCGATCTCTGTTTTGACAGCAATATCGATTGGATAAACCGTCTTGCCCAGCAATCGCACGAGAAACCCATACACAAATCGGGATCCACCCATCCATCGGACATGTTCAGTGCCCAGATCTGACTCGGCCACGATGCCCAAAGACTGAGATAAGAAGGAAAGAGTTCTTTTGTCCCCTTGGGTGACACTGACGAGATCCATTGGGCTTCGGACCCCTTTGACGATACAGAGTGCGGCCATGCTGCATTCACCTGTTCCGTATAAATTCCAACACATGGCATTGCCACTTCCACAGGGCAATTGAGCGATTGCCACTTTTCTCAAAGCCTCGGCAGCGTTTGGTTTCCTTGCCAGACCATTGAAGCATTCGTGTGGCAGGCCATCTCCCGAGGCACTGACTAAGACATCAAAGGCATTTATGTCGATATTTTGGGCGATTTCCACCGCATGTCCTGAATATGTGGTGCGCTCGACGTCGACTTCACACCTTGCGGCGGCAAATATTGGTTCGGTCCATTTAGAATAGAGTTTTTCGGCCTTTCCCTGGCCCCCAAAGGGATTTATCAGAAGTTTGATTCTCTTGTTGCGCTGGGCGGTGCCATAGGCGCGATCCAATAGTCTTTTCACCCATCTCGTTGCCTTGTCTTGTGAAAAGGAGGAATCATCTAGGGTATAATTGATGTAAGCGACACGAAGAGGGGCCTTTGGAGATTTAGAGGTAGGCTGAGCGTAGCGGACGGTGAGATCGTTTTTGACGAGTTCGGCCCAAAGGATATTGAAGTAGGGGATAGAACGGGTGCTAGTGGTTCCTAGGAGGGTGTTAGAGAAGAGGAGCGCAGTAAGAGGGGTTGTAGAGCGATACTCACTCTCTGGGATAAGCCCGCAACATGAGAATTGTCTGGCGGCGGTGTCGTGAATGCCTTCGTCTGCATTGGAGAAGAGATTAGCATCGGTTTCGCATGGAAGGGATAACGGGCTGACCGTACCCAAGACAATGACTGCATCCGTGCCCAAGGTCAATGTGGCATTTCGTCCGACACTGAGTGTAGACTCCACGATGGTGGCTCGCTCGTCTTGCATAGAGGTGGGGTCCGCAAAGGGATCTGAGTCGATCGATTTACCGCTAGCCATGTTGAGTGGAGAGGGGGTTCATTCTGTCCTGGAGTGAAAGTCGGGGCCTGGGTCACGAGTCGGAAGACAAACGAAGGTGATCAAGGGTTTGGGGATATTGGTGAGATCGATCTAGTCACATATTCTCCATCGTTCCTATTTTCTCTTGGTGTTGACTCAGAATGCGCGGGCTGACGAGGAGTGAGAGGACGTTGGTGGGAGAAGTTGTGAGATGGGCACAGAGATGACCTAGAGGTAGAAGTACTTGGTACTTGGTGGTGCGATTCTTCGCAAATACCGAGGTCCATGCAGGTTTTAGACAGCGTCTGCTGATGACGGTAGGCTGCAACGTCTGTGACAACTGTATGTAACGTCGTGGTGGTGGTGGTGGTGGTGATGTGAGTGTGGTTGGTGCCTTGATTACGTTTCCCATTTCCCTGGTTCCTGAATCCAGAGTCTTGGCATTCACTCACACGTGATATCGCATCTCACCCATTTCAAGACGAATGACTGCGCCAATTCATTATAATACATAATACTTTGCATGTTGCTCGACAACTCTCGTCCCACATCATGTATATTCCGTCGCTAATGTATGCTATATAATAAACTCGTTCATCAATCTCCCACCATCATTCAATGAGGCTGTCCCTATCGGCTCCCTACTGACATGCTTCCACTAGAGCTGCTGTAATCACTCTTGGGAGTTTGCGGATCAGGCTCATCCACCACCATCCGTCGTATTTCCACGATCCACGGGTGCTGCAACAATTCGGCCGCAGAACTCCGCTTAGCAGGATCTCGCTCGAAACATCGCTTCAAAAAGTCCAGTCCTTGCTCGCTCAATTGGTCCTCGCTGGGCAGTTGAGGTGGATTTCCCTGCGCAATGTTGTACATGATGGCCCATTCATTATCCAGTGTCGACCATGGTCGGCGTCCTGTGGCCATTTCCAGGATTACACAGCCCAATGACCAGATGTCAGCCGCCCCTGAAAATCGCGACGTCGCCGGGCCATCACCGCGAATAACCTCTGGTGACATGTACATGGGAGTTCCTGTCATGGTCTTCTGTGGTGCTCGTGGTCCTGCACCGCCCTTAGCGGCTTCTGCATTGGCCCGTTGTGCCGGCTCGGGGTTCATGATCGTCTGTCCTTGTCGCGCAATCACCTTGGCCGCTCCAAAGTCGACATACTTGATCACCCCATTGTGGTCCAGAAGAACATTTTCCGGCTTGATGTCACGGTGCACAATATGCGCTTGGTGAAGGTATGCCAATCCCTCCAGCATTTGCAGTGCATAAACCATGATGACCGTCTCGTCTTCAATCCGCCCGTGCTCAAGGAGCCCTGCCACCGACCCACCAGAGCAGTACTCCATGAAAATGTAGACCTTGTCGCGATGAACCTCGATGCCATAATAAGACACGATATTCGGGTGGTCAAGCACGGCCAATACTCCCATTTCGTCACTGATCTGCTTCACGATCGTGGGGATCAATTGGGGATCTTGTAGACGGATTTCCTTGACAGCCATCAACGTTCCGGTGTCAAGGTTGAGTGCTGCATAAACGGATCCGAACGTCCCGCCGCCCACGAACTGGCCTTGTTGCCATCTCATGGTGACATTGGTCGCCGACGAGGAAAGGAACGTCAGTGAGCGGTCTGCTTCATTCGAGCCTTCCAACACTCGTCCAAGGTTGGTCTTCGATGTTCCCCTCTCTTCTCGTTGCTGATCAATCTCTTCTAGCTGCGCCAATCGCTGCTCGCGCATTTGTTGTGCGCAATCATCGTCGTTGCGCAGTTTGCTAAAATCCAATCGTTTGCCAGGACCCGACAAGGCTTCTACTCGTGACTTTTCTTGTTGCGCCGCCAATGTCGATCTCGCCCCCATAATATCGAAATGGGAGATCAGGACTGACATACACCCAGCCACTTTGGACCGAATCCGAGTATACTCCTCATCGCTGATGTCGAGAATGTTACGGCCTCGGGTCATGGCCATGGCGAATTCCAGAGCAATGACGGCCCACTTAAAAGTCCTTCGATCGGCGGCGTCGCAATCATCGCAGATAAAACTGATCCAGTCCAATGCCAGTCTGGTCAATTTGAGATTGTTCATCATCCGTCGATTGGCGTCCATGTATGTGAGTGATCTCTTGCCAAACTCGGTCGCAAAGGCAAAGCATGACTGAACAAGCTCTGGGCTGGCGATGCCGCCATTCTGCGATCGAATCACCTCCACGCTCTCCATGATTGTATTTGACAATTTAAACGTCGTCTTCTTGATCCTGCCTAGTTCCGAGTTGACTCGCGAAAGATTGGCTCGTTGCTCGATCACCACGTCCAGCTCCACCCCGGTGGCGTTGATGAACTCTATCCGGGCATTCTGCAAGCGTTGAGATGAACCATCAGCCACCAGTCGCAGCCGGCCCACGCGGACGTCGGTTGGCAATTCGAGAACGTCCACTTCCATCCGCTGTCCCTCCCAGACCAACTCATTTTCTGGACGGATGGCGAGGATGTATGGGTTGGAGGGATCTTCTGGTGCATCGTCGGCGTGGAAAGAGGTTCCCAGGATCGATTGGATTTCCTTTGGCCTGCCCCAGAGTGACGAAGACGCAATGAAATAGACGCCTTTGGGACTATTGAGGCCCATGTCGACCACAAAGTGCGCACTCAACAAGAGTGATTCGGTAAAATTCTGCATTTGTTTCGGATCCATGCCGAGATTGAACTCGGTGGCATTTTCGAAGCGTTGGCGAAGCATCCGGGAGAATCGGAATAATTTTCTTTGACGGACACGGACAGAGTCCAAAATGGTCTTGTATCTCTTCTCCATGTCTTGGACACTTTCGTCTGGTTTGGTGCGCAACTCACGCTCAAAAGATGCCGTCAGGCGAAAGAGGGATTTGGCAGTCAGCGAGCTGAATTGTTCGGCCACTTCAATATCGCCACCATCCAATTGACGGCCAATCTCATTCGAAAAGCCCCATTCCTGTTCGAGAATTTCGGCTTCACGGAAAGTGTTCTTGTTGGCACCAAGTTTCCAGTTGAGCATTTTAAAGTAGAACTTCAAGGCTTCAATGATGACGGAATCAAAGGCTTCGTCAATGCACGGGGGTAGATCCCAACCTGGTTCGGGCTCGTAGATGGTCTCGTATTCTCGCTTGATGACGCATGCTAGGCGCATCAAAATCTGGAATTGGGCAATCATCTGGTCGATAATGAGCATGGATTGCTGGGCAGATTCTTTCATCTTCTTTGCGTAGGATAAGCGCATGCGGATGATTTCCACGATCAGACGAGAGGGGAAGTTGATCAAGGTCAGGAGCTCTTCGATGTACGGCGGAAGATGGCGGGCGGAGAAGGAGCCTGCGTTCTCGATCAGAGTATTTTTGGCTTTGGTGATGACGGTGCTGATGCCCATCAGCATGCTCTGTTCGCTGTGCAGAGACTTGAGACCGTCTTCCTTGAGGATTCTGTCAATAAAACAGGATTCATCGGCCAGTTCGCCTTCGTTGCTGGCTCGACGTTTTTGCTTGGTGAAATCCATCTCCGGGTTGCCGACCCAAGACTGAAGAACGGCGAGCTCGGTGTTGATTGACTGGGTGATGTTGTACCAGGCAACGATTGCATTGCAGCTGTCTTCAAAGTCCTCGGAGGCAGCACGCGGCTGGGCAGCGGCCAAAGCCTTCCTTGAAGGATAAAGCCATTCGCACTTTTCTATGTTTGCGACAGCTTCTTGGACTTGCTCCAGCGCGGTTTTTCCCACGACGGTTTCACCCTTGATCTCAAAGGCGATGAGGTTTTCCACAATGGGGCTGACTTTGGACCGGCCCTCGTCAATCAGCTTCTTCTGCATTGCCAAAGGGCGGCCATAGTATTTTGCTCTTGAGCCCAACCAGATTTCAGTACCGATTTCAGCCCGACTTTTCTGCTCAGTAGTGCCTATCAACCTCTGCTTCTCCTGGCGTACGACGTCACCCTTGAGGACAGAAGCGAGCATTGAGTGCCACTCTAGCCGCTCTCTGTTCTGTGGATTTTGCAGTTCTTCCTCAGACGGCTGCATGTTGTCTTCGTTGCCCAAAAACATTAATGTTTCGGGGTCGTAGGGGTCTTCAAAATGGTTCTCGGCAGAGGGGGACTCATCACTGCTGTCATCTTCGGTACTGTAGCCAATACTGGGAGTTCGAGGGTCATTCTCGGGCCATTCGGATGGCTGTTGTCTGACACGCTGAACATACGCCTTCTCCTGAGCACGATATTGAGCATTGGGATCCCTTCTCGACGGTCTGCCTGCAGTGGATGAATGTGCCTTCCTGGAGTTTAACGAGAGGAACTGAGGCGGCCTTCTGGGAGGGGCATATGTGTTGGAGGGAGTCCGTGACGGAGCGGAGGGACGGGAAGATTGGGGATCATTGGAAAAAGATCTGTCCATCGCAGGGGCCGAAGTACTACCACTGCCTCCTCTAGGTCGTGGTGTGTATGTATTCCAGGAATTCTGGGCCGACGAAAAGCCCGTGGATGGGGTGTATGCGGAAATGGAAGAGGTCGGGGTATAGGTAACGTTGGGATCAGAGGGATCGTAATTGGGATTGACGGCATAGGTGTAAGTCGACTGGGGGATTTCTTCGTCCGAGTTTGAGGAGGAGCCGGGAGCAGGGCGATGGGCCGACATCTCCTCATGCTCCATGACTAGAGGGAGACGGCCTTGTTCAAGGCGTACGATATCTGGTTTGGGGTGTCGGATGGCAATCCTTTGACCAGGGAGAGGGGCTGGATAAGGAGGGAAATTTGTGACGATCTGACCAGCGGAATCAGTCGGCAAGGTTGGCAGTGACTGGGAGATGGTGTGAGCCTGCTGTTGCTGGGATCGAGGCGGGGCTGGAGAATGGGATTGAAGATGGGGTTGATGGGGTTGATGGGATTGAGTCTGGATCAAGATGTTTGAATCCGTTGAAGCCGTAGTGAGGTTTGGATGTGGTTGTGGTTTTGGCTGGTGATGGATGAGAGTTGCTCCAGATGTGGCGGGATCATGTGAAGGCGCAGGTGCGACGGTAGGTCCTTGTGCAGGTGCGATGGTGCTGCCCGCACCTGCTGCACCTGCTGCACCCGCGCCTGCATTTCCAGCATTTCCAGCGGCAGTCGCGGCGTGGAGAGCCATTCTGCGTTGGAGAAGGAAGGAGCCACGGAGCCCAAGCAAAAGTCAAACGTGCAGGAGCCTCCCTCGCTCTAGGCTGACTAAGTTAGTTGCATCCTTGTGAGCATCTGCTCAAATTGAATATTCCGGTCGAGTGAATATAAGCATCATCATCATCCCAACAGGATGAATGATAATGCAGTTTGGAATGATGGAAACACTCTCCTGAAGAGAGAAAATTTTACAAGGTAGGCCAAGTCAAGTAGAATCCGGTAAACGCGTTCCTCATTCACGACGACGCGGCTGGCACCGGGACGTAGCCTGGATGATATATGGCCGGAACAAAGAACCGGACATTCCCACTCATGGGATAAACTTGGACAGTACCTATTACTGCTGATCGTGGGCTCCTGTATGATCGAAGTCTAGGCTGCAGCCTGCCTCATCTTAACTGGATTACGCGCTCGCTTGACCAACTTTCTTGCTCCCAAAACCGGGAATGGATATTGCTTAACCCTGCCGAACCCGAGCAATTTGGCAAATAAGATAACAACTAACAGCTTCCTTGGAAGTACATTTACAGAAATTTGCCTTGCTATTTGACGTGGAAACCCTCTAATTAGAGTCAATTGATACGCCTAAAGAGAGCCCCGGGTTTGAACATCGACCAGCGAGGTTTCAGGTGCTCAGAAACTTCTACTTTGGGTACCTTGCAACCAGTTCCAACTTATCTACCACCCCTATATCTTGTCAACATCTTGATCCGAAGGGTTCGAATGCTTGCCAATGTTTACAGGTAAGCGGGGACCCTACAAGAATGCAAGTTGAACAAGTAATCATCCAAAAAATGTAATCTGTGTATTCATCACTTGAAGTTGATTACGCAGAGATTACACTGTGCCAACAAGTGGCATGTCCTATATTATGTGATGATATCACGCTGTCGCCACGCGCAATGAAGTCTCATCACGTGATCTAGTTTTGTTCCAGATACCGCATGGTAAGCTACCACTCCTCCTTTAGTGATGACAAGGTGAGATCACTAGCACAGGATCCCATTGCCCATTCACTCCTCCGTGTTTCTCGAGAGTGTCTCTATGCGTGGTGATTGTTTCCTCCCTCAAGCCAAGGGTGCGTGCTATATGCCTCGCATGTCAGCCTAGGGCATCATCTCTAGACTCGGGGTTCAAGACCAGTGAGCGAGGAAATGACCCAGAACAGAGTCTGTCTAGACCACAGCACGTTTTCCGTCAATGCTGGGGCAGTCAACCTTTACAGGATTTTCAATCTCCAGTGCAGCTTCCTTGTCATCGGCATGGTCAATCATCACATCCTCTCTTTCGACCCATTCATACGCCACGTCACGTATATACCACTTGTCCTGGTACTTCTTAAAGAAGTAGTCCATCTGTTCAAGGCTTCGTCCAGCCTTCATTGGCGTGTTAGCATACTCTTGCCAACCGATAGACCAACAGCGGCTTACCGTCTCAGGGACAAACGCCCACACCATTGGAATCCATGCCAAGGTAATGATCATCCAGATCAAATAGAATCGCCTAGAAGTTATCAGATTGGGTTCCATGCTAGGACTTCTGACAAAAATACTAACCATGACAGGTTGGCGACTCCAACTGGGGAAACCATGACAACTATCAAACGATTAGCAACTCATAGTCATTTTAGGTGCTCAACTTACTCAGGAAGCACCCTGCCCAAAGTCCCATGCTTTGAACTGCATTTCCTTTATGACGGCTGCGCAGGGAGTTGACCTCTGGGGCAAACACACTGATGTATCGTTAGTTTCTTCACCCGCAAATTTTTAACAAATCTCATACAATGGAATCGGACAGCATCTATTTTCCGTCAGTCATGGCTTTGAGCAATGATATTAGGAGGCTCACCCTAGGCCAAAAGCGAATTCAAAAGCGAAGATGAATGCCGTGGCTGCCCACCCGGACGACTCCTTATGCTGTGGATGGTTTATACCCCAGCCAATGGACGCAGCAATGCCACCCATTGTCAAAACTTCGAGCCATGCACTGATGAGCAGGGTCTTTCGTCGCCCGGCACGTTCAATCCACTGGCTCCTGTCAGTTTATTCTGTCCCTGGGAAGGCTATACTGCCGTGACCTACCAAGATGGGGAGTAATGTCCCTACCAACATTGCTATACTCCCAACGCCACCCATGATGAAAGCCATCCGAGGACTCAAGCCGGCCTCTTGAAATACCACGGGAGCGTAGTACACAATGGCATTCACGCCTGTGATCTGAGACAAGCGTTAGGACTAACACTGCAGATTCTCCTTGAACATCAAAAATTTGTACCTGTTGCAGCAGTCCCACCACAACTCCACTGAGGAGTAAACGACGGCCATTTTGAAGTTCTCCGCCACTGAATGCCTAGACGATTGTCAGTCCACACATAGCACTCCCACCTCACAATGCTCACCTCATGCCACGTAGTCGACTCTTCAAGCTCAGCTTCGTGCTGGGCAACAAGGACAATCTCGTTGGCCAGACCCAAGATATGTGGGGTTGTATCCGTGGTGCCTTTGCCTTCTAAGAGCGCAAGCACAGAAGCGACCTTTTTCAACGAAGCCCCTCTCGATGCCAGCCAACGCGGACTCTCAGGGCAGAATGGTAGAAGGGCGAACACAAAAATAGGGAATATCATCTGGACTTCATCATCTGTTAGCAAACGTGAAGGCAGCTCGAAGAACGCAACTGACACCCTAGTGCGGCTCGCCATTGGCCATCGGTTCCTTCCAAGCTTGGAGTTTCAAAAACAAGACCGTAGTTGGTGAAGCCAGAGATGACGATTCCCTGAGTAAGGTCAGCTAGCTCTTGACCTCGTTGTTCTTGCCACCTGTTCTTACCAGTACAACGATCGCCAACTGGATACAAATCATGATTCCTCTCCTTCCGGGTTTGCAACACTCGCTGATGTACATTGGTACCTGTTCAAGTTAGCAGTCAGCCATATCAGTTGCTGATGGGATACTTGCAGTGGCTGATATAGCCCCAACCCCAATTCCCGCGACAATCCTACCGACTTGAATGTTGTCAATGCGAGTCTCAGTCCTCGTGAGCAAAACAGGCCCTTACCATTGAATTGAGCGACTGAGAAAGATGCTGTCTGTAGGGCAGCACCAATAAGAAGGACTATACACCCCAGTGCAATGGTCCATCTTCGTCCGGTGAGGTTGGCATAGCAAAAACAAAGAATTGCGCCAGCCAGGCACCCAAGCTACCACAATCGTTAATAAGGATTTGGCCAAATCATGTCTAGTAAGGAACCAAAAGGCTCACATCGTAGCTAGCCACCATGAATCCTTGCATAGTTGGGCTTGGGTAGTTGAACCGCTCTTGAAATGGCGGCAATGTCAATAAGCCTCCCATGACTCCTTGGTCACTGCGAAGACATATTAGCCTGGTATCGACACCTCATTCTGAGAAGGTAAGCCTACTAGCCAAAGAGAAGGAAGGCGAATCCTCCAGTCACATTGATGAGCAGTTGCAAAGGACCTCCTGTGAGACCCATTGTGAATTTTTCTTGTGTATGCCTTTGAAAAGAATCGGTACTTGTCAAACTCCGCAACGACAGATTTAGAAGAAGGTCATCTTACGTTGAAGTAGTCGATATATGTCTTGTTACATATCAATTCTACCGACATCTGCCTGGGTACTCCAGATTCAGTTTGTTCGCCCATACCCCGGACTGTACCCCACCCGGCACCCCAGATATTACTCATGGCCAATCAAGCCATCAAGCAACGTCTTCGCCTTTGCTAATACTAGTCGTCCAGGACCAGAAATGCTTTGTCCGGTTAACCTCAAGGTAGGCCCACCGGGCCAACGGTAAGGTACTGGTGGTATTCAAACGAGGTTGAAAGTTCGGCTCGGCTGCGATCCGGCCATTACTGTGGGGTACTGCCTGCCGACAAACGAGGGCCTAATGCCTCACAACAGCAGTAAACCTGTGTAGACCTCGTTAAACCATCAAGTACTCGCCCACGAAGAGAGGACTCGGCTTGACCTGCGATCTGAACTAGTTGGCGGCTTGTAGTCGACTCCCGCCTTGCGCCTTGACAGGGCGTATATTCCGGCGTCACACGTGATCCCCGAGGCAAATAGGGGCACTACCCTCTCAGGGCACGTCGAAAGAGTGATAGTTGGTGATCACTCTATCACCTTCCGCGACCTCCCAAGCGACTAAACTAAAGCAATGGAAGGGCTAGAAAAGAACCTGTTCACTCTGGAAGGGGAAACAGCGTTGGTGACTGGTGCCACAAGAGGCATAGGCAGGATAATGGCTTTGGCACTGGCTCAAGCTGGCGCAAAAGTCCTGCTCGCCCAAGTAAAGCCTCCCGAATTCGATTCCGAGAGTACCTCTGAAGATTAACAGGTCTGAAAGCGAGACATTCTAGACGCCGGGTTAAGGGACGAAATCAACGCCCACGTTCCACAAGAAAGGTTGTCGACCATCTATGAGGCTGATCTTGCAAAAAGACCTTCTGTCGAAACTCTCGTCTCTCGGATTGAGGCTGATGGACATCGTATCACAATCCTCGTCAACTCTGCCGGCGTCATCAGCCGTTACTCATGCACTGATTTCCCATCGGATGAATGGGACAAGGTAACGAAATGATTCCACTCGCACCTGAGCTGTGGAGTCGCAACATTTGACACGTCTTGTAGGTTCTGGAAGTCAACTTGAGCAGTACATTTATTTTGTGTCGAGATGTAGCACGACATATGCTCGGAAATGAGATCGTCAGGAGACAGAGGGGCTCAATCATCAACGTCGGGTCCATCATGTCTTTCCAAGGAGGCATAAATGTCTCTGCATACGCTTCATCTAAAGGAGGCCTGGTGCAACTGACGAAAAGCTTCTCAAATGAACTGGCATCAAAGGGAATCCGTGTCAATACCATCGCACCAGGATACTGTGTCACAGAGATGAACACACAGCTACTAGAAAACAAGGAAAGATTGAAGTCAATATCAGAAAGGATTCCAATCGGTCGATGGGGAGATCCTAGTGATTTTGCTGGGTAAGAAAATCCCCTCTTTGTCAAATTAGAAAGTTGACTAATCTTTATAGCCCTGTTGTCTTTCTCGCTAGTCGAGCAAGCTCATATGTTACGGGAGAAGCCTTGATGGTAGACGGAGGATGGATGGGGAGATAGCATAGCGTACCTTTACTCCGTAGACTGGAGATCAACGGCTCGACCATGAACTCATTCTTTATCACCCGACGTCCCAGCACCCACAGAATATATATTGCTCTTTTTGAACAAGCTGGTGGGAAACCCTTGACATAGAAATCTTCAAATGACACTAGAGAGAAATTTGTCTATTTCAAGACATTAGAACATGGAAGGAATTGGAGAATCGACATCATTCAAATGCACAGAAGCAGCATCAGAAGATGAGCTTTGCAACTATCGTGAAGCGGGCCGGGCTAGTTAGGACTTTGGACACTGTGAAGGAAGATCTAATGACTATCTAGATTATCAAGATAGCTGAAACCCAGAATATTTCTCCCCTGCGCTCTTCCAGAGTCTCCGTCGATACTCTGGCATTCCAGCCATATAGTTTAAAGCTTCACGCGGCTTGCCAGGTATATTGTCACCGAAGTACCAACTCTTAGCCTCACTATATAGTCCTTGATCACCGATATCAATGACATGATCTCTCCAAGCTTGTTCGGCATCTTTTTCGGCCTCGATGCGATGAAGGCCATGGTTTTTCATATGCTCTAGGCAAGAAATGATCCACTGTCCTTGAAGCTCTGCGGTAGCTGGACCAGTCGCAAAGGCTGTTGGAGCCTGTGGTCCATACGTGAAGAACATATTTGGAAATCCATGGGTACTGAGCCCGAGTTGCGTGCTGATTCCTTTTGACCACTTGTCTTTGATGCTGCCGCAGGTGCCTTCAACATCGATCCTCGTGATCCCTCCAGATACAGAGTCAAATCCAGTGGCGAGGACAATTATATCCAATTCGTGGATTTCTCCATCTTGGGTCTGGATTCCAGTAGGAACAAACCTTTCAATGGGATTGTCTGCTAGACTGACTAGCCTCACATTGGGCCTTTCGAAGACCTCGAAATAGTCTTGTTCGAGACTGACCCGTTTAGTACCGAAAGGATGTGGAGGAATCTTGGGCAGTAATAGCTCTGCAAGTTTGGGGTCCTTGATCCGTGGCGATGTCTTGTCATGGTAGAACTTGTATGCAAGATCGTTGGCTTCCTTGCTAAGGAGCATATCAGAATAATTCCCCAGCCAGAATTCAAGACCACCTGTGCTGATCAACCTCTCATATGTCTCGAGTCGATCGGACTCTGAAACGCTCGTTGTATATTCTGGAACCATGTTGTACACAAACCCTGCATTCGAGGTTTGGATGGCTTTCGTAAGATTGGGCATCGCTTCTTTCAATTCGGAATTTTCCTTCTCGCCCAGGTTTGGATTCAGCATGGGCAAAGCCAGGTTCGGTGTTCTTTGAAAGACTGTAAGGTGAGACGCGTCTCTGTTCATAGCTTGAGTTGCTTGAACGCCCGAAGCACCTGTGCCTATGATACCAACTCTCTTGCCTTTCCAATCGACACCTGATTGCGGCCATCGAGCGGTATGATAGCATTCTCCGCGATATGTGTCGAAGTCAGGATACTTTGGAATGTATGGCTGAGATGCAAAGCCGGTGCAAAGCACCAGGAACGACGCTTGTAATGTAGAAGCATGTGAGCCTTTGGAATCAATCGAGATGGTCCAACGGTTGTCTACATCGTCCCAGGATGCACGGCTGACACGAGAGTCGAATTGAATGTCTGGATACAAGTTCCAGACGTTACCAACATGCCGAAAATAGTCCATGATATGCTCTCGGCCAGGGAATTCTTCCTTCCAGTTCCATCCCATCCATGTTTCAGTGTCGGTAAATTGGTAGGCTGGAACCTTTGTGTCTACTCGTGCACCAGGATAACAGTTCCAGTACCTAGAGGTCCTGTTAGAGAGAATGACAGTGAATACTGACCCTGAAAAGGGATCTCACCATGTGCCGCCGACATCCGAACCTTCATCAATAATGCGGGCTTTGAAACCTGCTTCGCGTAGCCGATGAAGCAGGTAAAGTCCAGAAAATCCTGCTCCAACCACCACCACATCATAGGTGTCGTACTGTGAAGCAATCATGGTAAAGCAAAAGGGGGTAATTCTTCTAGGTACGAGATGACTAAGAAGAATATGATGTTTCTGGGGTAAGGGATGCCACTGAATCTGGGGCTCGGAGGTCTGGGGATATTTAGGCCATGGCTCAAGCTGCTGTATTCGTCTTCATCTTGATCCCGATAATTCCATATCGTTCCTCAATCATAGGCACGGGCTTGATAGCGAGTGAAACAGCAGATACGTTCCAATCCGGTCACCGAGGCTGTCTGACTGGCCTTTGAAGCCCTCGGCTTTTTGGGCGGCTGAAGTCCAGCCATTGTGGGCCTGAGATCTTCATGTTCAGCACATCACAACTGCACGTGCTCAGGCCGTCAAAGTGAGTGACTGCACCGACCGCAAGATGCGATTCGGGTGGCACTGATTTTGTTAACCTCTTGCTAAAAGCATGATGTCTGAATGTGGGCTTTGGAAGGGTTCTAGGGAGGAAAGGGTTTGAACACTTTTAGTAGGAAGAGGTTTCAATTCTAGTAGCGACCTTCATTCATTCAGAATGGTACATGAATATTTCAATGCCAGATGCATATAGTCCCACACTCAAAGATGTCAAAGAGTCCGATGCCGCCGCTCTCTGTCCCTCAGAAGTCGACGTAAGATCTTCCCGCTGGCGTTCTTTGGAATGGCATTCACAAACTCCACGCCGCCCTTCAGTCTCTTAGACTTGGATTTGTGTTTCGCAACATATCTCGTTATTTGTCTCGCCAATGCTGCCAGCTCCACCTGACTGTACGCAGCAGTCCTTACTACAAACGCCTTTGGCACTTCACCGTCGATTTCGTGAGGAACACCGACCACAGCTGCATCTGCAACAGCTGGATGTGTCAATAAATGTGCCTCGAGCTCGGCCGGGGCGACTTGATAGCCCTAAGAAATGAGAAGTCGTGTTAGTTATCACTTCTCCGTGGAAGACGTTAAACCACCAACCTTGACTTTTATCAATTCCTTGATGCGTTCCACGATGAACAAGTGCTCATTTCCGCTTGGGCTCATTCTCACGAGTGCCTGGTCGCCTGTTGTCATCCAACCATCACGGAAGAGCTCCCTACTTTCAGTAGGGCTGTTGTAATAGCCTAGACACATGCTGGGAGACTTTAGGAGTAGCTCCCCGACTTTTCCATAGGTAGTTATTTCTTGTCCTGTCGGAGAGACAAGTTTGGCTTTGCATGCTGGAAGGAGAGATCCAGAGGAGCCGAGCCAAACATCCTGTGGTACGGTATGGCTGAAATTTCCACAGCTTTCAGTCAAACCTATTCAAAACACGATTTAGAGTCCGCCTTTGCATTGTACAAGGATCATGTTGAGGCTTACCATATCCTTGTCTTATGGCCACCTTTGGCAAGATTTGGGATAAGGTATCAGTCAATCCGGGGGCTAGGGACGCAGCGCCACTGTAGATGGATTGGACGCTACTGAGATCGTATTCCCGCATGACTTGGTCGTTTCTCAACATAGCGATAATGATAGGTGGTACCTATTTCAAGGGTGTGAGCTCGTCAGATCCTCCCTCGGGATAGTCTTTGGACGTACCAAAAACATAGAAGTGATGCGGTGTCTCTGCACAGCTGAAAGACATGATTTGAGAGTGAATTTCGGTAGCACAATGACTTCATCGCCTCGATAAGCACTTGAGTGACAGATGACTGTAAGACCGTAGATATGACTTTGAGGCAGCAATCCGAGTGAAACTTGGTGTTGTGATCCGCCCCGACTCTGGCTTTCGAATGTGCTGACCTGTAATATCTGTGAAATGACATTCCTGTGGGAAAGCATGACAGCTTTCTAGAAGCGCCTCAGCACTGCTTTTCTCCCAACATCGGGTTGGACAACAGGGACTCACTGGAACTCCTGAAGTACCACTACTCCATGATAAAAATGCTGTCCGTCTTTCGCCTTCCCTGTTGTCCCACTGAACTTTTTTCAGTGGTGGTGTTGTTCGTCCCAAGTCTATCAGATCGTCCAATGTCGAGAATGCAGATTCCTTGGATCCAGGAGAACTCCCAGTCAAACCACCCTCTTCGATGATGAATATTTGGGAATCAGCAATCCCGCATGCGATTGCTGCTTTGCGCGTTGTTGCCAGTAACGATCGGCAGGTGAAGATGGCTCCACTTCCTGATGATTTGATGAGATATCTCAATTCGGAGACCGAGCTCATGGCATTGACAGTGCAGACTACACCCAGGAGTCGGTGAATGGCCCACATCAACGGAAGGTTGTCGATCTACATCATTGAGGTAACGATCAGTTCACCGTCAATTTGAGACAAGGTCTAAGACCTCAGGAGTCTGGACTGACCGTGTTCACCGAGAAAATCGCACCAATCTTGTCCCATTCAGTCCCATTCTCAGGTCGCCATCCCAACACCTTGGAGATACCTCGAGCCAACAAGTCGACTCTATTCCGCACCTCGATAGCTGAATAAGACTTATCCGAGAGTCCACAAGTGAACGGCGATCTTGAATCTGCTAACGGACACCGTCCATTCTTGTCATCTAACATGAAATCTGCGACAGAGAGGTTTGCCGGCGGTTCGAATGGGAGTTCTGGCACCCATGTTGGAGGTTCGAAAACCATGTCGGGCGCCTTGTTGCGTATACAGAATGAAGCGGCTTCAACATATCAAAGATGTTGTGTCCATGGCATCTTCTTTTTTTTTTTTTTGATATGAGCACTTGGCTACAATCTTAATGCTGCTACAGCTGGCCTGGGATTACGAATAGTGGGATCTACGGACCTTTTTTTCCTGCCGATCAGAGGTAATTGAGGCTTCCTTGGGGTGTCGGTTCGGTAGTCGGTTCAATGATTTTCAACCGGTTGGTCAACGGCCAGACTTTGACCCACTGCGGTGACACACCACTTCACCTCAAAGTTTGTTTCATCACATATCGTCGTGATCGTCATGGGATTTCGAGAACATCCAGTGCAGTGAGGGGAAATGAAATGATAGCTGAAAATAGTTG